ACAACACTTCCCCCCAAAGAAATATCGAGCTGATTAAGCGAACTTACTTCGTTTTACGATTTATCGCGAATAAAAATTTATCCGACAACGAAGGAAAGAAAAAGCTTCTCAAACTTTCTATAATATCCGCAGCTCCAGTATATTGCATTCGATAGTAAAATCCTTGAGTGATTTCTCCGATATTATTTTTAGTTGGACTTGAAGATTTACGGTCAATTACACCGTTCGATTGAATTCTCGATACTTTTACAACTGACTCGTACAGGTCTCGATCCGTTTTTGCGCGTGCCGCGGCCGGGCGTAATTGCCGGGAACGCGCACGAAGGCGGAACTGCTCGTCTCCGTTTTCGGATCGACGTCGGAACGATCCGCGTCCGCTCGGTCCGCGGCTGCGACGGGCGCGCGCGAGAAGCTGCGCGTCGGCGTTTCGAAAGCGCTCTCGCAGCGAGTCGACCCGCGATGATTCGTCCGAAAGCATTGTGACCGTGCGCGTTGCGACACCGCGCGCCGCGTGAGATACGCGCGGGGATGAGCGTTCGAGGTGCGCGCACAGAGTTCTCTCCTCGTTGCGCAATCGAAAGTGCGGGCGCGACGCGTTTCTTTCTTCTCGCCTGGGATTTCGCTTTCGTCGCCTGCCGAGGCGACACAGGCGCGTCGCGACCCTTTCGCCCGATCGACAAGGGACGCGATTGGCATCGGACGGATCGCTCGCGCGCGACTCGTGCTCCCGAATCGGCCGATTGTCGCGGCATCCTACAAAGCTAAATTATCCCTGCGCGAGTGAAAATATGTTGCCTGCTCGCGCTGCCAATGCGAAAAAATCGCGCAGAAGCGGGCGAGTGCGGGTAGAAAGCTTAGCCTCGCTCTCTCGGGAGGAATTGATTTGGAGGAATTGAACACTCGCTCGAACACTCGGCGTCGAATAAATATCGGCCGCAACGCGCGCTCTCTCGCTCGCGGAGTGTCCACTCGAGTGCAGCGCTCGCGAATCGAGCAGCCAGCTCTGGCTTCGTTACGCTTGTCCGCCTGGCGCGGCGAGCAGGTGCGTCAAGTGCGACGAGGCGCCTCGGACGCAGCAGAAGGATAATTGGGCAGTGCCCCGATTCGCGTACGAATCCGGCGCTCGGGTGGAGGCCTCCACCGTGTCGCGCAAGTGGGGGCGACGCGTTCAACTCGTCGTCGGGATCGCGCACCCCGTCGCGATCGGCACGCCGAATGGCGCGCCTTTTCTTTCCTGTTGAATTTTCCATTTTCTAGCTATGCGGGTCACATTTGGAATCGAGAGCGCCTTTCGGAAGCTATCCCCCCCCCCCCTACCTCTTCGAAGCGAGTAAGAGTGAGCCGCGTCCGTGCGGGTACAGTTAGTTATGCGCCTTGCCTATATGATGCAAGTCCATGCGTTGTACGGGTTTTTCTTCCTCTCTCTCTCTCTCTCCTTTCCATTGGGATGGATTCCTCGTAGCGTAGCTCTCGCGCTTAGCTTTTTTCGCTCGCCGAGAATCGCCACTCTGCCTCGTTTACCGTCTACACGGCCGATTGCGATCAACAAAAAAAACGCTCCTCTCGACGTCTCCATTTTCCCGGCCGGCGATAAGACGAGGCACTGAGCGCGAAACGCGCGTAGCCCTCTGACGCGCACATCTCGCGTCGAGTCGTACCAGAAATGACAGTCGCCTCGCCCAAGCGATCCGACTCCCGCGGACGTAGGCGACTTCGTATCTTCCCCGCCGGTTCAACGACACGCGCGCGATCGGAGCATTTTCCGAGATTAATCTCGGCGCGCGAGGGCTGGCAAAAGTGCGGCTTCTTACGCGACTGGCCGCATACCGCGGCCACGTTATACAACCCGCGCGCTCGAGCGGCCGTAATAAAAGCACGCCCGGGAAAATACCTGCCCCCCCCCCTCCCTCTCGCCCCGCACTCCGATGACTTGCGCCAGTACGTGCGCGCGGAGACCGCTTTTTGCGCTCGGACGTGACGTGTGCGTTGGCGCGGCGGGCGCGATAATCCGCGGGAAGAGTTTCGTTTGCCGCGCGGCCACGGAGACTTTTCGCCTTTCCACGTTAATCGCTGCTGTGCGATCGCATCTTTCGCGCTTCCTCGGCTTTCGTTGCAACACGCTGCTCATGCGCTTCTACGAGCGTCCAGAACACGAGCTATTGGTTTCGGCGTGTCTAGGAAAAAGAGAAATTGATAAACAGCCAAACGACAAATTAACGTGCCCCGCGTAACGACGCAAACACAAACGAAAGCCGTCCAACGTTACGACGCGCGTTCGCTCGTCAAACAAAACCATCCAACAACCATTATCTTTTTTCCAAATGACAAACAGCATTCCTAATCGATCCTCGCAAGAATGTAAAAATGGTTTTTACCGCAGCGCAACTATAATCGCGAGGAGCGCGCGCAGGTACACGCACGCACATCGGCTCATTTTTCCAGACTCGCTGCGGCGCGTCGGCGCACCGTTAATCAGCGCGCGAGGGGGGGGCCCGGCAGGGGCAAAGGAAGAAAAAACCAACGCGCGCGAGAAGAAGAAGCCGGTTGCGCTAGGCAGAAGCAGCGGGAATCGGCGCGCTCGCGCTATCGCTCTTTCGGCGGCGACGTTAACGGGGATTTTTCGTGGCGATCGATTGATATTTGGTAAACGCGCGTCGCCGACACCTTTACTCGTATCGTGTCTCGCGGATGTCGAGCGCGCGCGCGGAATCGGCGACTCGCAGCTACAATCGGATCCGCGCGCGGAATGCGAAAGCGAAGGAGAACGAGGATGACGACGACGCGTCCTGGATTCTCCGAGCGGAGGAAAGAGAAAAGACCTCCGCTGATGCGACGCGAGATGACGCACGGCCGGTATACGGGCAACGTCGATAGAACTATGCGCGCGCTGTTCAATTATCGCTGGAAGGCCGTTTTCCCTTCGCTCCGTCTTGACTCGTGGAAACGTCGCGCGGCTCTACCACCGCGACCGTCGTGACGTGGAAAAACATTTGCTCGGCATTTGGCCAAGTCAGCGTCGTTACGTCGAGGCGTGTCGCCGTGGAAATATAAATCAGTGAGTCGAAGGCTAATTACGAGTTGGCCAGGCGCGCGCGAGTCCGCCTAAACGGATCCCACGTGATATATTCAATTTCAGATAGCAAATCGTTGCGCAAACGCGAGCTTTAAAGCTCCAGCGGCAATTAAAGCTTGTCATTACCGCTCGCGAAAGGATCCAAGTTTTATTCGCAATTACGCCTGGATAAATTAGACCCGCAGCGGCGACTTACAAAACAGTTATTCAATGAGGGAATCTCGCATCGTTCGGTATATAGAGGGAGAGAGAGAGAGAGAGAGAGAGAGAGAGAGAGAGAGAGAGAGAGAAAAGGAAGGAAATTGAGCGCGGTAAATGGACAACCGGTTGTGTATATATATATATATATATATATATATATATATATATATATATATATATATATATATATATATATATATATATATATATGTATATATGAATCGCGCGCGCAAAATTCCTAAGCCTGGTAAAACCGCTAAACCAATAAGTGTCGTCCGTTTCTTTTTTATGCTGCCGCTACTTTCATCGCTTGACAAACTACTCGATTATTTAGCAGCTCGTCTGACTTGTGAAATTACGATCGCAGAGAGCTTGCCGTTGAATTGGACTGTCAGCTGATCGCGTGCCAGAACAAGCTCGTAAACCTTCGCCGCGTTATGGTTTATGTACGTCAGCCGTCGTCCGACGGTCGGCCCTGGCTATAATTTGGATGGCAGAGCAGGCGCGTGAGAAAAGTCACTGCCGAGAATTAACGCCGGGGGGGGGGGGGGCCTTTGCGCAACGAGCGCTCGCCACAACTTTTGATCAACGTCGGGTCGAATTGAAAAGCCGAACCGCGTAATTCGTCCGCGAGTGGCGAAGCGTTCTCCCCCTGCCGTATCTCGACGGTGAGTATCATTCCGTAGTTACGTAACGGGGCCCATCCCCCTCCGCGAAACGTTAATCTCGTGCAGCGCGGAAGCCTCGATGCCGCCGCCGGCAGGTACGCGGAAACAAAAGCGACCCGCGCCGCCAGGCCAGGCAACGCTTATCCAATTAAATCCTTGGGAATGCGCGTGCGAGCGACGCATTGTTCGGATTTTCTCTCCCCGGGCGAGAAAGTAAACCGCCGCCCGGTCGCTTAATTTGCTCTTCCCCCTGAGAAGCCGCATCTTCGTGAAAATGCGGACACCGCGATTTTGGCGTCGCGAGTCGGCCCAAGGTGCGCGTCTTGTCCGCGATTCAACAGCCGTGAATGCGATCGACGAGACTCGCAACGTTCCAAGCGAGTGCATTCCGCATCCACGGGATCACGCCGCGCCCCGACAGCCTTGGGGGTTGGGTCCTGGATCGTCGAGTCGAGGCACGCCTGATTCATCGGCACCGCTTGACCGTTCGGCCGTCGGTTTCGTCGGGGTGGCCGAGCGCAGTCGCGCTTTCGAGCCGTGAAACCTCGATAACAGCCAAGTTCAAGCACCTCGAAGAAAAGGAGTGTAACCTGTCGCGTCATCGAGAGCAAAACAGCCAACTCTCTCTCCGAAAACGAACAACGCGCGAGAGCTCGTCGTCAGCTGCGTCAACCCCGCGAGTCGTGATGCACGCGCGACTCGAAATTTCTCCGCGCGCACCTGAGTAGAGCAGGCCGGCGGCGAACGGATGGCGGGGAGGAGAGAGCAACAGGTGGAGTGGGGCCTTACAGTGTATACACAAGTTGGCTTCTCGGCGCCGCGCAGCGAAGAAGGGAACCTAGCGGTGGTCGCCGGTGCGCGGAGAAAGGGAAGGAGTTGTGTTAGCTTTCCTCGGTATTGTGCGACTTCCTGCCCGCCAGTTCTTCGAGAACCAGCGAGTCGCGCGGCGTTGTCGCACTCGGTGCAGCTCACCAAAGTGGACACTATGCTTGAGACATAACGCGACAGGGAACCTACGAGAAAGGACAGTTGTTGTTATTGTTGTTTTTTTTTTTTGTTTTTTACTGTGTGTTTTGCCGACGTGGACACGTGTGCGCTTTCGAGCACAAACGAGCAGTAAAATGGAGTTGAGGATCGTGCTGCTGCTGCTGCTGCCGCTGACGCTGGCGCTGCTGCAAGGTGCGTAAGCGCGACACGTGCGCGTCGCTCCGTTCGAACGCGATTATCGCCACGCGCTGGCGGAGTGAAAGCGACGACGACGAGCGTGTCCGCCTTCGATCGTCGCCACGCTTTGGCCCGCGCCGCCGAGTGATCAGGCCGCCTGGATCGGCCGGTTCTGGCGGACCGATTCGCACTTCCGCGTTCTCCGACGGTGCATCGGGGAACGGCGCCGCCTCGGCCCAGTGACCCCACCTGCTCCGCGCACGGCGCTCGCGATCCGCGGGACGATCAACGGGAGGTCCGCGCGCGCTAATGCGCCAGGACGATCAACCGGAGAGGCTTGTCGCGAGTGGCCGCGTCGCGCGGCGGGCAATTGGCCTCGTTGCCAGGCGCACTTTCTCACGGGGCAGCCGTCCCCGGGCGAGGAAGGTCGTTTCGCGCGCTCTCCGATGCGCCGGATAGGAGATGACGCGACTACGTCGGTCGCCAAGGCATTGTCGGCGGCAGGCGGCCTGGCAACCTACATCGCCGCGCGCGCGTCTCGCTCGCTCGCGGAACTGCGCCACGGAGAGAACGCGAGGACAGGCGAGATTTATTATTTTTTTTTTTTTTCTTTTTTTTTTTTCATTTTTTTAATCATTTTTTCCTCTAACGAGCGAGATTATTACGCGCACGGGAGCACTGGGGAACGTTTTGCCTGCATTCTCTCGCGGAGAGATTGCATCTTTCGCGCGCGCGATTGTTTTGTAATTTGGGAGCTTATTATACTCGACGCCGACGTCGGACGCGCGTTTCGTGCTCCCGCTTTAATTGGCGTGTCGTCGTTAACGGGACGCGTCGTTCCCGAAATCGGATTGGCGAAAGGGAAGCGCGATCGTTCGATTCATTCGGATCGACGCCGAGCCGAAACTACCGAAAGCTCCGCTTCGGGGTCCTACGGAGACGGAACAGCTGCCCGTTAGGACACCTGTAAATAATCAACGGGCGGTACCGTTACGAAAGCGGAATTCGGGCGGTTGTCGCCTGCCTCCGAACGCGCCGTCCGATCTGTTTTCGCAGCGTCGCGCGTATAGAAAGTTCGACGCGCGAGAGCGAAAGAAAAGCGCGGCGTAGCGGGCCGCGCCGAACGAAAATATATCGCGCGAATCATCTTTCACTCCGCGAGCCGATATCGAATGATTTAGAAAGTCGGATCCGATGAGCGTCAGCAGGGCGCAAGGTGCGAAACGGACGGGCCGTTCGCCACGCGAGAGGCGGCGCGCGGAAATAGGCAGGCGGACGAAAAGGGAAAGGCGACAAGGGAGACGCGGCGAGCGCAAGCAGGGAAACGCCGGCGCGCTGCGTTTTCCAATCGCAGCTAATCCCCGGACGAGATCGACTATCGGTTTCGCGTGGCTCGCGATCGGCGCTGCCGTCGCGATCGGCACGAGGCGAGAAGCTGACCGGGTGGTCCGTTGGTGTTGCCAGGCGAGGCGCGAGCGGACTGCGGCTACCCAGGCGCCCCGGCGCACAGCAGCGTGCGCTTCGCCGGGCCGGAGGTGGACGACGCGATCGACGAGGAGGACGGCCCGATAAGCGGGCCGAGCGGCGCGAGGCTGCACTTCGCCACGGGCACCGTGGCCACCTACGCCTGCGAGCGGGGTTTCGAGCTGCTCGGCCCTGCCAGGAGACACTGCCAGCAGGACGCCACATGGTCGCCCGAGGGCGTTCCCTTCTGCGGTGAGTACACCTTGCACTTTCTTTCCGCGCTACTGCGTCGCGAATGAATCGTCGCGATCCGCGCTACCGCGACTCTCTGAAAGTTTGAGGCTCGGCCGTACTGCCGATCGATAATCGAGCCCACGGTGACGTTCCTGCGGTGGCCAAATCGTATTGCGAAACATAGAGGATAGGCCTCCGCAGATGCCGGACACCCTCTGTCGTAACAGTAGGCGGCCTGGAGCAGCGACGGCTAGAATCCGCGCGCGTCGCGATGCAAAAGGCCCGAGAGAGCCATGTTCCCCGCGCGCTGATTGCCGTCGACTGGGACATGGGTGCACGCGTCGCTCGCTCCTCCTCTTTCAAGATAGTCCCGCGTATAATATACGCGCCGTCGTTTTCGGCTAAAAAGCGAACGAGTCGGAGAGCGAATAACGGTGTCGTCGTCGCACCATTTTTCCGATCGCTCGGCGTGGGTTATTGGCCTTGTTTTTTCTTTTTTTTTTCCATTTCGGGATAGCCGATTCGTTCGTATCAGTGGGCCGCGCGGCCACGTACAGTTAGGCGCGCGGCGGAAACGCACAGGCGACGAGCAACCGATTTGCAGTCGATTGCGCGTGCGGAGAAGAGGGCGTGCATTGGCATTAGGCGCGAGTGGCTGCACACGAAACGGGCCGGCGCTTGCCGTTGACGACGGGACGATTGGAAAATCGGCGAGCGTTCGCCGAATGCACGGCGTCGGCAGGGTGGCTCGATCAGTCGAAAAATGGTTGCCCGAAGCGGCCCGACAAGCGGAGCAAAGAGAGCGAAGCGAGCGATTCGCGCTGCTCGTTTGCTCGGGGGCAAAGCGAGAAATAGCCCGCCGGCGCGACGCTCAGCTGCCTAGGCGGGCAGGTTCATCGGTCAATCTCTCTCTCTCGCTCTCTCCAACGGTACCGCGATCCGAGGCATCGGCGACGTGGTCGACGTCGCCGTCGGCGAGCGGTCACGTTCCGCCCGCGCCACGGTCAAGGACACGCGCGGCGTGCCGATCGGCGCGGCAGGTGCGACGAGCTGGTTCGGCCGTTGCTCGGGCGAGCGATTCCGCACGGCGGCCCCGTCCGGCTGACGCGGCGCGGCTGCACTTTCCTTTCTCACGCCTGACTCTGCAGTCACTTTTGATCCGTCGACGTCGTCTGGGACTGCGGGACGATCCGATCCGCGCGCAGCGGAAAGTGTAACAAGGCCGCTTCTAACGGCCGTCGTCGCGGTGGGAAAACTCCGCTGCACTGGCGTCGCGATACCCGCCGAGTCGCGCTCTGTTTAATCGTCGAGTCCCGGACTCCCGTGGCTCGTGCGCGCGCGCGACGCTCCTGCGCCTCCGTACGCGCGGCTTTGTCCCGAACTCGCCAACGATTAGCGCTTCGACGAAGGTTACGGCGGGGCTTGCGTATAAACATCCGGCGCACCGGGCGAACAACTAGAAAGCCACTCTCGCTCTTGCCAAACTGGCCCGCGATGATTCAGGAAAGAGACGAAGAAGCGCGTGGCCATGGCACAAAGGCTCGGCAACGACAAAAGCGACGTCGCGATCTAGAAACCCCGTTCGTTCGCCGGCCGCGCTTGAAAAGTGAAGTGCGGCGCGCTTCTCGTTTCGGGCGGCGAGTCACGCCCGCGAAGTGGGTCGACGGCGAAGAACAAAAAGAAAACGAAGACCTCTCGAAGCAAGTGAGCGCGCGGACCAGCTGCGGGCCGATCGAGCCGCTCCAGCTGAGTCGCCGGGGTAAACGCTCGCCGAGAGGGAGAGAGAGAGAGAGAGACAGGTCCGCCGGCGCGTAACGCCGGCAATTACGGCAAGGCTCGTTGCGCAAGTGTCAACAGCCGGGCCGGGCTCTCCGCGAGGAAAAGGCGGGCGGCTTCGGGCTCGGAGGCCGCGAATCGTAAAAATGTAGGCTAAGAGCCGGGCAGCGCGCGCCTCGGACGGAAACAGAGCGCGAGATGGAAATAAGCGTAACGGCCGGCGTGTCTCCCTTGTTCGCGTGCGCCGTGGCGCGGCGCTTCGATTTCGACTGCGCGGCGTCCAGCAGCTGCCGGCCGAGCCTTAGAGTCGGCGATTATAATTATAACGGTCGACGGCGGCGAAACGGAGAGAAGGCCGAGAGGGGCCTCGCGTTCTCGGGCCAGTTATGCCACTTAGACGCGCATCAGCCCCGGCCATTTGGTTTCGGACGCGCGGCTTTCCTGGTCGCGGAAAAGCGCAGGAAGCGCGAAGCCCCCGGCGAGCGTCGCCGACGGATGCAAATCGGCCTCGCGTACGTTCTCATTAAAATTCCACGGGCCCCCTCGGCACGGAGCAGAAGCGCGCACGTGCAAGTGCCGCGGCGTTGAGACATCGCTATCAGATCGAGCCTGTATTTAACTGCTCTCGCTCTCGCGCAGACGAGATTAATCGGAAACAACAATCGTCCGTTGCCCGAGGCGTCTATCTCTTTTCTCTCTGTAATTATCGTTATTGATTATTCCAAGCTCGCCGCTCAACGAATGTAATGTAATGTAGGATGAAAAATGCGCGATGCCTATCGTCGAGAGCTCGAGGAGCTCGTCGTCTTCGCCCCCCCCCCCCCCCCCCCCTCGAGCACCTCGTGAACGAATAGATTCTTCGACGACGCGCTTACGTAATCGGCGTCTTTGTGCAATGGCCCGTTGATAAAACTAAATCATATTCGCCTAATGGGCAATTTCGCAACGATTCTATCGTCGTCGCGACGCAAAATTTCGCATTGTTGTAAGAAGAAAGAAAGATCGCCGTGGCTTTTTTTTTCTCTTGCCTGTTTGAAGCGCAAAGGAGAGGCGATAAATCGCATGGCCGTCAGTTCGTTAATTTGGTGGTATCTCGCGCGCGCAGAGAGAGAGAGAGAGAGAGAGAGAGAGAGTGCAACGACACCGGCATTCTTTTCCGCTCTCTCGTAAAAATTCACAGCTCGGCACGTTAACCCACTTTTCGCTCTCGAGCAACCTTGCAGTGCGCGAGCGCGAGCAGAGAGAGATTAAAAAAAAGCACATCGTCGCGTAATAACCGATCGCTCGAGAGAACAGTTCTCACAGCCTCCTTTGTGCCACGAGATTTGTCTTTCATTTTTCCTTTTCTTTTTTGTTCCTCGATCGATCATCGTCGAGGAATTGTCTTTTGGCGCAGGGTTGAGTCGCCCGATAACGGCACTGCTCCATGGCGGTGACGATCGATCCGGGGAAGAGAGGGCGTTGCGACTGTTGATCATCCGGTCCAGTAGTTTCGTGCGTTACGTAAAATAGCATCGCCTCGGCTGCCAAAAGAGCTGTCACCGCGACGCGGGAAAGCGAACTGCGAGCGATAAAAAACGGAAAAAAGTCGAGCGCGACGAGAGTCGCTGGCCCCGCGGGCTGGAGAGAAAGAAAGAAAAAAGTTGGAGGCATCCGCTCGGACTTTCTACTCTGGTCCGCGACTCGTTTCCGTCGCCGATCGTCTTCGAAAAATCCCGAACTTTCTATATCGCGCCGGCGTGGGATCGCGACAGAAGAAGCGAGCACGTACGCGCGGACATTTCACCTGCCGATCAGAATTTGTCGACGGTGACACCGTGTGATTAATCGTTTTCGAAGGATGGAGCTGCGAGCGCTTTCTGTAGAGTGAGAGAGAGGGGGGGTGGGGGAATCTTATCGAGTCCCCGTCGCGTTTACGCGTCGATCGCGCGTACTTGCGCGTGGATGATGATCGAAGAGCGCGACGACGGGCAATCGTGAATGTCCGTCGCGCCGGAACCAATCGGCACGCCCACCTTGCGCTGCGCGCGCGTCAAGACTCCTCGAGTCGGACCGACGACCGAAAGCGATGGACGCAGCTCGGGATACCGAGGCGTTTCTTTGTGATCTCGGACAAAACGAAGCAAACAAACGAAATCTTTGCAACCGAGCCGAGAATTATCGCGGCAAAAAAGTGTACCGCGCTGCGGGGAGAGAGAGAGAGCGTTCGGAGGAAAGGAAAGGCAGACGCGCGCACAGAGAGGTCGTCGCCAATATGAGATACGGTACCCGCCGAACTACCGCAAGGGGCAGGGAGGGAAAGGGGGGGGGGGGGGATGGCTGCGCGGAGACGCAGCCGAGTAATGCGTGCGCACTTGTTGCGCTCGCGACGTTTTCGGTCGCGAAGCGAAGCGGTACTTGCGCGGGCCGCGCGGATCGCAATCATCGGCGCCGCCCGAGCCGAGCGACAAGGCCCGCGGACCGTAAAATCGCACGGCCCGGCGCGCGGACGTCGTCGAGAGCGTCGTCGCGAGCAGAGGGAGGCGGCGACGAGCGCGCGCGACGCGCCGTCCGTTATGGCTTGGTCCCGCGAAATAAGTCGATCCTGTTAGCGAAAAAAGAAGGCCGACGATCGACCGGCGAGCGCGCGCGAAGAACTCGTTTCGTTGGCGACTCTGGCATTCCGGAGGCGAGGTATGACGCAGCAGGTGCTTACGAAGAGATCGTCGTTGAAGCTCGAGGCGAAGCTGATGAATCATTAGACGCGCGCCGCGCCAGCGATGCGACCGTAAGCGCTCGGGCGTCGTCGGTCGCGAAGCTCCGGGCACTCGACCTCGTTACCGGGCGATCCTCGCCGCCCGCGGTACAATCGAGGGAGCGCGCCAGCGACGAAAGTCGCGCGGCAGGGGGCAAACGCTCTCCTCCCGCGGGCGGTGCGAGCGACCTACTCGCGCGCCTCGTGGAGCGCGAGACGCGTATGCGCGCCGCGAGCGAGCTTCCTCGACGGCTGCCTCGAGGACGATTAATCAACGAGCGCATCGCGGTCCTTTTGCAGTGCTGAACGTGGCGGCCGGCAAAGCGCCGATGCAGTCGAGTCGCTCGGAGAGCGGCATCCCGCAGCTGGCGGTGGACGGCAGCAGCGCGCAAGCCTACTCGCCGAAGACTTGCACGCTCACGACCCCCGAGCTTCGACCTTGGTGGTACGTCAACTTGCTCGAGCCCTACATGGTGCAGCTGGTCAGGCTCGACTTTGGCAAGTCGTGCTGCGGTGAGTAACTCCATAACTTTGCATCTCCGCGGCTCGCGGCAATTTGCACGCGAGCGTTTTCGCTGACTTTCGTTTTTCGCCGAGGATTCGTTGCCCCCGCCGACGAGAAATCGGCGGCGGCGGCGGCGGCGGCGGCGGCGGCGGCGGCGTAGCAAAAACGCGAGGATCGCGGCAGCGCGAAGGATAATTGTGCTCGGAGAGAAGGAGACGGTTCGGAGACCGGTGGAGCTCGCGCGCGTCCTGTCGCGGGCAGCGCGAGGGAGAGAAGCGAAGGCGACCGCCGTCTTTGCCCGCCGGTGCGGATTTATTCTCGGGAGGCCGGCCGCGCGGTGCTTTCTACTCTCGCTCTCGGTCGAGCCGCTAAATCGCATCGACGCGCCGGGACCGCCGCGAAAGCGATCGATTTGGCTTTTTCTTTCGCGCGCGCGCTCGTCAACTTTTACGACGCGTCGTGTCCGCGGACTCGGCGCTGGAAAGCCGCCGGACGCCGGACCGCAGTCCGCACCTCGCGCGGCGATCGGAGAGCTTCGCGCTCGTTTTTCCTCTTTCCACCTGAAAACGCTTCCGCTCGCGGCGATGCACGCGTGCACTTGCGATTTCTACTTTCGGACTGTCGTTAACTTTCGAGAACCGTTCGATCTCCACTCTCGCGGCGGCGGACGATCGGACTCGCGCGCTCGGCGCACTGGAAATCACGAAAGCGCGCGCACTGCCCGACACGTTTCGTCGCGTATAACGCAAAGTGAAAAGAAGAAACAGAAGAAACGCCAGTCCGGATCCGACATCGCGACCGACTATCCTGTCTTGGTCATCGGCCAAGGTGTTCATTTTTTCTGTGCTGATTGTTCGCAACAGTGTCTTCGGCGACTGCGCTGAGTCGCACGGGAAGGGAACGCGATGCCGCAACACATTGACCAAGTTATAAACACATTGTTGCGGAGCGCGCGTATTGGGTTCGTCGATCGAATGATAAGACGTGGCAAACGATCGTTGCTTGGATAATTATGATTTCTGCTTGTTGCGCTCATTCCTCGCTCCTCGCGGTTTTCATGATTATCACGAGTCCAATAATTTTCTGCATTATGTTCTTCAAAATACACACCAACAGCAGTCCGCGAAGTCCAATCGTTACGATATCATTTCTGCATATTACGTTCCTTGGTGCTAACTGTTAATTACTTGATTAATTATTTTTATTTTTAGAAACTTTACTCTCCCATGGCATACTATTACATATCTAACGTTGACAAAGTTGAATTCATGGAACATCACTTGGTATACTCACGCAGAAATGCTCGCTAAAATTAACGTTAGAAAGCACATGTAAATAGCGTTTATCGATCATTTAACTTTCATCACTGGATCGAAATATCGTTCTTGATCACGCGTGAACATTTCAGTCGCCACGCGGCCCATAATTATTAAATCACAAAACAACATTTTAATATTTGCTTCCTTTCGATCGAGATGACGATCACTTTTGTCAACACTGAATCAGCGGCCCGCGCCCTCGCAAACTTCACGAGGAATACCGACGTTGAATTTAGCGACGTAATGAGCGAACGATTGCGGCATAAGCCAGATACAATGGCCGATCTGTCACGCTTGTCCGTCGTAAATTTTTTCCGCTCTGCATGATTTGCTCAATCTGCGGTTAATACAATTTCACAGCCGTTCGCAGCTCGCTGCTTGTTATTGTTTAATAAAATCCCGACAAATTCACTGGCATTACCCGTAGCCGCTGTATTTCTGTAATTACCAAGCTCTGCGCGTTCGCCGTTGTTTCGACAAGCAATCGCTTCCTTAGCGTCGATCGTTACGTTGCCTTCGTCTTTCGAATCCATCAGCCAATGTTTTATTACTCGGGGCCATACTCTACGAACTCCGGAAAGAGCTATTCTAATAATCATTTTTTAATATATCGAAAGGATAATGAACACAGAACGTGAAGATAAATGGAAGGGTAAACGTTGACACGTATGCGTTTCGTAATGACGCAATCGCTTCAACGGGTATCGAACATCACGAAGGGAGATTACATCTTCGTCATCGACAAAGCATTTAGCTTGCACAATGTCTTCTGTGCTGATGCTCTCTAAAGATGTCTTTAGGCTAAATTTGATTGAATGTAGAAGAAATGCAACTAATGAGATACATTACACAACAATTTTTTGCTGTGTTTGTTGATTTTGCTTCATTGATTAGTATTGATTACGAAAGGGTAAATTGAAGTTTTCAAGTATGGATTTTCCCAACAAAATATTTATTTTCATACTCAGCGCGCCATGACCACAATGTAAAACTCCTTTTTCACAAACATATTTGCGTTTATTAAGTAATTATTGTTTAATTCGGACAATATGCGCTTACTTATTCTATTTTTGAAGGGGTCTTGAGAGTCGGTTTGAACACATATTACAAACTCGGCAGACTTTTCTAACAGTGCGTATTGCAACTGTCAAACTAACATTATGGTAGTAACTGTACTTACTCTGTATAAAGGTCAATCTCACGTCAAGTTGAGATCGAGCTGACAGATCCTACACCTACGCCACGCCAATGTATCAAAAAGTGCCTTGCCTCGAATCGAATCCGACGCGAATCGTATACGTCACTTTTCCATCGCCCTCAAAATGTCGACACGTCAGAAAGGCACTCCGAGCACTTTAAGATGATAAGCAAATTTCGTCTGGTTGCGCAACACCCTTGGGAAAGGAGAAAAACAAAAAGAATCGATTGCTGCACCAAATATAACTCCTCGACGCTGTTTTATCGACAACGGGCGCAATATCCTCGCAACATTGAAATCCGGTCACGTTGGCCAAGCGCAGGAGAGATTAGGAGCCGGCGATACCGCGAATCGGCGAGTGATCGAAGACAAATATTCGACCTAAAGGCCGGAAGCCACCTTTCCTCCGATGTATCTTTAGCGCGCTTGCCCATTACGTCTTTGAAATTTCGCACGCCCGGCTGCTTCTCCTCTACTTCCGCGGCTGCCTCGATGGTTCATTCCCCCCCCCCCCCCCCCTCCCATTTCCGATCCAGCGCGCGAGTCGTCGGAGTCGCGCGCTGCAACGGCGCGAAATTTTTTTTTTTTTTTTTTTTTTTTTTTCACGACCCTGTTTTTTCGCTGCGCTGATTAGAATCTTGGCCGAGCCCCGCGCTCTTGGTGTGACTAATTGCCGGCTCGAAAAACGCGCGGTACGCACTGCAAAACCAAGCTCTCGGGTCGAGAGGCTTCGCTCTCGAAACGTGTGCGCAGCGAATTGAAGAGCACCGTTGTTTCTTTCGACTAACGAGCTGTGGAAGCGAAAAGGCAAACGGGTCGGGGCAGCAAGCGATCGACCATGAAAACATTCTAATTCGGTTGACACTCGAATACGAACCTTCTCGTAGCGCGATTCCCCAATTGGTTCTCGAGCGTTTTGTTCGTAAAAATATGAATTTTTAATTTAATGACGCCCCGTATAAGGCTGCGCCTTTCAGATGCAATAGGAAGGTTACGCATTCGAGCGACAACGTTGTAAGAATTTACATTTACGTCGACAAAGTTGTAAGTAATTTACTCCGATTACGGTTAATTTTTTGTTGTCGTATTATGCATCATCCTTACGACCCTTTCGCGAGTGGAAGCTCCTTCAAACTTTCTTCTTTGCAATTACTTTCGCCTTAGTCTCGCAACGACACCGATAGAGTAGATTAATGCGTCACCTCTCACCTATTCTCGAATGTTTATTGTAGACAAGCGACTTCCGACGGCTTTTTTTTTTCTTTATCAGGACAGGCGAGCATTCATCGAGCGTGTAACAGATAGGCCCGAGAGCGAAAAACTCTGTAAGCTGATAATTTCCGAGTATTTGGCTAAGCATTTGGCGGAGTCGATGCGAGCGAGAAAGCAGCGACGTGCAACCACGAGAGAGGCGAGCGGCTGGTTTTCGCGCGGCGCGGGCAAGTTTAGTCCACACAGGCGTTGCGCGCTTCACACCAGCAATACAAAGTATCTCAGTCGTCGCGGCAAATATTGGCGGACTTTCTCGAACAACGGATAACGCGCTGCTTAGCATTGAAAAGAACATCCCAGTCGAGCGGTTCTCACGCGCGAGCGCAGCGAAGAAAGCGGAAGCGCCGATGACTCGCTCGCTAATAAGGAGGTCAGAGGAGCGCGAGACGTACGCGTTCCGTTCCGCTCGCTGAAAATCTGCCACGACCGCCTCTCGACTTGGAGTGCCCACGCGTCTCCCAACGCCGCGCGCAACGCTGTCCGTGACCGCGGCCAGCCTGCCCCCTGGTCGCAATGGACCGCTCTGGAGGACGACCATTCGCCGCGGCGCGACTAGCGACGAACGAGAGGCCAATAAAACGAGGACTTTCCGATGTCGCGAGAGAAGAGAGTCAAGTCGCGAGTCGTGCAGCAGCAGTAGCAGCAGCACATCAAAGGCGTGAAAACGGCACGTACGCGGGGGGGCGCGTTACAAGGAGTCACAGCTGAGGCGGCAAGTGGGTCAGGAGACGTGGATACTTGGGCAACTCGATGCGCGCGACGATGCTATCTGCTCGCGCGCTGTGGCTCTTTTCTCTCTCGCTCTCTCGCGGGACGTATGCACGTATGCACATGCGAGTGAAAGCTCGCGCAGCGCTCCCGGACCTTCGCGCGCACTTGCCGCTGCGCCTCAAGTGCCCACACGATGATTACGCGCTCGACGGATTCTCCGAACTGAGCGCGCCGCGAGCTTTCGACCTCTTCCCGACCGAGTCCTCCGGCGCGCAAGGGCAGTCCGTCGCTGCCCTTTCGCCGGCCGAGACAGCGCGGGGCGGAGCGTCGCGTGGCGCAAGCGGTTTCGCGAATTCGTGTCGCGAGCTCGCTTCGTTGAGCGTCCAGTTTGCGCGCCGGCGATAAACCGAGACGACTCGACCGCGGCGACGGCGCGGCTAACGGCCGCGAAATTTCGTCAAAGCCACGCGTCGTCGTGGCTGTCTTGTATGCAAATTTCGAGTCGCGACGACGACGACGACACAATCGCAGGAGCAGCTCCGCGCGTCATTTCGCAAGCGCGTTGCGAAACACGCAGGTGGCAGCGCGTCCCCACGCGCGCGCGCGCGCGCATCAATCGTCCCCGTTTCGCGGTACGCCTTCTAGAAAGTGCGTTCTACGGACGCGCGAAAAATCCGGACGCCTGCGAGCCGCGAAAGCGGCGGGCTGGGCGACGACTTTCCGATCGCGTGGAAAACGGCGTGGTGCCGTTCGGTCGGCCGTTGCAGTGACGCTGATGGTGCCGTTGCAGGCGATGGCCCAGGCACGATAGTCGTTCGAGTCGGCAACAATCGGCCGGACCTCGGCACGAATCCAATATGCAACAGATTCACGGGTCCGTTGGAGGAGGGCCAGCCGCTGTTCCTGCCGTGCAACCCGCCGATGCCGGGTGCCTTCGTGTCCGTGCACCTCGAGTCCGCCTCGGCGAGCCCTCAAGCCGTGCAGCTGTCGCTCTGCGAGGCCTTTGTCTACACCGACCAGGTAATTGCAGCAGCTTCTCGTTGCCGCCGCGGGGCTCGCGCGGAGAGAATAAAGGGTGCCGCGCTGCTGTCGACAGGCGCTGCCGATCGAGCGCTGCCCGCAGTTCAGGGACCAGCCGCCCGGCTCGACGGCCACCTACAACGGCAAGTGCTACATCTTCTACAACCGGCAGCCGCACAGCTTCCGCGACGCGCTGGGCTTCTGCCGCGCGCGCGGCGGCACGCTCGTCGACGAGAGCAACCCGGCGCTCCAGGGCTTCATCTCCTGGGAGCTGTGGCGGCGGCACAGGTGCGCCCTTCGGCCCGTGCGTCGCGCCCTTGGGCACGGAATACACCGTCGGCATCCTGTTGCAGGAGCGACACGTCTAGCCAGTACTGGATGGGCGCGGTGCGCGACCCCAAGGACAGGACGGTGTGGCGCTGGACCGGCAGCGGCGACGAGATCAGCGTGTCGTTCTGGAGCCTCCCGCAGGGCACCGACGAGGACTGCGCCAGATACGACGGCAGCCGCGGCTGGCTGTGGTCCGAGACGCCCTGCAGCGCGCGGCTCAACTACATCTGTCAACACCGTGAGTGCCGGCGCCCCGAGCCGCGGCTCGGCGCCTGCGGACAGCCTCGCGCCGACTGTGGGATTGTCTGTCGACAGAGCCGAGGGCGTGCGGCCGGCCGGAGCAGCCGCCGAACTCGACGATGACGGTGACGAGTCCGCCGTCGGGCAAGGAGCCGCCGCGTAACTACCAGGTGGGCACCAGCGTGGAGTACAGCTGCGACACCGGAAGCCTGCTGATCGGGCCCGCCCAGCGCACCTGCCTGGACACCGGCTTCTACAACGAGTTCCCGCCGGTCTGCAAGAGTGAGTAACCGCTCGCTCGCCCCCCCCCCCCCCTCCCCCCAATGACCGCCGCCGCTCGTTCACGCAGGTATCGAGTGTGGCTACCCCGCAAGTATCAAACACGGCGAATACACCCTGATCAACGACACGGTCACCTACCTGAGCCAAGTGCTCTACACGTGCGAGGAGGGCTTCGAGATGACGGGTAAGTGGCGGCGCGCCAGTCCGAACCGGCGCGTGCTGTCGCTGAGCGCGAACTTGTTTGTCGACCGGCAGGCCGCGCGCGACTCACCTGCGACATCGACGAGCGCTGGAACGGACCGCCGCCGCGCTGCGAGCCCATCAGGTGCGACCCGCCGCCGCCGGTGGCCAACGCCCAGATCCAGGTGGACGAGATCGACATCGAGGACGCCAAGGCCGCCGCGGCGCCGGCCAACGGCACCGCCCGCAGCCTCTACGTAGGCAGCATCGTCATCTACACCTGCGAGCGGGGCTACAGGCTGATGGGCAATCGGCAGCTGCTCTGCCAGACCAGCGGCTCCTACGACCGCGCCGCTCCCGCCTGCGTGGGTGAGTGCCGCGCGCCCCGCGCGCCCCGCGCGACCGACCACTGACGCGAGCCGCTTGCGCGTTCGCAGAGGAGGCGCCGAGCACGGCGCCCCCGCCGTCGCCGAGGCCCGCGACGGCGCGCGCGCCCGCCACCCGCGGCCGGCCCTCGCTGGCCACCCGAGCGCGCGGCACGCCGAGCACGCCCACCAGCACGCAGCGGCCGACGCCGCGCGCCAGGCAGCCGGCCACGCCCGCGGCGGCCGCCGAGCAGCCGGCCAGCGTGCAGGAGACCGCGGCCAAGCGGCCGAGCGTGGGCCTGCAGCGCCCGGCCGGGCCCGGCCCCAAGCACGACCACGGCAGCGACCACCCGCAGGACAACGAGATCTCCGGCAGCGGCGTGGACAACGCTCACGCCGAGCTCGGCGCCGGCGTGCCCGAGCCCAGCGGCCCCTTCCGCGTGAACCGCGCCGACCAGCCCGGCGCCCACCAGGCCAAGCTCAACCTCGGCGCCGTGATCGCCCTCGGCGTGTTCGGCGGCTTCGTCTTCCTCGCCGCCGTGGTCACCACCGTGGTCATCCTCGTGCGCAGGTAAGCCGGCCGAGCGCCCGCTCGCGCCCCCCTCTCTGTGGCTGTGTCTAATCGTGTCTGTCGCCCCCCCCCCTCCACTCGGCCCTCGACGCGCGCGCGCGCCTCCACGTCGCATAACTCACTCGCCTCCTCCCGCTTGCGCCACTAACCGGCCGCGCTCGCTCGAGAGCCACTGCGAGGACCACCAGGAGACTAATGCTGACTTGTTGCAACTGTTGCGCGCGCTGGTCGATCGTGGGGATGTTCCGACGGCGCAGTGGCAGCGAGGCGGGCGGCAGCCTTCACCGAGGCGCTCGCGCCCGAGGACGCCGGCGGGCCCGCGGCGAGGGTGGCGTTGGTGCGGCGGGCGGCGGCGGCGCCGGCTGCGCCGGACTGAGCGAGGCCACGGCCGCGGGCGCCATGCCGTCCCGCTGGTACACCCTACTCGCCCTGCCCTTCCCGGACCAGCACCTGGGCCGCCGCGACCTCACCACCAACGCCAGCCGCGCGCGCGGACATCCCCACGATCATCCCTACTCGTTCAGCCTGTCGGCGGCCCATCGTGCTGGATACTTCTCCAACCCCTCCCTCTAGGCACGCTTCTGTTTCTTTCTCTTTCGTCTCGCGCGACGACACCTCTGCCCACGCGCTCTCACAAGTGTCATCTCGTTTTCTTCTCGATCGCATGCTTGCTCGAGATTTTTGCGAAGCCATTTCTTCTACGTCTGTTTTTTTTTTCTTTCGTTTTTCTTTCGTTCTTTTTTTTTTCGTCCTTCTTTCGCTTTTGTATTTTCGAAGCCCATTCGGAGAGGATTTCGTTCGTACGCTCATTGCCAAATTGTGCCATTACTTTCGTCCGTTCTGTCGTCGATACACAAATTCCACTTCTCTCGTAATTCAACTTTGATAGTTCCTAATTTTATACACGTAGCGTATACTTCGTACATGAGTTTTTTTGTACGTTCTTCTGCATTGCTCAGTAAAACCGTTATGTAAATAACACACGCGTAGCGTAACAAGTACGAGTACCGTAGTTTTTAATCGTCCTCTTTTCTATTTGTACAAAATAAATAATCGTCACGTTCGATTGAAAAAATAAAAGGAGAAACGTTACCATCTATGTATACAGTGAATACTCATTTGTCTAGGGATTTCTAAAACGAGCGAAAGAGAAAGAGAGAGAGAGAGAGAGAGAGATAGTGAAGTAGATAATACGTTGTTGTTGCGAGAGAATTGTCCCGTACGCCACCCTCGCGCGGCCGCAATAAAAAAACGTAAAGCTAGTCAAGGTAACGTTGCCCTCTATCTTTCTTTCACCCGCACGCACGCACACACACATCGCACACGTATTTTTTTTTTCTTTTTTTTTTTATGTACGCTCTCTGCACCGCAATGCACCCTCGTACTTTGTTTTTCCTCACTTCACTGGCTGCTGTGCGCTAATGTTCTTGTTGTTTTATTCTCCTCTCCGCTGGAGCACCGTCTGCACGCGCTGTGTGAGTCGAGAGAGAGAGAGAGAGAGAGAGAGAGCGAGTTGCGATTGTTACGAGCCGAGGCTCTAAAACCAGAGACGGTTAATGGTCCTGCGCCCGAGGAATTAAACCACCGCGTGCGCTTGGTTTATCCGGTTAGTTCCCGATAAATGCGAGAAGCTTGCGGAACGCCCGTTCGAACTGTCGCTATCCCCGGCGCGCTTCGACGCCGGCATTAGACGCGCACGGTCGAGACGACTCGTTTGCGATTCAAATCGAGCGCGCGCTCTCGCGAGAATCTATTGTCCTCCCAAATGGACGTCGTCGGCGAGGTGTTAAACTTATCGGCCGGCTCTTTCCCGGACAGCGATTTACGAGCTTCCCTCTCTCTCTCCCTCTGCTCTCCTCGCGCGTTATGCGACGACGCGCATTCAGGAGATCAGTGTTTTTGTTGCGGTCGACGCCCGGCGACGCTTACGAGCGTGAAAGTTGGCTTCCCCGCTTGAATTTACCGCGACGACGAGAGAAACGACGGGGAGCCGAGAGATTTTCTTCTGTCTTTTCGCACCGTGCAACGCGTCACACGGTCCGCTGCCGCGGCAAGATTGATCGTCGCGAGTGGCGCGCGCATAAATCGAGCGCGGCGCGGAACGACTCGGCCAACGGCGCTCGTCCGCAAGGTCGCGACGACACTGCATCCGGGGAGGGAGAGATGATTTTCAATCGCGTATGCACGCAAAGGCAACACGACAATATCACGTATATGCATCTCCGTATACCACAATGTATCATGTAATTATCGACCGGGCTTCTCCGCGGGGAGAGCGAACGAATCGGCAGGGCCAAAACGTGTTCTGGTGCGATTTCAGGAGCCGCGGCCGAGGGAGCAAGCACTACCGCCACCGCGCCTCGCCGGACTGCAACACCGTCGCGAGCTTCGACAGCGGCTCGTCGGGCAGTCGCGGCGGCCTGAACCGCTACTATCGGCAGGCCTGGGAGAACCTCCACGAGTCGGCCGGCCAGAAGGGCAACGGCAGCGTCAGCCACTCGGCGCTGAGGCGCAAGGAGACGCTGGACGAGCCCGGCTACCGGGACAACTATCGCAACGAGCGCGACGGCTCCGAACTGGTGGTCAGCGACGCTTACAAGAGCAACGGCAACGCCCACGCTGCCAACGCCGACAAGAAGAGACACCACCATCACCACCACCATCACCACTCGAATTATCAGCAGTCGCACCACAGATACTGATCCCGGTGATCCATTGTTTTTTTTTCTCCGTCTTCTTCGCAACGTATTGACTAAACCGTCATGTCTCATCTCTATCCCTCTTTCTGTTTTTCTTCTCCGCGTTGTAAATATTTCGATGAATATTAATTATTGCATATATTATTAATTAGGTCGATTCCGTTTTTCGTCATTGATATGTTTCATTGTTATACACACTCGTGTGCGCGTTTATGCGAGTGTTGAGCGCGGACTGGTCGGACGACATGCCAAAAAGCACACAAGAGTTGATATTATATTATTTTGCTTGCTGACGAGTTTTCACGTATATAGTATATATTGTGTCAGCTTAAACAGATATCGCATAATATATATGTTAATGTATTAATGTATGTACATCAAAACGGGATGTGTCTTTTTGTCTTTCATTATCGGCTATATTAATCAAATTGTTATACGAACGGACAGACACGAGTTCAGTATAGATATTGTTGCAATTTTATGCTATCCATCCAGTGTATTATGTAATCCACTTTTATCTTCCCCGAAGGTTTTCGTCGACCCATTTGTGTAGCGTTTTCAAGACTCTTTACGGGCGTTTTTACAAAACTTTATCTCATTATTTGCGAAGAATTATTTATGACTGGAATGGACATCTTGGCCTTTCCTTATAAATATATTTTTTAAAAAACGGAATTGATTCAATTTTCACGTATAAAGGAGAGGCCGACGTTATCCATTTCAGTCACAAAATTACATAATTATAGTCTTAAGGGAACAAAAAGAATCTGACGAGAACATAATTTTTATTAACTTTTATGATTTTATTTACGTCTAGCACTGTTACTTTAAGATAATTATAATAGAATTATCGTATTTCAGAATTGCAGAATTACTTCATTTTTTCGTGTCATGAAATTCAAATTATTTTTCTCTTCCTTCGATAGCTTACATATTTTATTAGAAATGCGTGACCTGTTCTATTACTAGATTTATAATACTTAAAACTTTCCTCTGTATAAAACTTACGAAAAAACTGTTGGCAACTTGTACATGGTAGTGCCATTAACGGCAATTTCAATCGTTTCCGATTTTCTTCGAGCAGTTCTATGTCTATTGCTCAATATACATATGTACTTACTGCATGAGATGATAAGGTATAGGTATTATTATATATGTAAAAAACAAATTATAAATATTTTAAGAAATAAATAAGATTTTAAAACTATGAATGCCTTTTACATTTTTTTGCCAAAAAATGAAGTTGATAACTGTACGGACTTCAAAATATTTTTAATTATGGTACATTGAAAATTAAAATGAATACATTGCCACTTTCATACTTGCTTATTCAACTTATTTATAGTAAAAACACTATATATATCATAATACATTTATTAATTTATCAATAATCACTCAAAGTGACCATTACATTTGTCTTTTTATGTAAACAAATTTTCAAGCAAAATAACTTAGCTACCTTTTCATTTTTAAATACTTCCCACAACTGAGTGATTATTAGGACTGCCAATAGAAACTTTTATCAATTTCATTGACTCTCTCAATTTGTCCACTTTGACTAAAAAAATTGATTTTTCTTTTTCTGTCGTCAAATGATCACCTCCACAAAGTTTCAACAAATACAAAAAGTTTTTCACACTTGACAAAATATATACTCTTTCTTTCAAGATTGTTGGTGTTGTTTTCGAAAAGATATCAGGCATCTCAGCTATTAAATTGCTATATAACTAAAAAGTACAATAATTTTGAAATAAAACATACATCAAATTGTGAAAGCTGTAATAATGGAGCTTTTTTTATAGAATTTTCCTTGAATTTCTTACCGAATCATTAAGAAGATTGTATGAATTTTTCGTAATAAAATTGACTAGGTATTGGTCTTTTTCTTCATCCCAATTATCTTCCAAAAGAGGGGAATGCATCAACATACTGTAAGTCTTATATCTAATATCTCTTTTATCATTATCAACTAAAATACAATAAATTTTAAATGAAATTAGCATTGAAATATGCTCTTTTATTTATAAACAATGAATGTATTTAATAACGACAACAGTTAAATTTTTCCTAACTTACACTTATTTGGTATCAAAATTGTTACATCATCTGTTTCTTCTGTTTGTATTGTTAATTTTCCATTTGTTTGTTCCTTTTCTTTTTTAATATTTCTTTCCATATCATATTCATCATCACTTGTAACTTGATCTAGTTCGTTTTGGATTTAAATATTGGAAATATTTTTATTAAACAATAAAATGAAAATAATCAAATAATTTGTAAATAGTAGCAAATAAAAACTTAATTCAAGTATTTATGATTAAGTTAATGTATATTTGAAAGAAAGAATGAAATTTACTATTTTCCGGAGATCTGGGTGAAGATATATCATCGTCATTGATCACATCATAGTTTGCATCTGCTGATGGATATGGTGATGGAGCAAGAGCTACAAATAAAAATGAAATAAAGGAAGCTTTCACTTATTAAATTGTTTCAGATACTTGATAATTAATTATGTACTTATGATTTCATTTTTTAATTTACCTAAGTCTCGTTCTTCCGATCTAGATGAACTGCGCGACAGTCGTAACATCTTTGAAGGACGACACTCAACTTGTGTTAATGTATTTATATCTATTTCTATATCTAGAAATAGAATGAATATGACTATGAGTTATGTTATATGTGAAAATTGTCTAAATTTGAATATTTTGAATCAAACAGGGTTCAATGATAATTACAAAATATTTTCACTAATTATAGCTAAATTTTGCTAAATAAAATATCTTCAAATATAAGATTACTGCAAGTATTTTGAACAATTACAAAGAAACATAGTACTCATCAGTTTTAATTGTCAATTATCCTAATGATAATTATAAAAAGGAGTCAAAGGAAGAAATAATTGTATTCCTTATTCGAACCAGCAAATTGAACTAAGATTGACACTTTTTATGAGACAATATTGTATTGTACTTACCTCTTTTTAGATTACCAGGGGCCATTGAAAGATTGACGAATTGCATAAATTGTTTACACATATCTCTTCTATTGTGAATAAACCATTGTTTCAACCTAGATAAACATCAGTAGTATTTTATAATGCCTTTTTCAGTTAGCAAATTAATAAAATACATTTGATAAAAAAATTATATCAACAATAATGCAACTATAAAACATACCTTAGTGCTTCATATTCAGGTGTGTTTAATTCCATTATTGTCTCTGGTAATGTAATCACAACCAAACGATTTTGGACTTTCATTATTTTAACATTTTTTAAAGAAATAACATCGTTTACTTCTATATCTGTACCATTTTCAGCATGTTCATTGCGAAGAAGCAATCTTATCTACATTCATAATGATGCATTTAATGAGCAACAAATTATGACGAATAGGCTTATTTTACTAACCATTGTAAATGAATCATCATAAATATATAAATCTCGAATAGGTAGTGATTCACATTTATCGTCACTATTGCATCCTATTTTGTTAGTATATCTTAATTCTCCTATCTTTGCAACAATACCTACTAAATCTGGAAATCAATAAAATGAGATTCACTGTGTAAAATCATAACTTGATATGCACTTGATTAAATTCAGGATCTCACCTATATTTACATTTATTATACGGTGATTTCGTTCAAAATCGTTGAATCTCATTGACTCCATCATCTACTTTAAATAAAAGCTATGCAGTATGTAGATAAAAATGAAAAATATATCGCAATTACGTAATGACGATCAGAATCCAAAAAATTTTATACAACAAACATTTTAATAACGATCGTGACAAATATGGTGGTTACATCTGAAGAAATACATATAACCGATAGTTACACACACTGACATACTTTCAAATACCAATTAGTAACAACCTAAATTGAATTTTATTGTTAATTATTAAATCATTCTACACAATTTTACGTTTTTATTCATTATACACGGTATCCATACAAACAAAAATGTAGTCTCATGTCACATTGGTTATTAAATGGTCCAAAACGACAATATTTGGATAAGACAAGAATGTAAACAAAAACTAAATTTTCTTTGTAAAAGTTACTATGAATTAGGATTTTTAGGAATATTTTTATCTGAAAGTTACTGTACTTTTGATTGACTGATATATGATATATTTACCTGTAGATCAGACCATAATTAAATTAATTTTGTTATTCAAATAAATAAAACAAAGCACAAATACCAAATAATTAATAATAAAATATAAAATAATTAATAATTTAATTAATTAATTAATTCGACAATGAAAGGAAGTAATTTTAGTTTGTACTAAAAACTTTCATGAATAGTTTATTCTTTAATAAGTAAATGTAATAAATAATAGACAATCGATTTTAAAAAGAACGCCATTTATTAAATTTTTATAAAAATATATACACGTTAGATCATTACAAAATTTATTTTAAACTTTTATTCTCCAATTGATTATTGAAACAATCTCACATGAATAATAGAAAGTGTTATATGCTGGTTTAATAGTATTAAAAATAAATTAATTAGTAATAAACTTTTTCTTCAAGCCACTGACCAATTAACTGTCCCACTTGTTTTCTTGCTTCTACCAATTGTGGCAAATCATTTTTGGATGGTGGATACATATTCGCGCAATGAGCAGTACCTGGAGTAAGACGTTTTTTCTAAATAATTGTTATGCAATAATTAAAAAATAGAATTTACCTTCAATATAAATAGCAGGAGCGCTTGGATTGCTAGATTTGGTGATTCCTAATGCATGCCATGGATCAATGCTTCCATGAACGAACACGACATTTGATACAACGTTGGCCAACTCGAGTGCTCCGTAAATAGTGTTGGTGCGCTCTACTCCAATCTGCGCCGTATGCGCGAATCTGAAAAATTAGTTGAAAAAAATTAAAAATTGACAGCATCAATGATGTTTTTTCAAACTGTTTAATACCAACCGTGGACCAAAAACATCAACACATTGGTGTAAGAAAAAGTCAACAGGGAAAGTTTCACTGAATAAGTTAGGCCTTGCTGTTGAAGTTTGGAAAAAACCAAATTCTGTGCACGTTTGATAGAACCACTGGCGTCCTATGAAGCAAGAAAAATCTTATTCAAATGTTCTTCAAAAATATCTTAAAAATACAGAAATATAATTCATTTTACCCCCAGCATTAGACTGTTCAGTCCAAGTTATATTCCTAAGTTTTTCCACCATTTTATTGTACTTGTAGTCTAGACACTTCTCTTTATTTTTCTTCAATAACATATTGCTTACTTCAGCAAGTCTATTTACAGGAACTCCTTTCTTTTCATCAACCAATACATCACAAATCATATCTATGGTGATGGTACTTTCGTTACGATTATCTTTGTTGTATTGCACAACATCAGCAAAATTATCAGCAATAGTTTCATATAAATTGGCAATATCCTTATATGATGTTTTTCCTGAGTCAATTGGATCACAGAAGCTGGAAGTTTAATAATTTTTGTAATGTGTTGTTGAATAAAATTAAAAAATGTCATCAACAAAAACTCACTTGAAAAGTTGTTCCAAATTTTTCTGACCAAGAGGATGACGTAACATTATGTGAACTTGATTATTGGCTGCTGCTACAGCATCAATACAGGCTTGAGAATGAGTTTTCAAGGATTGTTCAACAACAACAAAATATTCTGTCATGTAAAAATATATATATTATGAATAAAGACAGAAAAATTACAGATCAAAAATTATATTACAAAATTACCATAAAAACTAAAAATGTACTAACCCTGAAAGTCAATTTTAGCTAGCAGAGGGCCACTTGCAGACACAGCACCATGTACAAGATGAGGATACTTGAAACGCATCCAAGCAGCTAAGGAACCAGAATAAGAACCACCAAACACAATCCATTTCGTACCATTGGGCATATGACGATCTGTATTCATTCCTTGAATAAAGTAAGCCAAATCAGCTAAGGCTTGCTCAGAGTTTAAATATACAAGATTCTTAACACTTAAGTCCCTGAAAATTTTTATCGATGCAAGTTGAATTTTTAAAATAGAGAACATAAGTTTATAATTATTGTCATTTTTTTAGACATACGAAGTTGGGTGACTCATTCCATAATAGCGGTGCTCCAATAAGAAACACATGGCTCCAAAATGCTTGGCATACTCAATCATTTGTGCTTCAACCAACCATTTAGCACTGGCTGGACCTTCTCCACCAATCTGTAGAAAAACAGGTCCATTCGGTTTGTAGTAGGCATCATTCATAAAGAATCTCTGAAAAAATAAATTTTGTGCAAGGATCAATTATTTTACCAAAGAAATATTCACTGATTTAATCAATTATGAGAATTTTTATAAACCTGTTTCCAAACTCTTCCTTCAACAGCATTAAAGTGATCCAAGTGCTGAGTGAACCACTGCTCCTTAGGAAGATCAGTGGATGATGTGATCCTTGGTTCACCAAGATTGCCATTCTTAGACCTACCCCTTACGAAATTACGCCATGCCACTCCGTAACTGATCAGAGCAATGAAGATCGTGAAAGTAAAAATCAGTTTCATCTTCTTGAAATTTTACGAGCGATTGAATTTCTTCAAAGTTGGATTTGATCTGAATGACCTACAAAGTGATTTGACGAAACGTGGTGATTGGTCAATCTACTCAAACGGATATAATATCGTGTTTGCGATAATGAGTAATCTAGAAGGATTTCTACTCGTCTCTTCAGATAATTTCTCAACAAAAAGACATTCAAGAGGAAACTATTTTTGATTTATTTAAATTGTTTCGTTATAACAATTTGATATAATTGAAAATTCAAAGCCAACTAATAAGCGACAATTACTAGTTGAGATAAAAAATCTAATACGGTAAACAATAATTCAAATTAGAACAAACAACGAAATTTCGTTGCAATTAAAATACCTATGTGAATCGCGCGATGTAACCTCAACGGTCTTGGAAAACTGACTGAAAAGATGCGAGTAATTAAATCTCCAGCAAAACCTCCAACCAACAAATTTGCTCTTCAAACTCTTAAAGCTTCCTATGTAAGATGCTGTATATGTACTCGCTTTTGTTTGTCGTTCGTACTTACACTTTCCGAGTGCCGACTATGCTATAGCTGCGGTCAAAAACAGAGCGGCGGCAATAGCAAATAACTTGCACCGCCGCGCCGACTGTGTATTTGTAATTTTAGCGCGCCTGCGCAATGACTTTACACAAACGTATTAATAGTATTAAGGTTTTGTTACATCGACAAAATCTGTAATGGTTTGTTTACACTACTAATTTAACTAATATAGACTCTGATTATAGATTCCTCGATCGTCTGCATGTTTTACTTAAAAGATGTTGGAATCTACATAAATGGTTAGCTGCTTATTGTTTGGAGTTTGTGGAAACAAAATTTTATAAGTTATGATAAAATTGACAATAAAGTTCACCATTGAATATGTATACGCATAATGTTCTACGATTTATATATAGACTTGAACGGAACTTCATAAGACGGATGTATATAATTTATTTGAAAATTTGAATTGCTAAGGAACTGTGTCTTATCGATTTGTTAAAAACTTTTACTTAAACGTATAACGTAATACAAATACATTAATATAAAGATATACAATGTTACTTACATTGAAAATAAAAACTATTTAAAAAAACTATATATATATATATGGTTTTTCTTTTAATAGTCTTTTAATTTTCTTTTCTTTAATCTTGATGGTAGACTAATAAAAATAAAACAACGAATACATGAGATGAATACGTAAACAAATTTAATAATATTTAATAAATCGAACTTTCAGTGACATACAGCCATTTTTTGTACAAGGTGAACTTCAACTTAAACAGTATCAGCTGATTTAGTTGCGACAAGAAAATAAAATATCGCGTTATGACATCAACAAATAATCAAATTAAAATGAAAAATGGTGAATATTTACAAAATAACTAATATCGTTTCTAATTCATTTATTAAAAATATAATATAAGAGCATTTTATCTAGAATTAATTTTAGATAAAGATTCTAAGACAAGAGTGTCACGCAGTGGCAGAGTTTGTAAAAAGTCATCAAAGTTGATGTATTTGGATGCTACTAGTGGAGACATCAAAAAAATTAAAAGTAGTAAAACATTACAACAAAGCAGTTCGTCAAAGAAAAAATCAAACATTGAGAATGTTGATATACATAACCAAACTCAATCTACGAAAATTAGTCAAGTCATCAATAAATCACAAAAAAAGAGCACTAAAAATAATAGTAAAGATTTAAAAAATGAATCAAGTGTTGAAACAATGGAAACAGAATTACCTAATATTGAACCACTTAATGATACATCTGTTAACATACATCTTAATATTGAAAAACAAATTCAACAAACTAAAGAATCTTCTCAGGTCAATTCATCAACCAGTTCAGATTCTGAAACTTATTCAGCTCTGAGTAATAATGAAATAGAAACTCCAGATTATACTAGTTACGATGAAGAAAGTGTCAATTCTGATGAAGAACTCCTTCTATCCAAAAATATTACCTCCAAACCAGGGCATGCAAAATTACATCCAAATATGCTACCCAACAATCCACCACCAGCTGCTACTTCGGTAATATTCTTCATTTCTTTGTTTAGTTTTGTTAGATTTACAGATATCTTGTATAATTTGAAAGGTTTATTTTATTACAATAAACAATATTGAAATATTATTGGTTTGAAACAAACAGAATATATTATAACTAAATAATGTTTTTCAGCAAATGGTCTATACTGGGTATGAATTATGGTCTAATGAAATGAAGAAAGAGATACTAAGAAAATATCCAGCTATAGGTGAACTCCTCATCTTTAATAATAAGTAATGATTTGAAATATGCAAAATTTTATAATTTCCTATTAAATGTTCAAACTTAACATTCTTAGTTTTTATGGAACCTTAAGAACAGATAATGTAAGAACTTGAAAGAACTATTGAAATTTTGATCTGTTATATATGAATCATATGTCAACGTGAGAAAATGTATCAAAAAATTGATTGAAGAATTTTTTTTGTAGATATAAATGTTTTGAATGTACGGCTTGGTGAAATGTGGATTAGATTGTCAACCATGGAGAGAAACAATTGGCATTCACGGGCTCGTGTCTTGGCACAAAAAAATGGATCTCAAAACAAATGTGTAATGGGTACATTGAAAATTACATAAAATATTATATTTGACAAGGACAATACAGATGCTTATAAATTACAGATTACAAAACTTCAGCTTGGTTAAACTCATGCAGTAATAATTCAGTTCAATTTGGTCAACCCTTTATTGATGCAAAATTAAGAAGCATAGAATTAGAACCCATAGATGTTGCTGCTTATCTCAGGTTGTTAGGAGAAAGTTTGATGCTGATTGGAGGTCAATTACAACAACGTAAAAGGCCGGTAGTAACATCTGACTGTATCACAGTTTTGTTGGATTCACTTCTATGTGCTATGGGTAGTCTAATATGTTTAACACAGCAAGTACCACTTTTGACAACTGAAAAGACTGCTATTTTGAAAAAGACGTTAGAGAATATCGCATACGTAATGCCGGGTTTGTAAGAGAGTATCGTGGTAAATGTTGGGTTTAAAAACTTATTAATCTATTTTTTTTAATTCTGTTCTTGTAATTTTAGTTTATACGCTCAAAAAGTATTTATTTCTTCATTATCTGTTTATTGGTATGTTTGTAGTTAAAAAACTAAGTGTTGAATAAATAAGAAAGGACGCGTTTGTTCCAATGGAACTTGAAGAGAATTTTACTTTCATACTAATTTTCGAATAGAACGATCGCGTTTGAGAAACTTTGTCACTCGCTTTTCAATTTCATTATTTCATTCGGCATGTATCCATTATCACTCGGGTATCTCATTTGAAATCAGCTGTTCTCATAAATCTTACCGCAGTCTCCGCTCTTTCGATAAAAATATTCATACACAGTCACGCAAAAAATCCATTAACCCTGCGCGCCTTTGCCCCCCCCCCCCCGCCCTATCCTCGAAAAAGAAAATCCAATTAACCGCCAAAATAAGTAGCGGAGCGCAAGCAGACGGAAATTTGGTAGGAAATGAAGATGCATGCAGCAAGAAGAAGGGAAAGAAAAGAAAGGGGAAAAAATGAGATTTCGGTCGCGTACCCACTTCTCTTCGGTCGTCGTGTGGTACGTGCACATACAATGTGGCTGTCGGAGCGTGCACACGTGTATTGTGCACGAGCTAAACAATGAGTGCAGCCAGCAGCCGGGCGACGCGACTCGCTGCTTCGTCATGCGCGATCTACGAGCGACGTATGCCCCGATTCGCTGATGCCTAATGCACGATGGATTTCGAGGCAGCTACTATAAACTAGACTCGCCATTGTGCATGTAGCAGCGTGCATCTGCTTGGGCGCCGCATTGCTAGCTTGTATGTGTGTATGCGTGTGCCCACTGGTTTATAATTTTACGAGTTAGCTTGCTGCGGCTAAAGTACGCTTTGCAGGCGGAAACTTGAGCCGCGAGGTATTTATAAGTTTTTGATGCCTACTTTGTATAAGTAAGTCGCCCTTGCGGCCGCTGCATTATGTTTCCAGCTTTATACGTTTTTAGCTTTGCGTACTATGTCGGGATAAATCTTTTGACTCGGAACCTTTCCAGTTTGTTTATTAACAAAATGCCGGTCTTGATTAAAGATGAATTGTTTATCCTTTAATCTGACTGAATGTAGTATTCAGCCAAATAGTAGTTGCAAATGGAAATAAGGATAAAAGATGTATCTTGGTCTCTCGTCCGTCAAATATTGCCACAGCGAAGTATCGCGTTGACGTGCTTGTAAAAACAGAAAAAAAAGACCCGTGATTTGATCGACATGTCAATTATGACAATTAAACGACCGTTCGTGAGTAACAACTACAGCGGAGAATCGCGAATTGTGACAATGAAACGTTTCCATCCGAGGTGTTCCTCGCAGACGGCGAGCCCAAATCGTATAATGCAACGCAGACCAAATATGCTTCTCCGTGGTGAAGGATATCCGAGCGAGGCCCGTCGAACTGGGAAATTCGTAAAATCAAACATAATGCTCCATACAGCGTTAATATAATACAGGTGCGAGAGAGAAAGCGGCGAGAGACGTGGGGGAGAGGGAGGGCGTAGCTGCCGCCCGCGTCTATTATTGACGTGCTCATCCATCCATTATCGACGAGCAGCTTTTAGTGGATCTGAATTCTGAAGGGCCATTGTATAATCACTTTGAAGTTGCGGTTACTTCGGCTATATAAGTTTGCGTAACCCGCACAAACAGCAGCGCCGAGAGAGAGAGAGAGAGAGAGAGAGAGGAGAGAGGAGAGAGAGAGGGAGAGAGAGAGAGGAGAGAGAGAGAGAGAGAGAGAGAGAGAGAGAGAGAGAGAGAGAGGAGAGAGAGAGAGAGAGAGAGAGAGAGAGAGAGAGAGAGAGAGAGAGAGAGAGAGAGATAAGATACTCCGGGCAGAGAGCGAAAGCGCATGCATTAGAAAAATTTTTTCGATTTTGCCTTCCATCCCAGCTTCCCCGGAACCTTTCGCCTTGATGAATAACTTGCGCGTCGCGAGGAGCTCGTTTTTCGCGGCGCGCCGTTGTTTATTAAGTTTTTGTTCCGTTTCGCGCTCGGCAATGTGAGTTTAATATTAATAAGTCGAGCGGAGCGACGTCTTCTCTTTCCTTTTGCGACTTTCAGCTATTTGTTTTTTTCTTTCGCTTGCAACTACGATGTCAGTTGGAATTTAATCGAATTCTTTTACCGAGAGCAGCGAACTTTGTTGAATATCGTAATATCGTTCGTACATAATTATAATGGATTATGCTGTTATGAATTTCGCGCAAATTGAAAACAGTAATCCATTATTGCAATTTCAATATATGATTTCTAATGTAAACTAGCTATTAAAACATTATGCGTACGAGATCCTAGATTTAGTGTATAGAATTGCTATGGAATATTAATGTTGCAAGCAAAAGTGCGACTGGTAATTATATAGCTGTTAAAATGAACGTATTAATTTCACATACCATTACGTAAATATCCTAATGATTAATTTAAAGCAAATGGTTATGTGCAAAGAAAAAATACACTATCGCGTGACAATTGCAAAGTATCGCGAAGATAAAAATTGCATTTTTTCTTTGTTTGACAATTATACGTTGATTCGAAATTACTTAGTCCCTAAATTAACGATCGCTTTGTTTTTAGAGAGCAAAAAATCATCTCATCTGAGCAGAGCAAAAAAATCTCTCATTATAAAAAAAGAGCAATCGGCCACCAGATACTTTAATCCTTTATTGCCGTCTATCTATAGCTTTGCCTATAGATCTATATATATGCGCAAATTCCGTACTCTATTATCTCGCGTTTATTGATTTATAAGATCGACCCTCTCATAATATCAAGAGTCTGTGTTTAATTAGTATTCGCGAAACCAGGTCTGACATGTCCCGAAATAAAAACCGAAGGCTCATATCCTCCGTTATCAAATCAAATTTCAAATGATTTTTAGATATGACATGATTGCACAAACATTTCTGTAAAATTATATTATAACGTGTAGCGGAGCTGAGAGACTACTCACTAAAGGTATCATGAAAAATTAGAAAAATTTGATTATTTGCGGGTTCCCTTCTGGGATGCTCCAAAAACAAGAATGACAAGGAGGACGACGTGAACCAAGTTAACCGAAACTGGAGCACAAAAAGCTTCTATTATTCCGACGTTTCGGACTGGCCGACGATCCGTCTTCAGGGCTGTAAACGTTTACAAGAATAATGCATAAATCCAAAATTCGTACTTTTTCCATGACTCTTATGTGACTCTTAGCGATGCATCGATCGCTTAAAACGCGGAGTTGATAGTTGAGATTTTCGCGTTTTTCGCACGTCGCTTTCTCAGAAATCATTAATTTTCATTAAAGCACGTTTTTTCGATTATAGTTCTCTCGTGCTCTAATTGAACGCAACTAGATTCACTCCTGCAAGTTTCGAGGTTTATCGAAGAGATGTCACAGTCTTCGAAGCATTTCACTGAGATGACGAACGTTTTCACTAACATTTGAGCAAACTAATGAGATTCATATTTTTGAAAATTGAGCTGTGGAATCGCTCGCCACTTTTTACGAAAAATGCGCGTCACCTCGGGCTCGAAATCTTATAAAATCACATAAAAATCGCGAAGAAAAGAAAAAAATTCGACAAGACTCTTGGACCAGGCAGCGGATAATTACCATAAAAAACAGCGATAAATTCCAGCCGGCAGCGAGCTCGCGCAAAAACGACGAAATCTCATCTCGCACGCGCAGTCACAGTTGTCAGAGAGAGAGAGAGAGAGAGAGAGAGAGAGAGAGAGGTGCGCGGGTAGCCGGAGGAAGCCGAAAACCCGCTTGGCAAAAGAAGAAAGAGAGATAAAAGAGAGAGGGCAAGAGAGAAAGAGAAAAAAAAGGCAAGGAATAGGTATGCGCACCACCCTCATGTCGGACGCGTGCGGCGCACGCTTACGCGAGCCGGAGGGAACACCTGCTCGAGCCAGCTGCCGCGCGAGGCGCCTGCTCGCGGCGCGTCCGCCGCGCGGTATAAAAAGCCCTACCCCTCGTCGTGGCGAGCTCCAGTTGCGCGCCACGCGTCCCCACGAACGCACACCCGGCCCGCCGCGATCATGCAGCCTCGCCTTGCCGCTCCGCTGCTGCTGCTGCTGCTGCTGCTGCTGTGCCTCTGCCTGGCCGTGCGAGCTCAGGACGACGACCTGGCGAGCAGCGTCAAATTTCTGCAGGAGCAGCTCGGTGACCTGCTCAACCATCGACAGCAGGACTACGACGCGCTCGAGCTCAGCCTCAAGCAGTCCATGGAGAAGAACACCGAGCTGCTGCTGCTCAGGAACGAAGTCAAACAGATGAGGTACGCTCTTTCCATTTGCAACGCCTCCAATAAAAGCGCGACGAACGAACGACAACGTCTTTTGCTCGGCGCGCGTCCCTTTGACGCTCCGGGAATCGCAATTAATTGTCATTGAAAATGCGCGCCGTATTGACCAAGCGCACACAAGTAGCTTTCTCGATATTACGCACTGGCAGTCAGCCCGACGACTCGCAATAGCGTAATGGAAAAAGCTCGCCGTCCGCCTCTCGCTCGCCCCATCAATTGGCAATCAGCGCGCATACGTGAAACGAAAATCGCGCGCCCCGCGACAAACGCTCGATCTCGCCGAGCGCGGCCGGCGGCTTTGCCAATTAGCAAACACAAAGCCGCTGCAATTTTTGCCCGGTTGAACGTTTCGCTTCTCGCGCTCGCTTTGAGCTTGCTCGCGACTGTGCGTATACGACTGGGCGCCCCGCGCGCGATCTCTACGTCGATTCGCGGCGTACGGGGAAAAAAGCGGCGATCGCGGCACGTGTCTTCTAGGACAAAAGAGACTTTTGTAATTTATAGAAAGAGAGACTCGGCCAGCTGACGTTATATGCAGGCAGCAAACAACAGCTGCGGAGTGTCGGTTTCGGGGCCGCTTTGCTCGCCGAACACGTCCTTCGCCCAACTCACTCTCTCTCTCTCTCTCTCTCTTGTTCACTCGTTCTCCTGCCTTTCTTTATACACACACGCGCACACACATGCACACACGTCACTTTACTCTCTCGGCGCGCCGATCTTGTTCTTTTCGTGCGGCGGGGACTGGCTTGGAAAATATCTTTGCGAGCGCGGGCTTCGAATTACTTATGCGAGCCCAGGCGCCTTTGACGGGCAAATTTTTATCGCCCTCGGGGCTTCGGATCGAGCGCGCTTCGATTTGACTTTTGTAATTCGACACGCGCGATTAACGAGGCGATACTTCGGCAGGAGCGTTTTTACGAGAGCGCGCCCGGCGAAAAACTTTCACGTCGTACAAGCTGCGCGCAGCTGCGTTGGCTCGCTCTGGACTAACCGCCCGCCAACTATATACATCCCCCTCCCCGTTAATCGATAATTCGGCTGCCGTTGTAAATTTGGAATTCAATGCTCGCGAGACAAGACGGAAGTCTAATGTTGCGCGCGCGCGAGCTTTTTCCATTGGCCGCCGAGACGATCGCCAGCGCTGGACGTGGACCTGCGATCGGCCCTCGCCGCGTTATCTGCCGGCGACGCGACTGCGAGCCCTAATTTCAGAGAGTGCGCCGGTTAATTGGCCGACCGCGAGGCGTTGCGGTGCTTCGCCCGGCGCGAATTTCGCCCCGCGCCCCTCCCCCGTGCTTCGGGCGAGCGTCTGCCGTTACCTTGCGGCCTCGCATTCTTCCGCGGATCGTCGAGTTGCGCCGAAAATTAGCGGATCGCGTTTCGTCCCGTCCCTCGGACGCAGCGCGCGATGCGAGCGGCCGAGCTTTCGGCCAGTTTTAACGGGCTTTTGGTGCTCGACTTTCGAAACCTCGCTAATAAGTTTTACGAGCGCGCGCGGCCAGCCGTTAAGCGCGCCACGATCGCCGACGAACGAACGACGCCTCGCGAGCTTGGAAAGCCTCGAAAGAAACGAAAAGAGAGAAGAAGGAGAAATCAGTTTTCAACAAGTTTCAATGAAAGCGCGCGCGGCTGTTTCGCCCGAACTTTCAATTTGCTCTGCTATTTGAAATTCACACCTGCGAAGCCTAACGCATGGAAAGAAAAAAAAAAGAGTAGGGAATTCCAATTCGTAAAAACACGCGAGTGTCCATACAGAAAGTTGAAAAAGCAGCGGCTGTGCCGATAGCCTTTTTTTTTTCTTTTCCAAGCGGCTCGCGCGCGCGAGCGAAAGAGAGATGGAGAGAGAACCAACAGGGTTTCCGCAGACACATAAAAAGGGATAAGCTCGCAGTGGCGGGCGATTATCTTATAGTTGGATCGATCGGAGCCTCGATTCGAACCCGCGCGAATGAAAAAAGCCGAGCCGCTAATTGAGTTTATTTATCATCCTCACTCAGCTGCCGATATTTCCGCGAGGCTCCCTCTCTCCCTCGCCTTTTTTTTTCTCGCGAAAAGTTGGACCCGCAGATAGTTACAGCGCTTTTAACGAGTTATACCGCGCGGCGGTTTTGCAATTTGCAAGTCGAACGGAACACGCGGCCTAATGGAGAAGTTAGCTCGCCTCGCTTTCGTGCGCATATACTTGCGCTTTAAATTCATTTTCAGCGGCCTTGAAAGGGAATAAAGAAGAAGAAAAAAAATGCGACCCGCCGCGATTTTCGCGCTCCAATCCGATTTTCCCCCTCATCTGGAAGGGAAGCGAGCTTAATTAGCGGATTTCTCGACAGGACTGATTTTTTTTTGCGCGCTCGCCGGCTTTTAGAGACAAGCGCTCGGTAGTGGCAATTGAATTATACGGGAAATTCAATTCTCGCATAGCGGGAGAGAGAGAGAGAGAAGCCGACAGCGGTCGGTCGGTGGCTAATGAAAAGAGCGCATAGGATATGTATTGACACGTTGAAACTGCCGGCACTTGAAAAATGCAAAATGTTACTCGCCGGCCGCGCATTTTCGCCTCCTCGAATCTTTCACGGGCGAATCGCTTTAAAATTTTTAAGCGCTCGAAAACGCGTCGGATTCATACGTACGGCCATCTGCGAGGGAATCCAATAAAATTCAACTTCTCTCTTTTGCCCACGCTACGACTTTGATGCCGCGCGCCTTCAAATATGAAGCGAGACTTTTCTTATTTCGAATTAAACGCCGCGGCTTATCGCCGGGCCGCAAAGTTAATTTGTATCTCGATCGATAAAGAACGAATCCCTCCTCCGTTGTTCGCGCTCGCGATGTTCCAATGGCGCTCGGTGGCACGGTACCCGAGTTTAGTTATGAAATAGGAATGCGAGCAGCGCAGGTTCACACGCGCGGCCAAGATAAAAGCGAGGACGGGGCGAGCGGAGCGTAAAAAGCCCCCGCGGGAGAGCAGGAAGAAAGCATATAAATTTAATTGTATTTCCCCCGGTATATATATATACGCGTACAATCTGCCGGCTGCGATCTCGGAAGTCGTGCGCCAGGGGCCCGCGTAATTATAATTTCGAGCCTGGCTTCCTTCCTACCCGTATGCTCGCGCACCGCTGCACGCGGCAATTTCCTCCGAAAAAAAAGGGAGGGGGCTGAGGCCCGAACCAACGTTTCTCTCAATGTTTACTTTTTTTTCCCTCGCGCGGTACGTTCATTAGCCTCTCTCTCGTGTGAGCCCGCGAGGAAATTTATCATGCCGCTTTCGTACCTGTGCGCGGGTGTTAACGTCAATTATTCAAATTGTATAGGTGCGCAAAGAATTGCGCGCGAAGCTCTATACTCGCGCTTTCCTCTTTTTTTTTCCGTCCGCGTCGCGAGATTCTTTTTTTCGCATTTGCAAAAGCATATCCATTTTCCACATTGCCTTCGCTTCTTTTTGTTTTCGTGTTAAACTCGACGTAGTGAAAAAGTACAGAAACAAAAAAAAAAAAAAAAAACGCTGGTCCGGTAGAGGTACAGAAAAAAACCGCACTCTGGTATAATACTCTGCCCGGAAAAAATCTCTCGTTGAAAAAAAGGAAGGAGAATCTTCATAAAAGATTTGCAGGTATACTCAACGTTAATTAGGCAACAAAAGGAAAAAAAAACAAAAAATTAAGAAGCTCGAGGGAAGATCCCGGCGAAAGATAGAAGGGGGCTTAGCATGATCATACGGGTGAAATGTTCGTTCGCTTTCGCGAGGAGTTGACCATCCGCACCGCGACGACTGGCGATAGCCGCGGCGGCGCAATTGAAAATTACGGGGGCGTAAAGTTCCGGGCGGGCCGAGAGAGTCTTCGCGGCAGATATTTCGGCCGCGCGCGGCGCGGAAAAGCCAAAGTCTTTGGAAATGTAGATTTGAACGGGCGAAAGTCGCGTCATTTCGAGGACTTTACAGCTCGACTGGATGGGGCTGCTCGTCCGCAGTAGCGGCAACAACGCATTACACTCTTTCCCGTGACGTTTTACTTTCGCGATTAAATGCTCCTCCGCTGCGCCGTTACGCGCGCAACGAAAATCCAACGACGTTTGCGCTCCAGTTGGAGGCTTTTCGTAAAGATTGTCAACCGTAATACGTTAGTGACGCGACCGAGTCCCGCGACAATGATAGATTTTCAACGAGCGAGCGGCGAATAATGACTATCGATCGCTTTTTTTGTTGTCCGCTTCCCCTCTATTATTTGAAATCGATATGCGGATAAATATCGGATAATCCAATTTAAATTTGTTCGCAAAATTGAATTGGGTTACAGCTTCCGCTTTATACCATAATAAACGAACCCAACAACTTTATAACGAAAAAAAAAAAATTGTTATCCACGCGATATACGACATTGAGGCGCGCCCCCCGAATTTTTCATCGGAAAATGCATTTTTCAAATTTATAACACACAACCGGATCCGCTGCGCTGCGGGCAGCTCGTAAAAATTGAAACTTCAGTGAGGTCCCGCTCGTAAACGTTTTCTGAAGGAAGGAATTTCGATGGATTTTGCAGGAAAGAGTTGAATAGCCTGCGGAACAGCGACACCTCGACCACCGCGGCCGTGAACGAACGTCTCCGCGTGCGTTGGCTGGGCAACGCAGTGACGGAGCTGAAGAACGAAGTGTCCGAGGTTCTCCGGAGCCGCAACGCCAGCGAGGAGCTGGCCGAGCGCGCGAGGGTCAAGTCCGAGTTGGAATTGCTCCGAGCCGACGTGGCCGGCGTCGGTCGAGGTCTGCGAGATTTCGGCGGCAGATTGGCGAGGCTCGAGGCCGGCTTAGGGAGCGTCAGGCTCGACGTCGCAGCGGTCAAACGCAGCACGGGGCAGCTGTCTCGCAGCTGCGCCGACTTTGCCAGCCAGGTGAGACGCAGCTCGCATTATCTCTATGGAAGAGGAAAAAGCTGCGCGATTTATTCATTGATTTTATTTCATTTTTTTTTTTTTTTTTTTTCGAAAAGAGTATTGTATCCGTCGAATCGGTTTTTCGATCAATTAACCCGGTCCATCGGTTTTCCCTCTCGAACCACTCGTTTTCAATTTTCTCTCTAGAACAAAAAAGATCCCTCTCAATATTCCGCGAGCATTACCACGCGCAAAATCGCACTGGTCAATCGGGGGGAAACGCGCGGTTAGTGAAAGATCCGTCGCGCGCGAAAGCCACTTGTCATTATGAGATTCCGAGAACTGCATAATGTGGAGCTCGCGGCAATATCGTTGCCAGCGACGAAAAGCAGACGGGAGCCTAGCGCGCGTGTATATAAACTGGATACGTGCTAGATTTATCTCTCTTTCTCTCTCGGCTCGTCTTCCTTTCTTCTCGTCTCCCCCTTTTTCTTCTCCTCTCCGCCCGGCCTGCCAGCTGCAGCTGCTTCTGACCTGTCGCGAGACAGGCCCTTCCCTAATTGCAATGCGGCCACGTGGACGAAACGAGACGACGACAGCCGCGCGTCGCGGACACGGATTTTTCCGCGGAGAGAGTCGGTTAGAACGCCGTGGGCGCGATCGGATTCAAATCCGGAGCGACGGCGACGACGTCCGTTCGCCGCGGGCGTGAAGGGGCGACGGCCGAGGAGCCGGACGCGCGGATCCAGCTATGGCAATTTTCGCGCCGAGAAGCACGGCCGGACGAGTCAATTAGAGAGAGAGAGAGAGAGAGAGAGAGAGAGAGAGCGAGAGGGGGAGAGGAGCGTTATCCCTAATTTACATCGGGGCCCGGCACCTGCTCGGCCGCGCGCTCGGCAGCTGTGCCACCTTCCTCGATTCCCCGCTCCGCCGTGGCGGCTCCGACGGAGAAACGAGTTTTTTCGATCGAAATCCGCGCGCGCGCCGACAATCTCGCCGAAAACGGGAACTTAATTAAAGCGCCCGCACGTGCGCTCGCGCGCACGGGGGAGAGAGCGCGCGGACTGCGGATGCTCGGCCGCGAGCGATTCGGCGCGACAGCTGGTCGTCTAGGCGCGCCATTTGTGCGGAAATTCGCGCTCCCTTATTATATCCCCGGCGGCTCGGCTGGCCTCGGAGGGCGACGCCGTCGCGCCTCCGCTCGCGCGGCGGCTCGTCGCGACAATGTGCCATTGTGCGCGCGCGGCCCCGGGGATCGCGGCGGGACGAGAATTGCGGACGCCGATCGAAAGCGGCCGGCAAGACGAAGAATGAGATTGCGTATACGAGCCTCTCCTGCCGCGGGCATCTGCGGCACGCGAGCCTCCCGGCCGTCTCTCTCGCGCGCGCACCTGGCCTTAAAAAACTGCGCCGTAAACTCGCCTCCCCGCCCCCCTCCTGCTCCCCGCGGCCTCGCTTCGTCTCTCGCCGGCCGACCGGTGCGCGCCAGATTACCGAGGTTGGATTCTCCCGGCGCGCGACTGTCCGCATCGCGAGGCGACTCTCGCCTTCGCGTCCGAGCGCGTGCGGGACACAGAGAAGAGGCAGCCCGGGGGGCGCATGTAGGCCACGGCTGCGCCGAGCCGCTCGCGACTCCAATATCGCGAGAGGCCCGTGCCGATCGCGCGCCCGTGCCCCCGCCCGGCGGCCGCTCGAGAGAGCTGCCGACGGGCTCGGGGCGCCTGCTCCATCGGTGCGTTCGCCCGCGCTCGGGAGCACAGGGCGGCGCGGCGGCCGACGTCGATGCCAATCGTCGGCCCGCCCGCCCCGTTCCACTTCTTGGTGTCGCGCGCGACCACGCTAGTCCGCACCGACGCACGTACGCGCGCACAGGCAGACGGCGGGCAAGACGAGCAAAAAACGCGCGCGCACGCGCGCGTCGCCCGAACGAGTCAGCCCCGGCGGCGAGGGATCGATATCGAGCGCAGGGATAATCTCCGGCTCGGGGGCCGCAGCCGTGCAGCCTCGGTCCGCTCTGGCGCGCGGAGCACTATTTTTAAACCGGCGCCGCCCCCCGACTGGGTGTTCAAGCTCCAGTTGCGCTAACCGTCGCCCGTTGCAGCTGAGCGGCGTGCAACGCAAGCTGGCCGACGCCGGAGATGCCGAGGACGCCGAGCAAAACGAGATCGAGCCGCCGCCGCCGCCGCCGCCGCCGTCGCGGCACCGCCGGCGGCACGCGCACTCGCGTCTGGCCCCGGCGCTGCGCCGCCTGGACGCGCGCGTGGGCCGCCTGGAGCGCGAGCGCGGCCCGGCCGAGCAACGCTTGGCGCGCCGGCTGCGCCTGCTCGAGGGCGCCGGCCGCGAGCTGCGCCAGCGGCTGCGCGCCGCCAGCGCCGAGCCCGCCGAGCTGGCCGAGCTGCGCCGCGCCGTGCGCGCCCTCGGCGCGAGCGCGTCCGCGCTGCAGCAGCGCAGCGAGCGCCAGCGCGAGGCGCTCGACCGGCTGAACGGGACGCTGCGCCGGCAAGCCGGCCTCGACGCCGGCCTCGGCCGCGCGGAGAACCTCACCAGGCAGCTGGAGCGCGTCGAGGACGAGTACCGGCGCATGGTCGACTCGCTGCCCGGCAACTGCGAGAAGCGCGACGGCCTGACGCTGCTAGCGCCGGGCCCGGGCGCGCCGCTGCTCGCCGCCTGCCGCAAGGGCTGGATCGTGGTCGGGCGGCGCGTCGACGGCACCGTCGACTTCGACCGCAGCTGGAACGACTACGCCGCGGGCTTCGGCTCGCCGATCAACGAGTTCTGGGCCGGCAACGAGGCGCTGCACCGGCTCAGCAGCGACAACTGCACCAGGCTGCGCATCGAGCTGCACGACATCGACGGCAACTACTGGGTGGCCAACTACGAGGACTTCCGCGTGGACGACGAGCAGTCCGGCTACCGGCTGCGCGTGGGCGGCTACTCCGGTAACGCCAGCGACGCCATGGCCTACCAGAACAACATGCGCTTCAGCGCCAAAGATCGCGACCTCGACATCAGCTCCACGGACTGCGCGGCCAACTATCACGGCGGCTGGTGGTTCAGCCACTGCCAGCACGCCAACCTCAACGGCAGGTACTCGCTCGGGCTCACCTGGTACAGGTCCGACAGCAGCAAGTGGATGGCCGTCGCCAACACCGAGATCTCGCTTCAGAGGAAGCAGCAGTGCCTGTAAACGGACGGCGCGCCTATACGCCCCCCCAAAGAACCGACTTTGTGTACAAAAGTGCGCCGACCGAGTTGCCTGATCGAGTGGAACGAACGGCCGCACCAGGCGGCTCTACACCGTAGCTTGTACATACTTATCCAGACCGACTGCTTGTTTCCAAGTCTGTCTTAGAAACTGTCTTGCCAAAGATTTTACTGCGTAATTGTCTAACGGTTAAGTTATAATAATATTAATAATAATAATATATATATATGTATAGTCGTCGTGTAAATAAATCTACGTGTGTCATCGGTTACAATGTCATTGTATTTGATTACCAAGATTTCTTACCCTTGTTAAGTCTACATTGTGTACATTCCATTGTATTTACAAGTCAATCATTAAAAAGACATTTTATACGAAACTATACGTAACTTTTCATGTTTTTTTTATCTCTTTTAATCCATCGATAAAGGCTCGCTGGAACGGCCAATCGAATCAAATTTTATCACGTGTTCGGGAAGGAGCTTTGTTGTTTAAATTTTGATATTTTCAATTGTCGTGTGCGCTTTAAGACAAGTCGAGGCGGAGAATTGGCAATAGGTTAGTGTTGCGCGTAAATTTAACCGCTCAACTTGAAGTGGTTAGCCATAATGAAGCCGCGCTGTAACATCGCGGGCTTGCCATTTTACCTTGCGTGGTTTGTATGGGCCTATAAAAGAATTATTTTTTCATTTTTCGCGCCGCAAACTCAAAGTGCCAATGTTCCCCGACCGCGCCAGTGAAATTCAATAGTCGTATCATATTTTTCGCATTCGCGGCGAAAATAAAAGAACCGCGATATCGCGCAAGTGCGAATCGTTCCGCCTACGTGTTTTTCCTGATTTTTGTAATTTATCTGCCAAGTATTGCAAAAAGGCTGCGATACGCAAAAACTTGCGGAGGCAAACATTATTATCTGTACGCGAATTGACAGTGCATCATGAATAACGAAAATCGACTGAGAACGGTATAAAATAAAACTCGAAAACCAACCGGCAGCGATATACAAAAGACTCAAAGCTTCTCGCGCTACTTTAGATTTTACTTGAGATAAATAAGCAAGGGTGAACTTGCGCAATATGAAATATGGATATCTTGAAAGGCGCATTGAAATTCTTTACCAAAGAGAGCAAATAGCAAACTGGCGTGACGATTGCCTTTTACCTTGATACTGCATATAACATTTTTCCTTCTACGAAATCTTAAAGATCCTAATGGTCCAATTTTCCGTCTGGTACTCAAACGAAATAATTTTTGCATGATCGTCGGTACATAAATAATTAATTTTAAAATGACTCGTACGAAATCGTACAATATGTACGATAAAAATAAATATTCATCACCAATAATTACAATGAAACTGTATGTACATATATATGAGAATCAACTTGCAAAGTCATTGATAGGATATTGAGGGAAAAATTTGTTTGGTGACTGTTTTTGAATAATTGAAATTTAGTAAACGTTTTAATCAATATTAACCGACTTTGTACATACATATATATTTGAAAAAATACATACATCCCTGCAATAACATCTGCGGAGAGCAGGGACTCCATCGGTATCATGAAGACTATATACATTCACTACCGTGTTTATGGCTTAAGCCACGCTGTATTATGATTATGAGGGTCTGTCTCCATAGGGCCTGTCCGAGCCGGCCGAGATTTTTTATGGGCACGCCATCTCTATAATTTCGTGTTCAATGGCGAGTTTCATAGTGAATGCGAGAAACGCATCTATGGAGTGGCAGTACCCGTGGTTTGAAGTTTCCTGTCTGGCTGTCTCTATGCTCTGGCTATCCTCCATGTTCCTGCTCCAATTTTCATTCGGTAAGTTCGTAATTAATAATAATTCGTAAATAATTCCTACTTTTATTTTCATAAAATTGCAAGTTTCATAATCCCTTTTTAGAGTCATATGCACGAAGAGTTAGGCTTTCGAAATCCGTCAACTGTCAAATGATAAGTAGTAGCAGCAGCAGCAGTAGTAGTTGTAGTAGCAGTAGTAGCTGAGGGCAGGTGGTAGGTGAGAGAATCACAATGGCAGCCGAAATCAAGCCCGCGCCCGGGATGAACCAGGACAAGTTCAGCTCCAAGAAGCCTATACTTCTGTCGAAGCTCGAAGGTTGCAATGACGACGTCAATGCCGCCGTTATCATTCCCAGGGTTGACGGCGTCATCAGCGTCTGCGACGACAGGTCAGACTCACTTTTCTATTGTGTTTGCAATGCTTCTGATACTCGATGCATATCTATATGATGTATATACGATTAATTTATTTACATCGCATGCTTCTAGCTCGACTCTTATTGGACTCATTGTTTATAATGCAAATAGCAATCGTACAGTCACTTGCATCTTTTGTTAGACTTTTTTCAGACTATTTTTTGCATTGTACATATTTTTTACTCCTATTTTTTCATGTAATATATAATTTAATTAAATTATAGGTAAAACAGCAAGCTTTTTGTTATAAGTAAATAATAATTGTATGACACCTGAACAATCTTTCTTTATCTGCAAGTTCTTAGATAGGATGATTCAGACTGATTGCTTTATCTATCTGGCCTTTAAGCAATGTTTTGCTGTATTTTAGTTATGAATAAATTTTCTAATTACTATTGCAGAACTGTCAGAGTTTGGTTGAAACGTGACTCAGGACAATACTGGCCAAGCGTATGCATGTACATGGTTGCAGCACCAATCTCTCTTGATTTTTGTCCTGAAACCAGACAGCTGTTTGTTGGATTAGATAATGGTAGTATAAATGTATTTATCAAGATCAAATTCATTTATAATTTTTTCAAAAATTGTGAATCAAACGAATTTTTGGTTTTGTAGGAGTTTTTATTGGAAAGCGATTACAATCGTATGACAGCCATTCGAGAATACATGGCTCATCAAGCAAGAGTTGCTGCAGTAGTTTTTTCTTTGAGCTGTGAATGGGTACTTAGTATAGGTAGAGACAAATTGTTCCAGTTCCACAGTACTGAAAATGGAAAGGATCACATCAAATAATATGTTCAATAATCCAAAAGGTAACGTCTACAAAAAGTTGCTGTACCACATGCATGGAACATACACCTACAACATGGTGAGCATTATTAATTTTAAAAATGGTTCAATTTCTGGCATTCGATCAATCTTGGTAGTTGCTACATTATTTTGTATTATTTTCATCAATTTCACGCTTTCATCAATGGCTTTTTGTAAGCCATCGCCATCATCTACTTTTCGTTTCCGACAAAATTTATAGTGTCAAGACCAAGCAATAAGATGCATAACATGAAAAGGTTAGATAGGTTAGAAATAATCAACTACAAGAGGTTTTATTTTATTATTTTAAATTTATTAATAATCATATGTTAAATCATTATCAGATGTTTAAACGTGAGAAAACAACCTAACATCTCGAATAATATTTTTGGCATCATCCCACAGGTGTCTACTGGTGAAACATGCAGCATGCCATTTTTCAACGAGCTCCTTTGTCGCAATAGGAGTTGAAGACGATTTAAGTTCCCTCAAGAATGCCCTCAATTTTCTCAAGGGAACATTAATTACATTCAGGTGAGTTGGCCACAGACTGCGGTATAAATTGCTTTGATGCAAAGACCATCTATTTGTTGTAGCATTATTTGATATGCGATTATCGTCCTCAATCGTGCCCAGGACTCTACATGTGCTTCCTCCAATTGTATTAATTTCTTGCATTATCTTTTTTAATACTAATCTATGGCTCATCATATTGATGTCAATGTCAATTATACCTTCATTCTCGTTGGAAAACCACAGAATGAAATTATGACTTCTCATATTTTCCAAATTGAGATTGACAACACGAAAAGCTACTGGTACGTAGCGACGAAAATCATTTTGCATGATGTACTGAATGGTGAATTTCATTTTCACGTTAAGTTTTTCTTCTTCAAATGGCTTTGAATGTAAAACATTTTTCACAGATAGGTTATTCATTATTAAAGAATACTTTCGGTCAGAATCAATCGGAATTTATTTCTTTATAAAAACTGCCTTGACACAATGAAGGTTCAATGCACACTGTAGTGGGCATGCACGCGTCCTGAAACAAAGAAAATAAAATCACCAATCTCGGCTTTTCATTGGATCATAACCCATTAACGTGCAACATAGGCGGTACAACTGAGCATTGCATACGCTATATATTTTTACTCATTATTTTTCATAAAAAAGTTATATACAATTATTTTTTATTCTAAACTTTGTGTTTATTCGCTGAATTTATAATAAATATTTTTATTTTTACAGATTTTAATTATGAGACTAGATGAACGAAAAGTTATGAGAATTTGGACATTAATGCAGGTTATACTTGTTTCGCTTAAAACATTAAAAGTTATAAAAAAAAAGAAGAAGGCCTTGCGGAGATGGTGGGTGAAGCCACATATCGTACCGAGAATAAGGAATATTATAGGAGCATTTGCTACAGTATGCCAATATTTACAAATCAATGATCACGAAGAGTTTACAAATCAATTTAAGATGACACCAGGCAATTTTCAAGAGTTGTATACGTTAATTGCTGATCAGTTGCAGAAGCAGTATCATATTAGAGAGCCAATTTCTGCATATATTCGACTGGCTATAACAATACAGTAACTATTTATATACAATTATGTCAAGTATTTTCATCTCATAATAAAAATAAATATTAATTTTTATTAAAATTTCAGTTATTTCGTTCAAGGAGGAAATGCTTTAACTTATTGCGCGCACTACCGAATTGGAAAAGCTACATTTTTTAAAATCATACACGAAACGTGCTACGTTATTACTTCAGTTCTGCTGCCAATTTACGTGAAATTTCCCAACGAACGGGATTGGTTACGTATTGCCCAGGAATTTGAAGACAGATGGAATTTTCCGAATTGTGTTGGAGCTCTAGACGGGAAGCACATGCGAATAAAAAGACCAGCTCATGCTGGAAGTGTTTTTTATAACTACAAAAAATTTCATAGTTTAGTTTTGATAGCAATCAGCGATGCACAAAGTAGATTTGTTTGGTTCACCCTTGGTGATGGTGGTAAGAATAAATTTTTTAAAACAATAAAGACAGAGTAATTTAATTAATTTATATGTAATAATTTCTTTATGTTGTAGGTTCGTTCAGCGACTCCAGTGTCTTTCAAAATACTAATTTTTATAACAAAATTTTGAACAATGAATTGAACTTACCTGCTCCAACAAAGTTGCCTAACAGTGACAGCTCATCACCTTTCGTAATAGTCGCTGACGAGATTTTTGGTTTGGGATTTAACTTGATGAAACCGTACAATAGAAGATTGCTGCAGTCAAATCAAGAAAGAATTTTTAATTATAGATTGAGCCGAGCCAGATTCACTATAGAACGTGCATTTGGAATACTTTGTGCAAAATTTCAGTTATTGAATAGTGCTTTAGCTCATAATTTAGATAAGAATAAATTAATTATAAGCGCTTGTTTAGTGTTACATAATTTTTTAATTACGAAAAATGTAATCAACGTTGATGACGATTTTAGACACTTAGATAGGCAAATTAATCAGAATGTTATGCGAAACCCTATTTTTATTCGGCAAAACTTGGCAGAATATTTCAGCAATGAGGGAGCTGTTCCCTGGCAAAATAATTATATTTAAAGATAAATAATCTATATTAACAAAATAGAAATAAGAAGGCAGTTTTTATAAAGAAATAAATTCCGATTGATTCTGATCGATTGACTCCTCCATATTGTGTAGAAACTTGAAAAAAACAAAAAAACAAATGGTATATTAGTTTTAAGTATTTAGTAACAAATACATTAGTCTTAATTTTAGATATTTATGAAAATGAATGCGTAGCAAAGCAGTTCCGATAACCTCAAATTGACAATAGTTCTTCGATTCAATTTGCCATAAATAAAAAATGAGTGGAAACACTGAAAAAGATATACTACTTGATGAAGTTATCATACAAATCGTGAAACCAAATAATTTTATTTACGATAAGTCGAATGATAAATACTATACTGAATTTAGATCGCAACGAACACAAGTTTTCGAAACTATTTCCCAAGCGATTTATCAACTATACGAAGTGCACATTACAGGTGAAATTCATACACTATAAATCTTTATTTTAAATAAAAAAATATATATATGTATATATAATATTCATTAATCAATAATAGAAAAAGAGATTGAAGCGACATGGCTGTATTTAGTAAAAAAATTCAAAGGAGAAAAAGCAAAAAAACGCAAATACCAGCCATCTGGATCAGAAAGAAAACCCGAAGTGACCTGGGAATTGTATAATGAGATGTGTTGGCTTGATCCATATCTGAGTCATGAACCGCAAATTTCTTCAGACGATGTGGAGTTTATAACAAAATCAGAAATCACCGATAAATTTTGTCGGAAACGAAAAGTAGATGATGGCGATGACTTACAAAAAGCCATTGATGAAAGCGTAAAATTGATGAAAATAATACAAAATAATGTAGCAACTACGAAGACTGATCGAATGCCAGAAAGTATTCTTTAATAATGAATAACCTATCTGTGAAAAATGTTTTACATTCAAAGCCATTTGAAGAAGAAAAACTTAACGTGAAAATGAAATTCACCATTCAGTACATCATGCAAAATGATTTTCGTCGCTACGTACCAGTAGCTTTTCGTGTTGTCAATCTCAATTTGGAAAATATGAGAAGTCATAATTTCATTCTGTGGTTTTCCAACGAGAATGAAGGTATAATTGACATTGACATCAATATGATGAGCCATAGATTAGTATTAAAAAAGATAATGCAAGAAATTAATACAATTAGAGGAAGCACATGTAGTCCTGGGCACGATTGAGGACGATAATCGCATATCAAATAATGCTACAATAAATAGATGGTCTTTGCATCAAAGCAATTGATACCGCAGTCTGTGGCCAACTCACCTGAATGTAATCAATCATTAAAATAATAAAACTCGACGGTAGTCTCGGTGAAGGAGGAGGTCAAGTGCTACGAATTTCATTATGTTTGAGTGCACTCTATAAAATTCCTATTGAGATTAGCAACATAAGAGCAGGTCGTCCAAAACCAGGTTTGTCAGCTCAGCATCTTGAAGGAGTCAAATTTTTAAAAGAAATGTGTAACGCTGAAGTGCATGGAGCTGCAATAGGCTCAACCTGCTTAACTTTCATACCAAGAGACCTTTCTTAATAAAAAACAAGAATTTATAGTAGACACCAGAACAGCTGGATGTATTGGTTTGCTCATTCAAGTTACTTTACCTTGTGCTCTATTTTCATCTAGGGCAGCAACTTATATTCTCAAAGGAGGAACTAATGTACCTTTTGGCCCTCATATAGAGTATTTAAGTATGTTTTTAGACCTCTGTTGAACAGATTTGGTGGAAACTTTGAGCTTGATGTTTATAAGAAAAGGATATTATCCTCAAGGAGGTGGAGAAGTTCATATGCGTGTAAATGCCATTCAGATTTATCTTTTTTGTAAAGGTGTATAGTTAAAGGTTTTCCAAATAGTAACTAATAAATATAACTTATTCTGAATTGAATGGTTTTTTAAAGAAAAATTAATCGTTTTTATTATATACGTTCTTTATAATATTTAAATATTTTTTTATATTGTAATACGGTTTATGTCAGGATCTTTCAAACATGAAACTACTAATAATCAATATAAATGAGTTGAGAAAATAAATATATTAAAGAAATAAGAGCAGTTAGTCTTTATTTTTAATATTTATTCTTCATTAGATATCATAAACTTATCCATAATAGTTAATATCCCATTAACACATTCCAACACATGGGTTGATGGGACATACTGCAAACTTTGCTGTATACATAGTACAAAATTATCTTTAATCTCTTCATTATCACTATCCTTCATTAAAATGTTTATATTTTCCATAGCTGTACTTGTATTTTTTAAAACTTTCATTTCTAATTCTTCGAGATGAGTTTTCTTATTAAAGTAACATTGGCTTACTGGTGGAATGATTTTATCATTCTTTTCACTACATACTTCAATATCTTGAGTTTTTGATGTTGACGGCTCATCACTTTCTGTTGATCCCAAACACTGGTATTTTTTCATGACGTGAGGGATGAGAAATTGAAGTTCATTGTATAAGTAGTACTTGCTTAAATGAGGTTTGTTAAATTTTCTAACAAAAGTCCTTCTTATATTTTCCCATTCCTTTCTTACAATAGCACCTAAAACAAAAGTAAATGCAGTTAATGTATTTTCACTCTCTGTATATAAAAAAATACTATAATAATATAAATGATAACTTACCAGTCAATAGGACATTTAACTCTTTGTCAGAATTAATTTTAGCAGCTATTTCATTGAAAGCCTTATCTTTGACTTTTATTAAATAATAGTTTTCATGTGTTTTATCATACAAACATGAATAATTTTTCAAATAAACACAAATTTTTTTATCGAGATTTATATTTCTTCCAAAAGACTCCTCCATATTGTGTAGAAACTTGAAAAAAACAAAAAAACAAATGGTATATTAGTTTTAAGTATTTAGTAACAAATACATTAGTTTTAATTTTAGATATTTATGAAAATGAATGTGCAGCAAAGCAGGTCGGATAACCTCAAATTCAGGTGTAGCACAACACTCAATGTACGTTGTACGAGGTGAAAATGGATGTATATCCTTATTCAAAATTAAATGCGTAGCAAAGCAGTTCCGATAACCTCAAATTGACAATAGTTCTTCGATTGAATTTGCCATAAATAAAAAATGAGTGGAAACACTGAAAAAGATATACTACTTGATGAAGTTATCATACAAATGGTGAAACCAAACAATTTTATTTACGATAAGTCGAATGACAAATATTATACTGAATTTAGATCGCAACGAACACAAGTTTTCGAAACTATTTCCCAAGCGATTTATCAACTATACGAAGTGCACATTACAGGTGAAATTCATACACTATAAATCTTTATTTTAAATAAAAAAATATATATATGTATATATAATATTCATTAATCAATAATAGAAAAAGAGATTGAAGCGAGATGGTTCTATTTAGTAAAAAAATTCAAAGGAGAAAAAGCAAAAAAACGCAAATACCAGCCATCTGGATCAGAAAGAAAACCCGAAGTGACCTGGGAATTGTATAATGAGATGAGTTGGCTTGATCCATATCTGAGTCATGAACTACAAATTTCTTCAGACGACGTGGAGTTTATAACAAAATCTGAAATCACCAATAAATTTTGTCGGAAACGAAAAGTAGATGATGGCGATGACTTACAAAAAACCATTGATGAAAGCGTAAAATTGATGAAAATAATACAAAATAATGTAGCAACTACCACGACTGATCGAATGCCAGAAATTGAACCATTTTTAAAATTAATTGCATCTGGTTACAGTAAAATACCAGAATCAAGAAAATACCAATGTACGAAGGAAATAATTTTGTACATTGTAGAATTTAAGAAAAATATTGAATAAAAAAACGTGCATTTATAACCTTTAATTCTTATAGTTTTGTTATTTCATTGTTTACATATAAATATATATATATATATATACTATGAAAAACAAAAGGTTTTTTTATTATAAATTTTTAATAATGCTCACCATGTTGTAGGTGTATGTTCCATGCATGTGGTACAGCAACTTTTTGTAGACGTTACCTTTTGGATTATTGAACATATTATTTGATGTGATCCTTTCCATTTTCAGTACTGTGGAACTGGAACAATTTGTCTCTACCTATACTAAGTACCCATTCACAGCTCAAAGAAAAAACTACTGCAGCAACTCTTGCTTGATGAGCCATGTATTCTCGAATGGCTGTCATACGATTGTAATCGCTTTCCAATAAAAACTCCTACAAAACCAAAAATTCGTTTGATTCACAATTTTTGAAAAAATTATAAATGAATTTGATCTTGATAAATACATTTATACTACCATTATCTAATCCAACAAACAGCTGTCTGGTTTCAGGACAAAAATCAAGAGAGGTTGGTGCTGCAACCATGTACATGCATACGCTTGGCCAGTATTGTCCTGAGTCACGTTTCAACCAAACTCTGACAGTTCTGCAATAGTAATTAGAAAATTTATTCATAACTAAAATACAGCAAAACATTGCTTAAAGGCCAGATAGATAAAGCAATCAGTCTGAATCATCCTATCTAGGAACTTGCAGATAAAGAAAGATTGTTCAGGTGTCATACAATTATTATTTACTTATAACAAAAAGCTTGCTGTTTTACCTATAATTTAATTAAATTATATATTACATGAAAAAATAGGAGTAAAAAATATGTACAATGCAAAAAATAGTCTGAAAAAAGTCTAACAAAAGATGCAAGTGACTGTACGATTGCTATTTGCATTATAAACAATGAGTCCAATAAGAGTCGAGCTAGAAGCATGCGATGTAAATAAATTAATCGTATATACATCATATAGATATGCATCGAGTATCAGAAGCATTGCAAACACAATAGAAAAGTGAGTCTGACCTGTCGTCGCAGACGCTGATGACGCCGTCAACCCTGGGAATGATAACGGCGGCATTGACGTCGTCATTGCAACCCTCGAGCTTCGACAGAAGTATAGGCTTCTTGGAGCTGAACTTGTCCTGGTTCATCCCGGGCGCGGGCTTGATTTCGGCTGCCATTGTGATTCTCTCACCTACCACCTGCCTTCAGCTACTACTGCTACTACAACTACTACTGCTGCTGCTGCTACTACTTGTCATTTGACAGTTGACGGATTTCGAAAGCCTAACTCTTCGTGCATATGACTCTAAAAAGGGATTATGAAACTTGCAATTTTATGAAAATAAAAGTAGGAATTAGTTACGAATTATTATTAATTACGAACTTACCGAATGAAAATTGGAGCAGGAACATGGAGGATAGCCAGAGCATAGAGACAGCCAGACAGGAAACTTCAAACCACGGGTACTGCCACTCCATAGATGCGTTTCTCGCATTCATTATGAAACTCGCCATTGAACACGAAATTATAGAGATGGCGTGCCCATAAAAAATCTCGGCCGGCTCGGACAGGCCCTATGGAGACAGACCCTAACAATGCAAATCATTGGAGGTAACTTTTTTATGCGCCACATTTAAAAAGTAAAATTGCGGAATCAATAATGTCATAATGAATTTAACGTGTAGTTATTTTTTTAATAACAATATTATACCATAGTACACGTAGAGAATTATACTGCTATGTTTTTATAGTATAAAAGTACAATTTCATAAATAATTCATTAAAATACTTGACCGATCGAGATCAAAATCACCGCAATTATATAATTATTTTCCTTGAATCTACGTTACCTACCGATCTGTCAGGTACACGTCGCTCTAAAGAGAAATAATATATATTTTTTTAACGACATGTTAGAATGATAATTTGATTGGATACAAAAATTGCGCATGATTTTTATTAACGATTTAATACATTCCTTTCTATAAAAACCAAATTAAAACGTTGCGCAAATTCAAATTCTACTCACCTAAGAGTGTTCAAGGTTTAGAATTTTTTTATTAACGAAAACTAAATGCACGAATTTATCAATGAGTTTTACTGTCTTTGCTAATCACGCGCGGTTTTTAGATTACTTTTTCTGATTGTTTTTTTCGATTTAGTGCTGACTTCCTGCATCCACAGTGGATGTACTATAGCTACTCTGTCGGCGTCATCTGTATTAGAGTCAGCAAAAATCTTTCGCTTACGTCTTGGTACGTTGGCAGCTTTATCATTTATCAAAAGAAATCTCAATTTTCTTTGCTAATTTTAACAATTTTAGAAATTTTGAAGTGTTTTCGTATAATAAAAATTTGTAGGGAAATTTCTTATTACGCAAGAAAATAAGTTATTAACGGTTGGTTCATCAATTGTTTTGGAAACAAAATGATATTTTTTTTTAAACATATGTTGTTAAATATATTACTCTGAAGACTTTCATGTGAATTAATAAAAGTGCACTTTCTTTATAAATAATATTATTAATCTTTTATTTATTGCATGTTTTAGTAGCTAAAATGTCTGGTAAATTAACTGTGAAGGATATAAAGGATATGCTTGATGGTGATACTTTGGATTTTAGTCTGTGTAATTTGGAGGAAGTACCAGTGAAAGAGATCGTAAGAAAAATTTTTATCAGTTCAAGAAAATTTTATTCCAAATAATTAGATATTTATCTATTTTTATACAATAATTATTTCTAGGCAACTGTAAAACGGTTTAGTCATTTAGATTTATCAAACAATGCTCTTACTACACTTCCTGTAAGTTTTATTTATGATTACTATCAGTATATTAAAAAAAAATAGTACTTACATGTTGGATTTTATAATGGAATTATTTTTTTTTGCAGAAAACATTTGCAACTTTGACACAAATAGTTAAATTGGATCTTAGTAAGAATATGCTGACAGAGATACCTGAGAATTTTGGAGAACTAAAGCAATTAAAGCATTTAGATCTCTATAGCAATAGAATTAGTAGGCTACCATTGAGTCTAGGTGAATTAAAGAACTTAAAATGGTTGGATTTGAAGGAAAATCCATTAACTCCAGCAGTAGCTAGTATAGCTGGTCCTTGCAGCAATGCAAGCGAATGTCAAGCATGTGCTCGTAACATTGTTGTTTACTTAGCAAATGTAAAAATGACTATAGATGAAGAGAAACAACGGCGTCTCACTGCAGTTCAAGGTAAAATAATATGCTTTCATCTATAATTTCATAGCTCTTGAAATTTGTAAATTTACATTTTTGTATAAAAATTTTAGAAGTAGAAAAGGCTGCAGCTAGTAGTAAGAAAGAAGCAAAGAAAAAAAAGAAAGGTGCGGAAAAGAAGATCACTAACAAAGAGAAATCACCTAATGCTAAAAAAGAGCAAATACAAGAGAAAAATAATATCTCAAAGTCTCCAAAATCTAAAACCACTAATGAACGTAGCATTAAATCTCGTAATTCCAGTGGTAATTAACAAAAATATATATAAAAAAAGATCAGAATACGGTTAAAACAAAGACTCACACATTTTTCTTATTGATATTTTAGGAGGAGTTTTTAGTCTCTTATGTAAAGCTTTCACATCTTTGATAATGTGGTCTGCATTTTTTACACTTTTAACTATAACGATAGTTACTGTTTTACCTCTTTATGATGAACAAAAGTCTGAAGAAATTTTCAAGGAAATCGAAATTCGAACAGGCATACCAGTGAAGCATTATCATCACGAAGGTATAAAGCTTCTGGAAACGTTTATCGTTAAAACTAAGCTGTGGACAAATCATACAAGGGAAAAGCTTGAAAAAACATACCAACAATATTTCATAGAAGAGCCATTTACAAATAAAAAAGAATTATAATTTCTTTATTTACATTTTGAAACTGTCTTCTTGGATGAAATGAACAAATCAATATTGTACATTAGATTTCCAAAAACTACGATGTTTTTTTTAAGTCTATATAATATATACTTTTTCTTTCATTCTGAAAGAACGCACAACAGCCACCAAGTGGCAATTTATTTATGGTGGCAAGTATGCGTAATAATTTTTATCTAATCCAAACTGCTAATTTTCGATCTCTTTTTATAGATTCTTACTACTATACATTCCGTCTACAAAGTAAAGTGTTTTTGTGTGTTATTTATATATAGGTAATAATATTTAACTGCCCTTCAAAAATTATCTAAATGATCATTTTTTTTTATCTACTTCTGTTAACCTAGTTCTATAATTATATAGTCTACAATTGATAACATTCTTCAATAGCACAAAGTTTTCATGATTGAAGTACCGAAATTATTGTAACTGTTCGATGTAGATACTTTTTGTGATGTGTGAGAAAAGTATTTTTTAGAATTTAGTGAATATAAATGATGGAAAATGCTATATGTCACTATAATTAATGTATTTATAAAAAAGTCACTCGACTTTAAAAAAGTAAAGATTTGTATATTAATTTAAGTATCAGTGCTGTAATAAATATTATTCCACTATATATAATATTAGAAGAATTTTCTTTTCGTTCACCTCTATAAACTCTCATCCTATTATTGTTCTCTATTTTTTTTAATAAAATGTTTGAAAAAAATTAATAAAAAGTTACGACCATACTTGCACGCAACTATCTGAGTTATATCTGAAAAATAACGTTTACGTATTTTTATGTATTTACTCTTATAAGCGTTCAATCCGCTTCATAGATTATGTTCAAGAAAACTTGAATATTATTTTGCCGGACTTTATCTTCGTGTCCGATCTAAATATAAGTAGAGCTTAACATATAATATATGAAAGTCGTGTATCGCTTCGTTTAATTTCTTTTTTCAAGCAATTAGTTTCGGTTAGCATTTGCAATCATGATCAGAAAAAACGTAGATTATACTTAATTAGCATCTAATTAATCGTATGACTTTGTATCTTCAAGGGGTATTTTAAAAATATTGTTTTCCATGTTTTGTAAAAATATGCTTTCTTTGCTAGTGTAAGTGTCAGAAAAATGAGTCTTTTCCAGGAGACTTTGTGCAAAAAGTTTTGCAAAGGATTCCATTGCTGAAGAAAAGTATTTTTTTGAAACACGCCATGTAAAGAATGTAGAAATTGCTATAAAACTTGATGGATGTAGGTTCAAGTGACGGCAAGAACGGCGCGATTATTTAATAAGGCATTAGTACATTTAAATATTAAGCGTCAGTTTTATTCAAAATATGTAATTGGCTATAAATGTGTACGTTACCAAAGTAATGGAAAAATATATTAATTTATTATAAAAATAAATACAACTACTTATGGGGTGAACTGTTGCCATAGTTCATCAGCTCGGCCTTAGTCGCGATCGCTTCGTTGATCAAGCGCTTGGAGTAGGCAAAAATAGGATATGGACGCGTGAAGGATCTGCAACGAGAGTAGACAAACGGCCCACGTAGCCGCCACGTCGAAAGCAATCGAGTTTTACGGAGTGACTTACTTTCAAAAACATGTCCATTTTGACTTGCACGCATCCTTTGGCGACGAAAACGATCGGCCTCTGCAGAAGCACGATGAGCACGTCATTCATGAGTCGCTTATCACCGGAACCGGCCCAATCAGCACTATACATCGCGTCCAAGCACAATTGGCTCTGCTCCGCCAAAGAAAAATTATTCGGTCAGATCGTTAAGGTTATTTTTCCGTTATTGACGTGCAATACGCGCGCCGTTGGCCACTCACTTCTTCTGCTATGAGATTGCCGAACCACGCGTACATGAAAGCTTGCATGAGCTTGAATGCGATGTACGTGAGGGTGTACATGATCTCTCGGATGACTTTCGTCTTCAGCATCTTGAACGGGAAAGCGTAATTATCGACTATTATGCTTATGTGAAATCGTCGAATAGTCGGCCGGGCAATGCCACATACCCACCATTGTCATCTGAAACATGAAAGTGCAGAGAATGACGGCGCTGGTGATGGCCAGCCATATGATGAAAATACTGAAAATTCTCTTGAACGTTTCCATGGACCTGAGGAGCACGTGATGCCTTCGAACGCACTCCTCGATGTCCCTCGGATAATCCGCGGAAGATTTCAGACGCTGAAACTTGCTCGCCAGCACGCGGAACTCGCCGCATATCTGCAGCGTGTACAAGCCGAAGAGGTTGTCGACGCCGCAGGTGACCGTCCAGACCGAGAATACTGCAAAAGCATCCATCGCTTGGATTATCCAGTAAACAAGGCCGCCCGGCTCGTACTTGATCGGATAGATCACCGGCGCCGTCGTCGAATAGTTGCCGTGTATCAGCTCCAATATCGGCACTATTATCTTTAGCAAGCACGCCACGCCGACGGTCCACGTAACAGTGTAGAACACGTTGGCGAACGACTGATAATAATGAAGGGCGAGCGCTTGGTTATCCGGATTATTCAGGTCGCGAAGGAAATACGCGGACAGGTGCTGATTCAGACTCGTCAAGTTCTCGCGGTACGCTATAAACGTGAAAATCTGCAGCAGAAGAACGTTGCCGTCTCAAAGTTTCGTCAGCGCAATCTGTGCGCCAACGATCATCGCGTACCTTCAATATTATGCCGGACAGCGATATGACTAAGCCGATGGTTTTCGTGAAAACCATTATGTCCGAGATGTGGTGAAGACTAAAATTGAGCGTTCCGAAGAATCCCCACGACAAGCATGCCAGTGTGAGACACGACAATGCCGAGCGCAACGTCGGGTTAAGACTTGGCCACACTCCACAGGCGATCAGCAGTCTTTTGATGTCTCTTGAGTATATCGTGTACTTCGTTAACGCAGCTTCTCCCAAAGTGTCCAGTTTCTCTTCGGCGTACATCGGAAAAAATTGGCCTATTCAGAGTTTTTGCTATGGAAAAATCCACGTATTCAGTTGTGCAGTGTCCGTAGGTATACTTTAATGTGATGAACCATGAGAAACATAATCATACCGATAGAAACAGTTGGTTATGATGAGGGCGAAGGGGGGAAATTAGTATTAATTAAGATGAAAGATCGATGTGAAATGCGCATGATCTATAATTTTAATATTTTTAATAGAAATTATTTAACCATCCACTTTATGCGTGTCTCACTCTTCATGTTTTCAATAAATTTTACAATATTGCGATCAACCAATAAAATAATATTTTAGTCATTGAATTTAGTCGATTAGTTATAATAAAATAATAAAATAAATAAATAATCAACTTTTTCTCACACACTACTCCCTCATCGTTAATCTTAATATTGTCAAGTTTATAGAAATCATTTAATTATTAATTTAATTAAATTTGTGGTAATTTAAATTAATAATTTAATGTTTTGTCAATTTGTCAAATCAGTTACAAATGGATACTTTATTAATACTATTTATATTATATAAACATAATCAGAATTAATCTAATAATTAGTAAATTATTTTAATCAATAAAATTTATGAAATAATTAAGCTTAAAAAAATGTATTAATGAAAAGTGCCACGTGAAAAAATTCTAAACATTTCGTAACGTACATAAAATTTTACAACTCACATATCTGTCCAAGATGTGCCAAAGAAGTCAGGGAGTATCTAAAGAGTAGAGAATATTAGGCGAATCGAAGCATCGATCACTTTTCCACATCGCGCTCTTCAAGTTATAAGCAATATATACGTCGTACCCGGAACTTTTCAGCGTGCCTCGTTGTAGAGTCATATTTTTTAGCTTGACATTTCACTTATTCATCGGAGCCATCGACTATGCTCGCGAAATTCTCTCTGCAGAGAAATAATAAATGTAACCTTTTGCGTATGGCCAATTTCGAACTTGAATAATTCTTTCTGAAGTCTTCAAAACAATAACGTTTTCATGCAGCTTCGCTGAAAAACCGATAATTAAGGGAATCGTCCGCGGAATAATGGATAAGGGACATACAAGCTGTTGTAGAAAGCGGATCGGTCGATAAAACGTCGCGGACTTTTTCTCAACCTCGAATATTTCAAATCTTTAAAAATGCACGAAGACGCGCGGGCTTCGGACGTCGCCGAGCACGCAGTAGCCGCTGTGGAGCTGCCCGAAGCACGTCGCAGTATAAACGCGCGTAAGTTCGCTCGGGAACAGTTATTCGCGACGAGAAGAACTGCAATCGTACGGGAAATATGTCAACGTACGTCGTGCACGGCAATTCGCGAAATTGTGAGCTTTCTATCTATCAACAGTTTAATTACGGCGGAACACCATACCATTGACTTCGACGTAATGATCGAAGGTTTGCGGCTGAAGAGGGTTGGAAAAAAAAAAATATCGCGTATCTTTGATGTAGTAAGATGATGATGGTTTAATTGATCAGGTGTGCAGTAGCCGTCGGCTATATATGCCGGTTATTAAAGTAACAGTCGCATTTTTCGCTATACAAAACAAGAAACTGTCATTTATCTGCAAAAACTCTTGGTGTCGACGTAGATGTACAGCTGAAAAATAAAATCTGCAAATTAAATAAAGCCTTTTCAAATATACTTACGTAGATGTAGTCGTAAGCTTATTCTAAATCATTGTTCTTTTTTCCGAATTCCGATCACTGTGGCCTAATACCATTGCAAACGCCTGTCGCAATTTGTCAGCATTATAAGTCAACAGTTTCTTCGTCCAAAGCAAGCTTGCGTGCGTTAATATTCATTTCCCCGCAGAGTAAGCTCGGCACTAAAAGCTCATCGATCGGTCGAGTTTTGGAAAGTATCGTCGACTAAGTGCACAAATACTTGAAATGGTGTAAGTTCCGGGGATTCGAACAAATTTTAGAGGTTGCGTCACATCGTTGACAATCAGATAAAAGCAGCTGAAGCGGTTGAAAAAATATTCGTGCGGATTCGTTCATCGTGTGGCCACAGTAATAATGACAGTAATCCGCAAACGAAACAAATGCACATTACCTCATTAGATATAATGCGATACATATCAGTGAGCCATGCGTTTGATTCATTCCGCGACTTTCCACGATGAAGATGTTTTCTATTAAACGCGCCTTTATCATTAGAGGCATAATTGTAGAAGCTAACTATTCGATGATAAGCACGATACAATTTTCACGAAAGAAATATCATCGTACACTCATTCCCCACCATATATCGCCGACTGTTTTCAAATCAACCCCTCGAGCAATTTATAATGGACATCGAGCTTAGAGGTGATCAGTGTTTGATATTCGAACAAAAATGTAACATTCATTTCGTGTACTCTTGGCAAATTGATAAATTTGAGATGAATGATATATGGACTGTCTTCTGCCAAAGTACAATGATTCTCTAAAACAAGGTTCCCCTTGAGCTTAAAAACGAAGGCCATGAATTGAATTAGAAAAGTACAAAGTATTTGTAAAAGAAAATGAGCAATGATGTAACAAACAACTTTTATGCGATTTCCGTGGAATCTGTTTCGACGAAAAGCTTAATTTATCAGTAAGTCGTGCGGTTTTCCTTAGTCTTCGGCACTGAAAGATCTTTCGTCATGACTTTTGGATTGAATCACATGCGATCCGCAAATAAACGGCGTTAATTTGAGTATGTTACAATTCGTAATTTTTATTGTTAATATTGAGAATCACGTACACCAAAGATATTACATATTGAAGCCACTTTACGATACCGAAAAATGGATTTACAAAGTGCCCAATAAATCAATGTTTCGAGTCTACAGTTTGAAGCAGGCAAAAATAAGACACCGTCGTCTGTATGATCTGAAAGAAGACAATGAAAAAGTGATGAATACGAACCACAACCGAAAGTCGGGACACCGACTTTTTCAAACATCTGCATGGTCACAACGAAGTATCCGAGAGCTTTGAGCGTCACCGTACGTTGCATGCGAATCATCAACAGATCCTTCATCAGCCTGACATTTCCCGATCCCGGCCACTGCGACAAATAGATCGCGTCCTCGTAGTTCTCGCTCTGGCAACAAACGAAAAACGATGCAGCTCGGAATGAAGGCGTTCGAGCAGGCACGGGGTGAGGCTCGAGAAGGCACGCACTTCGTAGGAAACTATCGAACCGTAATAGGCGTAGGTATACGCCTGCATGAATTTCAGCGTTATGTAGCACATGAAATAAAATCCTCGGTACGGTGTCAATACTTTTATCAGCTGAAACAAGTGAAAATTAGAAGTCGCACTGCGCTCGCCGCCGCAAATTGGCGCACCTGGGTAGCCTGCCACATGAGGCTGCACATGATGATCGCGCTGGTGATGTAGGTCCAGATGACGATGATCCCGTAAGCGTTCTGCAGAGCTGCCTTGGCTCTGATAACGAGTTGGTGCAGCTGCACGCACTCGCGCAGCTGCCGTCTGTGGTCCGAGTCGTGCGGCACGAGCTCTTTGCAGCGGTGTCCTGCTATCCGGAGCAATCCGCTGATTCGGTAGCAGTGCAAGCCGAACGCGCTGTCCACGCCGTTCATAACGGTCCATATGTACAAGCCGGCGGAGAGCTCGAACGAAAGGACCATCCAGTAGCGCGGAGTCCCTGGTATTACCGTGAACGGATATTTGCCCTGGATTGATCAGCTATGTGACGATCGCAAAGACTGAAATGCTCTCAATGTTACAGCGACTTACGTAGTATATCTGAACGTACTTGTTGCTTTTGATCAAAACAACAATGGGCATAATGGTGTACATGGACAGCGAGACGAACAAGAGGCTGGCAACGGCGAACATAAATTTCGTGTATAAGGTAATTCTTTTGAGCAGTATCGGCCGGTTCTCCTTCACCATCAGCTCGTTCTCGAATCTCTTGCCCAGTTCGTTTTCTAGCAGTATAAGGTCTTGTCGATACACCAAGAAGATTATCAGCTTTCGCATTTCATAATTGTCAATTTTACCAAGAGTTTGCAAGGAGCGCGCGACGTGGCCGAATGTAATGCAAAAATATTACGTACTTTCAAAAGCAGCGTGGAGAGGCTCAAGAAATTGCTCATCCCGCGCACCAGCATCGACACGCTGTTCAGATTGTCTAGGCAGAAGAAGAAGGATTTCGCGACGAGAATGGTGAAGACGATGATCCCGTAGAACGATATGACTCTATAAAAGTAAATTTGCTCCTCGGGATATGGCCAAATGCCGCCTATAACTAGCAGCCTTCCGATGAAGTTTCTGAATATCTCATATTTGTCTAGTTTTTCGTCCATGCTGGCTTCCGATTTATATTCAATCTAGTCCTATTGCGTTCGATGAGCTGCTGTCAGCCTCGGACTGCGTTTCTAGACCAACTTTGATATCCTTTTCAATAACTTCTGGCAAATTATCTTGTTGGACCGTATGAAGCACGAATTCCTTTTAAATTTGAAGTTTTTGAAAAACTTCATAACTACATGCGCGAATTGCTGAAAGGAAGAGGTACAAGAATTTGCTCGGTTACAGTTTCACGAAAAAATTCATCAACGGCCAAACTCATAGGAGAAGATTCTGCCTTCACTAGAGCCTGTTTATATGGACTTTTCATTATTACCTCATTGTTAATTTGTCTATTATCAAGCGCATTCTGACGCACGAAGCACTTCAGTTTAACGGCATTCCAACTATGTTACTCGAAGAAACAGGCGCTACAGACTGAAGGCTCTGTTAGCCCTACCACCTTCTCTGGGGTAGGGGAACGGAGCCGTCTTCTCTTTCCTTTCTTCATAACTACTCGTTAAGATAATGGCGCGCAATAAAAGCGTAGCAGTGTTCCCGGCAAATTGTTGCATGGCTTTAATTTGATCGATCGACCCGTGCACTTGTGCGCTTCGCTACTTTGCGCACTTGGCGACGAACTCTTGACGAAGCAACGGCGCAGCAATGACAGAGAGAGAAGCGGAAAGGCATTACGATAAGTACAAAAGTGGAATCGTCTTTCTGCTTACCGTCTCGGGGATATGGCCGGACGTCAAGCCCAGTCCCCGAACGAAAGTCGCGACGCGCTGCCTGACCCTACTGGCTCTGTTCGCCGAACTTGCCGTGACTTTCGGCACCGTCAACTTCTGTCTGCAGAACTTGACGAACGTCGGCGCACTCGCCATGGGGCTGGGCCCGATGATCTGCTTCTCCTCTGCCTTCTTCAAGGTAAGTATTCGCAAAATGGCCCGACCGAATTCGGTTGCTATTATACTTTCCCGTGTAGACGCTGGTTATGTTGATTCGTCGAGAAGACGTGATAAGACTGAATCGCCGATTGTCCGACCGGTTTGAAAGGGATATGGAGATAATGGAAAATCGACCACTTCTGTTGGCGCATTACCCTTCTTTTCAACGCTACTTCAGGTTGCATTACTACTACACCGGGGCGATCATTTTGCTCGCGATCATTAGTCCAATACTCGCGCTTCGACATGGCAAATACATCAGGGCATATCCACAGCTATTGTTCTTCGCTTATGAACCAGATACCAATCACAAAATTTCCTATGAGAAGCTAAAATTAAATACGAATTCGATAGCCATTTGATTAAATAATATCGTATACGAAGCTCGCCGTTAGCTCGTATACGAATTAATATCACGCTTTCGTAATTTCTACTCTGAGGTGGTTGGGTCCACTGGAGCATTTACGGCTTCGAGCTGGTCCAGGGCTGATACTTCTGGACCAATACCGTAGGCGTCGACTCGCTATTCGGCCTCTACACTCTGCAGATGGTGGGCCAACTGAAATTACTCGCTCATCGCTTCCGAAATTTAAAAACGAACACCGATTATAAGAGACAGTTGAAGGACTGCATCGATAGACACGTTTGACTAATAGACTCTAACCATTTGATGGAAAGGATCTTCGGATTTCTCTCGCTTTGGCTGTCAGTCACTTGTGCCATCGTTATCTGCGCCATCATCTTCCAATTTAGCCAGGTTTAGTAGACTCTCGATTACCAGACAAAACTTTCAATGTCACTCATACGTTAGCTGAATTATGTTTGTTGAATCGTAACCCAAACTAACGTGCGAGAATTCTCGTAAAACAATGTTTTTCGATCAGTGGCCGATTGAATTATCAACACGACTTTTTAATAAAAAACAAAAAATAACACGTTTTTTTTTTTTTTCAAATTACGGAAACAACATGAATTGATTAACGGCATCATTTGATTCATTTTTTCAGCCTAGAATTAATAATCATGATATTCTATAGAAGCATCTGCACAGTAGTTATACGTAGTAATATAAATGCATAGATTAATTTGTAATGAGTAGAAACTCCATTACGTGAGTACAATAATTCGTGTGATTATTCAAGCACTCATATGCTAAATTTCCATACATAGACTCGTAGTATGTCCGTTTACAAAGTTATCTATTTGGCAGTTTACTGCACTATTAAACTCACCCAAGCCTATACTTATGCATGGCTTGGCCATATTATCAACGTCGAAGTGAGTAAAGTTTCGTTCGTTATGCAATGTTCAAAACTTCATTAATTCAGAAGTTTACTTTTCTCGTAGAGTGAAGCGTGTGTCGATTCCATTTATCACGCGAATTGGACAGGTCAACGCAACTTACGTTTCATGAAAGATGCTTTGATAGTCTTATCACAGAATCCTATGCACTTTCAAGCTTTGAGCATCATAACTGTTCGGCTGGATATGTTCTCAAAGGTAATTGCATTGCTTATTATACGTGATAAGTTACGCACTGATGTATTTTCGTCTACAGATCATCAATAAGTCGGTTTCGCATTTTTTCCTTCTAAAGATGTTGAACAAAAATCTTGAAGCATCATGATGTCGTATGCTTTCGCTCTTTGGAAAATTATACCTTTCCATGGACGCAGTGGTACGTTAAGTTTTCTATAATTTTCCTTTATCGATTCCGAAACTTTACCGTGCATAATTTTCCACTGATGTAAAAATACGAACAGTCCTTTCCTGCTGTAACAAGAAATCATTTATTCCGTGCTTTTCAAACTTTCTGCTGATACACGCATCGGATGATTGTCCGCAATGAGCTTGTTACGGATAAAAAGAGATAAATGCTTGGGCAACTTGAGTGACAGCAGCAATTTTACTTATGTACCGCTTACATGGCTTGATATATAAAAATAATTTTCATACAACTACGTGTAGTTTTACTTTGTTGTGAACTATCTCCTACCCGCTTTATTTCTATTCGTTTCAACAGATGAGCTAAAGTTATAGACATATGGATATTTTTCTCGTTGCACAGTTCGAGAAAAGTTCTAGACTTATAAGCGAATCTCAAAGATAAATCACGTCAAGCAACAGCAGTGTGAATTGATGTCCTTATAAAATTTCTTTAATAGAATAAGTATAATGTTACAAAGGAATGGTTCACGAGTCATTTTCAGGCAGGAAACGAAGAATCTGATGAGATAACATTTTCACATTAGGTATTCGGCAAAGATATCAAAGAACAACTTTTAATTTGTAAACAGATATAAACGAAGGTACGATCACATTGAACAATTTGCTTTTCATACCCAGCATAAAAGTACGAACCCTTTCGCGCTCTAACGAAGAAATGATGATATTATCTTGAAACTTCCTCCTTTGTTCTGCCCACAGTGTGTGTGTGCAGTTAGCTGTAATACGCTTTATAGCATCGAGGTTCATGTATTCATGCTTGGTACATGTATACGTCAACCCTTTTGCTCTGACGAGAAAGTGATTATCCTATGCTTCGAACTTTCTACTGGACCCCGTGTGCAAGTTCTATTGCCAGGAATTAACCTTTCACTGATAAGGGATAATAACTTCTGCAACTTCAGTTCCAGCAGTAAGTTGAAATCTACTTCTATATCAGTTTGTTCGTTGTGAGATGATCGCACGCAAATAAGCCACGCAAGTACGATACGTAATAAGTTTTCACTTCGTTATATACGCACCGTCAATATTTTTTACTTGCCAGAGAAAATAATCAAAGCTATATGACTCATTAATCATATTTTTAAATGTGATATTGAAATCAATACATCAGATGTTAACGGCATTTATCATATCACCTTTTATATATTTTAAGTGATCTGATTAATAAAAACTATTTTTATTTTTTTTATGTATAGTAAGTCGACAGATTTTTAGGAAAGAATCCAATCTGTTATGTTTTGGATGTACAGGCTGTAAGACTAACTTATTCAACGCTTTATTTTTTATTTGACAATTAAGAAAATCGGTTTAAAGAACTACATACAATTATGTTATCTTTGTTAAGATGATAATATAAGTTTAAATATACGGTAAAATTGAAGTCCCTCTTAGCTACGGTATGAAGAAATGTAATTTAATTTCTTCTCCGAATAGAATAAAAGAGATTCGTAGGTTGGACATAATTCTCAGAAGTTAAGTGAAAATATACAACATTCAAATTGTTGCTTCTGATATTTTTACCAATATGATTGCTATAAAACCTTTAAAATACTGTATAAATACTCTAGAGAACCTTCCTAGAGAAGTCACTGTAGAACTAAAAAATTTTAACATAATATTCATATATTATGTAGATAGTTTTCGCATCATTTCAAATTAACAAACCACGTTCATTTTGGGTATACGTCGAATCCCGTGCAACTGATCAATCGCTTATGTTGTCCCATGTATCACAGAGAGTGGCATATATTCTCTGACAGTACACGAGGAGTCGAAGAAGAAAATCTGTGTTATTGTGTACATTCGCTATAAGCTGCGTCTGACATATTTCATGTGAAAAACTTGGAGAGACATCGAATAATGTGTTCAATGCTTTGTTACTGCCACAGCAATTGTTCACTGCTTTCTGATATTCTTGATCATTAAGAGGTAGGCAGTGTGACTAAGGACCAATACTATGGATTATTAGTTAGATAGCAAATAAATAAAGAGAAATTTAATATATAAAGTATGAAGACATGATTCACGTAAAATTAACTTGAAATGCAGTCAAACCTTATTTACTTTAACCAGCTCCTGTTTTAAGATAAAAATCAACAAGCATTCTTATCAATTTTCAATTGATATTATAATAAACTAGGTACATGTGTACGTAAGTATATATTGTACTAATTAAATGTTTTTATGATATGAATTTGCCTTTGAAAACATCATCGCTGTTTTTGAATGTGATGTACGATGGAACACTTCCTAACTGTATGACAGATGTAGATTTATAAAAGAAACTTATTTTTAAACTAAATACTAAACATGCAATAAGACATTAATAATATGCTTTGTTTTCAGTTTTATATTTTCATACAGTGAGTAAATTTTGCGGTGATTAGTACTCATCAGCGTAGATAAATAACGAACGACTTGTGATTTCCATCGACGCAGTGTATCGTTGAAGCTTATTTTTTTGCCTCTATCGTTTGAAGTAAGAAAAAATACGATATCGTCGTATTGACAATCTGCAATATGAAGAGCATCGACAAGATTACATAGCCCTAATACAGCAGAGTTGCAAAACTGAACCTTTTCAAACATTGCCATAGTTATAGAGAAGTAACCACACGCTTTCAAAGTGACTGTTCGTTGCATGAGAATGAATAAAAGGTCCTTCATCAATCGGACGTTTCCAGATCCCGGCCAGTTCGACATGTAAATTGCGTTCTGGTAATTCTCATTCTGTAAGTTTGCACGAACAACATTAGACGAAGAAAGTATAGGGTAAGGTGATGCTACGGATTACGCACTACTTCGGAAACGAGTGAGCCGTAGTAAGCGTAGGTAAAAGACTGCATCAATTTCAAACATACGAAGCCCATGAAATGAAGAGCTCTGGATGAGGTCATAACGTTTTTCATCTAAAAACATGTGGAACGGATATTTGATTATTAACGAGACGATTATTAAGAGAGGATTTGTCGACAAACGCGTCGATGACAATCAACGTTATATAGGCAAACCTGATTCGCCTGCCACATCAAGGCGCACATGACGATCGAATTCGTAATATTTATCCAAATGACCGTGACTCCGTAAGCTCTCTGCAAAGAATCTCTGGCTGTCAAGACTAACTGATGCATTTTCACGCATTCGCGCAGCTGTTCCTTGTAATTTGGATCGCTCGACTGCATATCTGTCAGACGCTGACTTCCGAGGCGAAGCAAACCACACGTCTGAAAGCAGTACAGCCCGAATGCGTTATCCACGCCGTTCGTTACATTCCAAATGAAGTAAACATTGGTCATTTCGAACAAGTAGATCACCCAGTACAGTGGTGTTGCTGACGCCAATGGAAATGGGTATTTTCCCTTTGTCGGTAAATAGAGAAACATTGTAATTGTCACGTTCCATTCGCGTTTCTAATGCGAACGCATCGTTCTCGCGTGTCTTTTAATAATATCAACTTACCATAAAAACAAGAAGGTATCTTTTGTACTTGAATATGTTAACAGTAGGCACGATAACGTACATAGATATCGATACGAAAAGTAGGGTGGCTACGACGTACATGAATCTCGTATATACGGTTATCTTCTCAAGCAGCGCCGGTCGATTCTCCTTCTTTTCCAATTCCCTTTCAAATTTCTGACCTAACTGTTCCTCCAGTATCGCAAAGTCTTCGCGACAGATCAGGCACACGCTCATCTAAATCGTCATGCGTATTCTCGTTTCGTTATTCCGCGTAATCGTCTAGCATTAAAACAATACGTACCTTCAGGATAATCGTGCCGAAGCTAAACACGAAGGTCACACCATTAATTAGCTTCAAGAGGTTTCCGACGTTGGCCACGCAGTAGAAGAACACTTTCGCAAACAGAACGACGGACAAGAACAAGCCGTAGATAGCGGCGATCCTGCTCGGATGAATTCCACCCTGATGTGGTCTGACACCACAGTAGAGCATCCAACGTCCAACGCGATGTTGGAACGTTTTGTAAGTGGCTAACTTTGCCTCCATTTTCATCGATTTTTACGTTTTTCGACACGCGTGCGAAGCTGTTTCGCTTTCAACGTCGTTTGCCGCTATAGCTCTGCGTATTCGTGCAATTCATTTTTGCGATCGCAGTTGTACTTCTCACGTCATTGATAATAATATTTCACTCGTGTGAGATGCGATGCCAGTTAAAATAACAGCAAGCTCAGCAAAGGAAAACCTTCGGTTCATCACTTGCCTTAAACCTCGATAAGATAAAATATGACTGTCGATAAAAAATCAAACATAAGTCTGCAAATATAAAGAAAACCTATTAAGGATATTATATATTTAATAGAATCGGAGATCAGTAGTCCTACTCATAATTATTTTAACCGTGAGTAGCCGACTCGACAACATTGTTAAAATTCATTTTTCATTCATTTTGCAATATCCTGTTGTCAAAGTAGTACACAGTTATATTGCTTAGCTTTTATGAATTCAGTAAATAAAAACTTATATCTTACTTGCTCGTCAACTGAATGATCATTCTGCGCTTGATCCTAATACATATTTATTATCTCCTGTGGCATGAATAATTTCATCATCGACGAAACGGCTGAACAATTTAAATTCAAACAGACTTTAATTGCTTTGAAGCACAACTTATCAATACCCTTACGCAGTTAGACCTCAATCCTTCATTACTAACCTTCGCTTGTTCATCCTAACGTTGACTACTACCCCGGAGTACGATTGTCTCTGCAGAAGCAAAGAAAGCTAGTATAAGAAAAATACTTGTAATTTCGACTTTAAAATGCACATATTAAATGCAAAAATAATAGTTGGATATCCGTGGGAAGCAATGGCAGTGACGTCAGATGTAATAACGGAAAGGGTTGCTGTTCCATCTGTCTTTTGCAAAGTACGATGATAGTTTAATGGCTTGATTGCATTTAAACGCTGCAGTTATTAAAAATAATATCTAAATTCGCCATCGATCTCGTTACTCCTGGCAACCGAGCGGCAACAGTTCTAGTCGACAATATGTACGTTTGTTCGACAGACTTGCGCAATATTCAAGCCAAGCTTCTTTGACCAAGGAAAACAATTGTTTGAAGTATAATTTTAATGTGATATCGATAAACAAGTGATTGGTTATTCCAAGCATTGCGAAACGAATTTTCGTGCAATCATAATGATATTTATGATATTTTCTGAGGAAGTTTAGTGTCTACCAATGTAGACTCATGTATATAGTGTCAATAATTTAAAATTACATTATTACTTTTGTATCTTCATTGTGTACTCGAATGGTTAAATAAACCAAAAAGGAAACAACTTGCAAGGTAAGTCTAACTCTTGAAGTAATATCCAAATCAGAATGAATAGTCGTGTATTTTAATTGGAGTCTCCTCGCTTCGATAAGAAATACGTGGAAGCAATGATTCACTTGATCAGATGCCCATTTGGAAAAAGGACACAATTCAGCTTCAATATTAGTCGTGATATATTCATTGGTGTGCAGCGAAAGGCATCCTTGTAAATCAATCGTACATTATTGAGGTATACCGGATTATCCTGGTGTAATTGCGGAACGCCTTGCATCCGACGAGCTCCACCCACTCGAACGAATTGATAATGAGGGGTTGTGCCGACAAGTCAATGCGTTGACCGCAGGTTCGAATCCGCATCGTGCGCGGCAACGTCATGAGCGCCATTCGTTATTACGTGTACCTTAACCTTTCGCTTGCCTTTGGCACGGCATTTTTTTCATGCTCTTCGCGTTGTAAATTCATTTCGGACTCAACGATGAAAAACGAAACCTCGAGTCGCGCGTATCGATTTCAAAAGTAACGATTCAGAGTGCGCAGCTATGAAGACGAAAAAAATGAAGCGTCGACAAAAATCACGAGTGTTTGCTTTTGGCAGAAATCCGAGTATGTAAGTGTATGTTTGCTCGCACAAGTGGCAGGGGTAATGGTAATGCGCTGCGTCCTTCGCACATCGCGAAGCTATATTTCTCTCTCTCTCTCGCTCTCTCGCTCTCTGTTTCGTTGCTCGCAAACATGGCTAAAAACACGCGCGCGCGCGCGCGCATTTTTTACGAGCGTCGTACACGACGCACATGTCTAGTGCGTAAATACGATTGCTGGTGCCTCGAGCGAGTCGGGATATTTCGGGCGCCTAGCGTGAGAGAAAAAGCGCCGAGGAGGCGAGCGCGCGTTCAGATCCGTCGAGCGCGCGCGAGAGCAGAGAGGAGCGAAAGTGCTTCGTCGCGTTATGCCGACGCGTCGATTTTCGGATCGGCTCGCGAGAGGCCCTCCGAATGGACGTACTTGTCTTCGAGTAGCCGTGGCTGGCCTGATATCATCGCGGGAAGCGCTCGTCCGATGGGCCGAGACTGTTTCGATCGAAGGGCTGCTCCGAAACGCGCGACCTCGTCTTGACAATGTGGCGCGCGGCCCGCCGAGAATGCCCATTAACGCGGCGACACGCGAGAAGCAGAGACGAACGCTCATCAAGAGCCGCGAGCACGTAGAGGCGCGCCGAGATGAGCAGCGCGGTCGTAGTGCGCGCGGGAGTCCCGTTAAAAAAAGTCCCTCGTCTCCTTCTCTCTCGCACCCGCGAGGGAATTAAATTTGTGCCACTTGTGAGATCGCAGCCTACGCAGCGGCAAATGGTGCGCGCGTTATGCGTCATCGCTGGAGTTTTTCGAGAGCAGCTCTCGGCTTCGAGCGTAATGGATTTTCGGCGGCGCGCGATCGACGAAAGAGTCGCGACGTCTTCGCCGCGATTGCGCAAACGTATCGTTGGTCAATTTCAAGACTCGAGCGCTGCTTCGAATCGGCTAGTTGGACGCCTCGCACGTCTCGCCGATCGATTGCCAGAGCGGCGATTTCACTCACTGCAGATAGGATTTTTGCGATCGCGGCCGAATCGAGCGGCGCTGGTATCGTTGCTCGAGGTCCTACGGTCCGTTTGCTCGTATCGCGACCCGCGCCTCGCCTCGAATTACGGAGCGCGCGTGTAAAGCGAAAAATTGCGGCGCGCAAGCGAAAACTGAAACCGCGAGCGCCGACGCTGAATCGCGTAACGATTCATCGACCTCCTCGATCGCGAGATGGGCTCCTCCTTGAACGTTCGACAGATGGCTATTATGCAAAAAGGTGTGCGCATATCTCTCTCTCTCTCTCACTCACTCTTTCTGTCTCGCTCTTGATGCGTATTGGAATGCACCGAGCGGCTTTCGTATATGACATCAGCGCTAGGGAGAGCAGGGGGGGGGGAGAGAACGTCGAGGAGGGAAACCAGCACTCTTTCTCGATTCGTAGCGGGAGTCGGCTACGACAGTCCGCACGTGCGGTTCGCTCGTGCAGTACCCACGCGCGGCCAGCGAGTCGTCGTCGTTCCCCGGCGCGCGTGAAATAAGGCGACTGGATTCACCGGTGTGTTGCACGAGGATCATTTTTATTGGTTTTTCTTTCGTTTTTCATCCTCGGCGCAAATGCGTCGCGCCGGATGAGACAGCCGTGGCAGGAGCAAGCCGCCTTGTCGGCGGGCTCGATTTCTCCGCCAAGTGCGTGCGCTCGCGCGCCGTTAACGCGTTGCCCGAGTGCGCGAGATCTTTCGAATTCAGCGCGAGCGCGCGCAAGAAGGTGCGACGGACGATATACTTTTGCCCTCGTTCCGAATACGATGACAGCGATGCGTTCGCCGCGCGCGCTCTGACGCGCACTCGCGAGAAAGCGTGCGTTTGCCGTTGAAACGAAATTAACAACAAAAAAATGGAAAACGTAAAGCGAACGAGATATGTATACGGCGAGAGATACACTACGCCGTGGGCAATTAACCGCGACGCGCGACTCCGTGCGTACACATATGCGCGTGCACATAGACGAAGAACAAGGCGGTGGCCGTCAAATGCTCGCACACGCGATGTGCGTGTTCTCTCACGTAGCCGTCGCTTAGAGAACTTCGCCGCCGAGGAGAAATTTTCAATGCTACCTCGAGGGGAAATCGTCTCTCTCTCTCTCTCTCTCTCTCTCTCTCTCTCTCTCGCCTCTCTTTTGCAGCATTTACGAACGAGACAGTCGTCGAGCTAACACTATACGTCAGCTTCGAACAAATGATCCTCGCTAATTTACGAACGATCGCTCTTACTTTCACTTTTTCCCTATCGTAAAATAACACGGTTATCCGATTATTTGCATGGCGCGCTAGGAAAAATCAAACGCACTGTAGATAATTGGAAAAAATTCCAACGATAAGATATTACATTCGTATCGATGGCAGATAAATGCTCGCCTAGGGACGGTTTGTTATGCTCTCTGTGTAGATGCGTTATAGTAAATCGTCGTCAAAATGACACGTTGTAGTTAGGGTTACAGGGCAACGCTTGGCGATACAAATCAGTTATGCCAAAGAACGCGACGATCTCCCCGGTGCGGAAGAACCATTAGTCACGCGTCATCGTCGGCGGAACACGACACAAAAACAAAAACTACATATTCCTCTCATTGCAGTGAGCAATCGTTGGTTATACAATAACGCACAGTCAGATATCGCAGCCGACTCCTTATCGGCATATCCTCTCCGGGAGAACGAGGGGGAGAGAGAGAGAGAGCGAGAGGACAAGCGCGCATCCTGTCTATCTGGAACAATAAGAAAAAAATCACATCAGTGATGGACGAGCATCTCACCCACACGGCATAGACGACGCAGTGCTCGCTTGCCCCGCAGTCATGCAAGGAGACGTAGCGACGCTCCTGCGCGGTGAGTTGTTTTAGGCTTTACGCAATACCGCGACAGTTACGCTCGGGTAATTTTCGTTCGCGTACGGATCGCAATGATCGACGCGCTTGCGGCCGTGAAAAAATCGCAACGCGACCTTTTTACTTTTTGTTTTGCGTCGAGCGACGGTCGTTTGCATAGAATGCGAAGCGAGGATAAGAAAAGTATCAACTCACCGGGAATTATTGTAATATTGTAATCGGCTGATCGCCTCCTTGGGTATTACACGGCGAGTATTTTTAATGAGGCTTTGTAACGTTGCGAGTATTGTTGTTGAATTCTCGAGTAATACAGTGCTTCGTGCTTAAAATCTGTTATTATAGAATTGTAATTATGCCATTCTGGAATTTTTATGAACAACCATGCCATTATCTTATTTTCAAAGTAAATTAGTGTTTGTCGAACTGCAAGTCGTTTCATAATACTGTAATGGCGATACGGATTATTTGATTCGCGTCAAAACTGCAAATCGGAGCAAAGTATCATACAGGATTAAACAACGCTAAATATACGATCATCGAAAAGAAATGAAAGAGAGACGCGAATCACTCGCGCAAATCTAAACGACTGACTATGTCGCTGATGAGTCAGCCAAATAAAAAGCCACGACGAGCATCATCGCGTCAATACTACATGTAACGTTATTTTGCAGAGCTCGCGGACTTCCTGGACGGACTGAGCGGTATCCAGCTGCCAGAGGCGATTGAGTCTACCCGCGAGTCTTTGCTCGAGCGGTCGCGGACGATCCTCGAGCACAGCGACTCCCTGCAGCCTTATCTCGACATGAACGTTCGCGCCGAGCTCCGCGAAACCGACCGATCTGCGGAATATGTCAGTGCCGATAGACAACAGGAGCAAGTATAGTTTCTCTCTCTTTCTCTCGATTTTACTACGATCGATCGATCAATCAATCTCTAATTCGGTTTGCGAGAGCGACTCATCGCCCGCGTTAGTCTTGTTTCGCACGATCGAATTATATATCGATGCCCTTTCGTCACAGCGGAGCTCGCTGCAGCACTACTACGAGACTTTCCAGGAATATCACAAGAGCGACGCTAAGGACGAGGGAAGCAAGACTGACCGCAACAGCCCGTTGGACAACGTGGTCTTACTCTATGCCGGCTTCTCGTCCAGCCAAGCGAAAGCGCACTCAGCTAAATCCGGCAGCCTCGAGCATCTCAGACGCGAGCGTAAAGTCTTCGCACCGTTCAATTTCATCTGGCTGAACAGGCACAGCTGGGTGAGTCACCCTTTTTATTCATCAATTTTCGTTTCGCGCTTCAAATGCATGAGGCACGAGAGAGAGAGAGAGAGAGAGCGCGAGAGCGTTTAATTGTCGCAATCAAACAGCTGAATTCACGCATGTGGCACGGTAAGGAAGGCTTTGTTATTACATTTTTGTTATTGTTTTATCTGGCGATGAACGAGGTCAAGGAACGATCAATATGCGAATGTAAATGTTTATTGATTGACTTCTAGCCCGATGAATATCAAACGAAATGAATGTTCAGTGTTGTGAATATATCAACTGAGATTCGAACTTTGATTTCGCTTCACGACAGCTACCGTTGTTTTAAAAATCTTATACGATAATTAACTAGCACTTTTCCGTACGCCAGGTGAGCTTAGTCGGCATTCACCTCCTGCTATTCGCGAACGACCGTGAATCTCGGCCCTACATCGTCATCCCACTTCGTGGCTACAAAAGTCGAGCAGCTCCGGATGCTTTATCTCGCGATCCAAGAAGGAGCGAGGGTGCTTTCGAGATCTACTGCCCTGGCGAGCGAACCTTTCAATTCATCGCGAAAAATTCGCAGGAGATGCGCGAATGGGTAGATGCTATCAACGAGAGTCTCGAGCCTAGCGACATGAAAGTCAAAGTGAGAAAAACTACTTTCGCCGAGATTCTCGAGTTGGAATCGAACGAAAGGAGGTGCATTGAAAGGATAAGAGAAGAGGCCGAGAAGTATCAGGATGTCTTGAACTCGCCGAAGGTTAATATTTGTGAAGAATTCGATTGCGTTTGAAGCAGTTGACTGTAATTTTTGGCTTTTTTTTATTCGTAGGCAAAAGTCAAAGATAAGCAAGTCTCAACAAAGGCTGTTACGCCTGAAAAAGAGAGGGCTGAGGCGACGAAAATCGAGGAAGCGCCTCCGTTACCAGTCAGAACCGAAAGAAGACGTTTGCCCTCGTTACCATCCCAGGAAAAACTCTCGTTTGAGCCGAAGGATGAAATTTACGACGAAGGAGGACTTTACCATAGAATCGAAGATATAAAAGCGCAAAGAGAATATCAGAATTGCAAAATTGTTAAGAGCAGTGCTGCCAAAGTCGTTCAAGAAACTTACGACGACGTGGAAACGTTCGTTGATGAATCTCAGAATGAAAACCCGTCGGAAACTTACGATGACGTTGGTAGTATCGTACAGACCGGCAACGAGCCTGTTGCGTACGACGATATTGTTAGTATCGTACAGACCAACAACGAGTCCGTTTCGTACGATGATGTTCACGTGAGTACACTGGTCGTTGAAAAGATAGCTTGTAATGAAAGTCTATTTTTGACGAGCGACAATTTCTTTCTGCCGCAGATCAAAGCAGAAAAAGACAAATCGCTAAAGCCGTCGAAAGCGTCAAGTGTTAAACGTTCCTTCTTCGAGCGAGTGCGCAATCGCAAAGAGTCCGTCAAGCGAGACGACAAAGTGCCAAAGTCGCCAATATCGCCAAGCCCCAAAACACCGGAGCCTGATGTGCCATGTTACGACGATATTTCGACAGCCCGAGCGATTCAAGAGGAGAATTATTTATCACCACCACCACCTAGGCCAATTTATTCTCGGCCACCGACGATCATCAAGTGTGCAGCTTCTGAGGAGATTTATGATGACATTGATACTGGCAGCGAGAAGAATGGATGTAAAGGTTGTGCCAACGTCGACGTCATCAGGGATTATCCGAGTCAGTATCTCCTATGAGTTTGTAATGAAAAAAAGATGACAAGAGAATATACTAGAAAGATTGAAAATTTCATTGAATTAATAACATTGTATTGTATTACATGCACAAGGGAAAAATACTTTTTGTTTGTTAAAACAGTTCTAATTAGTCATTGTACTTGAACAGTTTGTTAATGTTGAGTTTGTTAATACTATAGTTTAGATAAGAACAAATTAAAATTGATTGCACTATAATTAAAAAACAATAATCTTTAGAGTCGATGCAAAAAATTCAAATGAGTTATGAAAACTATATATTTTAAATTTTACTGGCTGTTGTATTCTTTTTTACGTTATGATCGTTGCTCATGACATTTTCTTATACAAAAAATACAATTAATATGACAGAATGAATAGGGGAAGTAGAGGAAATAAATGACTTTATTGTACTAAAAAACAACTTATTTACTGTTTAGAAATATTCAAGGAGTTTCCATATACTACATAGCTTAGCAGATTTTTCGTGATAATTGTAAATAAATTATTGATTTCAACCATAACGAAAATGTATGTCTTTATTTTCAGAAAACGGTTCTTTTTTGTCGGACCTACAGTTGAGCATCGATCAAGAGCACTACCAAGTTCCAAAATCTGGCATCCGACCCGTGGAATTATCTCAGCCACCGGAAGAGACCTACGACGATGTAGCATTGTCAGAAACATTTAAGAACCGACCACGCGAGACGCCGGAAAAAAGTATGTGGAGTCGCTTTGGCAGCGGTAAACGGCCGAAGATATTCGACCAGGCAAACAGACAGTCATCCGACGAGATCGACGACGGTGATGCTCAGCAACCAAAAGTCAAGCAGTCTATCCAAAAACTCTTCAGTAAAGTCGAGAACACTTTTGGCAAAGCGACGAAAGCCAATGGTGTTACGCAAAGTTGATCCTTTCACGGTACTCGAATCCGATCGTGATTTTAGATCGTAAATAGCCTTTTCATCTTTCGAAAGCTGCGTACGAAAGTAATAAGCATTGATATATCCGAGATTATCTCAGACTGTAGTACTTGTAGCGCGCGTGTGAGCGAAGTCTGAAAATTCATTGTCTAGATTACAAAGCCAATAAGTTTGCGCAAACAATTATTTTGTACTCTTTCACCTAAGTATTAAAAAATATAAATAAAAGCGGACCATGATATTTGAGCGTTGCGATTCAAAAGATTGTGAACTTGTAATAAACGCTAAATTTTTTTTATTATACCACACTACGACTTTTCTTCGTAGTTTGCTCGAAATATTCCAGAAAACCTGCCGCAGAACAAAGCGACTCTAAACTTTGTGCCAAGGAACCATTCCTCGAGTTTCTTCTAATCGGTTGACGTATAAATGACTGCATATCGCAGACTTGTCAGGCCATTCGTCTTTTTTCGCTTCCTCAACCTGTTGGTCAACATCCTTAAATATTTTCTTTCTCATTTCCTGTAATGCAAAGTAAATTATTAGACTTGCATGATACTCAACAACATTTAAGAAAAATATTAGCCGAACCTCAATCTCCTCTTTACTCAGAAGTCCCTTCTCTTCGCACAAAGTCGTAAAATGCTTGATGGCGTCGCTTTGATCCTTCATAGTCTTGACTTCCTCCCTTGTTCGGTAACTCGTTCCGGGATCGCTCATGCTATGACCGTAGTATCGATAGGTTTGCATTTCCATTAGCATGGGTCCATTGCTAACTGCGTATTCTCTTGCGAACTTCACCGCTTCGCGCACTTCTTCCACTTTCATTCCGTTGACCTATCGACAAGAGCGCTTGAAACGTTAAAAACCAAATCCCCGTCACAAATGCTATTTTACCTGAATCCCAGGTATCAAGTCACCACGCGTGTAAAACTTGTCGTTTGCCGAGTGTCGGTGAATGGCTGTGCCCATTCCGTACTTGTTGTTCTCGCATACGAAGATCACCGGCAAACTCCACAATTGGGACATGTTGTAAGACTCGAAGATCTGGCCCTGCGAGGCAGCTCCGTCGCCGTAAAGCGCGAATGACACCGCACCATTGCCGTTGTACTTGTGCGCGAATCCGATTCCTGCCCCCAATGGTACCTGAAATAAATTCCACTTTTGGTACGTGCCGCTTGACGGTTACGACGAGGCGGAACGCGATCGTATACGAGGTACCTGGCCACCAACGATGCCTTCGCCGCCGTAAAAATTGGTCGCGTACATGTGCATCGAGCCACCTTTACCTTCGGAAGCTCCGGTTTTTCGACCCATCAATTCGGCAATTATTTGCCTTGGAGTATAACCGAACATCTTGGCGAACGCGTGGCACCTGTACGCCGTGATTATCGTGTCGTTCTCCTTCATCGCCGCTTTCAGGCCAACTGCCACCGCTTCCTATCGGTTGTTTGTAATCAACTTGAGCTTTACGTATCAACTGAAATTCATACCTGACCGGAGTACAAGTGGCAGAATCCATTGATAAGTCTCGCACGGTACAGCTCGGCTGCTTTGTTTTCCATTCTGCGGATGTAAAACATATTTTCGAGTATCTTGGTTGCTTCACTGGAGGTAAGCTGTCCTGCTGATGGTCCATTGTCCAGTCTATACAACTCGTATTTCTATTCGGAGCATTGGTAATATTTATCACAAACTTATATAACCTAAAGATGGACAATGTGGTCGGAATTTTTTACTCCGCTTATTTCGACAGACTTCGACATCCATCGTCCTGGCAATGCCATCAGTTGTTTTGTTGATTTTAGCAGTTTCAAGGATTGCAAGGACATTTTCGTTAAGTTTGAAAAAAAGTTGCTGATATTCTGGTCGGGCAACTATACATTTGTTTACTTTTGGCTAATGAGACAAAAGTGAAACACCTGTCAGTATTTACTTAGTGTGATGATTAAAAATTATCGTTCATCAAGAAGAAAATATTACTACTAAACAATTTATAATGCACAAAAATATTGTTGTTTTCCATGGTTAATGAAAACAACATTATTATTTGATGAATATTAGTTTTATTTCAGTCATTTATTAGTTTAGAAGCAATATGTAGTCAGAAAAGAATGTTTTTTACAAAACAAAAGCAGCTTTATTCGATATTTAAGAAACATTGTAGATACCAAATATAATTGAAGTATTTTAATCCTTTGTTTACGATGATCCAGAACTAATAATTTAAACAATCTGTAATGATCTAAAATAAGCTTAACGCTACCAAAGTAACGCCACATTTCACTTTCCCGTCTTTTTCAAAGTCCTGAGATATTTAATTATCAGAAAGTGATGAAATCCATAAGTAAGCTTATCTTTGCAAATATGGTATAAACTAATAGAGCACTGAATAAATAACATTTGATCACTGCTGGCGTGTACAGAAAATGAGAATTAATTTATTATTTATAAACGAGCGATTTAAAATTAAAAAACATAACCAGCTGTATTTTATTAAAACGACTGTAGTTATGCTAATGCAATTTTGACAATGTGGCAATTGCAAAATTTTCACGCGAATCGACAAAGAATTTTCCCCTATTTTAGTTTCTGGCATGAACCATTTGAAACGATTTAGATTTACGATGAAATTTGTTTCTGAAGCTGGCGGTGAAAAATTTATTAACTCGAGATAACAACTTTGGAATATGATTAATTTAGAAATACCATTTAGTTCATTAGCTTAACAATTTCAATTATAATTTGTTCAGGATGATTATCATTGCACTAGTATTAAGGCAGTACTTGGAAAGGGTAATTTACTTTTTCACAAATTTTACTGGCACACGTAAAAGTAGATCCGCCTGGAAAAGTGATCGCACCCGCATTTATCTTCTTCAACCATTTCGGCTGACCGCTCATGACGAAATCCTGGAAGCAATATGCTGCGGTCAATCGCATGATATTTGCTGATTAAGCTAACACCGTAAAAGAGCTACTGTTCTGTAAAGACACTCGATGCAGTATACTCTCTAAAGCTATAGCATACTCGTTGCTTATTATGTACATAGTCTGCTGTTGGTTTCGTCGATTGATAAAATGAAATATAGCTGTCGATTTTCTTAGTTTTTACTTATATATAGTAATATATTTATTCGAGAATGTACATTTGCTAATTAGACAGTGTTTCAATATGAATGTTACCAGTGAACAAAAATGTTTTACTAGAAAACTTACATTTTTTCAAACATTGTAATATTTAATGTGTTTAAAAAATTAGAAGAATGAAAATAATTCCAACTGAAATGCAAAATACATTAATTTTATAAATACACTTTAGCGACGACGGATACCTAATCAACTTACTTTGTACAAACCAACAATATAATAAATTACTGCTAAAAGGTGGCTCATTTTAAAAACTATAGATTATAAACACATCGGCACTTTATTTTCCGCAGTTCAAATTCTTCGATCTGATACGTAAATGTAGAACAATATTTTATTGTTAAGTTATATGCAACTAATTATACTTATATAATCTAGATTTTAGAAGTAATATTTATGAGTATTATTTAGAGGGATATTATAATTTAAAAAAATATAAAGGTGTTTTGATCTTTTTGTTTGACATTTAACTAAGTTCAGGGCTTTTATTCTTTTCCTGTCAGCCATGTAAATTTTCGTAGGTCAATGTAAACATCAACAAGTTAAATTCACCTACTAAAGTGCAAGGTACAGTCATAAATAACTTGATAAAACAAATGTACAACAAGTTTTAAGCTCGGTATCACAAGCGAAAACAATATGGTAGCCGGGGAGGACAAATTGACAAATAGAAACTACAATCCTCAAAATACATCTCACATGGATTATGAAATGCAACATTTACGTGAGAAACTCTGCCGTTTGGAAAAGATGCTATCGCAAAAAGAGAAGTGCGGTATTAGAAAAACCGTAGACATTGCATTGGAGAATGAGAAAAGTGAGATTTAACGTTATTTACTTAATTAAATTTTGTTAGGTTAACTTATTATTTTGAAAGACGTTATTATCTATTTATTCCTTCACTTTCGTATTCGACCGCAGTCTTCTTTACGGCTTAGATTATAACATTTTTTTAAAATAAGGAAAATAAGTTTAAATTTATTTAGCAAAGTTTTCAAATCGATAGCCATTAACTTTACTTACTTAACTGTTTCTATCTTAACGGATCTTCATTTGATATTCCCAAAATTTTTTTGGTAAATACAAGGCACTACTCACACAATTCCAATTAACGAAGGCGTGGAAAATGAAGAGCCCTTTGGTAAACAAATTCAGGACATAGAGTATACTGCTGAAGATTACATCAGCCAAATTTCTGATTTAGAACAAAAGTTACTGAGAGATGAAAAATTTTCGGACAAAGATTACTACGAACATGTAACAAAAAAGTTATCAATTTTAGAATTATACAGAAATTTAAAAATGCTCGAGGAAAATCGTCAATATTTTTATAAAGAACCAAAAAAATTATCTGAATTATATCAAAATAAAGTTGGAGCGGAGTATGAAACAAAAAATCATTATCGTCATTTTTCACGTAAAAAGGGCAAAAAGCAGTTGATATATGGTCATTCTTGCAACGAAAATCATAAAGTGAGCACCTTAGAACTTAATACTATCAAACAACTAATATTTTAAGAATGTATATGATTTTTTAGCACAACAGTTTGACGTATTGCAGTTGTAGTGAATATGAAAATAATTTGAGACAGAAGACTGAAAGAAATAAATTAAATGTATCTTCAGAGACAGCTCATAGACAAGTTCCCATTAAAAAGGCAACATGTCGCTGTCCTGAAATTTCATCATCATCAGACGATTCGGAAGAATCGTTTTACAAATGTTTGCACATGCCCAAAGATTATTATAATGAATTGTAAGTAGCTTAACGTCGGCCATTTGCTATTATTGTGATATTATTAATATTACATGAAATTCTAGATGCAATTATAAAAATAAAGATGAAGTATCTGAGTCATCGAACGAAGATCAAACGACGTGCAGTGAAGTATCGAAGTGTACTTGTTATTGTAGCAAAGATCATTCACATGATGAATCGTCAGAAGCTGATTCTGATTGTGATTGCGATTGTAAAATGAGAATTTCAAGTATGATCATTTAGTATCCATAAAAATTAAAAAATTAAAAAATATTCATATATATAATACCTAGTCTTCTCTATAAGTTTATGAAAATAAAAACAAGACTCGACCAGAAAGATTTCGTGGAGGCTTGGATGTGATCAAACCCATAATGGAGAAGTCTAAGAAGTATGATATCAATCTAAAAGAACAGGGAGACTGTTCAATATCTGCAAACGATTTGGTCGATAATTTAAAGGTAATAAAAGTAACTATGAATTTCCTAAGGGTTTATAGTGATTGTTTTTTTGTATAAAAAACGTCAATTATTCAACACAGCTCTTGAAAGTCGAAGAGCTCCGCGAAGGACTTGAGCGTCTGAAAATCCGTAATCGCAATCTCAGGGACTTTCTAGATACTCTTCAACGTCCAATAAACTTGATTGAGAAGCCATCCGAGGCAAACACTATTTGCACGCAAGTTTCTAGTTGCTATACTGTCGATGTAGCTAAGCAGACTCGTAGTGGATTATTGACCGTCGTTGAGGTTCTCAAAGGAAAATGTCGAAGTAAAGATGCGATGATTGTAGCTCTTGCTGATGGATTGAAAGTAGAAAGCGATAAAAAGATTAATATTTTGGATACAGAAAAAGATAAAGTCAGTTACTTTGAGCATAGAACACGTATAATTTCATTAATTTCACAGATTTAAATTTACAGATTATAACAAAAAACAAGTCCCTTATTAGTGGCATGATTGAAGAAAAGGATAATGGTCGAAAGTTCACCAAAAGAGATTCAGCTATTGGTTTTGTATTTTTTTTGATGATTTTGATATCTCACGTGAAGAGATCAGAAATAATATCTTATTTAAGTGCAGCTAAAAATTTTTTGTTAGAGTCACCGTTCAAATTGGGTTTACTTATTAGTGAAACGGACAACTTACTCATCGATTTAATATTTACTTATAATCGAGACTTTGTATACTCGTTTAAAAGATTTACGAAACATTTAGTAGAGAGGTGGGCAAATATTATGCTACAACTTAATCATCGGTTTAGCTCCTATTATGCACCCCTCCAGCAGTTGTTCAATATTTCAAATAATTTTCTTACCGCAAACTATTCGTATGTATTATTTGGTGTTTGTACTATTTTAGTTGGAGTTACATTGATAAATATTAAGAAAATTTGGACAAGCCGATTAATAATCATTAAAGAATATAGAAGATTTTCCATTATTATTGAGTCTGTTGGCGTCAAACTTGCAAAGCTTATACTAATCTCCTGCCAACAAGTATTATCTTCAAAGATTTTCTGGTTTACCTTAGGTTTCTACAGTCAAATTTTATGGAACTCAATACAAACTGACTTTTATCAATTCTCAACTATATTGAATAGCTATTATGTCAAGAATACAGGACATACATTGTTTCAACATTTAAATGAAACTCAAGAAGTAACCGACTATAACTGCAAATTATTTGATAAATTTCATTCTTATTCTTGGCTAATATCAATATTTTGCAATGAGTTTCAAAGATTTGTTAAATATTTATGCTATATCATAAAAAATGTTTAAATTATATGTGTTATTTGCAACACCTCTTATAATAAAGAATATATTTGTTCAAATATTGACATATTTCCATTAATAAAGATATGAAATATATTTGAAAAATTGAAAGCATCTCATTATTTAACTTACGAAATATCACTTGGTATTTTTAAAAACGTAGCAAAAAACTCAGTCCTGTTGTTTTCTTTTATCGAAAGAATAATTTTACGAAGATATTTACAAAGGTATCAGTTACGATGGCTCAGTTTTCACATTTTTTTCTCTTATGTGAAAGTTATATAATAAATTATTATTATATTCTTTCTCTGTTAAAAAAATTTAATTATTTAAACATGAAAATTATTTACCTATATCGGCTTTTGTGTAATAGATTTATATATCAAATTTTGAAAGAAATTACTTACCGATACGCCGATATTTTTTTAAAAACAATGCCCTACATTACAATATTCATATATTTGTGTGTGTACTGTGTATATATGTATATACAGTTTCTTGCAAAAAAAAATAAAAATCCTCCATTTGCGTATTTAATTATTCATCAATATTTAAGATATCTCAATTTGTAATTTTTCATCAAATGTAACATTTACAATAAGTCAATAGTCTCAGTCAAATATGTGTGCATCTGGCTATAACGTATCATACCCACCTTTCTATCAGACCGATTAATTTTAGAACACTTACAATTAGAACGCATCAAAAATTAAACATTAGCAAGAAATACATTCTTCTTTACCAAATACTAAGATTATATCTAGTTATCTCCACTAAAACTGTCTGCGTATAATTGATCAGTAGAGATAAAAGACACTGAAGCGTCTCAAAGGATGAAAAAAATTTAATTGGACGTACATATTTCATTGAAATATTTATTAGATGAATTTCATCACATAAACTCATCAGAGAAGTCTCATTCACTCTGTTTTAGTATTTCTCATATGCAGTTATTGTTAACACCTTGCAATTACGACTCTTCAGTAAACTGAAATGTAGGTTAAGAAGTTCGAATTCACTTTATAAAGTTTATAAATCGATAGCTATTATGTTCACTTACTTTGCTGTTTCTATCTACTAAGTTTTCAATCGATGCACGTTAAACTATTTTGGCAATAACAAGGTACTATCCACACGATTCCAATTGATTAAAACGTTAAGAATGAAGAGGCCACTTACACAAGTATATTTGCGAAAGTAAAGAACGGTCAAAAGTTTATATACAGATACTCGTTAAATAGCAATAAAATTGAAAAAGAAGAGGACTTAGAAAAGAACATTCTTATGAGCATGATAAATGAAAATTGTCAATTTCTCAACTATACAGGAAGGTATAGTTGTAAAGGTAAGGACTTTGAAAAATATTTAAAATATTTCCACATCTAATTAAAAAACTACTTTTGAAACTATAAATAAGATATTACAACAAAGAACAGTTTATATCTGTTTATTGTCCAAATGAGAAAGGTAAAATAATATGGTTATACTAATAGTAGGACTTTATAAGTAAACACTTCAAAAGTTCTCGTAATTTTCTTCTTTGCTTTAATACTCTTTGTTTTAACATGTTTAAAAAACTTAAGGAAAGTCTGAAAGCGACAAACTTTTTGAAAATTTTCAATGCTCTTCGCTAGTAGAACCGTTACTAAATTTTGAATCAAGTTTCATGCTGCATCTTAAAAGAGTATTTTAATGACTGTTATTGATAGCACTGATGTCTCTTATAATGAGTAAATTTTTTAAACACTAGCGCCATTCTAAATAAAAATGTGAAAAACTTTCAACTACTGCCATAACTGTTCAAATTATCAGTCGTCTTCTGGGAAAAGATAAGAAAAGCCTTGACTTTGTTCCATAACAGGCTCTAGTTTACTCTTAAAAGAAATTCTATATAGCCCAGTCGATTTGCGCGGTAAAATTGGTCGACGTCGAAGAGGCTTCAGCGAAATATCAAAATGAATACGGTCGGTTTTTTTCTCTAGAACTTCGTTCTGTGGCTTTAAATAACCGTCTGATTGTTTTTGTGAAAGAAAGCTCGATCTAAAATAAATTTTGATACCTTAAATATTCACATCATTGAGTAAAATATTGGATATCTTACTTTACGGTAGGGATTCTATAATCGTATGAATATTTTGGTGGCAATGGTGGGATTTCACGTAAGTTGTAATCCGAGAACTGCTCATCTCGTTCTTCAATTTTGTTATTTTCATTTATCGTTTCGTCGCTCTAAATTCAAAATGTATTTTACTAATTTGTTCTGCGTTAAATTTAATTTATTTTCCAGTTCATGTAAAATGAATAATTCAAAAATTTTATACACATGAGTTGTTTTTATTAAAATTTTCGAATACAAAATAGGTTGAATTACACCCGTTAAACTCACTTTGTCAAAGCTCGGCAACATTGTATCAATGTGTCTAAAATGATTATTATCCAATTTGGAATACGAATCATTTGTTTCAACATCTGTTTTTGGCCGAGTTTTTTCTTTAATGTCCATTATATTTGATAATTCAATGTGTATGTCTTTACTCGTTGTAGTTAACGAGGCCGTGACAGATTCAATATCAGTGCAACTCTGTCGTAAATAAAGTCATTAAACATCTCAATCTCAATCAAAATGTTCAATCATGAACAGCAGGCCAGAATTAGAAAATGAAGAAAATAGCAAGCAATTAAGCATGAAAATTGAGAGCGATAAAAATTTTATAAAATAACAGAGGTAAAAGAAAATGAACGGACAGTGTCGTGACGAGTACGGTGAACGAAGTTTAATTCGTTCGCACGCGAAGTTACGAATCGAGGACGGCAAAAAAAGAAACAGACTAATCTTCGCTGACGCTTAGAACGATATCTCGTCAATCAACACCTTAATTTTATTGGTTCTTTAAATAGCACCTCTGTATTCCTTTGTTTTGAGGAACTTTGTTTGAAATGTAAAATTGTCTGTATCACAACAAAATTACTTTTCTTATTTCTTTCATCAACCTGACACTTAAGTAATTTAAGATTCAAGGCACCGCGAGGGACGTGTCAGAGTAAGTAACAAGCATGACATGCGACGGAAATAATAGTTTTTGAGTTATTGGATCAGTTCTAATTGCTTGGAAATGATAGTCTCTGTCGTAATTTCCCTGGCGCCACAGTAGCGCCAACTCGTCCCACCAGCGACGCGCATCACGTCTACGCGCCTCCCTCACCTGCATCTCTATCGTCATTTCCTCGTGTTCCAGATGCTTGTGGTGACGTGGACATGGTGGCTTCTCACGAAGTACTCTTGCTATCGATGAGTGCGTTGGCGCTGTCAGACGTTCAAATTGCACCTACAATGTAAAACAACAAGCTTATTTCTGTTGAAAAAGTCTTCGATTAAAAAATCTACCTTGTCTTTCTTGCGCCCTTTTTTACGGCGACCTCGCGCAGCATTTTGGGATGTCGGTCGCACTTGCTGAGGTTCCGGTGTCTTAAGAGGTCTGTTTGGTTCGCCAAAAACACCCTTCGCCTCGGCTACTTTGATCATAAACAGCGAGTTGAATTGCATCATCTCCTTACGCTTGATGACGACGATAAAAGAGCCTTGATCCACCAATTTGCTACAGTCTCGGTTATATAGCTCATTCAGGTCACACATCTCAAACAAGTCCGATTCTGGGATCTAATATCACGATTAAAATCTCTTTCAGTCGTAGCTGATTGAAAAAATAATACATACCGGTATATAAGTTTGCCGATGATTGGGCACTTTTTTATCAGCGTCGGTGCTCGATTCTCCATCCTCCTGCGAGGTTTTGGCAAGTTCTATCGACTGAGATCGCTTGCACTTGCTCTTCTTGGTGGTGGTATCTCTGGGTGGTGATTTTGTCCTTTGCTGAAAAAAGGCAATCGTTGTCTATAAGCCTACCTCGAGAACTACCACTTGTAAATAATCTTACGTTACCGGATGTTCGCGTTGGAACTTATCCAAAGCCAGTTGGTTAGCGTGATCGACCGCTTGTTCGATCATCTCGCTCGTTTCCGACGGCAGAAGCGTGTGTACCTCGTACACCAGTAGCTGGACGTTCGGCCTCGTCAGAGCGTACTTGAGCGTAGCCATCTGCTCGACGAGCAACGTACGTGGCTGTTGCGGCGACTCAGCTTCCAGACTCGTCAATGATTCCAGTAGCGTCAAGTCGCCTCCTCGAGCAATCGCCAGGTCCACTACGTCGCGAACACCGGTGTAGCTGCAAGGTGGCGTCGCCAGAACAATCGTCGCTCGTTCAACTTCCGGCAACGGAGGTGCCGACGTGTACCTATCCACAAATAAAAATACACCAGTGTGAACGTATTCTCTTGCGACTGCAACTGAGCAACTGGCAAACCTCTCGGAAAAAAGTTTGCATTGCTGCAGTGAGATACCAAGTCTCTCGAGGTACGTCTGATGCTGAACTCGACTGTCGCCCAGTCCGAAAGCCAATAACCTGCCAGCTTCTTCGACATCCGCCAACAATTCAGCCAAGTATCCGGTATGCCTGGGCGCTAACGAATGCGTGAGTATCACAGGACCGCAGAGCCTTCCGGCTCGGATCGCTTGAACGAGAGCCGCTGCTCCAACGCACAGGGACCTTTCCTACGACAAATCAGCTGATTAAAGCGAAGCCTTTGCTTTTTTACTCGCCGGACGGAGGACTTACTAGAAACACGAAACTGTGGCTCTTCACGAGGTGCGACACCGCTAATTTCTCTCGAGCTTTCTCGTGAAGATTGACGACTTTCGGGCACAACGGGTCGAATACATATTGATCCTCCTCGAGCTCGTTGGCAGTCGAGCAGCTCAGGCAAAGATTGAGCCCGAGCTTACGCATCTCCTCGATGAACTGCCGGCGACTCGATAACTTGGCGCTGTTGACCCACCCCGATGCGATTGCACCTTCTTCGCCCCACGTCACGCCTTCGGCGGTGCGCAAGTGCGCAGGTAACAATTCGTCTGCGAGAATCGAAAGTTAAAAGCGCGCGATTTTTTTCGTCGACGTCGCTGTTATTGCAGATGGTGCGTTTGACTACCTAAACTGAGAGCTGATCCACTGATGCGTAATCGCGACAGACTGGCCGCAAGTCGCGTTTTCAAATCGAGCAGAGCCTTTTCGATCTCGAGTAAGCCGGCTTCGCGAAGCGCGTCGTTGCGCATGGCTATCGTGGTACTGGAGCCAAGCCGTGCGAATTTTCGACCCTGCATGTCGTACAGCAATAGCCAAACGACTTTTTCTTGCTTCTTCAAATTAGCGTGATGCAACCAGAAATCCACGTCGTCTAATGCTCGATCTAGAATGTGCTTGTCTGCAAATTAAAGGTTTCTCATTTGCATGTGTATATTTCATGTGACGGGTAGTGTGAGTGAAACCGTAGCGAGACACTGCTTGTTCAAATAAAGAAAAGAGAATAAAAAGCTCCAACCGACATCTCAGTACGTCGTAAACCAGTCCAAAAACTCTTCTCATCTCGGCTTCGTCGGTATATTGTTCCTGCGGTTGATTGGTCAGTAACTTGGCAGCAAGTAAAATATCCCGAAGTCTCCATCCTGGGTCTATGCAAGCTTCGAGTACGAGTGAGGCAGACGAGATGCTATCCGAATCCAAACGTCGACTCGATCTTGGCGTGAGTGGATAAGGAACTCGGATGTTTGGTTCCCAATCCCATTTGTTGCTAATGCTCGAGGTATCGAGTTTGCGCCGGGCTGGTGATTTTGTCACCGATGGATCCGTATCGTTCATCCTGATGAGGTAGGCGATGTCGTTACATTTTGAAAAGAATTGGAGTTCTGAAAGTTCTCCCTCGCGGTGTTTGTGGCCGAATGGGGTTAGGATTGGTATTTGTAAACTGTACGTTGGTGGTTAGAGTTTTGTTATTAGAAGTGCGTCTTTTTTTTAAATGAAACTTCGATTGGTCCATATTGAAAAGTGCGTTCCGTTACGTTCAAATCGTAATCAAAAACAAAAAATTCAAATCGCTTTGAAACTCAAGGTAAACAAAAAGAAAGTTTGAAAGTAAATAAACGTAAGTAATATTATGAAATAACAGAATAGTCCTTACGACATCTCCTCACACTCGTCACTAGCCAGCGCATCGCTCTCACGTTGTAATTCGACAAGCCTGTAGTAAACTCTAAGCCTCCAATCTTCGTTACTCGGTAATACAAGGCTCTCGAGTTGACGAGTGTATTCATCCACCTCGCTGCCCTCGTTCACTTGACTCGGGCCAGAGCCGTTCCATTTGCTCAGCAATAACCGAAAGATTTTGGCGTACAACGAGAACAAACTCGATCTTCTCAAACTACTGCTCCCGCGAGGACATCTACGTCGAGTTGTCCCGCTCGGATTAATCAACGTCGCAAGACAATTGGCGTCGATCATGTTTCCGTTATCTAAAGCGAAACTCGTCAACTCATGTCGCTGAAAGAAACTCGCGCGATGAGAGCCGAAAAACAACTGGGAGGCTTCGGCGGAGAGCCGCGCAGCTCGCGTGTCGGCGAAACGTCTCGCTTTGCCGATCATAAATATCCTCGCACCCACTCTCCACGCCCCCGTGCCCCATTTTCGCGGCGGCTGCGCCGACCCGATAATATTCCCAGCTGTTGCTCGCGTGAGAAACGCGTGTGCATTATGTATCGACTTGAAAGCCGGAAGTCTTTAAAAGATTGCTAGTAATTGCTTGCAAAAGCAATAACTAGCTTGTACTTTCGACACCCAAAACACCGACTAAGTAGCACCCGTTGCCCGATTGAGTCACGTTCAGAACGTAACAAGTTCAGAGCCTCGTTTGCCGGAGCTTATCAATAAGACGCGATGAGACTTGCATTTATCGATTACAATGGGAATGGGTGTTTTGCACTTGAAAACTTTGCGAGTAGTTTGCTTGCTTGGCGTTTTCGCGCAGCATATTTCAATTGAATCATAACTAATTGATATTTTATAATATTGTAGGCCAATCTCTGATCAACGTATTCTCTGTCATAGCAATGATCATTTCTTTTGGGCGAACGCTATCGAGCTATCTGTTTCCAACAAAAGAATGCTGTATTCCATTGGATTAAATTACTCATTTTATTTTTTACGACGTCGATTGAATATTGCAAAAAATTTGCCGGAAGTAAGTCAATCATAAAAATGATCGTTGAACGAAACAATGATTGCCACCATAAAGCCTCCATTAAACTGTTTACCCGAACGTCAACAGACCGACTGATCTAGAAAAAAAGAAGTTACGTTCCAAGCTAAATTATACAATGTATATTCATAAAGCGATAATAGTCGAAATTCAATCTAGCAGCACAGAGGCCGTGAGCGCGAATCGAACGATGTCGTCGCGTGACTCAGAAGAGAGAGAGAGAGACATATAATTTAAAAAAAAAATCCGCTCATCGAGGAAGATCCTTGCTTCCAATTGTGCCACTGTTCCACTTTCGTAATTGCACTCTTCTCTCGGATTCGGCATCGATCGTACGGTAGCTCGCGTGGGCGGCGCGGATTGAAAAGTTACGGTGGCTCAGATATCATCGATTGTCACGTGTCGTTTCGCAATTTTCCGCCCTCGAGTCGAGAGAACACGGCGAGTGATAACAGGACGACCGAGTATTTCGGGGGCGATGTACGTACACGCGGATATCAGTTGATACAAACGTACACGCCAGACTATTGGCGCTTCCGTGTCAGTACGCGCAACACGTTACATCGAGCTTCATTACAAGACTCATTTCCGCCTTTTTCGCCGCACTGACTGGTGGCTTTGGCTGCAGTCCACTGAATCCGAAGCTTTCGTTCGCACCTACGAGATCGATTATCGATCAGCTGAAAAATGCAATTCGCGTTAATGATATTCGTCGCGTTAACGACGCTCCACTGTCGTACTCAACAATCCTCTCCATCGATCGGTCGAATTTAAAAGCACGTCGCATTTGATGACGGCAGGGTCGCGTTATTATTCATGAGATATCGTATTTTTATCCATGCAATACCAATCCTCCGATCGTTTCGCGACCTCCGGAACTGAAAAATCGAAGCTGACAATAAGCACGTACACACGAGACACGTGAAAGCGAAATTCATATCACGGGCACATGAGGTCGGCACGCGAAATTGACACCTAATGTCCCGAAGACGAAGGAAGTAGAGTGATCGTTACCTGTATGCACGAGAGACAGCCGCTCGAAAAGCAATAACCTCTACGAGAGAGAGGGAGAGAGAGCGCCGCTGGTGCACAATCATTTTCCGTCCGTGCGCGCGCGCGAAAGCTCGCGTGAATCGAAGCTAACGTCCGTACGGCGAAACTGCACGTCGCGTGGCGGCTATCCAACCCCGAGGGTTATCATTGAAAACTCCTCGCTGTAACGTCTACGGGAGAATGATAGGGGTATTACGCTTGTGGCAATTTTCTACAAATTCTAATTCGCAGGGCTTAATCGCTTGCTAGAACTCTTAAATCATCTTTGTCGGGTATTCGCGCGTAATGGTTGAGCTTGGACCAGAAAGTAACGAAACTGATTTTAATAGCTGAAGTTGAGACAAATATGCTGGCGACAATTTTTCACCGCGAATCAAGTAACCGATCCAGACGTATAACGTTCAATACTGGTTGAGAGGTCGAACCTTATCTATGTTAACAAATATTTTGCTTGCAATATATCAGAGCGAAAAATTGCCGGCACTTATCAATCAACGATAGCGTAGATTACACGAACCGTCATCAGACTGCATTCTTTGTTGTCCGTGTCGACGTTACAGGTCAATTTCATCTTATGTACGCATCGTGGTGAAACTTGCCTCTCAAGGAATAGTGAATTTTACGGTATCAAACACAGAAATCGTGAGATAGTACGGTCATGTGCACATTGAAACGTTCGCTTATTCTGCGCCCTCCCCCCACGCCCCCATCCAGTAAAACAGATGTACGTATATTGCGTACGTCGACGAGGGGGATAACGTAGTTAATCTTTACAACCAGGAGGCTTCTTAACTGGGAACCATTTATCTTGTCACTGACAGTAGTTAGGAGAAAAATAAGCGTTGCTGCTTTAAAATACACTGCGTACATTTATCTATGGCATGACGTGATTGTATTAGTACATAATTGGAGAGTAACGTATCTCGTCGTCAGAGAACGTAGCGAGCTCTTTATAAATTTCAGCTTCTTACGAGATGTCCGATTAGAAAATCCTTAAAAGCCAACGTAATTTCGTTTTACTGGGGTCTTGGAGGTGAATACACAGATGATGTACAACTTCTTCGAAGAGATGATATCTTTTAACACACTGGGGATAGTCGTGCTGAGAAAAGAAAATTTGATCAGTGGAAAAGAAAATTTCCCCATTAATGATCTTCGCGCAAAAGATTTAGCTGATCATTGTTTGATGACTTTCTTGCTCTATACTTAGTGGTTCAATACGTATTCTCTGTGAGACAATGTTGAAGCTAACAGTAAGACTTTTCTCTTTTTCTCTCAAAAGCTTTCAGCTTCGCGGTGATGATGAAGTTTTCCCATTTTCTAAAAAGACCATAGATTCGTTTAGACTTCATACAGTTTGTATTTTCCTTAATATTGACAATGCGAGAGAATGGAGTGTAATAAAATATTAAGAAAAAAGACATTCTACAAACCATGCGATGGAATTGGATGTGGCTAATAAGCGAAGCTGAGCTGCATAATAAGGAGCAACGATGGTGGCGTCCAGTTGAAGCAACGAATATTTCCTGTATGTAGAAGCTGCAGCAATGCTTTGCATCACAATGCCATTCTTGAGGGACAGTCCATTTCCAGATCGAAGTTATCCATCTTTTTGAAGGTGCTTCTACGAGCAAGATTCCGAGGCCGTTTATTTAACGTGTTACTTGAGTCAGGTGATCTTTGAGTCGCTATTACTTAAAACATAACATATTTTCAACTTTTTTTTCTTTCTACGAAATCAATACTTGATAATATCCGCAGGGAAAAATTTGAAATCTTTATCGATGAGCACTAATGACAATAGATGATAACGGGATCGATTATTGACTTGACAAACTACGTAACGGATACCATATTCCTCGACACATATCACTTCTGTGCGCAGCTGCAAATTCTTCAAAACAACGCAATGAATCTTGGCTATGATGATCATTTGGGTAGACGTAATTGCCTGATAAGTTTTATTAAAAGACAGCAGACAGAAATGAGGTCCATTTCATTATTTTTCACGTTTCCAGAGACTCTTCAAATTCAATATAATACGGCAAATTCACAAAGGAGCACCCAAGCGTCGCAGTAGATATTCAGTTAGTTGAGCTTGCAGCAGATTTTGTCGAGCTACCTCATGATCTGTATGAACGGTATCAAGCTAATCGTCGTAAGTTATATCGACATCAACGTTGATTTATTTTGCAGTACATGTTCATTTGCAGTCGTTGAATAAGCAAAATGCCAAAGTAGCATTGTATCTGGTAGTACTAATGCTCACCCCAACGAGGCAACGAGCTGATTGTTCAAGTAAGTTATTATCGTTACGTTTATTCGAGTGTTACCGTATATTTGGACGATTTTGATGTAGAGCCAGTCACTCGATGAGGCGATTTATCAGTCTGCGTGGATAAAGATGGATAAACGCTGCATATGAATAACTTCGTCTTTGTGATTCAACGAAGTCAAATACTACTCGACATCCCCGCTAGCAATATCTACGTTCTCTCGTTGTGGAACTTCGCGAGGGCAAGTAATCTGCAATAAAAAATGTCTGATCTAAACAGAGGCGCGTTTTCGCGCGACGCGCCGCGTACAAAGCAGCCTCGCGTTAGCAAACGTAAGCTTCGTGTGCAACTGTCATGAAGAGGTCACGCAAGCGTAAAATCACTTCCCTTTCGCGCGCGTCCAGCTCGATTTGACGACGCTTCACGCGGGATGAAGCCAAAGGTGTCACGACGGCCAACTACACGAATCGGCGAAACAGGCGAGAGGAATGCTCATAACAGATCGTTCTGCTAATCGTTAATCGCTGAAAGAAAAATATTACCAGAGCAGCATTCTCGCGAGCGACGGAAAAGTTAGCTGTCCATTGGCCGATTCATCGATCATGACCAGAAGCATAATCTCACGCCTCGTTTATTGACTACTTATGATTGTAACGGTAACCTATGCATTTTGCAGATTGTAAAAACGTCAATGTCTGGTCTATCAGTACTTCAAGCAGTCTACCGAAGCAACAACTGAAATCTTTCTGATGACAGGCCAAATACAGTAATGTAAAAAATCAGCTTAAACTTCAATTGTATGACTTGTATGTAATTTCAAAGGGGTAAACATATCGCCGACTTATATATTATAATGGTATACATCATTGAAATGGCGGAGTTCGTATGTTCAATCTGTACAGAAGATTACGCCTTCCTGGAAGTCGATAGCTGTTATCTGTTTTTCAATTTAAAGTGCTACGTTTTGAATAGAAGCGCAATACAGACATGCCTTTATCGAATGGCGAGTTGAGCAATCTTTTTGCAGAAAAAATTTGGTCTTGCGTCTATGCCATTATTCTCCTGTTTAATTTGCACGTGCAGGCTTTTCAAGTGACGATTCGCTGCGCAGCAAGACGACCTTTTCCGTTATTCTGCGTACTTTTCTATCTATGTCGAAAGAAAGCCCAACAGCGAGCTTGAGTTGAGCTGCGAGCTGAAAATTAATGCACTCCCACGCTGACTGCCCAACTATAATGAGAATAAATAAAATTATGCGACGGTTTTGTAATCTCGTAAGATTTCAGCACTGTTTAACATATAATCAATAACTTGAGTGCAATCGAATGTCTGCTAGAATGTGCTGCTTTTGATTGCGACCACATATTCGTAGCCGTTGATGACCACTAGTTCAGCGTTATTTATTCGTTGGCTAAGAGAAAGATTTTTATACAACAATAGCGCTGCAGATTTTTATAACACACAAAGGATCGTGCAAATTGTGCGTTTCGCTGGCCGCTTGCACACTAGCATGGTGACTTTGTAGAATATTGAAAAACGAATTTGCTGGAAATGCGTTTAATTGAAATACCGCACAATTGTAATGTTAGGCCTGATTTGTTGAAATGATTCCGATAAGTGCAACAGGCGTGATCGATAAATTTTAATTCTTTTTGGCTCTATGAGATAGTTAAAAAATGTATTGTGAATTGTAAAAAGTGCAGCTTGAGCAGAGCGTGCGTAAGATCTACGTAACATTAGTAGCGCGAGACACTTCGTGGTGTCTTGCCGATGGGATGTTTATTTTGCCATCAGTGTCGCTTACCATCCAGTGGAAGGAAATATTGCCACTGCTTAGTAGCTCGCGTTCGAGCGGATCGATCATATCCTTTGGATCGCCAATCAACGTAATAAATTGTCGACAAGGCTTGCCTTCCGCCAACTCAACGCGATGACAATGGCTGAAACTGCTTTTGTGACACGCGAGCCGTTTAGCTTTGTTGCGCGACGTGGCGGGACGACCGTATACGTCGGCGGGCGTGCTCGAGATGCACTTTTAATGACGGCGAGACTTTTATTGCAGCCAAGGCAGGAAAAATAAGCGCGCCTGCTTTAAAATTCACTGCCGCTTTTTTTCCTAGCTCGACCGTTCAAGCATGACGTATAGCACCTCATCAATTATCAACCGGCAGAAGAGCAAATTACAGGGGAGCTGCATGTCTACAATGTTTCTCGTCGTCAGCCGATGTCACGAGCCTTTTAATTTGAAGTTTGTCGTGCTGCAGCTGCCGTCATCGAGAATTTTTAAAAAGTTACGACGCGACTTAGTTTCACCATGGATATGAAACCGGACACACAGATAATGCAAAAGTTTGACGAGTGCATGTTCATAAACAAATTGGGGATGGGATTCCTGGGGATCTGGCCATTGGACGAACGAGCTTCGCGATTACAAGTGGTAACTGCGAAAATTCGATTGGGCATGGTATACTTCTGTATGATATTTATGTTCAGTGTTCAGTGGATTGACATTTTCTCTCTTTGGGGTAACGTTGACGCTAACACTGAGACTTTCCTCTCGAACACTTTTACTTTTATGGTCATAATGAAACTCTTCAGTTACGTCAATTACGAGGATATGTTCTGGGTTCGTTCAATAAATCTTAATATACGGATGCTTTACTCTTTATTAGCGATTACGAGTATAACTGATTGATTCAATGTAAAAAGGACATTATGCAATCCATGCGAGCGAACTGGCGGAGGATAATGACTGAGGCTGAGCCACACATCAAGGATATCATGTACAATTCAACGGCGACTGCACAAAGCCGAACTAATAAATATTTGGTGGTGATGATGATCACTGGATCACTTTACATCGCACGTCGTTCTTGAGGGACGATACTTATCGAGATCGCAAGTATCCATTTTTCGGGAAGTACTATGTAGATCAAGATTCCGACGTCATCTATTTCATGTGCTTCATGAGCCAGGTAAGTTCCTACTCGTTTAATCGTTATGATCAAGTAAATTAATCGATCTGTGAGCTATTTATCGAACATACGAAATGCTCACATTTTCACGACTATCGTCCAGTATCAAAATTAAATTTACCTCCTCTCACCTGAAAATTTTATTGCACCCATTGACTAAAATAACAATTATTTTCAATAAACATAAATTGCGATAGATAATAACGGGTTCAATCATTGGTTTGACGAACCACGTAATCGACACCACCTTCCTCATATGCACGTATCACTTCTGCGCTCAGCTGGAAATTCTTCATAATGAATTGATGGCTTTTGATTACAACGATCATTCAGTTGGGCGCAGCTACCTGGTTAGCCTTATCCAAAGGCATCAGGCAGAAATCAGGTACATGTTACTTTTTAACTCAGTTGTCGGGGTGTCTTAGTGAAATATGCCAAATTTATAAAGGAGCGCCGAACCGTTGCAGTCGATGTTCAGCCAAATAAGCCTGCAACAGATTTTGTTTAGCTGCATAATGATCTGCGTGACCGGTTTCAAGCTGATTGTCGTGAGTTATTGAAGAATCATTGCTGATTAATCTCTTTATACTAACAGCTTATTCGTTTCTAGTCATTGAATAATCAAGATGCCGAAGTTGCAATGTATTTGGTGTGTTTAGTTCTTACCCTTCTACAAACACTTTGTTACTGTGAGCCGGGCAATCAATTAATTGTTCAGGTGAGGCGACTAAACAAGTTTGATGCAGCATCAAACAAGCGAATTGAACCGCGAATTCATTTCATTTGTCATGCTGTCCATTCAAATTCCACGATCCTGGAAAAATTTATTGATATTACGACATTTGAATTGATGAGTAGTAGCGCAATAAAATTTTTATCCAGTGAAAACCAGAATTACAGTTGGTGCATATTTTCCATAGAGTCAATCACTCGACGAGGCGATATATTAGTCCGCATGGGTCAAGATGGATAAAAATATAATTAAAATTCTCATCTTTATGATTCAAAGGAGCCAAAAACCACTTGCTATCACTGCTGGTTCAATCTATGAACTCTCGCTGCAGAATTTCATGCAGGTAGGTGTTTTGAAATTAGATGACTTTTTACTTGGGATCGCTCCAAAATTACGTCCATAATAATTATACATTTATAATGGATTCTGTTATAGATAGTAAAAGCGTCGATGTCCGGTTTATCAATGCTCCAAGCAGTCTACAATCGTAAAGAGAATTAAAATTATTTTTTTAAAAATTTCAAATCACCACAGTAATAATATGAACAAATATACTTCTTCTCGATATCGAAAATTTTCATTGTTGCCTTTTACCGACCACTTAAATTATATGGACAAAGGAAGAAAAAGTGCACACTAGCAGATTTTTTGTGATTTTTATAATTAGATTTCAATTGAACGCAATATTACGTACTTCTGCGATAGCAGCTGAGCTAAAATAGGCGTAGAAAAAGTCTGCATTAGTTTCATGAAAATATGAATTACAGCAAACGTCAGCTTAATCGTTATGTCATCTCCATTTTTTGCCTAAATTAGAATAAAGATTATCATCCCTTTTTGTGTTTCACAGTGGAGTTGGTGCCCGTGCAAGCATACCGCAATAGCCTCTCTAAGTACGCTGCACATTACAATGGTGCCGACAATGTAAATTGCAAACATCAATGCTACTATAAGTCTTCTTCAAAGTCACCTTTGTTGTAATACATTAATGTCATTAAAGCACTCGGGCTGAAATCGTAGAAAGCCACTGATTTAAAAGTAGTGCATACTAAAAGCATCATCCGCACTGGCCATTTCACAGAATTAAAACCTATAGTCGGCTTGTCTACAAGACTATGATTACTCAAACTGTGCCTCTTGATTCCATTTGAAATGGGCATTTTTTTAAAATCAACACTTTGAGTTGATAAAATAATACGATTTGTCTAATATTTAACCTACTGCAAGTAGTTTACTATTGTCAACCGGGCGATGAGCTCATTAGCCAAGTGAAACTACTCGACGCATGCAGTAAAACCAACTTAATTAGCTAATATTTTTTAATTTTAAAGCCAGTTGCTCGATAATGGAATCTATCAATTTTCATAGATCGACTGTGACAAATGAAGTAATACAAAGACTATAAGAGCAAGTATTGAAAAAAAAGAATATTTATCAGGGTATAATAATTATATAAATGGTTGGGTTGTTCTAAAAATTAAAATTATCTAAAATAATTTCTCAATGATAATAGCAAATGACACCATAGTAGTTGTATTCATTTAATCAGTGATTTAAGTCCTCTACTGAAGGGATTACTGAAGTTATAGTAAAAAAAATAGTAATTTTCAGATTATACCTCATTGTAATGTAATTTTGAATGGATGAAAAATAAAAGGTAGGAGTAGCAACAGCAGTTACATTAAAGCAAAAAAATACATCTAAAATTAATCGTTCGGTAACTTTCACGTTAGATATTCTCGAATAATATTTTTCTAAAATAATACATAAAGTATCTGTGAAGAGTATATAATATTGGTTTCATCTATAAAATATTTTGTGTAGAAACAACAAAGTTGAAAGCGTAAAATAACCACAACCTTATTTAATATTCCGAGCTAATAAATAAATAGAACTCATGGCGATGAATCAAAAGGTGAGAAGCTAAAAAATTCTAATTTTTCGAATCAACAGTTTGTAGCAAGAAAAAGTACGATAGCGTTGTGTTTAATATCTGAAAAGTTAAAAGTAAATGTTATTCTTGCCTTATGCCCATATCGTTTCCATTCAGTATTAATGTGAAACCTGCGCAATATAAACGTTACTACCTTCTCAAACATTTCCATAGTTATAAAGAAATATCCGGAAGCTTTTAAAATAATTATACGCTGAGTATAGATGATCAGAATATCTTTCATCATCCGTATATTTCCGCAGCCCGGCCAGTCAGAAAAATAAACTGCTTCTTGATAATTTTCACTCTATTGTAAATAAAATCCATCTATGATATATATGTTATTTTATAAATTCAATGAAGATACTCACTTCCTGAGAGACGCGAGAGCCATAGTAAGCATAGGTAAATGCCTGCAGTGATTTCAGCATTATGTAGCAGATAAAATAAATTATTCTGGCGAATGTCATATCATGCTTCACCTGAAAATAAACGTTATTCTTAATAGATATATCTTGGTCGATTAAAAATCCTTGAACAATACGTGATTTAACTTCTTTTCTAATTACAATATTTTAACATTGAAGTTTTGAATGAAAGCTTTGAAATCTTTCATCGCAGTAATTAATTATTTGGGCATAGACTTTATTCATAATGAAAAACGTACTTGATCCACTTGCCAGAGAAGACTGCATAAAATGATCGAAATGGTGACGTAGTTCCAAAGAACAATATATCCATAGACCCTTTGTAGACGATCTTTTGATTTGATAACCAACTGATGTATTCGTACGCACTGTCGTATCTGTTGTTTGGATATCGGATCGTTTGGTCGAAATTGTTTCCAGCGTTGAGCTGCAAGTCGAAGTAGACCGCAAGCTCGAAAGCAGTGTAAACCAAATGCATTATCCACACCGTTGGTGATGTTGAATATCCACCATATGGAGCTTGCCTCGTAGAAAAGAAGAATCCAATAGAGTGGCGTAGCAGGTGCTACCGGAAATGGATAGTTACCCTTGAAAAAATTAATCAATTGTTCTATTTTATGCATTTGTTATCATAAAAATATAAAATTATTAGATTCTACGGTACCTCATAGATAAATTCGTATTTTTTATACTTGAACACTCGAAAAACTGGTACGTTATAGAATAGAATTGCTGCCATAGTAACAAGACCGGATACTCCGTACAAGAATCTCCTATACACAGAGATATCTTGAAGTAATATTTGGCGATTATCTGTATTCTCCAATTCCTCCTCGAATGTTCTACCAAGTTCCTTGCCTAGCACCACCAGATCCTTACGATACAGTAAGTAACTCACCATCTTTAATATATCATTATCTTCAAGCAATTGAACTCTCAAAAGCTATTAGAAGGAACGTACTTTCAGTGCCAACGTGTGCAAGCCAAAAGCAGTACTAAGGCTTTTGACGAATACCGACACCTTACTGATGTTTGCAATGCAAAAGCTCGTAACTTTTAATTCATAAGCGGCATACATCACCGCAGCTATATATGGGATGATATTGTAGCAAAACGATGTATCTTCGAGATGTGGCCAGATTCCACTCCAGAATAACATCTTGTTGATATGATCTCGAAACGATTGGTATTTACCCAGTTTCCCGTCCATGCGTGGTTATAATTTTTTTTCTTTTATCTCTACGCTTTCGAAAAACAAAAATTAACGTTATATTCATCGCGTGCTTCTTTTTTTCATACTTTTAAAAATAACATTAAAGTTCTCCCCAAAGTTTACCTCATAAAATTAAGACTTTAATATATGCTCTCGATTCATACGTGAAAGGTTTATTTCGATTTTTAATTATTTCCTCAATAATAAACATTAGGATTGAAACTTTTCTAATTGCTTTTTTTTGCAGTTTTATCTTATCTTTATTTTTCTTGTATAAAAATTATTACATAATGCTGTTATAATTTTGTAATAATAAACAATTCATTACCTGATTTTGCGAGTGAAAATGAGAATTGTTCAAATAAAAAATCTAGCTTTATGAATCTTCGCCTAGTTGTTAACAGAAGTGGCTACATATTTCAGCTAATATGATAAAATCACAAAATTAATTAATAGATAGTTAAAAGATATTAAAATTAGCAATGATCAAACACATTTCCTTTCTTTATATCAAAATTTTATTGGACTCTCATAATGTTGCTTGTGTTCTTCCTTATAGTGTATTGGTACGACCAAATATTGACTATAGTCGTACTATGTACACTTGTCTCTGAAGAGGCAAAGAAAGTTCTTCCTGCATGAATATTATATTAGCGGTTTCTTTTAAAATGTACATATAAAATGTAGAAATAATAGTTCGCCTCTTCTCAACCTCTTGACACTGACGTCGATGTAATAACTGATAATAGTTCTTTTCAAGAAAGGGTTAAGAAAAGTTGTATGTATCTGGTCAGCAGTAAGATGATAACTTAATTGTTTGATTGTATGTAGCATTTAAACGTTAATTATTAAAATAAAAGTCAGTTATTAAAATAATTTCTAATTGATTTTGTTACCCTAGGTCAACATTCAATCTTGGAGATGTCTTCCAGACAGTATTGAAAGTATTAGTCTGCGAGAGTTACACTTAGTAGAATACGAGTACAATAAGGTTGGCTTTCAATCTGCAAATCAGAATCTGTATAAAATGCAGGAAAAACTGTGTGCAAAACGCTGGTTAATAGCTATGTTATGGATAAAATTTACTTTAAATAGGTAACGTATATTTAAATAAACGTAATATTAAAAAAACAATATACAATAAATTATTAGTAATACATCTCGTATAACATATTATATGACTTACAAGACATAACTGTCATAGTTTATGATTCTATCTATATATAATTCTTCTAACGTTTATCCAGTAAAAAAAACTATATTAAAAAAATAATTTTAAATCAATTAATAACACAGTTCTTTAATATATATATATATATATATATATATATATATATATATATATATATATATATATATATATATATATATATATATATATATATATATATAATATTCTTTTATATATATATTGAAGAATTTCTGTAGAATTTACTTTTAATAGGTTCATTTATACAAAGAATATTACAAAAATATTTTCAAACTTAATTACATGCACTTATTTCTAGCATGCGATTACATTTCAGAAGTATACAAGAACAAAAAGAGTTTTGGAAAAAATGTTTTTATACATACATTCGATCTGATTAAATTATAGTAAAATAATTATTTTAGTAAACATTTCTAATAGAATGAGTATATTATGCTTTGTCATAAGAATTATTAGCTTTTTAGCAAAGATAATAAAAATATCATTACTAAAAACTAACGATGCACAAATCTGGCTATTAAGCGTTGTATATAGCGTACAAGCATAATTTGCTCTGCATAAAATTGCCTTATGTTTAGTAACGTTTCCATCACATTTATTATCAAAATTTACGTTGAGGAAATAATTTTCAAGTAAAATTGCTTCACCTGAAAATAAATGCTTTTCTTAATACTTGGATATATCTTGCTCGAAAAAAAAAATCCTTCGCCAATTTACTTTTGGTAGATACTTACGTTTACAGTGATAGCATTTACTTTGTTATTATTATTGTAACTTCAAGCACTATATCCACGTGGAACGCTGCAGAGGTAAAGTACGAGAACAGGTACCTGTACGCATTAGTCTTGGTTCCCTGTAGTCATGAATATGCAGACTCACTTCCCCCTATGTAGATAGACTTAGGTGGAAAAGTTAAGCACTTGCGAGAACTTGAGTACGAATATAACCCCAGAAGACCAAGTTACAAAGATGTTGACTTTACTTTTACGGTTTACACCTCATCTCAAGTATCATATTTCATTATTAATTAAAAAATCATAATATTGATACTGCGATACCGTAAAGATTTGAAAAATTAATGCATTCCACGATAATTCAAATACCCAAAATGCCAAATACATTCTCAAGCTTCTTTTTCGATGTATCAAGTACTCGTATATATTATGTTTCTGAATTTAATCTTCTATTCGTACCGGTCCTTGCGGTCAGATTCTCGCGAAGGCAATGTAAATCTGATCGATAGTGAATAAAAATAAAAACAACTCTTAATACTTCAGATAATCGATTAAATAAAAATTTGAGTCTCACCTTCAACAAGCATTATGTAAAACTAATTCAGAATCGATGTCGCGACCCGCAAACTAGTAGGCACATAGCGAGAACCGCACCAATATTCTATATACGATAACACGGCTTATCTCGGATTCTTCGAAAATCTTGACTTTTTTTCAATTACTGTACAAGAACGGAATTAAAAATCTCTTTATAAATTCCATTCTTCCAATTTATTCTTGCCTATCTGAACGAAGAAACCGTAGATTTAAAAAAAAAAATCCTGATGTACCAGATTGTTATTAATATGAAAATGAGTATTGATGAGGCTGCCTATTATAATTATCTAGAATATTCTACTAAATTAAGAGAGACAGCTGTTTTTGGTATACCTTTCATGTTTTTATTATATGTCCAAAAATAAACAAGGGAGGCAGAAATTGAAAACAACGTAGTTCAAAGAGAATTATTATTCTTCCTTTCAAACTGCGTCAGAGATACATATTTTAAATTACTACCGCAACTCTAGTTGCAGAAGCCTTTATCTTTTTTCCGTAGGAAACTCATAATGTAATATTTTTGGAAAGGTGGGTGCAGTAGAAAGTTTGAAACATAAGATAATTACTTTCTCGTTAGAGCAGATACATTGATATTTTTATACCGACCACATAAAGCATAAAACTCGATACAACCGTAGCATAATTATCTTTTATTCTAAAAATAGAAATAAAGTGCACAACACGGCACAAAGTAGAAAATTACAAAACATAAGATAATTATTTTCACGTTAAAGTGAAAGGGTTCGATTTTTTATACAAAGCGAGTGAAGTACATAGCTTTGTAAAATCATATCTCCATTATTTTTGCCTTCAAATGGCAATGAATTGTTTCCGAGGCATTTTAATATCATAGGTTTCTTTAATGCCTCTGCTTAGCAGCCCGCGTTCGAGCGGATCGATCACATCCTTTGGATCGCCAATGAACGTAACGAATTGTCGGCGATTGCCTACTCAACGCGTTGACAATGTCTCTTGTCGAGCGTTTATCGAGCTTACGTCAGTTTCGCCACGGACACGACAAAAAGCCATCGATTCGTGTAAGCCCGACGACAATTTCGCGCGCGACTTCAAGCGAACTGCTTAGCTTTGTTGCGCGACGGGGCGGGACGACCGTATACGTCGACGAACGTGTACTCAAGATGCACTTTTAATGACGGCGAGACTTCTTGTGACCGAGGCAGGAACAATAAGTGCCTGCTTTAAAATTCACTGCTGCACTTTTTCCTGGCTCGACCGTTCAAGCATCGCCGGCGCATGGCACCTCATCAATTATCAACCGGCAGAAGAGCAAATTACAGGGGAGCTGCATGCCTACCATGTTTCTCGTCGTCAGCCGATGTAACGAGCCTTTTAATTTGAAGTTTGTCGTGCTGCAGCTGCCGTCATCGGGAATTTTTAAAAGACGACGCGACTTAGTTTCACCATGGATATGAAAACGGACACACAGATAATGCACAAGTTTGACGAGTGCATGTTCCTAAACAGACTGGGCATGGTTGTGCTGGGGATCTGGCCATTGGACGGACGAGCTCCGCGATTACGAATCGCAACATCGAAAATTAGATTGGGCATCGTATACTTCTTTATGATGGTTTTGCTCTGTGTACAGTGGTTTGACATGTACTCTCTGTGGGGTAACGTTGAAGCAAATACCGAGACTTTCCTCTCGAACGCTTTTACTTTTGCGGTCATGATGAAACTCTCGAGTTATGTCAAGTACGAGGATACGTTCAGGGTTCGTTCAACAATTCTTAATATGCGGATGCTTTACTCTTTATTAGTGATTACGAGTGTAACTGATTGGTTCAATATATAAAGGACATTATGCAATCCATGCGAGCGAACTGGCGGAGGGTAATGAATGAGGCTGAGCCGCACAACAAGGATATCATGTATAATGCAACTGTGACTGCGCGAAGCCGAAGTAATAAATATTTCCTGGTGACGGGAGCCACTGCGGTACTTTACATCACCATGCCGTTCCTGAGGGACAGTTCTTTTCGAGATCGCAAGTATCCATTTTTTGGGAAGTACTATTTCGATCGAGATTCCGACGTCGTCTACTTAGTGTGCTACATGAGTCAGGTGAGCTTCTATTCGTTTAGCTAAATATTGCTATGACCAAGTAAATTAATCGATTTGTGAGCTGTTTATTGAACAAACGAAATGCTCACATTTTCACGACTATCGCCTAGTATCAAAATTAAATTTACCCTCGCTCGCCTAAAAATGTCATTGCAGCGGCTGACTAAAATAACAATTATTCTCAATTGGCATAAATTATGATAGATATTGACGGGTTCAATCATTGGTTTGGCGACCCACGTAACCGACACCACTTTCCTCATATGCACGTATCACTTCTGTGCGCAGCTGCAGATTCTCCATAATGATTTTATGGATCTTGATTACGACGATCATTTAGTTGGGCGCAGCTACCTGATTAGCCTTATCAAAAGGCATCAGGCAGAAATCAGGTACATGTTACTTTTTAACTCAGTTGTCGGGGTTTCTCAGTGAAATATGCCAAATTTACAAAGGAGCGCCGAAGCGTTGCAGTCAATGTTCAGCCAATCAAGCCTGCAACAGATTTTGTTGAGCTGCCTAATGATCTGCGTTAACGGTTTCAAGCTGATTGTCGTAAGTTATTGGGGAATCAGTGCTGATCAATATCTTTGTACTGACAGCGCATTCGTTTCCAGTCACTGAGTAATCAAGATGCCGACGTTGTAATGTATTTGGTGTGCTTAGTTCTTACCCTTCTACAAATACTTTGTTACTGCGAGCCGGGCAACGAATTAATTGTTCAGGTGAGACGACTAAACAACTTTGATGCAGCATCAAATATATAGTTAGGTTGGCACCAAATAGACGAATTGAACCGTAAATGCATTCCATTTGTCATGCTGTCAATTTAAATTCCACGATCCTGGAAAAATTTAGTGATATTATAACATTTGAATTGATGAATAGTAGCGTGATTAAATTTTTATCCAGTCAAAACTAGAATTACAGTTTGTGCATATTTTACCGTAGAGCCAATCACTCGACGAGGCGATATATCAGTCCGCATGGATAAAAATGGATAAAAATTCAATTAAAAATCTCAGCTTCATTATTCAAAGAAGCCAAAAACCAGTTGCCATCACTGCTGGTTCAATCTATGAACTCTCGCTGCAGAATTTCATGCAGGTAAGTGTTTTGAAATTAGATGACTTTTTGCTTGGGATCGCTCCAAAATTACGTCCACAATAATTATACATTTATAATGGATTCTGTTATAGATAGTAAAAGCATCGATGTCCGGTTTATCAATGCTCCAAGCAGTCTACCATCGGAGAGACAATTAAAATTATTTTTTTTATAATTTCAAATCACTACAGTAATAATTTGAACAAATATACTTTTTCTCGATATCGAAAATTTTTATTGTTACCTTCACCGACCACTTAAATTATATGGACAAAGGAAGTAATTGTGCATACTAGCAGATTTTCTGAGATTCTTTTAATTAGATTTCAATTGAACGCAATATTACGTACTTCTGCGATAACAGATGCGAGCCAAAGCAGGCGTAGAAAAAGTCTACATTAGTTTCATGAAAATATGAATTACAGCAAACGTCAGCGTTTTTGCCTAAATTAGAATAAAAATTATCATTCCTTTTTGTGTTTCACAGAGGATTTGGTGCCCGTGCAAGCATACCGCAGTAACGTCTCTAAGTACGCTGCACATTACAATGGTGCCGACAATGTAAATTGCAAACATCAATGCTATTATAAGTCTTCTTCAAAGACACCTTTGTTGTAATACATTAATGTCATTAAAGCACTCGTCTCAAAGAGACAGCCACTGTAGAAAGCCACTGATTCAAAAACAGTGCATACGAAAAGCATCATCCACACCGGACATTTCACAGAATTAAAACCTGTGGTCGGCTTGTCTGTAAAACAATGTCTTAAGAGGTAGATTGTCATTTATATGAAAATAAGTATTGACGTGGCTGCATATTACAATTATCCAGAATATTCTACCAATGTGAGAGAAACAACTATTTTTGGTATATCTTTCGTGTGTTTATTACATGTCCAGAAATAAACAAGGGTGGCAGAAATTGAAAACAACGTAGTTCGAAGAGAATTATTATTCTCCCTTTCAAACTGCGTCAGAGATACATATTTTAAATTACTACCGCAACTCTAGTTGTAGAAGCCTTTATCTTTTTTCCGTAGGAAACTCATAATGTAATATTTCTGGAAAGATGGGGTGCAGTAGAAAGTTTGAAACATAGGATAATTACTTTCTCGTTAGAGCAGATACATTGATATTTTCATACCGACCACATAAAGCATAAAACTCGATACAACCGGAGCATCATTATCTTTTATTCTAAAAATAGAAATAAAGCGCACAACACGGCACAAAGTAGAAAGTTATAAAACATAAGATAATTATTTCCACGTTAAAGTGAAAGGGTTCGATTTTTTATACGAAGTGAGTGAAGCACATAGCTCGATAAAATCATACCTCCATTATTTTTGTCTTCAAATGACAATGAATTGTTTCCGAGGCAAAATGTCATATTATATCATAATTTATATCATAACTTTCTTAAATCTTTGCTATCTCTTGGAGATGTTTTCCTTTTCAATAATTTACTGTTTATACGATTACAATTGCATGTAATCTTGCTGATCTAATGGAATCAATTCTTTATATTCTTTTTTGCGTTTATGTTTGTCAAGATTTACAGATAAAAATAGACGATTCTAAAATTCGTGCAAAAATTAACGCAAGTCAAAAATTTCATACAAGTCTTAATAAAGTGTAGCATGAAAATAACTAGGTATATGATTGCTACTTATAGTAAACTCTAAAATTTGTACGAGATGAGAAGGTGAGATAAATGATAACAGCTAGCTAACGGACTCAGGAACAACGAACCACAAACTGCAGAAGAAAAAGCTTCTTTGTATGCATATATCATCTCTGCGTACAATTGGAGATTTTACAAAACGACTTAATGGATCTTGGCTATGATGGTTACCTAAATGAGCATAGTCAAGTTTGTCATTGTCATTGTCATAGTGACAAGTTTTATAAAAAGCATCAGACGGATATTCGATATACATTACCTTTTACATGGTGACAGTTTCTTCGGTAAATAATGTTCAAATTACAAAGAAACGCCAACCGAGCAATGAGCTTATTATCCAGGTGAAATTACTCAATGCGCGCACTAAAATCAATTTAATTCGCTAATATTTCTTAAATGTAGAGCCAGTCACTGCAATGCAATCTACCAATCCTCATAAATCGATTTAGTTTTTCGATAAGAAATCTTTTCTTCGTAATACAAACATGTCAAAAGTCACTTGTAATCAGTATAATTTGCCTTCTAATAATAATTTTAATATGCAGTTTTCAATGAGGATAAGTGTTGACAATGAAAAATTTTCACAGTATGCAATAATTATGTGAATGATTGGACTGTTCTAAAACTACAGCTAAAATAATTATAAACAGTTAATGATGTGACAGTAGCAGTGTGTTTTTTCCAGATAATAAAAATGGCTGTGTCCAATTTATCCGTGATTCAGGCCTTTTTTTCGAAGAGATTACTTAAGTCATAATTAATACAAAACAGTAATAGCAGTCTGTCACAGTTACATTTAGTAGAACGCAGATAAATAGATAAGTTAGCTTTCAGTCGAAACTAAGAATTGAGGAATATTCTTTTAAAGAACTTTTAAAGAAATAATTTACAGTGTTTGTAAAGAGTTTACTTAAAAAACAAAAAGTAGATCAACATACTAGTAACCAACCTCATAAAAACTAGCTTGTATTGATAATTCGTAAAAATATTTATTGGAATTACTTGTGACCGTAAATATCTGATACAGTTTTTATCCTACTGTGATGCTTCCTCTAAAGTTTGTAGTAAAAAGAAATATGATACCGAAGTATTCATGATCTGAAATAATCAAAATCAATTAATAACATAGCATCTTCATTGGTGTATTTGAGAATTTTCTTTGAATGTACGTGTTGGTAGATTTATTTTCATACAGAATTATATAATATTATATATTTTCAAAATTCTTTCCTCGTACTTTCTTCTATCGTATAATTAAGATTCAAAAATTAATTAATCTATGTTAAGTAAATTAGACGATCTCCAGTAGTCAATTTCTTTTAGATTTAAAAAAAAATTTTTCGAAAAAATTGTACATTGTGCATACATATTCGATATGACAGCAAAATAATTACCTTAGCAAACATTTCTAATTGAATGAGCATACATCCTTTCGCTATAAGAGTTATTGGCTTTTGAGCTAAGATAATAAGAATATCATTTCTCCAACTCGCGTTGTATAAATCTGTCCATTGAGCTTTATATACGGCATCCAAGCATAATTTGCTCTACGTAAATTAAAAAATTGACTTACTTTTGGAAACGTTCTTATGATATTTACTATCAAAATTTACGTTAAAGAAATAGTTGAGCAAGTAAAATGAAAGTTTTACGTTTATCGGATGCTCGCATACTTACTTCTACAGTAATTGCATTTCCGTAGACGGAAAAGCTAAAAACTTGCAAACATTTGAGTACGAAATACAAGGCCAGGAGACCGAGTTGCAAAGATGTTGACTTCGCTTTGACGGCCTACACCCCACCTCGGAGAACAGATTTCATTATTTATCAATAAATTATAATTTTCATTCGGCTGTACCTGAGTGATTTGGAAGATTAACGTACATAAGACGACAGCCGCAGTGACGGCAAACCAAATGGTCACAATGCCAAAAAGATTCTCAAGCTTCTTTTTTGATGTATAAAGCATATGATGTCTCTGAATGCAATCTTTAATTCTGATTAAGTAATCTCCACCGCAGGTTAAATTTTGGAACTTATCAGCCAGAACTCTTAATTGACCACACATCTGCATCGAGTACATACCAAAAGAGCAATCAACTCCAGCAGTGACGAACGACAAGAATATTCCTGTTGTCACCTCGCACATGTAAAAAATCCAATGCAGCAATCCGGTGGGCTTACCGACGAAAGGATAAATCACGGGAAACACTCGAACGTATTTCCCATACTTAGCCCAAGCAATGAGCGATATACTAGCGTACAGAGCTATAGTACCAAAAGCAGCGACTGTGCCGACTAAAAAAAACTTCGAATACAATGATACACGAGTCAACAATTGATGTCTCCTATCTACATCCTTCATATCCTCGAGATACCTTGCGGTCAGATTCTCATGAAGGTAAAGTAAATCTTGTCGATGATGAATGAAAATGCACACCTAAAAGCGAATCTCGATGCTTCGGACAATCGATTAATCGGAATTCGAGTCTCACCTTTAAGCAAGCAGTACACAAACTGATAGCCAATCCAGCCCCCTTGGTAAGCACGATGATATTATTCGCATGATGAAGGCAAAAATTGAGCACCGCGAGCATGGCACTCAAAGTCGTGAAAAAAGCTATGAAAGCGAGGACTCGACTGACCACTCGATTACCAACTGGCCACAAACCACAATACCGAAGCATGACTTTAACATTGCCCACGTACTTCTCGTACTTTCTTAGCTCCGACTCCATTGTGTCGCCGATGTAATACTGCTTGATTTTTGGGTTAGTGCGTGCACGCATCGATCGTGCGATGCTTAAAAAAACTTTCATATCGGACATAGAGCTAAAATTGGACGTAGTCAACCCTTTAATTATGCGGTCGAGAGGTTTAAGTATAGATCTGTCAAAATAGCTTGTCCTGAATCCGATAAGATATCGGTTGGAGGGGGTATGGAAAAGCTTCAGTCGAACGATGGAAGTTGAGATGGAACAATGTGCATTTGCTGCGTACATTATTCATTTTCTTTCGTATGATATTTCTAACGACTCTAGTTCCAACTACAAGTTTACATAAAATTTTGGATTTTCGGATTTCCGGACTTTTAAATTTTGAAATAAGATCCTTGGAATACCAAGTACGATGATTATAACTATCTACAATTATCGTCAATTACTTTTTATGGTAGTTTGTTTAATTATGTTGGAATAAACTGCGCACACTGGACACTTGGAAAGGAAATCCTGCATTCTTAATGACAGACAATTTACGGTAGCAACAAATGATTCATAATTCTAATTAAGTTTATCCGATCGAAAATAATGGTACGTGGCTATTTTTCGAGAGAACACGTGATTGATTACAAAAGCCTGAGCCTCAAGAGCATCAATAACATATTCAAAAATATTGTACAATACTCTTAGATTTTTGTATCAAAGATTTAGACAATCCAATACCTGTGTTGTTGCTAAAAGTACAGAATAAACATATACGTCAAATTTCATTTTGGAATTGACTATAGGTCGAGTGTCCTTTTTGGAACAAGCGAAAAATGCCTTGAAGTTTAAAAGTCTTTTTTAAACGTGGTGTTACGAGCAATGAAATTAACAACTGAATTGCCGCCGACCGTTGCAACTTTGAACTGATATTAATCCCTACGAACGAAGAGGCGAGAGAGAATGATCTCAGAGGGAGTAAGTGACCGTGTAGGACAGGGGAGAAACAGGCTCACATAAAGCCCTGGGTCTATCAATTCGATTGAGCCGCACATGTCCAGCCTAAATTACGCAAGCTTTCTTCCACATTACGTTAGGTATCGCATGGACCTCAAGAAACTGCGCGTCTTAAGTAGAATCGAAGAGTGCTACCGTGGCCATAGGAGCACCGAAGACTTAAATCGGTGACAGCGATCGGTAGCAGAGACGATCGTATACTAGAATTCTCGGATTGCGACTGGTCATCGCGACCCCGCATTTCGAGTAAATGTCGCTTATTCACGCGTTTTGTTGCGTGCATCAACCCCGCAAATCTAATTTCCCTCTCTCTCTCTCTCTCTTACTCGCGAGTGCTTGCGTGAATTAGATGCGCAAGTCTCGGCTGTTATTTGTGCGTTTTCTTGATCGCACAGAATATACGTATTATGTTAATAACTGCGTGCACCTTTGTTCGACCTTAAGTTCTTGCCTTAACATTGCACGCCTTGGCCAAAGCTTCGTGCTTTTAGCCGACAAGTACCAACGCAACGAGATCGAGGTGCAATAGATAATATCTAATCATAAATCTTTCCTCCTTTCATATTTTAATATCTTTGTAATATATATGTACATATCTCAAACTATATTTCATAAAAATAAAATATTTTTTTGTATTAAGTAATTTTTTAAAAAATCATTTTTTTTTAGCCTTCATCCAGAGTTCGCAGTAAACAAAAGTATGACACTGACGCTTTTATAATCTGTGAACAAAAAAAGAAAGTCGAAGATCGAAGATAAAAGTCAGAACAATGTATCTTGTTGATTTAAAAGAAGAAAAGAAAACCTTCGTGAACATGTCCAGTTGAACGACCATGGCACTCTTCGCTTGAAAATTCGTGGATTTTTGCAAATGAATTATCAGAACGTCGTTCATGTGCTTCAAGTCTCCGGAACTTATCCAAGGTGCATAGTATACGGCATCGATACATTTTTCGTTCTGAAGATTATTTACATGTACATTATTATATGTTAATTCAAACGTTCTTGCCGCACATCGATAATCGATTACAAAATCACCTCTGTCTTAATAGCGTAGCCAAACCAAGCGTATGAATAAGCTTGCGTTAATTTCATATAACAGTAACCCAATAAATAAATTGCCCTGTAGAGGGTCATATTCTCTGTTTTCATCTAAAATTCATTTGACTCGTCATTTCTTTTATTAAAATGAAAATATCATCGCACTATAATTGCAAACGTTGATTAAATCCAGTAAATATACATAAACACAATACATAATGTCGTTGTGTTTAGGATTAAAGAAAATTAACGAAAATCCGACCGCGTATTTTTTCTCGACCACCATTATGCTAATCTACACGCGGGAGTTTTAAATCTATGGATAAAAATCAAAATTCAAAGTTTCTTTAAAATGGCCAAATTTCGCTTCTCTAAAGCAGCAATATCATTGTATTGTAATTCTATTGCTTGATCAAGTTAAATAAATGATATAATTGTGTTCGCAGGGTAAAAGAAAATTAGTCAGAGAATATGTACTTACCTCAGTGCACTGAAAAATGATGGCACACATGATGATCGCACAAGTGATGGCAAGCCATATTGAGAGATATCCAAAGACCTCCTCCAGAACACGTTTGGCTTTTATAAGGAGGACGTGTCGATCTACACATTCTTTCAGCTCTTTGTTATAGTTCTTGCCTGGTTTCAAGCTGCGAAAACGAGTAGCAAGGAGTTGTAACTCGCCAACTATGTGGAGAGTGTAGTAACCGAACAACGAATCGACGCCCACGCTGACAGTAATGCAATAATATGCGCTCACTACCTCGATCGCGTAGATGATCCAATGGATTGTTCCGCCTAATTATAGTGAAATAGTAACACAACTAGATGACATCGAATGCAAAAGTAAAATTCAGTATAGTTTTTGTTACATATAAGTTGAAGCTTCAATTTCTTATAATATAATAAATTTATAGTTCAATTAGCTATTTTCAATTCGTCACCTAAGATTCACATTTTTAACAAATTTACATAATGAAAAAATCTTAGCTCTTACCTGGTTCATAGCTAAAAGGCAATTGCATAGGATACGATCGCAGTATTTGCCATGTCTCAACGCTAGCAAAGGTGAGATTACCAGCATGCTTATGTTTATAATCACCCCGTAGTAAAAGGTGTAAAAAAATATCGAGACAATACCAAAATGAGCCAAAAGACACGGCCGCGACTCTGGATTTTTGAGATCTTTTTCGAAGACAGTCGACACCTCTTTGTTCAATGCCAGCAGGTTCTTCCATTGCATGGCTATGATAGAAATCTTGATATTTCATATAGAGCATATGACTTAAAATCTTAATATTCTGTTTGGATATGCGATTTGCAATGACAACTTACGATTATATAAATTTATTTTTTAATGTAAAATAGTTTCTTCGATAAAAAAAATGTATTTCCTCTATATTGTATATTGAAGCATTAATAAACGTTGGTAGGTCAGACGCGACAGAACTCACTTTTAAAAAGATGGAGAAGAAGCTGATCGACAATCCAAGTCCTCTGGTAACCATGTTGATATTGGTAATATTGTGTAAACAAAAATTGACCATACCCATACTACTGAGCAAACAGACTGTGGCCGAGCATACGCTTATAAATATTTTCAACCATCTTGGATGGTGGCGATAATTGGGCCACAGACCCGCTGTGATGAGCATAAATATTATTTTATACTTGTACGAGAAATACATGCGCACCTCGTGCTCCATCCTCGATGACTGGCGCCGATCGATGAGTCGAGCTAACGGGTTTCAGCAGTTTTCGAAGTTTATATTATAGTGCTTTGCGAAAACTATACATCGTATGCAGTGGCTTTGACTTTGATTCAGTGGGGAAGGGGTATTGGCTGGATAGAAGGGGAAATCGTACTGCAGCTACTCGCTGTAGGGCAGTTTTCTTTGTGCAGTGCTCATAGACATTTTTATAGAATACGTTTTAACCGATTTTTATAGTTTGCTGTTGAAGTTTGTCTAACGATCAAGCTACTTAGAAAAATTGCACTGTCCATACAAAAGATCGTTAAAACGAGGAACCGGTTAATGGATGTCTTGTAAATAATTACCGTTGGTTAAAAAATAGATAGGTACTTCATTTTCGAAGCGTATATCTCTGTGTAAAATAATCGCATTAAAATGAGGCTTAAAGCTCAAAAATTTTCCTTCCGATTGTGGCCACAACTTTGCCAATTGGTCTAGATGAACCGCTGAGGAATCAATAAATCCACAAAATCTGAAGCTTCAACGCTATATGTACGAGTAAGTCCCATTTCCATACGAGTTTTGTTTTGCAAAGATATACGCTTCGAAAGAGAGGGGCTTATCCTTTTTTAACCGATGTGTGATTGTTTGTGCTCTTCATTTTAGAAAAGAAGTTGCGTATTTATAGTATTTACCTTGGCAATAGACGACCGGTGCTGTTGGTTCACTGGAAACGCCATTTTTTCAAATATATTAATCATGCATCAGACCGAAGCTTAACTTGTTCTAAAAATATAAGCTACCTAAATCAAATATTTTATACTACCCAAGATCCAAACTTATGCGGCGCTGATTTTTTTTTTGAATCAATGGTACGTACAACCTCAGCGTGATTGCTTGTGTATCATGAAGCAGATGCACGGATTTTCACGAATCGTTATTGGATCGAAACAATCAATTCGAGTACTAATTCACGATAGTAATTTTTATATTTGAACTTTTGATAACGCTGCACTGAAAGGCTAAACCAACGACCATACGAACACCAAGTCACTTGCCAAGCCCGAGGATGAAGATATTGATAAAAATATGTGACTTGAAAATTATTTATATTTCACCATAACATACGCCAACAATTATATGGAATTCCCAGCAGCGCTAGCTTCGATCGCTAAAAAGAAAAGTCAGATTAATAAGTCAATTAAAGAAATGTAGTTGCCTAAGCAAGCTTTTCCTCGATAGTTTTGAGCAGGAAAAAATATGAAATCGATGCGTGGGCTATCTGCAAAAAAAAATGAAACGTCTACGAGTCATTTAAACTGAAGATTTGCAGGTAAGTTCGCGTATCTTTACCTTGATGAACATATCCAATCGAACGATCATAACTCCCATTGCGTTTATATACATAGGACTTTGCAATTGAACGATGAGCATATCTTTCATAAGCCGCGAGTCGCCGGAGCCGGGCCAGTCACAGTGATAAATGGACTGCACGCACTTTTCACTCTACAACGAGAGGAGCTGTAAACATTCGACACGAGACGCCGCAGCTTACCAGGTGCTGTCCTTACTTCCACGGTGATGGTGTTGCCGAACCAAGCGAACGTGTAGGCCTGCAGCAGCTTTGCGGTGATGTAGTCCACCGTGAAGAATATTTGAAAGAGCGAGACGTTCTTGCTCTGAAATGAATGACGCGAGGGAGTCGAGAGCGAGCGGCCGAGGACGCCCGAAGGTTACCTGAGTGATTTGAAAGATGAGAGAGCATATGATAATGGCGCACGAGAGGGCGAGCCAAGCTGATATGAAGCCGAAAACCTTGTCCATCAGGTACTTGTAGTTCGGTAGGCCAGCAGTCGCAATTCGCCGACCAAGTGCAGCGCGAACAGGCCGAACACGGTGTCGATGCCGATGCTGTTGATGGCCATGTAGGCAATCGACGTCACCTCGAACGCGAATATCGCCCAATGCAGCGTACCACCTGCGACTCGCAATTTTAGAACACGTGCCCCGCGCACGTCGATCACGTCTACGGCGTACCTGGCGCGTAGTCGAAGGGCACGCGTATGGCGTGCAATCTGATGTAGCGACCGCGAAACGCCGATATTACGGGCACAGCCGAGCCCAGCACCACCAAGCCAAGGCAGTAAAAGTAGTGGGCTCTGAAGAAGCGATAGAACGACCGGTAGTAGGCCAGCAAGTGCACCCGGTATTCCGGTATCTTCAGGTCGCTCTCGAACAGTGCCGACAGGCCACCGCTCAAGCTGCTCACGTCGCGCCGTAGCAGCAGCATCGTCGCTATCTGCAAAAGCGATCCATCTCTTCTTCTGTCTCCAATTAATACTGTCGTGTTGACACCTATGTACACGATGGCCAAGCTGCGAAGAGCTATCTACAGACCTTGATGAAAACCGAGCTGTAACTAATGATGGAGCCAACACCCCCCACAACAGCAATTATGTTGCGAGAATTGTGTATGGTAAAGCTTAATACTCCCAGAATCAAAATCAGTAGCACGAGAAGACCGGTGCTAGCCAATAAAATCCGTTGACATTTCGACTGTTTAGAATCGTCAGGCCATAATCCCGACACCAAGAGAAAAGAGACGATTACACTTTTGTAATCGTGGTGATAGGCTTTCGTCGCATCGTCCATTGTGACAGAATGATCGACGGAAAATCATGTGAACTTGAATCGCTGCAGCGACGAGCAGTCAGATATTGTACATATTGACCTCGTATTAATTATACGGTTGGCAAGTTTCAATGCGGTACAATCCAAGTTAATTGCCCGATATCTAATGTAAATATCGAATGGCCAGGCCCAGTGGTATTTATAGTCGAATATCGAGGGTCGAGGGGAAGAATTGCCACGAAATACATAGGAACTGCGCTCAAATACTCTTGTAATTTCGATTTATTGCCGTTATTTCTTTAGCTGCGCATGTAATGGTTTCATGCTGAATCCTCGATCTCTCGTTTCGACAGAATGATTCATAATTTCAAACGCATTTCATATTTTCGCGTTGAGGAAGTTTCGAAGAAAATTCAATTGCAACCGATGACTAAAAAGAGGATTGTGCAATAGTACGTAGTTATATTGAAATGCTGATACGTATAATAATCTTCACCATATAATCATCAAGCACATCAGTGACGAATTCGAGCAGTCGTCACTGATATGCTAAGGTTTTGTGAATTATTCCTATAATATTGACTGACCTGAGCAATGAAGAAAATGAAACAGTTGAGAGTGCCAATACAACTGACAACAAGGATTGTTCTGTTAGAATTTATCAAGCCAATGTTACAAATGGCATAGAGAAACGCCGCTTCGATGGCGATGGTAGATCCGAGTAACGCCAAACGGATGACTTTCGATCTTGGAGAATCACCAGGCCAAAGTCCTGACAACGACAGCAGTGATAAAATTTTGTTCTTGTAATCGCGGTGGTAAGCCTCTATCTCGGCGTCCATTGCGTCTACGACTCCGTTCTGTGGCCGTACGCGGAACGAAATAAAAAAAAAACTACGATGACCACACCGATCGAACGTAATTGTATACGCGAAACGAATAACTCGCAAACTGTGAGAATTCGCGAGCGTACGTGGAAGGGACAGCACATGGGAAGGGGTATTGTAAGTTTCAGTCTCTGGTGGCATTTGTCGACATTAGCGTCAGAGTTATTTCACTTATTCATATACATATTCGGAAATGATCAAAAGTAAAAAAATAATGCAGTTTTACTTTTTGGCGATTTCGTAAGGGTGCACAATTGAATGAATATGTATAGTTATATACCGTTATACACATAGTTCACTCTGATTGTAAGTTTTTCCGTAGAAGGTGTGTAACTGATTTTTTCGTCTCATAGGCAAAGTGATGGCTAAAACATATTTTTTATATTATTAGGATTGTTGTAATAGTTTATTCGAACAATCTTACTCGTTTGCTTTTATTTATGCAACTTCAACTTCAGATCATTCTGTCAAAAGAGTTGAATCCTTCTCAAATGTCAAATTGAAAAGCCATCATTTGCATTTCTAATTAGTACTTTAATAAAACAAATCGGACTTATTCGTCTTCTCTTCCTTAACTTGATTCTTTAGGTTATGGGTCCAGTAGTCAAGAAATGCAGTGAGGAGACCGATAAAACGGCAAACAAAATTTCTACGAGGCACGTTCTAAGTTCGATAGACAGAATTTCCTCGGCTGTAAGTTCCAAATGAAAGCTTTGTTCGTAAGTTACGAGATTGACGACGTTGTGTCTGTTACAAGGACCAAGCCAAACGATGATACGTCATACGTGTAAATTACAAAAGTCACTGTATGGATTGAAACAAGCGCCGCGTTGCTGGAACCGCAAGTTCAAAGAGTTCTTATATGAATTCAATTTTAGAGAGACCAACGCTGATAATTGTATCTTTATCAGTACTTACAATAATTATACTGTTTATCTTGCACTTTTTGTTGACGTTGGATTGATTGCATGTAAATCAATGCCTGTGCTGAATGAAATTATTAATCATTTGAGTCTAGAATTTGAAACCACAGTAGGAGATGCGAGTATGTTTACTGGTCTACAACAAACATATTCGCAACAAAAATATGTAGAAATCTAGTTAAAAAAAAAGGTTTATCGAATAGTATTACTCGTTTGCTTTTTTCTGCAACTTCAACTTCAGATTATCCTGTCAAAAGAGTTAGGTATTTCTCAAACATCAAACTGAAAAGACATTGTTTATGTTTTATAGTGCTTTAATAAAATCAATCTGACTTATTCGTCTTCTCTTCCTTAGCTTGATTCATTAATGAAAAATCTTCAATGACATTTATTTACTTATACCATATCTGTAAAATTGTATTTCAATAATAAACAGCTTAATTTTTCAAAATTTCAAACGCAATTGATCATAGCAGTTTCATGAAAAGCGTAATCATTGATCATTAGTTTCATTTTATTGTTCCAAATGTTGATTGAATATTCTTAATAAATTTTTAGCTCAGTCTTTCGTTGCAAACTCTATCACGGTGAACATTCTATTCTTTTCAATATATAATAACGTTTACATTAAAAATTTATCCTCGTTTTTTCGCTCTTTTAATAATATATATCTATATTTTTAAATTCAATACTTTCGAGATCAATTAACTGTTTTAACGCAGTTCATTACCCATCTTAGCTGTTCACATTGATAACATTGAAAATAAATTTCTTTTATTAATATGTGTAAAATATCTACGATAACACAAATATAAGTTGATATGTTTCTATTTATCACGATCACGTGATTGATCTTAAAATTATACTTGCAAATCCAATGAAAAAAAGGAATACAAAAGTAGTTATTTATTGCAATGATTGCTTCGATACGTATAATATAGTTAAATTATGTTTCGTACATCTTATTCATCGTAAAATCATTCGTATTCGGACAAACTTCGACACTACTGTAATTTTTTTTAAATATACGTATGTTTTTTCTTTAAATATTACTCCAATTCTATGTTTCAGGTGTGATACGATATTTTTTCTCAACGATCTTCAGCAAGAAAAAAATAAGAGATCGACGCATGGACAATCTGAAACTGAGGATTTGTTTTCTCCAATATATAAATTTCAAAGAAAATACCGGTCGCTTTACCTTAACAAACATATCCAAGCAAACTTTCATTGTGTCCATCGTTTCGAAGGACGTGGGACTCTGTGACTGTATAATTAGAATATCGTTCATCAAGCGTAAGTCGTCCAATCCAACCCATTTAACATCGTATATCGCATTAAAGCACGTTTCGTTCTGAGCGTACGCATTTGATTAATTGTCAAGCACATGTTCGGCGTATACGTGTAAATGAGGCCACTTACTTCAACACTGATGCATATCCCAACCCAAGCGTACATATAAGCTTGAAACAATTTGGCTACGATGTAATCTATCAGGAAGGCGATTTTGAACGTCGCTATATTTTTATTCTGAAACAGACAGAGAAGTTACTATGAGCAGAAAGCGACAGCGACAAAGGGTGAATGAGACGATCGTGAGATTGAAGATTTGGGCGTAAACGATGAGAGTACAGGTGACGGCGAGCATCACCGACGTGAATCCGAACAAGCGTTGCATGACACTTTTGGCGTCTATGCGGGTGACGTACCTGTCGATGCACTCTCTTAGCTTGTTTCGATAGCTCTCGTCGGGCTTGAGGTTGCGAAAATGACGAGTGAGCAAGCGCATCTCGCTCACGAGGTTGAACGCGTAGAGTCCGAAAGGAGAGTTGAAGCCTATGGATGCGGTCACCGCGTATGTTCCTGATATTGTCTCGAATACGTGGGTCATCCAATGCCTCGCTCCACCTGAAAAATAACATACCTCCGTAAACAATATTTATAATTTGCAGATGAACTTCTATTGTATACCTGGCTCATAATTAAACAACTGAATCGGAGATACATCCTGGCGGATTTTCTGTGGTAAGCCGCTACAAAGGGGCCAAGCATTCCGAAGACAAGGAAGGCGAGAAAGTAGTAAAAGTGAGTTTTGAAAAACCGATAGAATACACGGTAGTTGGCTAATAGATGCGATCGGTATTGTGTATGATTCAGGGTGCGATTCAAGTATAACATTTCATGTAAATGTAAATGCAAATGATTATTGCTGCAATTGTATATTTTCTGAAACTTCGATTTATAGCAATCAATGATCATTATTCCACTGAGTCTGACAAAATATATTGAAGATTAAATACAGATTTGACTGAATTAATTAATGTATCAAAATTATTATATTATCTCCAAAAAGAAATTATATAAATGTAACTATACCGATTGGCGCAATTCGCGTTACGCTTTTTTAATACGAATTTTTAGTTGTTTTACCAAAATCATTGTTCACGTTGTACAGATTCTCGTGAAAATTGAAGCTAACACAAAAAGGCCATCGTCGGTAAGACTCACCTTGGCAAAAAGATAAATGAAGCTAATTATAACTCCAATGCTTGCGATGACGGCGTTAAATTTGTGAGAATTCCCGACAGTGAAGTTACCAAGCGCATAAACAAACGCAGATTCGACAATTAACGTGATGCCGCATAAAGCGAGACGGGTGTATTTGGACTATTGAGAATCTTCTGGTCAAAGGTCTGGAAACGCCAGCAGTGAGATAATCCTATCATTGTAGTCCCGATAATAAGCATCCACTTTGGTTCCCATCACGAAATCGTCTAGTCGGAGATTCGGATTGCTGTGAAAATAATAGTGACGGCAACCGCCGATCGAATGTAATTGTACGTCATATGAATAACTCGCAAAACTGAGAGTTGGAGGGGGTATCCACAACCGCAGTCGGTTGTGGCACTTGTCGAAGTTGTTAGCTTTATAGCAATTCGTGTGTCTATATAAAAACGCAACATGTCGAATAAGTTTTAGACATTATAATGATATTATGTATTTGGAAAAAATTTGATAATGATCCTGTAATTTGGCATTGGTTTTTTCACACACACACACATAATATCTGTATGACGTACCATTTTCTCTGAATTAAGAAGGTACGTGTAAGCCAAACATAATCAACTTTTGCTTTATTTCTCATAGTTTTTTCACTTGGGAAGGTCAATCGTTATGCAAGAAATTTAGTTGACAATTATATAATAATGGCGCTAACGGTAATTATTTGGAACGCTGAAATTACACCAAAGCTATTAGAGCCAATGCTCACTCATTTTACAAACAGAACATTTATACATAAAATTAAGAAGTACACAGTTAGGTATTCGAATTTGTAATAGAAATAGTATTGAACATTTTTATTTGTAAACAACTATATTTTTTAATAACATTGGGTATCTTCCTGCGGAAATTGAGATTGCGATTAACGGAATACTTTTAAGAAAGAAAATAATAGAAATTAAAAAAAATTGTATATCAATCAATTCCTGTTTATTTCCCAATAAAATTTTTATATATAAAACTCTGTTTACCGTAATGCCACAATTCAATACTAGTGCGAGCCTTCTTCTAAAGTTTGTAATAGGAAAAAATATGAAACAGAAGTGTTCATAACCTGAAAGTGATGTATGACGAGTTATTTCAAACAATTGCGTTGGATTGAGGCCCCCATCGATGTCCATAGACATGAAGTAATGGAGAAATTTCGTCGCGACTTTCCTTCAATCGCTTGTTTAAAACATAAATCAAAGATGCTCGAAAAAATTATTATCGACAAATGTTTATACTTAAATTGCGACTAATCAATCTTGGAATGCCTTGAGCAGTGATTTCTTCATAAAAAGTTAAAAATCAATGATGTTCTTATGATCGGCACGGTTATGAGGTGAGATAATGTTTTGTATTTTCGTTGTGAATATAAACATAAATAATAGCTGGAAATGACAGTTGGCTTTTTTTATTTTTCATGAAGAAACCACTGTTCACAATATTTCAAGATTGATTAGTTGCACTCTACGTATGAACAGTCGAAGACAATTCTTTTGAGTAGCTTTAATTTAGATTATATGCAAACGACTGAAGGGAAGTCATATGCTGTATATCTATGGATATCTATGCGGGTTGAGTTTTAATATATATGAATAATTGTATTCGTAGTCACTTTTGCAAACATATCCAACTGGATCAGCATATAGCCTTTTGCCACTAGTCTGATGGGTCTTTGAGTCAAAACGATAAGAATGTCATGTCTGAAATTTTTATGATGCTTATCCGTCCAGTCAGCATTGTAAATAGAGTCCAAACATAACGCGCTCTAGAAAACATATCAAACTTTTAAGCTGTTTTCATAATTTTTTTATAACCACATTACTTACTTCTTCTGAAATAGCGTTTCCATAAAATGTAAAGCAGAAAATTTGCATGGTTTTGAGCGCAAAGAAAAAAATTAGCAAATTGAATTGCAATAATGGCGCTTTTACTTTCAATCCCTATTATTATAGAAACATCTGAATAAAATTGAATGCTGACCCATTACCGAATTGACTGACATACCTGACTGAGCTGGAAGATGATAGCGCAAAGACTAATAGATGCAGTTATAGCGAACCATATGGTGATGATACCAAACAGGTTTTCCAACTTCTTTTTCGTATTGTACAACATCTGATGCCTGACGATGCAATCTTTTACTCGCTCCTTGTAATCAGGAGCAGCCGCCAAACTTTGGAACTTACTGGCCAGAACTCGTAGCTCGCCGCACATCTGAAACGAGTACATACCAAAGCAGCAGTCCACTCCAGCAGTCACGGAACTCAGAAATAAACTTGTGAGGACTTCCAAGACGAAGCAGCACCAGTGAGCGAGCCCAGTAGGTTTGCCAACGAGGGGATAGATCGTGGGAAACATGCGCATGTACTTTCCATGCTTGACGAAGGCGATTATCGGAATGATGATGTACAAGACAGCCACCGAGAATACCGTTCCGCAACAGATCCAGAAGAATTTCACGTACAGCGCAATGCGCGACAGCAGGTGAGGTCTGTTCTTGGCATCCTTCATGTCCTCGAAATACTTCGCGGTGAGGTTCTTATGCAGGTACTCCATATCCCCTTGATAGCGTAGAAATATGACGATCTGAAGAGAAAGATCGCATGGTCACGCGCGCTCCAAGTTTTTCTCGACAGGCGTCGATGTGCTCACCTTCACGCACGCCGTAAACATACTGATCGCCAAACTCATGCCCTTGGTCAGGATTATAATGTTGCTCGCGTGCTGTACGCAGAAATTCAACACGGCCAGTCCCATCAGAAAATTACACGAGAACACAAAGTAAGCCAGAGTTAATTTCACTGTTAAATTTGTTTCGATCCAAAGGCCACAGCAACCCAGAAGAGTTTGGATTTTCCACTCATAACTTTCATGTTGACGCCGTTCTACCTCCATGCTCCAGAAAAGACCTGCACCTTACGGCAAGCGGATCGCGACTGTGCTCTGTGCAGTTGTCAAATATCGATTGGCACTGCCATTACGTGGTTACAAAGTATAAATTTACTGTAAACGATGGCTTGTTTGGTAATTTGAATTTGAAAGAGCTCGGCGTTTGAAGAGAGGGGAGCCCGTCAAAAAGGGTGCGCTGTAAACAGTTGTTCGCGTGCAACTGTCGAGTAACGATGTGTGCCGGCAATTGCAAATAATAGTTTTCGTATAAAATAACATCAATTTTTCGCGGTTCACGATTCAATAATATTTTTGCCTAACAAGTAGCATAAGAATTTTTCAGGTAAATTTACTTTGTTCTTTTACACGTCTATCCGAGGAGAGAAAAGTTACGTACCATCAATTCTATTTTGATTAAATACTAAAAATCATACCTGTGTTATATTTTTTGTATTTTTCCATCAAAGAAACCTTGCCTTCGCCAAATTAACAAACAAGTAATTTTTCCAACAATCTTCCTTTAGCCTTTCTTCGTATTTTCAACTTCTGCTATTGCCGATAATTTTGATTTGAGATGTTTATTTTGTTGTAGTCAACATCGAGGATCCATGATGGCTTAATCATTAACATATATCCTATTCCCTTATAAATAAGAGAACGTGATCTTTTTTATAAAAAAGAGAATCTGACAAAGCGTAGTCAGTTTATTCGTGATGTGAAAGATAATCACGTGATCAGCTATTATGTGCTAGTATATGTGTTGTTTACACATATAAAAGATTACTGCAGACTTTCGTAGATCGAGTAGATTGATTGAACGTTGAAAAAGTGTATCGGTATGTTGGCATGAATTTGATATGAATTGATTAATTTAATCATACTATAACTTCAAAATAAAAATAATTAACTGATACCTCGATAGAGAAATTAATTGAGCTTTGCTCTATAGGAAAGTTTAGCTTCGAATAAACAGAATAGGAAGTGCGAAAGATGTAAATCGATAAATTAATTATCACGATAAAATACTGTACAGTGATTTCGGTTTTATTCAGTTACTGAAAATATTAGACAATGTTTTGTTTTTGAAAATGCACTAATTACAACTGTGACAAACGTCTGTCAAAGTTTGTGATTTACATGGTGAAGAATGTGATTAAACTATAATAGTTCTAGAACTTATATTAGAATTTTTATCGTGGTTTTGGAAACTCATCATTGGCAATGTAATATTTCCGGAAAGATGTGATGTAGTAGAAAGTTCAAAACGGATATTTTTATACCGACCGCATAAAGCGTAAAACTCGACGTAACATAGCATCATTAACTTTTATGGTAAAAATAGAAGTAAAGCGCGCAGTACAAGTTAGAAAGTTGGAAACATAAGATAATCATTTTCCTGTTCAAGTGAAAGGGTTTTTATGCGAAGGTTATTTTTATACGCAGTTAGTGAAATACATCGCTTTATAAAATCATATCTGCATTATCTTCCACCTTCAAATAACGATTAATTATTTCTGAAACATCCTAATATCACGTATTTCCTCAGTTTTCGTTGTCACTTAGAGATTTTTTCTTTCTTAATAATTCACGCTTTTTGTGTGATTATAATTGCATATAATTTTGATGAGCCAAGTACATAAATTCATACGACTGTCACTCCTTCCGATTTTTCTTACTAGGTAATCTCGTTTTGTATCGTCATCCCTTCGATATTGTGTATTTAAATGAAACAAAAAAATCTGCTGCCGTGTTTTTCGATCACGATTATCTTATATTTCTAAAACTTTTCTCGAACTTGTGCATAGATGAAATCTGTCCACGTTTACTACTTTTATTCACTCGCCGCTGAGTATGGAAAATAAACTGTTATAGGACAAAGTACACAACATCAAACTACGTAGTTGTATTGAAAATTAATTTTTGGCTCAAAACCAACAGTATACAAGTTACTAGGACTGGAGTTGCTGAAACAATTGTCTCTTTTTATTTCTATAGCTTGTCCATCATCGGATATGCGAAAACAAAGCTCGAATGTAATAAAATAGACAGTTTAAAAATAATTCTTAGTTAAAATTTTCGAGTCACTATCAAGAATATATGCTACAAATGAGCGTAATATACGCAAACCGCTATAACTTTGTAATATTATAAAGCACTTTTACACATGTGAATCGTGCGTGAAATATATAAAAAAATTTGCAATATTAATATTTCTCTCGTTTTAAGTAGTATAAGCTAATTTATAACAGAACGCGCATGAAAATAGATTTTTAAAAGTAAAACAAAAATCGATATTCTAGATTCGATAACTGGAATAACTAAATTTATTTTGATTAAGTGTCTATCGTTCTCATTGATTATATACGGAAATTCAAAACTAAAAAATAATAAAAAAATTATTAAAATGTTCATTCATAATACATTATAAATTCTTGGTATAGTTTCGTATTGGAATATTTAAACAATGGAACTAACTAGTTAGGGAAGCATTTCATTTATTTACGCGCTAAAAAATACCCGATGAGTTCTTTTAAAAAGATAAAAGACAATGGGTCGAATGACGTATTCAAGTTCTATGTTTAGAAATGACATATCGCATGGACCCAAATTGTCATTTTGCAAAACGGCTTTGGCCGTCAGAGATGATTTGAACCGACGGAACCGACAGTTATAACACGCGTAAATTGAAATTTCGAACATAGTCCCATATTGGGTATGGTCCTATATTTGGAAAAATAACGTACATGTGTCGAATGAAAAGATATATTTTCAATCATTGAAGGCAAAATATTACGATGTTTCTAGCTTAGCATCCAACGTTTTCAACAGGAAGAAATATGAGACCGACGTATTCATGATCTGTGGATGAAAAGTCGCAAGTAGATAACAGGTTGTACGTACGGTAAAATGAAACATATATACCTTGGAGAACATGTCCATTCTAACGATCATAACGCCCAAAGCTTTGAAGTCCATCGAATTTTGTGACAAGACTATCAAAACATCGTTCATGAGTTGTAAGTCACCTTGGCCTGCCCAATATGCGTAGTATATCGAATCAATACACACTTTACTCTAAAAAGAAGACTAATTTAAGAAAGTTCGCAGAAATTCAAAAGTTCAATCACAATTACAAGATGAGAAATATTGTACTCACTTCGAAGTTGATAATATAGCCGAACCATGCGTAAGTATAGGCTTGGATGAATTTGATAGTGCAATAAACTATCAGGTATATAAGCTTAAAAATGGTCATGCTGCGAGTCTGTATAGAAAAATTTTTAACATACCAATGAGTATTTACCAACCGAACAGACTGCATTCAATTCAATCTACAACTACCTTCTCGCGGCTTACCGATCCCGAATCGTTAATTCAAGTTGTTAAATTTCACATCTGAGCGATCGCATTAAACAAACAAACCACATTGTTGGTAATTATTCCATTGCACGGTGATACGCAATTAAACTTTAACATGCACTAAGATGTTTTTATGAAAGTATTTATTAACTTTTGAAATAATTTCCTAATGTGGCGTTATATAAATCACGTACTCGCTACTCGTAATGTACTAAGTAAATAATGCACTTAAGCTCATGCACATAAATGCATTTGTGCTCAAAACAAACAATTTTTTTCGATCATGAATCGTTTAATACATATCGTTAAATTTCACTTAGAAGTGATTATATTAATCAAAGTAATTACACTTCCTTAAATAATTCTATAATTTGACAACGTGCAGTGGAGCTTATATGCATACAACGATTTGTTTTAATTATAACATATGCTTGAATAGTAAAATTTTTCTGTTGGTGTTCTAAAACACCAACTATCAATTGATTAGTACGTGACGTTAATTTTGCATGTAAATAAAATCGCAACAACTGATTTTAGGTGGATAAATCAATTCAAGATGTACGAAACCTGACTGGACTGGAAGATGATGGCGCATATGACGATGGCACAAGTGACTGCCAGCCAAACCGAGAGAAATCCGAAGACCTTTTCCATCAGATACTTCGATTCTATTAACCTGGCATGCATATCAACACAATCCTTCAACTGTTTCTTATAGTTGGCGCCAGCTTTCAAATTTCGGAAGCGGTGAGCAAGTAATTTCAATTGACCCACCATGTGAAGAGCGTATAGGCCAAATAATGAGTCAATGCCTACGGTGTTGGTCCAGCAGTACAAGCCCTCGACCAGCTCGAAGCCGTAAATGCTCCAGTGAATCCAACCACCTCAGAGTACAAACGACAAAAGAGTAACACTAGTGCGTGTACAAACTTTGCTATAATTTAACGAGAAAGATTCTTTTGCTGCATCGAGAAATGACTTGGTTGAAGAGGACTTTCGATTCAATACGATTTCTTTGCGTGGCAAGAGAAATCTATTAGTCGTACAAGAGGTTTTCGTATTTAAAAAAATTCTTCTCGTTATAATTTTCTTCCAAAAAGCATTTAACTAACGTGATTTTAATTTTCAATATAAATATTTCGGTGACCCTTACCTGGCTCATAGGCGAAGGGTATCAGCTGCGGATACGCTCTGACGTATTGGCCATGTCGAAGCGCCAGTATGGGACTGATGATCATAAGAAAAATGATGGATCCAGTATAGTAGTAATGCAGCTTGAAGTAGCGATGAAACGAAGGGTAGTGCGCCAGCAGAAATGGTCGATTTTCGGCTAATTCCAAATCCTTTTCGAATTGATGCGACAAGACGCGATTCAGTTTTATCACGTCTTCTCGGTAGATCACCATAATCAGCACCTAAGTTACACGCTCGGCAATTTGTAAGAGGATTCACTTGGATCGGTCAACTCGGCCGGCACTCACTTTGATGAAAGAAGACAAGAAGCTGATCATGAGGCCGAGACCCCTCGTGAGCACTATTATGTTGGTGACGTTGTGCGCGCAGAAATTGACGGTGCCGAGGGCGACGGCGAATTCGGCAAAGAGGGCCAGCAGAGTTAAGCATTTGTTCGCGGCTCGCGAGCGCGTCTTGTCGTTGGGCCAGACGCCCGAGGCGGCGAGTAAAAAGATGATGTCGCGCTTGTACTTACTGTAGTACCTCTCTACCTCTTTCTCCATCATTGTTACTTCGCCAAGAACTCGTCGCCAAGTGGCGATCATGGCAGAAGCGCAGGAGCGCAACGTTCGATCGATCAAATCAGAGCTTTCCGAGGCAACTAGCTATGAATATGTATCGGTAAGTTTTTTATTGCTCGCCATTATCTTAACGAGCAGTTGCAAATAAGAGGGAGTAGTTGAGGTAACTGTAGAGCTAACGGACTTCAGTCTGTCTTGCTAGTTTCTCGAGGTAACGTGTTCGTAATGTGCTCGTAGTTATGCGGTTTGTGCACCAGACTAAGTTTCGTCATATTTACAGATCTCTTATCGAACATTTTAAACATCTTTTAAAATACACTCAATTCTAGCTATTAATCGCGAATGAAGATCAAATGGACTCGCAAAATGAGAAATGGCGTTGCCGATTTAAGTTTTTCCCAGCCTAAGCTATGACATCTAAACCGTGTCACCATTCTGAGTCGAGAAATAAGCGTGAGCACACGCATTAGTATAGTTTTTGCGTACATCCACTGACTTGGTACATCGAGACTTTTTGAGATAACGTATTTTAATGTTACTGTCAATAAATCTACAGAGTTAAAGATATATATATATGTTATGTGTTGTGTAGAAAAGTTATTTACCCTAATCACCAGTCCTCCGTCCCACGCTACTATTATTCATAGACGGACTGTGAGTCCTACAATTAAATGAAATGATTATTTGCAATAAAAAGCTGTTTAACATTGTGAAAACAAAATCAATAATGAAGAATAGAGATGAAAAAAATTTATTATTTTTAGCCGTCATTTGAAAACCATCATTCAGTTAAATACTATCAACTAGTATTTCTTAATAGGCTCTGATAAAAGAACGCAGAGACACGGTTGCAGCATCGATAAATCTTTTGACAAAGTTACCAGTATTAAACTCTTATACCCTCGGCTTTTAGTGGCATGTCATGAAAGTACACCAGCAGGACTTTCTCCCTTGTTGCAGTACAAATTTGTTATTAGTTGCACTATTCTTTCCTACTGACCTCGTGCACACACAAACCAATATCAATATTTATTCAGATTTATTTGGCCGCTTACAATCACCTGAGTAAGCTCGGGTATTCGAAGCATTCCGATAATAATTATTAATAAAAATAATGTGTCCAATACAAGGCGACATTGAAAAAGGGGGGTTTACGTTGTTTCCATTTTTGCATCCAGAGTTTTCAAGAGGAAGAAATACGAAACCGACGTATTCATAATCTGCAATTGGAATCTGTCACGGTTAAAAGTAGTGCAAAGTTAATTTATTGTCTCGCAACGTACCTTCGAAAACATGTCCAGACGAACAATCATAATGCTCATAGCGTCGAAGTACATGGGGTTTTGAGACAAAACTATTATTGAGTCTTTCATAAGCCGTAAGTCGCCTTCGCCTGCCCATTTCGCATCATATATGGATTGAATGCAGGTTTCACTCTGGAAAAAGAAGTGAGAGATATTAAGCAGCTCTAAAAATGATATTCGCCCGAACACTCACTTCTAAGTTGATGATGTGCCCGAACCACGAGTAAGTATATACTTGAATGAATTTGATCATTGTGTAAACAAGCAAATAGACAGCTTTGAAGGCGGTCATGTGTTCTATCTACGGGCAAAGGAAGAGCGTTACATTACCAGTGAGTATATCGTACATGACTGAATTTCAAAATGCTCGTATAATTGTTCCTTCTACTGCTACATTTTCAGCAGTCTTTCAATCGGTAATATATTTTTTTTAAATGACCTGACTAGATTGGAAAATAATTGCGCATATCACGACTGCAGAAGTGACGGCCAGCCAAACCGAGGGGAATCCGAAGACTCGTTGCATCACGCGCTTAGATTCAATCAGCATCTCATGTCTGTCGATGCACTCTTTCATCTGCCTTCGATAATCGTCGCCAGGTTTTAAATTTCGGAATTGAAAGGAAAGTAATCGAAGTTCTCCGACCAAGTGCAGAACGTACAGGCCGAACACCGAGTCAGGCCCAACGGTATTAGACCAGCCAAAGTACCCTTCGATCAGTTCGAATGCGTAAGTGCCCCAATGCACGAAACCTCCTTGAAATCAAATTGAAAAATAAGACATTCATAGTGTCCGTTATTTTGAGTTGCAAAGCAACTCTCTTACGAAGTGAAAAATTTAAAAAACTATATATATATATATATATATATATATATATATATATATATATATATATCTAAAAACGATTTTATATATGTATAATTTTTTGGAAAAATGCTAAATTATTTATTCCAACGAATAAATAGCATGGCAAGCGCCTACGGTCGAAAAAAGAGCGTCTGCCTTCTCTCAAGTATAATTACGTAATATAGTTTTCAGATACGCTAATACAATAACATTATCATAATATTTACCATTTTCGTAATTGAAGGGCACTAGTTGCGGATATGCTCTAACGTACTTGCCGTGCCTTAATGCGATCAATGGAGCCAAGACCATAATACAGACGATCGTTCCGGTGTAATAATAGTGAAGTCGAAAATACCTATGAAAGGAGCCGTGATGGGCTAGAAGATGCGGTCGATTCTCCGGCGTCTTCAGATCCTTTTCGAATCGATCCGACAAGCTGCGATTGAGCTTTGTCAAATTGTTTCTGTTCAACGCCAAGAGCAGATCCTGCATTCGAGTGGTGAAGCCCAAGTCTGATCAGACGTTCGACTCGCCGGCAAACTTGCGCAGAGCACTGACCTTGAGAAGTGCCGAAGAATAGCTGATCATCAGACCCATGCCTTTCGTCAGAACGTTGATGTTGGTCACGTTTCGCAAGCAAAAGTTAACGATGCCGAAGGTCGTGCAGAAATTAATGGTAATGGAGGCGCAGATCAAAAAATTCTTCACGGCCCTCGGATAGCGCTTGTAATCCGGCCAGAGCCCGGAAATAGCCAGCAAGTGAACTATATCGCCTTTGTACTTGTAGTAGTTTGCCACCTGCTTTTCCATCATTGTTGCTTCGCCGAGAGTTTGCTGCGTTATGCTCGCGGAAGAGAAAGCGCAGGAGCAGAGCGCGCGATCGATGAGATTATATACTTTTCAACAAGTTGGTGACTTATTAGCTTCTATTATATACCATTTGCGTCGTCTGTACTCGCTTCGGAGAAGGGATGACTGATGCAGCGGTGAGGGTTACGAAGCTCGTCACGGGTTACGATCGTCAGGTGCGTGTAACGGAGTGACTCGTTGGAGATATAAAACATAGTACTATTTCATTCATTTTACTCGTATCAATTTTATTTGTAAACACTTTATTCCTTTTCTAATTCTTTACTACTTGTGACATCTGCAAAGGATATAAACAAAATAAAGGATTTGGACTAGTAATATTAGACCAGCGAAAGTAATCATCCATCAGTTCGAATGCGTAAGCACCCCACTGAGCGAAATCACCTTAAAATTAAATTGAAAAAAAAGATTGACTATGTGCCTTGTTATACACTGTAAAAAGCTTCTACGTAGTTTTTCTTTTATTAAATTAAATAAATAAGAAAAAATACATACAACAAATAAAAATAAAGATTTGATCGGATAATGTCACTAATATAGTAATATTTTATTTCAGTTACCGTTTTCCTAATTAACATAAAATTGGTGGTGAGGCTCAGGTATAATTGCCGTGCAAAAATAATAGTAACGGACTAACAGTCGTGAGAAAGACAATCACTTCTATGTAGTAATAGTTAATACGAAAATACAGGCGGAACGAATGGTCATGGGCCAAAAAATGTGACCAATTCTCTGGCCTCTCCAGATCCTTTTCAAACTGATCCGATAATGTCTGGTTGAGCTATGATATGTGCTTTCTGTTGACCGCCAAAATCGACATTTGCGTACAAGTAGTCAAATCCAAGTTTGATCAGACATCTAATTTACTCTCAAAGTTCTGCAGCACCAACCGTAAGAAATGTCGATATTCTCAAGCTTCTCGACAATACACTGCTGTTTGTAATTTTCTATATAAGAGTTTATACTACCCAAAGCCGTCCGCATCACAGACGCGATAGCAATGTAATTCAGCTAGTTTCTCACGAATTTCAGGTAACGCGTGTAACACCGGCAAAGCCCCGGGCCAGTTAACAAAAAGATTATACCGCTATTGTACTTGGAATAAGTATTTTACATTTTTCTCCATGGTTGTTGTTACGTCGAGTGTTTCTGGCGTTATAAGCGCGAGAAAAAAGCGTACGATCCATGAGATTGTAACTTTTTAGAAAGTTAAAACAACCTGCTAACTTCTATTAGATGTCATTTGTGTTGTCTGTGTCCTCACACGAGAAGGGATCGCCGATGCATTATAGCGTGGTAGCAAAACCTTTAGTCTGTCAAAGAGGTATCTTGAAATTTCACGTAGCAAATAAGATGCCCGTTTAAGATATCATCTCCGATGAATTTCTTTCGTCGAGATTGACAAAAATGATTAGTTTAGAATTTTTATTGATTCTGTATTTTTCACCATTAAATTTGATATGAATTGTCACATTAATACTGTGCCTCGTATAAAATCAGTGCAACATGAATTTCAGTCATTAGATTACATATTCTATAAAATTTGCATAAAAAATAGAAAAAACGCGGGCGTCCTTTGTATGCATCATATTATATGACGTTTGTTAAACAAATATCTTTTAAATTACATAGAAGATCCAATCAGCAGTTTGAAGAACGCCTACACGGGATAAAATAAATGTAAAAGTAAAACGGACAACAAGTACAAGGATTATATATACATATATAGTTGTGCCTTCGGTTTTACAGCAAAGAGGAAATTTCATGCAGATCTCTCGATATTTTCGCTCAACGTTTGTAGCAGAAAAAAGTAGGAAACTGAGGCATGCATGATCTGTAAATTATTGCTATTCTTGATAAGAACATTACGCATTGACGTGCAAAGCACTGCGTTACCTTCGAAAACATATCCAGCCGCACTATCATAATTCCCATAACTTGAAAGTACATAGGATTTTGCGATTGAATGATCAGCGCGTCATTCATAATCCGCAAGTCGCCCGATCCTGGCCATGCGCACTCGTATATGGAATTTAAGCACGCTTCGCTCTATAAATATAGACGTTAGTTTAAAAAAGAAAATGGCGCTCTGTGAAATACAGCTGAGTTAGTCTCTTACTTCGACGGTGATGATATTGCCGAACCAAGCGTAGGTGTAAGCTTGAAGAACTTTGATCATGCAATAAACTATCAAATAAATCACTTTGTAAACGCTCAAACTATTTTTCTGCATAATCGAGTAAATTACGGATCAACCATTCTATTGATATCAACTGCTTGTATATGATTTGTTAAAAAAAATATCTTACCTCGGTAGATTGAAATATCAGAGCGCACATGACGATGGCGCAAGTGATGGCGAAGAAAACCGACAAGAAACCAAACACCTTTTGCATCGTACGTTTAGATTCTAACAGAAGGACGTGCTTGTCTATGCACTCTTTCAGCTGCTTCTTATAGTCACTGGTAGATTTCAAGTTGCGAAAACGCGACGACAGTAGCCGTAGTTCGCCGACCATTTGCAGAGAATAAAAACCGAACACCGAGTCTACGCTGACCGTGTTGGCCCAGCAGTAGAAGCCAGCGAGCATTTCGAACGCGTATATGCACCAATGAATAAGTCCACCTGGTAACAGTGTGCGTTTTATGTATAAGTGATTTTCAAAATTAATAGCAGCTTCAGTAACCTAAATAATAATTTTATAATAAATAACCAAGCGTACAGAATAGTATTTGAAACAATTGCTTCAATCTCATGTAATAATATCAGTCAGACGCAATTACAGATTACCCATAGCTACCTGGCTCATAACTGAATGGTAAAATTAACGGATACGCCCGAACGTAGACTCCGTGTCTCAGAGCTAGTAGAGGTCTAACCACGGACAGCGTGACTACAGCTCCGCTGTAGTAGTAAAGCAGATTGAAAAAGTTCAAGAACAAAGGAAAATGAGCCAACAGATGCTGCCGATTGTCCGGCAACTCCAGATCCCTTTCGAATTGCGAGGACAGACCGCGGTTCAACTTCGCTAATTCTTTCCAATGCATAGCTATTACTGCTGCCTGTTGAATTCACATATTTCACAGTTGGAAAAAATAGGAATTATGTCGAAAAGCATTCAATTGCATTATAAATTTGGCGATATAACAAAGCTATAATCGCTAGCTGAAGTTCGATTTGGTCGAACGTGTCGCGTTCATTAAAAATAAGGACAACTCAGCTACAAATAACAGGAGTGTTTCTAGAAAGAGAGTCGAAACACTTACTTTCGGAAATGCCGAAGAAAAACTGATGACCAAACCCAATCCTTTAACCAGCACATTGATGTTCGTCAGGTAGCGATAGCAAAAACCGCAAGCCCCAAGGAACATCACGAATTCAATTGCAGATGAGATGACACTCAAAACAACTCTCACGCATCTCGGATGCTTGTCGTAATCTGGCCAAAGCCCAGAGATAACGAGCAGGAAAGTAATTCCGCTTTTGTACTTTTTGTAGTACCTCTCTACTTGTTTGTCCATCGCAAACGTTTTAGCTCGAAAATCACCGGGCAACTGGTGGGGTAACCCCTTTTTTCTAACATTCGTGTTGCGCGCGCACACTGTAATTTTCATATTTTATTTTTGCAACTTTCAGTTGTGATTGTAGGGTGCACCGAGGCATCGCGGTTTTCGGAGGGAGGGGGATGGCGTTACGCTCAGTCGGCTCGTTACACATGTGATTCGGATACACACTAAAATATCAGTGTAACCATTGTTAAATGGTAGCCCGCTTAAACGTTCAATGTTTTCAACAAGTTTTCGGTCGTGCAATTCATCATCGTATCGACATTATAGTTATGGCACCGCAAATTAGAACGAGAGTCAACGGACGATTCTTATAGTTTTTGCTATGCATAGTTTTTGCTGAATAAATATCAACCACGAAATGAGATGTCTTTGAAAGCTTATCCGATGTGATATAATTAATAAATATAGCCAGCACCGCTTAATTTTGTCTGCGCGTAAAAATAGCAACTACAACATCCCATCCAAGAAATCGATTAATGATTCGGCTCAAGGATTGGCATCAAGGCAGCACCTCGTCAAATAACAATTTACTGACACGGTTTGCTGAGTTGCGGTGGCGCAATCATTTCACCGGATCACGTATTGACGGCAGCCCATTGGGTCGTGAATTACGCAAACTACAAGATTATACGCTTAGCTCTATACAACTTCCACGGAAAGGTCCGGGTAACCCAACTTATCCACGCGTCGTACAATCAGGAAACGTATCCGTGGAAGGGGCGAAGTTTAAAGCATCAATAAACGATCTGGCGAACGTGTAAAGCTTGGTGGTTACTTCCCTGAACGGATAAATTATATCAGCCGATAGATCTGTTCGACGTGACTGAAATCATTAGTGCAAGCGTGGACGCCACACAGACTGATCAAAATGCAACAACAGCTCCAAGTAACGCATAATAAGTAGGACAATCCAAACGTTGGACGTGGGTCTTTGCGATAAGCTTACAAAAGCACCGATGGCTTACCTACTCGGCAAATCTGTGCTGTTTATCCAAAAGCCATAGGCAAAGATACAGGCTGACAAGGTGTTTCGGATGCTCCGTTAGTGTGATTTACGGCCATTTCGCTGGGATCATTTCTTGGGGCAATGGATGCGTTCAGTCTCGTCATCCAGGACTTTATACCAAGGTGGCTTACTATCGCGACTGGATCGACTGGATAAATACGTAACGTGTTTCGACAAAATTCCATAATCTTGAAAAAAAAAACATTTAAAAATTTATATGAAATATCTATAGAATATCTTTCATGATTTCACACAAATATTAATAATTTAGCCCATTATTCTCACCAAATTGTTGCGTCAGAGAAGCAGATGTAATCTAAATAAGTTTTGCTCGCGCGTACGCTTGGTATCTTGCTCTATAAAGTTGAAACTGATTACAAAAGTGCATTTTTTTTAATAATTTTGCCGGATGAGGGATAAAAAGTGCTATGTCTTTGTATTTGGAAAAGGACGTAGCAGTTATTATCTCACACCCGACAATTTGTGCATCGATTTATATGATTCACGTACGTAGATGTATCCTCCTTCGTGTAGTCTTCGAAAATCAGATCTACTACTTTTCGCAAATGTGTAAGTTGAGATATGACACTGTAATCAGAAAATGACGATTGGAATAATGAGAATCGTGTTTTTATTTTTGAAAGCTTACCATATCGGCTGCTGACACCGATAGAGTTTAACCTGGAAATGGACAAGAGACTTCCAATACGCCGGGGACCCACCAAAGCTAACAATCTGTAGAACAGCTTGTGATCGAACATTTGTGCCTCTAAAACACGAATGTAGGAAACGTGATTGGTCGTGAGCGTCGCAGCTGTCTCGGCGCGACAGAGAAATGCCAACAATGAAAAGGAGCATTAATCGTTTTGGGAGCGCCGCGGAAAAACCGTCGCACGCGTTTCCTCCCTGCCAGAGGAAAAGGTACGCGTGTTTGCAGATGTACTGCTGTCGAACTTTCTTGCGTCGACTGCGACGTGATATACCAGCGCCCAACGCTCGACCACTGCCCAGCTAACCCTTGGCCGGCATAGACTGGCGAGCTACGATAGCGGGTAACAAGGACAGGCGGAAGAAGGGGTGTGCCCGCGGAAGGCTTCAGAGCGAGGGCAACGGCGACCGAGCGATCACGAAAAGCGACTCACTGTTGATACGGACACGCTCGAGGTCCGACAGACTGCTTTTCCGTACGCGCGCGTTAGTTTACTTCGACGGATCCCGGAGAATCGACGCGCGATAAGTCTGTATTTGTCGCTCCGATTGCAAGATAAGTTCACGGGAAATACAATCTCTCCAATCGAATCGCGAATAAATCCACTAGTCCTCACACCTACAGCAACGACGACGCTCTCGTAAACAGTTAGCCAGTTAGCCGCCAGTACAAACGAAGATGATCGCATTACTTGTCATTGTCGCTGTTGCCATCAATGGTACGTTATCATTAATGAAGACTTTTTCATAAATGCATCAAATTAAAAAAGTTACGTCTAATTTTGTCCTAAAACCCTAAACGAATCGCTAACAGTGCCAATACTGTCCGATACGGCGGAAGCCGCAACGATGCCAGCGGCATCATTCCCAAAAGGCTTGCTAGCAGCCGACGGTCACGCGGACATCAAAGAAGTACCTTACCAAGCGATAATAATTTACCGTGATCGTCCCATCTGCGGTGGCGCGATCATTTCCGAGCATCATATACTAACTGCCGCGCATTGTTTGCTGTGGGGTCCGAGCGAGTATCAAGTAAGATTAGGCTCGAATTTACGAGATCACGAAGGCAGCCTACACGACATTCGGGAGCACAGACTGCACGAGCTGTACTACGAAGATCGAGATTACCAGGCAAGTCCGCGCAAAGTGCCGGTCAACGATCTGGCGATAATAGAACTTTCAGAGTCAATCGATTTCGATTATCGGCGCCAAGCGATCAAATTGTACGACTACATGGAGGACGTAGGCGTTGGCGCAGAAGCTCTCGTTACAGGTTGGTACGTATACAAGCACAACTTCAGCGCGGAACATTTGACTACCAAGGTGGTGCAGACGTTGGATATGAGTCTCTGCAACAAAGCTTACGAAGACATCGGCGGCGTGCCTGCCGGACAAATTTGCGCGGGCTACCCAGGCTCGCCTGGTCGAACCGGCTGCCTTGGCGACTCGGGTGGTCCGCTGGTGGTCAATGGTCGGCTGGCTGGAATACTGTCGTGGGGTAACGGATGCATGAAGGCTCGTTATCCAGGACTGTATACCGAGATCGCTTACTACAGAGACTGGATCGAACGGAAAGGAAGAGATCAATACAGTTTGTGGACGCCGTAGTATTAGTGTTCACTTGGATTTAATACAAAGTTTCTTTTCATATCAAACACCGACGCTCACAGAATTCTTTTTAATTAATTTCATTACTGAAGAGTTATTGTGTCTTTCCACATAACGAATTTATTCGTGCTTAAAAATCCTTGTAAATCATGTTTTACGTCGAACAATTAGATGAACAATAAAAAGACTCCGTTAGTATTCAAATGTTTTTCCTTTGAATTGAATTAATAAAGTCTATAACTAGATATAGAGAAAGCAATTCTGGATTTACCAATGCTCTCGTTAAAACTAAACATTTTGCACATCAATAATCAATACCTGGCAGATCTAACGGAAATTCCCAACAAAGATCGTTCGGTGAACGAGATAGGCTTAGATGTGTGGTAAGTAGAGTGTCCGGTCGAAAATGATTAAATACGCCTCCGGCTCATGAGCGCTCGCTTCACTAGGGGATCGTTTATAAGCTGCTGACCATCAGCTGCACGCTCAGTAGTGAATTGGAAGCTTCGTTGCGTACTTTACAGTTAAATGTTCAAAGCTTCGTTGAACTGCTATAAATAATCGTGGAAAAACAGAGAGCTGATAGCTATGATATTTCTACTGAGCGTCGTTCTCGTGGCTGTAACCAATGGTATGTTGGATTTGCTGGAATGACATTTTTATTTCGCTTGATTTATCAGAGTGTTAACATTCTTAAAATTATTCCAAGTTCTTTTTTTTTTTTTTCAAAAATGCAACGTTGAATAATTCCTCTAGATAAAAGGGTTCTTATTCGAGACGAAACTAAAGTCATATTACGAATTACAAGTGGCAGCCTACTACCCACGGGGTCCGATGTTTGGCAAAAGCACGCACATCGAGGAAGTGCCGTACCAAGTAGTGATCCTGTATCAAGACAACCCAGTATGCGGTGGCGCGATAATATCGGAGAACTACGTACTGACAGCCGCCCACTGCGTGGGTCGCAACGAACGAGACTATCGCGTTCGAACGGGCTCGAGCTGGCGTAACTCCGAGGGTAGCCTTCACGAGATCCAGAGCTACGTTTGCCGCGAGGACTGCCATCACGATCTGTACGAAAAAGGGAGCAAGCGCGTCGTACCTTCCAATGATTTGGCTTTGGTCAAGTTCGTCGATCCCATCGCGTTCGACGCCAAACGCAAGCCCATCGACCTGTTCAACGAGACGGAGGTGGTCAGCGCTGGCGTCGATGCCCTCGTCACTGGTTGGTCCAAGACGAACGCCAGCTCGGAGGATCACCTGACTGCCAGGACGGTGCTGACATTGGACGCGGGTCTCTGTGATAAAGCTTACGAGACCGTGGGCGGTATACCACCAGGCCAGATTTGCGCTGCCTATCCAGGGGCCATCGGCAAAGGTGGCTGCCAGGGTGACTCGGGAGCTCCGTTGGTCACTGAAGGTCGACTCGCCGGCATACTTTCCTGGGGTAATGGATGTGCCAAACCTCACTACCCGGGAGTTTACACCGAGGTGGCTTACTACAGAGACTGGATCGACCAGAATATCCGCTCTTAGTTCAACCAAGCTTTATATTTAATATGTCGTTTGCTCTTCCTATACGAAATGTCCTGCAGCGATGCATCATTATGAATTCATTGTCATCGTCACCATGTAATTAATAAAGTTTATCAAATTTCTTCGCAGTAATAATTTTTGAAAATAATTCGTGGCACAGTCGGCAATGCCCAGGTCTATAACAGCTTCTCTTTGCAGGTAGAAAAGCAAGCTCGTCGTTTTATCCAAGTCGGCCTGAAACAGACAAACGGAATAGAAATGCACCTTACGCGGCTTCGCGAATGGGAGAGCGCGCCCCAGAGCTGGATCCTGAACTTTGCGACGGCGAGCATTGGCAATCGAATCCGTTGGCGCGCGAAATCGCTTAGGTATCTGAAATTCACGGTCGGAATTGTGAGCTTCCGAGTTTCCTCGTCTATTACAACTAGCGCGATGAGTACTTTACATGGTCGCTTTTACGACACTGCACCGCGAGTAATATCATATAATCCTGCATATCGATTGCCACGCAAGAAGAACGTGGATAGATTACTTTTGTATTCGCTCGCAATGCTCAAACTTTCGTTGCACGAGAAACTACAGAAACGCATTATCTACTTGCCCGAACGAGCATTTATCGCAGAGTACGGTACAGAAATAATGGTCTAAGCATAAGAAAAACAAAGAAAGATTGGATAAACGGACAGAGTTTTCCGCGTTACGTCTTATACGCGCCGTATCTGCAATAATCGGCTGATTACAGTGATCATCGCTGTGCATTTGTTTCGTTGTTGTTTTCGCTGCTCAGCAACCGGATACACGTAATTTTCGCAATCAATACTCGCAGGGGATTTTTTTTTAGAAACAAAAGCGACCCGTCTTCATTTTCTGGCTAAAAATAATCTTTATTCTAGAAACATGAGTAATATAAGGATTTAATTGAAAGTTTCGTCCAAAGTCTGCAGGAGGAAAAAGTAAGAGACCGTTGTATTTACAATCTGTAAATAAACGAGATATAATTATTAGTATCATAACGTAACGTATATAGGACTTTGCCCCTAGTTTTATTATTTATTATTCAAGTACCTTCGCAAACATGTCGAGACCTAACACCATCACACTTTTCGCTGTAAACACTAAGGGTTTCTGTGACAAAACGATGAGGACATCGTTCATGAAATGAGTATCACCGGAGCCTGGCCAATAAGCATCATACATCGCTTCCAAACATGCCTCGCTCTAATTCATATCTAATTTTTAGATCACCTTTATTTTGGTGAATATCTTTTTTATTTAAGAACGATATTTGAGGAGAGGTGCCGGTGAAATTTCCATCGGGTACAAAAGAAACTCGTCAGCGGATGACATTGTTTATCATCGCGTGTATCTTGGCATGCTAGATAGAGCAGTTAAACTCAATATGACGAAAAGAATTTTTTTTTTCTCGTCGATTTCTAAAGTTTCATTTAAATCGACCATAAATTTTTCGGTTATACTTTGCGTGATAACGAGCATCTTTGCTCGTGAATTTCAAAAAGGATTGTTTTTTAAAAAGCTTAAATAAGCTGAAGAAAAGTTTTCGATTTTCAAGGCTCATTGATTTCATCGAGTAAAAAAATAAAGAAAGCACGAAGAAAGATTGATCCTTGCTCAACTTTAAGGGTTTTCGTTCAAAATTTTTCTAGCGGATACGAGTGGTGGTTTTTTGGTCGAAATGAAAATTTCACCAGCATCCCTTCTGAAGGAAAAACAAAGATATTTAACGGAACAGAGTGCAGAGCCAGATAAATGTAAACATAAGACTGACTGTTGATTGCACAAGTGCACTTATCGTTTGTTCATGAGAGTACTCACTTCGACATTGATAATGTTTCCAAACCACGCGTAAGAATAAGCTTGCACTAACTTCAAGAACGAATAGCACACCAAGTAACATACTTTCAATGCGGTCAAATGCTTCATCTACATGCAAAAGGACAGTCGTAATGAATCGGCGTGTAACAGTAACGAAGACAAGTAACATACCTGCGAAGCTTGAAAGATGAGGGCGCAAAGGACCATAGCGCAAGTTAGAGCTAGCCAAATAGCAAGGAAACCGAAAACTCGCTCCAGAAAATGATGAGATTTGGTCAACTGAACGTGTCTTCTTACGCAGTCTTTCATACTTTCCTTGTAACTGTCACTCGACTTGAGGGCTCGAAAGCGCGAAGTGAGTAGCCTCAGTTCGCCAACCAATTGAAGCGTATAGTAGCCGAAGAGGGAGTCGACACCACAGGTGACGCTCCAGAGGAAGAAGCCCGCGACGATCTCGAAGCCATAAATGCACCAGTGAACAATGCCCCCAGGCACGTAGCTGAATGGTAGCACTTGTGGATACATCCGAATGTATTTCCCACGGCGAAGGAATGACAAAGGAATGAGCATGTACAATAGAACGTTGAGCGCGACCGAGTAATCAAACGTGTAGAAAAACTTGGTGAAAATACGTAAATGGGCTAACAGCTGTGAGCGATCCTCTGAAGTTGCGAGGTCTGTATTGAATAACTGTGAGACGCCAGAGTTTAAAGCGCGTAGGTCGTCCTGGTGAAACCTTATGAGACATACCTATGACAGTTCACTCTATGGTTATACAATTCTGTGCTCAAGCTGTACATCTACTATTTTTACCATGTCCCTTTGTAATTTATGCATGGCATAATCACCTTCAGAAAGGACGAGAAAAAGCTAACGAAAAGCCCGATCCCCCGCGTGAGCAAACTGATATTCGCCACGTACTTGACGCAAAAACCAAAGACCCCATAGGATATAGCGAAATTGAAGATCCCCGAACACAAACTCAGTGCAATGCCAACAAGCCGTGGCTGTGTCTCATGATCAATCCACAATCCCGAGCACGCGAGCATAAATTTGAGCTTATGCTTGTACTTCTCGTACTTTCTCAGTTCCATTTCCATTCTCGGTGAGCTTGCGAAACGAACTGAGTAGCAGGAGCTCCTGGCGAAATCGCGGACGAGTGATCGATGATATAATGCCCCATAACAAGTTTATGATAGCCATCATTATCTGATTTCGCATGCATCGTTTACTTCGCGAGGGTGCATATGAGTGGGGATGAGAGTTGAATGGAAGGGGTAATACTTATTTCAGTATCTTTCTACAAGTCTTACCGACAAGCTCTAAGAAAGGACCTTATAAAGAGTACGGAATAGAAAAAAAAATTATTGAACGTCTCCGTCCATCGATAGATATATAGGTGCAAATAATTCTGTATACAATTTTTTTTTTTCACAGTGTACATGTACTGTAAATCAATTCTTTCATTGTCAAGACAATGTGAATAAAAACACGCTACTAACCATGTTAAAGTACTGATAACTTTTACGAGTTATGAAGTTTAATCAGTGTATGAATTTCGTTGTCATGAAGTCTTAATGTTTATTCCATTCAGATGAAACTGCGCCTAAAGACAGTTTTTCATTTAACTATAGTAAATTACAGATGAAGTGAACTAATTTCATAAGTATATAGTTAATAAATGTTGGCATTCTGATGGTACTGTTTTATATTACGTTTTAGTGAACTAAAGTTCGAGTAAGAAATTGAGTATTGCTGTAAAGTATTTACCGTGAGATATTAAATATAAACGGAATCAATCAAACATCAGAAATATATTTGTTTTTAATTTTGGATTACCTTTAATTTATTTACAAAATGAAAATAAAAAAGCTGTTTAACAAATTAGTAGCATACTCTTCAACGCCCGTGCTCAAGTGAAATTTCATTGCAAGAGTCATTACAGTAGCGTAATATTTCGAAAGCAAAAATAATTTATAATCAAATTCTTTTGATTGTAAACCAGTGATATATATCATTAGATTTATTTCAAAAGTAACTTGTCGACCTGACGTATAATCTTTTAAACTTTGAAGTTGAATATCTCCAAATAATCTCAACTGAATCACTTCTACAGGAATACCACTGATACATTCTTACATTTAATAAATTCAAGTATTCCTTTTTTTCTTCGAAATAAAATAATAATCATGTTCCTTCAACATTTATGTCATCATTTTGTTCAAGTCGTTCTGAAATGAATAAACAATAAAAACGATCAAGTAGCTGTTTAAATAAATAAATAAATGATTAAATTGTAGGATTTTACATGTTTTTAGTCGGCATCATAAAGTTTAATTTAAATGTCACTGGTACGGTAAACATTGTATGATTTCTTTATCTATCACGTCTAAAACTTTGTATTCAGTTTAAATACTCCAAAACTGAAAATTTTTAAGGATTATGAACAAATTAATTTTTTGGTATTGATTACAGAGTTAAAAGGATCCGGTAGACTATTTTTATATTTGCATATATTGTTCAAACTTTCGTTGAATATAACTATAAATACCGAATTATATACTCAGTGAAGTTTTACTGCAGAAAAGAGCATAGAAATAATGGTTCAAGGAACAGAACAAGAAAACCAAAGATTGATGCTATATCCCATGCTAGACAATAATTGGCTCATTACAGTGATCATTGTTATGCATTTGTTTTGTTGTTGGTAGAGATGTACACTTTTATTACAAATTCATATTCGTAATTGAAATCTAATAAAATCGGTAAGTTTTTTCTTCTTCTTCATTTATTAAAATAAATTTTATTCCAGCAACAAAATAACGTGAGCAACGTGAATTTAATTAACCATTTCGTTTAAGATCTGTAGAAGGACAAGTCAGATACCATTGCATTTACAATCTGTAAATAGACAGAAAGAATAATTAGTATTCAAACATGAAGAATGAACTTTGACCGAGAGATCATTAAAGTACCTTCGTGAACACGTCGAGACCTAACAGCTTACATCGTTCTATGTTAATATCTTTTTCTTCCAACGATATTTGAGAAGGAGTGGTGGTAAAATTTCAATCAGGCACAAGATAAAGTCGCAAGGGACTGACATTGTAGTTGACAAAAGTAAATTTCATAATGCACTGAACCTACCATTTTCTATTTGGAAAATCGCCAAAAATTTGTTGAATACATTAGGGATGACAACATACTTCTTTATGCGTGGATTGGAAAATATCAATATTTTTTCTAATACATAAAAAATTTCAGAGACAAATAATGTATTTCTTTTTATTTTTGAAAATCATTATCATAATGCTAATCAATTAATACCGCTTTTAAAAAATTTGGTGAGCCTGTTTTTTATTTCAGACAATTTTCAAGTTATCATGCATTCCAAATTATATCAGTGCCAGACAGTAACGATGCAGTAATATTAATCATTAGTGATTTAGTAAGGTGTTGTTATATTTTCAATTTAAATAAAATGTTACCTTTATTATATCAGCTAACAGATTCATGCTTCACATCAAACTCATATGGATTTCAATTTAGCAATGCCGATTGCGCAAAATGTCTTGAAATAAAAAGAAACTTGCGCTTCGAATGGGTTGCAATAAAAATAAAAACTACCCTTTACTCAAATCAACAAATGCACGGCCATTTTTTAACAAATTAAACACAATTTTTTCGAAATTTGATAAATTAATCAAGTAATTTGTCCTCTTCAAAATAAAAGAAAAAGCTCTTGCTATTTCATGAAATTTATCGATTTGAGCAATTACATTCTGAAATATTAGTAACGTTTCTTGATTGCAAGAAACATTTTCACTTGAAATAAGTAAATAAAACATTGTTTTTTAGTAAAGATAAGACGTATTTACTATATTTTCAATGATGTACAAAGTAATAAATTGTTAACACAAGCAGCTATAACGAATAACGCGCAAAATCTTTCCAATACAGTTAGCTTCTGATAGGTCATTCAATTTTTAGCAATCCAACGAAACTCACCGTGTATTTATACAGCCGTCAACACAGTCTCACGTTGATGTTCTGTATTAGAATATTTTCTGCCCGTTGATATACTTCATCTCTACTATCGAGGAGCTTGTGGGCACACTGAACGCTCTCGCGAAATCGCAGAAGGCTAATCGATGACGTGATGTCTCATAATAAGCCTCTTATGGCTCGTTTTCGCGATTTTCGTATGAATATTTTACCCGTGAGCATTTCTGGGATGGGGTGGCGCAAAAGAGAAGGGGTATTCGGCGCTTCAGTCTCGGGGAAGCAGCGAGATAGTAAAGAAGTTTTCGTCAATATTGGCAGTGCGCTTATGGTGTACGACGCGCGTATATATATCAGAGGAAAATTCTGCAGTGCATTGGTAGACGGGAGAAAATAGCTTGGGAATACCGGGTCTACGCGAGTTTTTGATATCACATATCTTCTTCGTTTTTACTTCTTACCGAGCAACCGATTTAAGCAATTTTATCAAATAAATGATACATTTCGATCATTACGCTTTCCTTCCAAACGTTTCGTAATGTAGATTACGATTTAATTTTTCATTCTGCCAACGTCTTACAGCAAATATCTTTCAATGACTTATTTTTATTCGTCCCGTATTGCAATCGTAATCAGCACTGCATAACGCAAAACTAAATTCACCGTTTCGGATGAGCAAATACGCAGTCGATTGCATTGCGACTAATTGACAGCATAATGGATCTGGATGTAGCCAAGTACCAAGCTTACCGAAAATTTATTGAAAATTTAGTGTTTCGAGCTGGTCTTTGGCCTCACAGGGATGACACAGTGTTCATCTACAGATTCATCACGTTCACGGGTTTCTGCATGACTACCAGTGTTGGAACGAAAGTTCTTTTCTTTTGCTTGTCAAACGTTGGTAATGTGTCAAAGTTCGTTGAAACTTTGCAAAATGCATTAGCCGTTTACGCACCGGTAATGAGAGTAAGTACAATTCTGTGCAATCTCGATTGTTATTTTACCGATATTCAAACTATTCTGTTTGCCGAGCGTGTTTTGCTTGAAAAAATTGATTGAAAAAAAAAAGAGTTGAATTCAACTAACGTAGACTTCTTACGCTGAGTGTACTTTCCCGATTCTTTCAATCAGCCGTACACATGAAAAATTCTTCGAGCCTGCATTCTACGCAGACATTTCATTGTTTAAAATAGTGAATGACAAATGCATCGTAACAGATTGTGAACTATCTGGTGTACCGCAGTGAACTCATCGCACTCGACAAGGAATTGGGCACGAAATACACAGAAGAACTGAAGAACGAAAAGTACCGACCGGTACTGCTGAAAAAGATCTCGTTCTATTCCAAATTCATGAATTTTCTAGTAATCTCGACGGGCATCACGATAGCCATGTTCCTGACTCCACGGTTCATTCACATATTCAAGTATAAAAAGCGCATGTACTTGTGGCCGGTAACGATGGAAGGATAAAGCCGAAGCGAAGCCTTGTGTCAGTTTGCCTTGAAAATAAAATGATTTCAGGGCAACTATCCATTCGTGGTGGAACCGACGGGTGCGGTCTACTGGACGCTCGTCGCCTACGAGACGGGCCTATTCTGGTTCACGTTCCACGTGTTGTCCGGAGTGGACAACGCCTTCGGCATGCACTGCTTTCACATAAGCGCTTTGCTCAGGCTGGCGGCGGCGCGCGTCTTCGATCTCGATCCGGCCGACCCAAACTACAAGAGCCAATTGAAGGAATGCGTCGCCATACATCAGCTCGTAATCAAGTCGAAGACAGCCCTGCAGAAGATTTACGGCGGTATCATTATTTGGAATTACTGCGTCAGCGCGATCATCATGTGCAGTCTGCTGTGGCAGGCTCAGCAGGTACGCATCGGCTTCGCGCGTTGAGAATACTTGAGGCGCAAAGCCGAACGATAACGCGCTTTCGAAGCGACCGACAACCAGCGAAATCGCTTCCAAAGGCGGCAAGAGTCGATGGGCAAACAGCTGGATACTTTTAAGCGTATTTTAAGAAAGCGCAGTACCTCAAGTATTCGATTCGAGCCGTTCTCCTCGCCCGATACATCTCGCACGTGCACAGACAGTTTCGTTCTCTCTTAGATCAAATCTCAAATGACGGTGCTCAAGTTAATTTTTTTCGTGGCTTACATTGTAATGAAACTAGTACAGACCTTCATATACGCCTACTATGGTTCAGCCATCACCTCAGAAGTACGTACCTGTAACATCATTCTCGGTAGCTTCTTCCGTGAATATTCACGTGGAGTTCCATGTTCGCAGAGTGAAATATACCGGAATGCCGTTTACACGTCTAGTTGGCCGGGATCTGGCAACGTGAGACTGATGAAAGACCTGCTGGTCATTCTCATGCAGCGCACCATCAACCTCAAAGCTTGCGGCTATTTTCTCATAACCATGGAAATGTTTGAAAAGGTTTGTACACTTCTACTTATATTTTACTCGTAGATTTAATTTAGAGCGACCACGGCTCAATGGGCAGAGCGTAGACCATCACCAACGCTGTTTTTGCGAAAATGTATGTGCCAAAATTATCGTCGCGACTTAATGCTTCTTCTGAATCCGCGTAGGTTCAGTGATTATTATCTATGGGATTTTATCTATAGAGTCGGTTCAGCGTTGAAGCACAAATAACAGCGGAACATTAACGAATAAGAAAATGACTTCAACGCTACGGTGGTGAGTGCGGCACCCTTAAAATTTGAAATCGTATAGGGTGGAATTAGCAGCACAGCATATACTCAAACGTGTGCAAAAATTCATAAGTAATATTTATTCTTTTTTTCAGATTGTTAATACGACGATATCGTATTTTTTCATCCTCCAAAGCTTGGAAATGAAGCATTGAGTTTTTCTTGAAATGACATTTGTTAATTGTATTGTACGTAGTTATTAGTTGCGTCAATAAATGGAATTGGCGTTGTGGTATGAAAGTTGTGTTCTTGACCGATATTATCTGAAGAATTTTACGACAATATTCGTTTAATTTCAGAAGTCCTCTCTGAAGCTAACTCTCTGAAGAAATAAGCTGTCTCTAATATGTAGCCTGATTGCCTTGAGTTCTATATTCTAAGCATTTTTTAATAATTATCGCTACTTATCATCGGCTTATTCCTCTAATTTCAACAACGTTGTCAGACGTCTTCGTACATTTATTTTTAAACTCTTTTTGAAGATTTACAATTATCATTCCATTTTTCGTAGTCTTGACATCGGTTTCCTGCTTCAATATATTATAATTATATTGAAGCTTTTAGAGAACAATGATGTAAAGGTCATGTCATAATTGTTACAAGTCCATTGTAATGAGAAAAACCATCGATGAAAGTTCTACGGTTATCATTCCAATAAATATTTTTTTATCTTAATTTTTATTTGATAAGTGCAATATTTGTGATTTATGTAAGTTTGTTTAGTAAGCTTGACAATATCCAAGGAACTTCTGAAGCTCGCTGAAAGAATAATCTTGCTCGTGATATTTACAGTTCCGCTTGGATTTTCATCGTCAAATTTACTTTCGCTTTTGAGCTGTATTGCGCATCGCCGTAAAATCTTGAGAAAAAAAGCATTACGAATAAGATACACGAGTGTTCGAAAAAGTAGATAATGCCGCGCTTGAACTCGTAGAAGTTGGAACACGTGTCGGAAAGCCGTGTCTGGTTGGGAACTTTCAACGAAACGAGCTTATGCTAGTTGCGCTCGGTTGTCTTTATTTGCTGTAGGTCTAGAGTTAAAAATGTATCGATTTCCCTGGCGAGCCAACCCAAATCAATACAGAACCATTTGCACAGATTGTTTTCCCTTGGCACCAAAAGCGAAAGCAAACGTAAACTAGGCTTCCGCTTCAACAACTTGAGTAAATCTACTTTCCAGAAACTTAGTGCCTGCGAGATTCATATAGGTTCACTCGACTGCTGCGAATTCGCGGCTATGGCCTAGCGGGCGAATTTCTCTCGTCCGCAGCGGACATTGACTTGATTTCAATATTCAATGTAATATGTTATATGCAGCGACCGATTAAGCTATTAACTTACTACACAGCAGATTTCCAGTGCAGTGAATCGAGATATTCCCGTTTTATTATTCCCCGTGCGTTTTGCTGGACTCTCGAAATAAAACTAATAGCTGTTATTATTTCTACGTGAAAGAGGCAGTTGCCGACGCAGAAAAACTACTGTTTCGACGGAAGTTCATTTATAATTTGTTAGCTGTGCACACGAGTTTCGCGATGCGCAGATAGAGTGTGTGCGTGTGTGTGTGTTTCTTTGTTCGTCAAAGGGATCCTAGCTGTTTGCATGCGAAATGACTTTGTTGAATTATCTATCAAGGCGGCAGAATACGGACCGGCGGTGCAACGCAGCTCGAGCGAAAAAGGGGTTCCACAGTACAACCTCAGCCTGATCTAAAAGCCCAGCCACTGTGTTTCGCTCCACTAACGTTCCCAGTGCTGTATGTACCAGCCGATGAAACGCAATGTAAAACGATTCCATTCGCGGTTTTACGTGTATCGAACACGTACGAGGTGTGAGCATCGAGCAACGATTAAAGATAATTGGGGTAATCGGTTCGCGTGTATTGTAACTCATTGCACGCGTATCGCGAAGATCGCAGCGTCGTAAAAATTGAGATCGAACCGAAGCGAAGGCGAAGCAACCTATCGAGATGGACGCGCATCTGGCGATGTATCAGCGGTGTCGCAAGTCGATTGACAGTCTGCTTTACGGCGCTGGCATTTGGCCCGACCGCGAGAACGGCAGTCTCCTGTACAAACTCTTCACCGTCTACAGCTTACTCGTGCCTGTTGTCATCGCCATGAAGTGCCTTTACGGCGGCACCATGGTCGCGGATGATATCTCGGGGATGGTCATCAGCCTTCGAGGAGTGGCAATCATGTGCTCGGCAGCAGTGAGAGTAGCTACACGCCTTATCGTTAACGCTATCGAGCTTGCGCCGGAGGCTGGGAGTCGCGAAAGGCCGCTCGAGAAGAGATATTTGCAATGCGATCCGAGCTATCCGCGCAATTTCGACGGCTCGCGCCTCGCAGCTCTCCGCGCCAAGTTTCACGAGTACGAAATAACGAACGAACGGCAACAGATGGGCAGCTGCCTGCTGTACCGGACGGAGCTCGCGTTTCTGGAGAGCGAGCTGTGCGCCAAGTTCGGGGACGCGTTGGCCGACGAGAGGAGCCGCGCCGTGCTGCTCAAGAACGTCTCCGTGTACAGGCACTTCATCAATTTCTTGACGTTGTCGATCGCCTTCACGGCGCTCATGTACTTCATCCCGCTCGCCGTGCTCGTCTTCAAATACAAAAGGCACGTCCAACTGTATCCGGTGGGTATCTCGGCCCGACGCGGACCCTCGCTGACGACTGATCCAGGGCGAATACCCGTTCCCAGTGGCGCCGAGGAGCGCGGCCTATTGGTCGATCTTCGCCTTCGAGACGAGCTCGTTCTGGTATCTGGTCTGCGGCATCGCCGGCATGGACAGCGCGTTCGCCATGCACTGCTTCCGAATCCGCGGCTTTCTGCGACTGGCCACCGAGCTCATCAACGACCTCAGCGTCGACAGTCCCAATTGCGAGGACCGGCTGCGCGAGTGCGTGTCCATCCACCAGCTGGTGCTGAGAGCCAACGCGACCTTGGAGAAGGCCTACGGCTACATCGTCATCTATAACTACATCGGCAGCGCGGTGATTATGTGCAGCGTGATGTGGGAGGCCAACCAGGTATGCTGCGCACTCGGCCGTCAAGTGCGAACGGGTGACCTGTATCGTTTGTCCATCGCAGAATAAGGCTCAGCTCTCGGTGACCAAGCTCCTCTTCGTCGTCGTCTACATGCTCATGAAGCTCGCTCAGGTCTTCGTTTACGCCTACTTTGGCGCAGCTATTGCCGCAGAAGTACATCTCATTTGACCTCGACGATGCTCCTCCGACGTTAACAAGTAGCACAATTGTCTGTTGGCAGAGTGAGCAGTATCAGGAGGCTATTTACATGTCCAGTTGGCCAGGATCCGGAAAGGTTCGATTGATGAAGGACTTTCTGATTATTCTCATGCAGAGAACCGTCACTCTGAAAGCTTGCGGCTTCTTCCTCGTGACCATGCGCTACTTCGAAAAGGTTCGCTCGATCTTCTCCTTGCTTCCTAATCGACGACGCTTTTCGCGTCTTTTTTATTTCTCCTTCCATTTTTCAGGTTTGCAACACTACGCTCAGCTACTTTTTCTTGCTTCAAACTTTAGACGCAAGCGACTAATCTTACATAACGAAACTCGCTAATAGTCCCGATGTAGTTGTCGCAATTTTTGTTAATATATGCCGATGTTAGCATTGTGCCGAATGTTTGCTTTTTCCTCAGTGTTTGGTGAAGCCTTCCTGATATTCATTCTGACTGCGATCGAATGCTTCGTAATTATCGCTTTACTTGGCAGTAGACTCGTTGTGCATTTTTTCATCTCGTTCTCCATTTTTCGTTCGATGGTTCTCGACAAAAGAAAAAACAAAAAAAACTAATAATAGCTACCATCATCTCGACGACGAAAAGAAACACTGTAGAGACAGAGGAACTGCAATTATTTCATTTATTATTTATGCCCTATACGCATACGAGTTTTGCGAGAAATATAGAGAAGACCTCATCCTTTTTTTACCGATCATCCAATCGTGAGAATCGGCTTCGCAACTGCGAAAACATAGCAGAGGCGCCACAACGTTGGACGCTCGCGGCGGCTACGGTCGAACGATTAAGCTATTATCTTACTACGTGGAAGCCGCTACTAATCTCGTCTGCCATTCTCCAACCGTTTCGTTCATTGCTCTTCGATTCATCGAAATAACTGGTAGTCGCAATGCTCTCTTCTTCGACGCAAGCTCATTTATCATTTGAATGCACCTTTGGGCTGTGCGCTAGGAGCCGAGCCTATTTTTCGCGACGCAAGAGAGACGAATGGGCTGCATGGCGTCGATGTATGCGCGCATCAAACATTAAACTGAACAGCGATGCCCGGTAATCTTCTGCTTTCGGCGCTGGATCGATTGCTGCATTTTCGTACGGATCGTAAAGGTAACGAGTCGCGAGAACCGATCGTTATGTCTAACGCATCGTGTTAATTCGATCGGTGACCATGCACACGCGTGCCTCGAAATTGACTGTGTTTTCTCCAAATATTTCATGCAAAATGATATAAGAAATCCAGACGAGATCTCGAATAACAACGATCAGACTCACGGCTTCGCTTGGTCATCTACCACTGTAGAAGTCCGTGATTTTCAATTTCACGCTTATTTTAAACTGAAACATTCATTGGATTTCTTTATTGTGAGAAGGTAAACAATATCACGAAAATATCCAAGCTTATACGTAAACTAGCAATGTCATTACCATTAAAATATTGCTGAGAAAAAAATCGAATGATGCATGGTTACTTACGAGTTTGTCCTCGGATGTCATTCCGGTATAACGATTTTCTTTCTTTTCTTTTCCCTCTCGATCGCGCCAAATCTAACATACTACGCCTATCTAAACGTATGTACTTTCGAAGAAAGCTAGTCGAGTGAGCATGATAATTCATTCGGGAGAATGATTTAGCGTGCAATTCGCAAAATATCAAAGTTGAGTCGTGAAATAAAAAATTAAGATTCAAATGCGACCGAACTTTTTAGTCGCTTATAATGAACTAATGAACTAGCTCTTCCCAGTTTTCTTTCTCACTTATAGTAACTGGACATTAACTTTCTTCAATCGTATATTTCAACATTCGAAACTATTTTCACTTTTCGCATGTTGATTTTCCCTGACGACCTCTTTACTTTTATATGAATAACAGATGTTGACAACTATCTATTCTACCATGTAACAACGTTGTTGCTTGAACTTGAAGATCAATAAATTAATGCCCTTTAGATTTAGTTTCACAGCTAGGATGCATCAATGTTCATCAACGCGTGAATGGTTCTCAACGTCGAAATTTCTAATAGCTGCACGTATATAATTACACCTCGAGCAGCATGCTACTTTTTGCGTATCTGACGATTGACGTACGCGTTCAATGAGAACCAAATTGTGAGAGGAACCGCATTGGCACGCTAAAGCGCAAGCTTTGATCGAGATTTAAGAGAGAGAGAGAGAGAGAGAGAGAGAGAGAGAGAGAGAGAGAGAGAGAGAGGAGAGAGATAGAAAGAGAAGGGATGGGCGGTTGATCAGTCGTCGGAAAGCCTTTGATGAGTAAGCAATTTCTACTATATCCATACAACAATACTGCTTGCGATCCGTCGTAGCTACGTACGCGGCGACAATGAGAGTGCACAGATTTTCATTTGCACTTTCTGTATCTGACGAAAACACCGACCCGGAAAAACTACATAGAATCAAAGTATTTCACTCTCTCATTCTCTAGAAGAAAACTAATATACGATCGTGACCGATGGTGTGCGCAAAGAGTTGGGACTTCTTGAAAACGAATCGGTTGCCAAATGCGACAACATTTTTTTGTGTTGACAGAGGGAAAATTATCAGAATGTCGTTTACAGATCGAATCGGGCAGAATCCGGAATCATACGCTTGGTAATAGATTTACTACTTGTTCTTGCGCAGAAGGCTTTTAACTATTCAAATTCAATGGTATTAAAGCAATTTCACATTTTACTTCTCAGATTTGCAGTACTACAATATTTCTACTTTCTACAGAGCACAGATGCAAAGCATTAAATTATTTCACGATATGTAACTTATTAGTTATGCTGTAGTTTTTGTATGTGTCAATAAATAGTGGCATTGCTATTACATTGCCGGAACTTTTATTGCAAAGTATCAATACTACTGACTGAATATATTAATAATAGTCTCATTATACAGGAACAAGTTTAATTTTTCTTTTTATAATAATTAATAAAATTTTTATTCTACGGAATTGAAATTCCAGTCTTTTTTTATTGAAATAACACATATGTTAAGCAGCAAACATTATTTTTATAGAATAAAAGCAACGTGGTTTCTTATTGCCATACTTTTAAGAGCTTACTCTTACCAAAAGAATCCAAAACTAATGTTTCACTAGAATACTTTTAAATGTAAAGGAAATCGTAAGTATTTATGCTGTCTAATGCACATTGATGTCGGCGAAACTTCCGCTTTGTGGAGTGAAATGAAGAGGATATTAAATATAATTCCAGAGAAATCAACAATTTCTCTTTTATATATATTTTAAGTTAATAAAAACTATAAACATAATCATCCATTATATTAATAAATAGAAAAAAACATCTGAATAAATTTATGAAATAAAAATGATATATTATTCCGAAATGAATAAGTACTTAAAATAACATGCATTGTTATATAATATATCAAAGATTTTGTACATTGACAAACATAAGTGAATTTAAAACTAGAGTACAATACATTCTATGCATCCTCACATTGAAATCCTAGTAAAATTTGTCTATTGTCTTAATTAATAATAAGGCACGTTCACTTTAATATACTTTCAACCATCTAAATAAATTATGTTTTGCAACGTAGCGGCAGTTAATTATAAAAGACATCTTTGGTTAGTAAATAATTTTGCAGTATAAATTCCGCATAAATATGCCTTACATTAGAAATTCGAGTAGCTTCATAATATGATCTATTATGCAAGCTTTGCAAAAGTACTTCAAAAAGATATGTTTACCTTCGAAAAATCTTTTACAATGAATCATATATTTTATTCTAATTTATACCTTTGTATTTGGAGAATAAATTATATAATACACGTAATGTCGATTTAAGATCCAAATTTACGATATCTGTAAGTAAAAAAGGACAAAAAAAATTAAATTTTATCTAACGACTATTTACTTACATTCATATGCGGGAAAAATACTTAGAAATAACATACCTTCTGGACGAGCTTTTGGTTTAGGAAGCCCAATGTCTTGCATGAGTTCAAAAGCGAACGCAACATTGTGAACTTTATGTTCGTGTGTTTTTGGGGTCAAGTGAAAGCTGCCCAATGGTACGAAAAATCCTTCAAGCAAACCCAGAAGTAAAATGAGAAAAACGCCATCGTGAAACTGATTATCAAGATCTGTCACCTCTAGATGCACTTTACTCAAATGCTTATTAACGAATGTTACGAGCGACTGTAATTCAATACAAACATAGAAAAATTAAAAATTATTTTTATGTCAAATTCTACTTGCAACCTACCTTCTTAACGACAGCCAATTTTTCCGGAGCACAGTCAAAGAGAGCATCGAAAGCATCGCGTTCGCAGCGCATTCCCAGATCGTCGTAAGTCGAAGTGATTTCTTCCTTAACGGTTCTATGGATGAGTTGGCCATCCTTCTTTGTGACCACGACGACGAAAACAGAAACCAACTCAGGCAGCCTGACTGGAGCACGATATTGACGAGCCAAACTGACCAGAAGATGAAGAATGGCTACAATATTCCTTGAATGAATTGACTCAACACTCCACTTGTAAGGAGGATAACAGTCCAACACTCGATTAGCTGTATTCAAGACTACTGACAATTTATGTCGCTGTCCTTCCTCTGACTGTGTAACTTCAGGAACATTTAATTTACTACCTGTTAATTTTTCTGAAATAAGGATAATATTCAAGTATTAGTTTTAGCTAGGTTCAAAGAATGTGTAATGTAAAAACACAATGTATTTTGAATTTAATAATCACCAAGTAGTTTCTGTAGAACCTGTCCATCATATAAATCCTCTGTGATATCCTTAACAATTATCCTCTGATCAGCCAGTTCATCGTTGATCCACTCAATCAACACTTGGATTAGTTCCCTGACTTTGGGTACCTCTAAACTTTTTGGAGCAATCATGGATCGCTCTTCATTTTCATCCAGATTGTAGTCCTCTGGTGGCATATCTACCATAGCAGCAAAACCTGGTGATTCAATTGCATGCTTGCCCTCTTCTTGTACCTCTTGCACTATAACACCATTGAGTAATAAATATTTTGCGATTGTTGACAAACAATTGAAAATCACTGACGATTTTATTGCAATTTCACATGTAAAAATAAAAAGCACTCTTGCACTTTATAATTTAAGGCTAAAACGATGAAAATATGACTTACAATAAGAATATCATGTGTTGTCTATCAAGATCTCTAGCCTTATAAGGCTAATGCACTCGGACCATAGCCCACCCACAACATCCGTTCTCTCTAAGCTTCTCGCAGTGTTAAGCACAACTTACCCTCCTTTATACGCTTCTTCCTGCCAAGTGTACCAATTTTGTCCCAAAAGCTCTCTTCTTTATCTTCTTTTTTTGCCGAAATTGGAGCTGGACGGGGTGACTGAGGCCGTGGAGACGCCATGACTGCCAATCCTACGGCGAAGTCCAAGAATCACAAACAGACGTCACCATTCAAGAATAACACACCATATTGCCTCGTGAGTGTTAGTATATGCGTCCACACACACATACACACACGCATACACACATACCCGTTCAAAGCTTCAGAGTTCGGACTTTCGGAGCCATTTATAAACGCTGATGGAAACGCGCGGAAACGAAATGTGCGTATAGATTTAAATTTGAAGGATAACAGATACCATTGAGCGTTCTTCGATGACTCTTGAATTAATTATTTCTCTTGAATTAACTATGCCGGTGATGTTTGCGTATGAATATAGACTGTATTGTTTTAACAGCAATTTATATTTAGTTTACGTAAGTGAACAATCGGTTTCTGCTAATACACGCATTTTTACGTGGTGCATTAATATTTATAAAATCAATTTTTTTGAACAAAGTTATTATTTATAGTCCTTTTGCAAAATATATAAATACTTCTTACAACTTTTCGGAAAAACATTTCTGCACTATATACTATTGGCAACTGCTATTCAATAATTTTTCAAATAATTTCGTTTAGTTAAAAACAGCTCCAAAAAGGTAAGCAAATTATCTGAGAATTCTCCAAGAAATGAAAACTATCAGCACGGCCAAGTTATTGAGTCGTCATTATTTATAATTATACAAAATAAAAATAAATGCCACTTCTATGAATATTTACATCCGTAACAGTCAACATAACATACCTGTTATCAGTCCGGTGGAGTTTAGCCTGCGCTTATCAGTAAATACAGATACGCCGTTATCTCCTTCAGACGCAAGACTCTTATCTCGAGTCTGTTTCTTCTTCACAACTCCGACGACCTGAGGACGCATATCATCATCCTCCTCGAATACATCGTCGTCACCGATCACTGAATCGTTCGGTTGGTTCGGCATAAACTGAAACGACGAAGACTGACTTGTGATGCTGTTACCGGTTTCGCCGGACATGATGGATGTCAAATCTCTTTAACGATGATTAATTGACCGAGATATGAATAAAAACGCTCCTTCATATGTAGATTGCGTCTCGCGATCGTTCGAATCACGCTAAATTTACATCTTCATATTATTTACAAAATATATTGATACTTGTCACGTTTTAGATGACTGTATTAGGATCAATTGACATATGTGCGGTTATAAAAATCGAATGAAATAACAACGTGCTTAGGACGATCGAGATTCAGAGCACAACTGAGACTGACTCGGATTGCCGCGCCCCCGACTTTATCGTGAAAGAAAAAAAATTTGGTTCCGCTCCCAGTGTTTCGATATTGGGAATGGCGGATTTGAAACTCGATCTAGCAGAACAAGGTAGAGGTGGAGCGGTGTGGCTATACGCTCCCGTCACCGTTTGGAGGTTATGTTTTGCATAAATGTTTTTCTAATAAAATCGTAATTGTTGTCAGGTAAAATGTCAATTGTCACGAGGACTATTGTCTCGCTAAGACCGACGATATGCCAATATACTATTGTAAGGGCAGCAAACCACAGGGGTATAATTCCAAATACTGCTGTTGGTGGAGTTGACAAAGGTGAAAATAAAGTTGACACTGTATTGTGATTCGTTCGTAACATTAATATTTTGTTTGTCGTAACTTTGTGTTGTGCTATGTTCGTATCATTAATATTTTATTTGTCATTGTTTGACTATTGTAATTTAATATTTTTTCGTTCTTTCCCAAGTTGACTTTATAATGACAAATATTGACAGATAGTGATGAATTATAATTGTTTTTATTTAAACTTTTCAGATGGTTTTAGAATACTACAGTTGATCCCCAAACCAGCTGAAAAACAGCAAAAAAAAATTAAAAAGTATGAATGTGAGCCTCCAAGAGAAATAGAAATGCGTGTTGATCAAGACTGGCCTTCAGTATGGCCAGGTCAGAAAACATTTCATCCAGCATCAGTACCACTACCACTTCGACAAGGTTACCCAATGAAAGGTCAAGGACCACCAGGAAAGTATGCCAATGTGGAATTGATGAAAATTCCAAATTTTCTACACTTAACTCCACCCGCCATCAAAAGACACTGTGAAGCATTAAAACAATTTTGCACAGAATGGCCAGCTGGGCTTGAAACAGATGATGAATGCAATACACATTTCCCACTAGACGTTATTACTTCAGACTATTGTTACTCTGGTCCTTCTATTAGAGATCCTCTAGCAAGGATTGTCACTTTCAAGTTAAAATTATCTAGTTTGAAATTAGATCAGCATGCAAAAGATAAACTTCTAAGATTACTTGGGAAGAGGTATGATCCAGAAACAGATCTAATAACAATCACGACTGATCGTTGTCCAATGAGAAAACAGAATTATGATTATGCCGAGTACCTTTTGACTGCTGTATACCATGAATCTTGGGTATGTACATTTTTGTTATTTGAAAATAATAAAATCTAGAAAATATTCATTCCATATTTATTTGCAGCGTAAAGAAGCATGGGAGGATGAGAAAAGCTTGGCAGATATGGAGTATTATGACTGGGACAAACATCAGAGTAGGAAGAACCTAGTGACAATATATGCTTGGCCTGAAGTACCACAAGATTATGATTACGAACAAATACCACATGCAGTAGAGTATAAAATAGCTGTTACAGATTTAATTAATAATGGCGAAGATGATCATTCTATTAATAAGTATAAGGAAGCTGTAAAGAAACTGTTATTCTTAAATCCTAAAAAAGATCCAAATGATAGTAAATAAATCTGTTAAATTTGTAAATAATAATTGATAAATCAATTTTATAACAACCTTCATTCAATTTTTTATTGATTGTATCAAACAATTTCATATCAAAAACTATCTACTGTTAAGTTTTGAAAATAAAAAACCATGTGCCTATGATTTACAAAATAAGCGTTATTACGGCTTTCACTAAAATGCCACTGAAATTGTGTTTTAATATGAAAATAAATGAAAACTCTAAGCACACTTTCTAAAATATGACATATAGAAGAAAGTTAAAATTTATATATAAAACAATTTTTGCACACTGCAGATACTTTAAAACAACCTATTATTTTACAGATTAAAGATTTTTCTGAAAATTCATCAAAACTAAATTTATTTTCTTAGACATAAAGAACTGCCAGACGTACGGTGACAAAATTTGCTTGCATGAAATTGAGCTTATCATTCAAATAAGCAATTTCTACGGGAAATCTCGGTAATCGCGACATCAAACTCAAAATACCGTAACGGCTAAATAGAACGTAGCATAGTAACAAAATTCCATATAAATATGCAGCGTAAAAAATACACTCCTGTCAGTAGAACGCCATCAACATGCTTTGAAGCACAATGTGTGAGTTTTGGGTATGTCAATTGTGATTATTAAATCGAAAACTTGCGATTTTGTTTAAAAACAAACTTTGAAAACAGTTGCATATTTCAAAAAGAATGTGAATATTTAGGGAAAGACGGTGGAAACGACGTTCCTGATAATATTGTGCTGCAACAGAGTGTCGGCCGAGTCAAGGACTCTCAATTTTTTCCTGACCAATGATACTACTCCATTGTTTCCCGTTAACCAGCAAAGCTTGATTCCTGGCCATTTGACGCAAGATCAACAAACTGAACAGTCTAGGACTTATTATACTGTGCCAGCTGCTCCTCTAATTCCGTGAGTTGAATTTCAATTTTTCACTTAGATTAAAAATACGTTAATTTAGAGTCGGATATTATACGAATGTTCTTACATGTAAAGTTATTAATAAACAATCGTCAGAAAGCTATAACTCGATCGTTATTTTATTTTATAAACGTCTTTGATCAATGAATTACATTTTGATTGGTGTTAGCGAGATTAATCAAGTTTGTAAAATATGACCAAACTTATTGATAACAATTTTCAATATTATAATAGATCGAGTTATAACAGTTTGCCGGAGCTGTAGTATTATTTCCGAATCTAAAATACATTTTTTATCGGGATAGAGCTGATCGATTCATCGATATATTGAGAAGGTACGTACTTATCGTCGTGGTAATAATTGTAGAACACATAATAGGCACTTACCTATCAATCAATAATTATCATTTTGTTTCAGAGCTTTCGATCCAATCAGCATTTTAGCATCGTTAGCTTTCCTGGCATTTTTGATCCAGTCCTTCGCCGCTTTGTTCGATCGTACTAGATCAATTTTTCCTACGATCATAAGTAGTCGGCGATCGAGCTCTGATTACGACGAAAATTTCTTTGACATAGAAAAACGAGTGCTGCGTGCCTTGGAAGAATATGTACGCATTATAGCAATCAACTTTCATTTAAATTATATTTAGATCACTTACGAATAAAACTTGTATTTCAGGCTAGCCTCAAAAATGAATTATTGGAAAGTAAAGAAGAAAAGTCCACATCCTGATAATTTTATTAAGACCTAATAAATAGGATGACACCTAATGCAATAATTTTTATAGAAATATTTATTATACTTCGAAATCTTACAATATCTTAATTCAAAATATTATGATAACTTCTCACATTACGTACGCAAAAAGGTATCAAATTATATATCAATTAATTTGCTTTACAACAAAGATAAAAAATAAAATTATTAATCAATACGTTGTAGAAACTAATACAATCATCAGTCGTGATCGTTTCAACACGAATGCGCAATGTTTTTTAAATGGCTTATTATCTATTATTTTCGTTAAAATACAAGGCAGTCATGTCAGTATATAAGTGTAACGTTGCTTTAAACGTCAATCCCGGAGCTTTATGATCCAAGAATCATGTAAAAAAGAAACTGTTATTTGTTAAAAATAAATTATTTTGTTTTTTTATAAAAAGATTAGCTCGGTGCGGAAGCACTTCTTTTTATTTTGTTAGTGGACCCTTATATATCGCGTTCGATAATTCTTTGGCGGATTTTATCTTTCCAAAAAAATTAATAATAATAAACAATTTTAATGATAATAAAATAAATCGAGAGGCAAGAATTTGAAAGAACCTGCAAATTTGAACCGTCATATTAAAAATTAGCATAGACTGTACTTATGCGTACTAGCTTGTTTAACACGGGATCAAGAATGTTAAAATTATATACACATTTATTTCTACACAGCTCCAAGAACTATCTTTAACTTTCCTACCATGGCACTCGAGACGACGGCGCCGTTGATCTGAAAAATAAATATTAATTAATTCTCACGTTTGAATTATTCAACTTTCACTCAATTTTCATTTACTTAGGATTAATGCGTAACATACTTCTGCTGCGTCGTTTGCTTTTGTATTGTATTAATAGGTTTCTGGTATGGATGTGAAAACGTAAGTCCTCTTCTCTCCTTTGTCCTCATGGCCTTGAGTGCAGCCTCGGACTGGTCCCCATTGCAAGTCGTGCTCACAAGTGACTGCTGCTGCTGCTGCCTTAACCTCTCGGCCTTGATCTTGTTCAAGATAGCGATACTCTTGGCAGTCATGGTAGGTCTGGTAAAATCCTTGCTGTTCTCCTTACCATTTTGCACGGGAGCCGCTACATCGATTTTACCTTTTTGAGGTGGTGAAATTTTCTTAGCGATTTTTGCGGGCGACCTGGAATTCACCTGGTTCTTACTCTGATCAGACAACACTCGCTTCCTGCCTTTCGCTTCGGCGACGTGGAACGTGCTGTTGAGACTGTTTGACTCTGTGTTCTCGTCTTCGGCAACCGTTACGACATCGGTATTGATGGTGATGGTAGAGTTGAGTGGATTCTCGTCTACACGTGGCAAAGCTCCGTTTTTAGGTGGAGTACTGTAACTGAACGTCGTACTAAGAACGTTATTGCTAGATGGCGTAGTTTCTGTAATTTCCGTTTCCTCGTCGTCCGAGTCGAGATCCAAAAGCTCAGGCATGTTACCACTGGTGGGATTGTCAAGTTGCTGGATGCTCAAAACAGTGGTGCTATAGAAATCTTTATCTTGTTTGTCCATGTTCATGTCGGACCACTTGATGTTCTTAACACCCTCGAGCGATTTGACCAATTGCTTGAACTCCTGCTTAAGCTTTTCTGTGATGGTACCACCACCTCTCATCATGTTATAGTAATTCTGCAAGGTGGTACTCATCATCTTATGCATTGTACAAACACTTTGCATTTCGCACTGCTGCAAGCTGAGGACCTTTTTGACGTGCTCGAACTGCTGTTGTACCCTCGTTTTCTCAACTTCTGATGTATAACCGTTGATTTTATCCTCAAATTTGTCATACAAATTCTTTGATTTAACATCTAAAATCATCTCCGCGAGACTCGCCTCGACTTTGCATAAATCTTCCCAGACTTGTTTTATCTGTATTTTAATACCTTCTCGCTGACGCTTGAAGTATTGCAGCGATTTGTTAACTCGTGACTTCCCACTGGCGTTTTTCTCATTTTCGTACAACGTATCTACAGCTGTTGTTAAGTTATGTAGTCTTTTGTCAGCAGCTTTTTTGTACAGTATCCTACAGTATAAAATTTTGTCTATACTCTCCAATCCAAGAATCTTCTCATTTAACATTTTCTTTTTGTTGAACAATTCTTCAAATTTATTGTTGAATTCTATTATTTGCTGAGTCTGTTTTTCATTGTCAATTGAATTTTGAGGCGCAACAACTGCAGGAATAGCTCCTTTTTCGTAAGCTGACAACTTTTGTCTCAAAGTTTCTAATTCCTTTTTCTGTTCTTCAACCATCTTTATGTAGCCAGAGACATGCATTTGACAAGATACAATATTCTTTTTAACGCTAGTTTTGATTTTCTTAGCCCTGTTGGCATATCTTAGAGTATTGTATGTATCTTCAAATGTTGCACTAGAAGGACTAATATTTGCTATCATAACTGTTTGACAATTCCCACCTAGAGAATCCTTGAGAAGTCGCGTCAACTTCGAGTCGCGGTATGGAATATATTTTATTCCATCAGCCAAATTATTGATACAATTACCAAGTGCCAAAAGAGACTTGTTTATGTTGGCACCTTCTTTGAATCTAGCACCTGAACAACCAGTAGCAGATGCTCTTTCAGAGCCAGCTAAATCTATCATTGATAGTTTCACATGTTTTACTTGACCATCCATTTTGTTTGTGATATTTACATACACCTGAAAAACAGCATGACTTCTACTACTTTCCTGATTGGCATCTGTTGCATGTTGAGTACGATTTTTGTTTCCTTTTGCCAGTAGAGATAACAACTCCTCTGGATTATGAATGGAGATTATCTTTAAGCCAGCAACAATTACACCAGCTCTGCCATCTTCTCTCAAGTGCAATGGACCAACTTTGTGTAGAAGATCTTGTACATTCTCATTATAAATTTCTAAGTATGAAACACCAAGATTGAAATCTCTACTTTCTCTCTGCAATTCGATTTGAGCAAAGAGTTCAGCCATTGTACGATATGTGATTCCAGGATCTCCTTCTTTACCAAGCATCGTATGAGTTTTGCCAGCTCCGGTGGCTCCGTAAGCAAATACTGAACAGTTATAACCATCCAACAAATTTGAGATTAAATGCTTTGTACTACCTTCAAAGACATCTGTGTTTGAATGTGTCATATCAAATACTCTATCAAATACAAATTGTAGTTCTTTGTTCTGTTTTTTCAATAAATCACGACCTTTCTGTACTACTCCTCTATAAAAGAAGGGGTTCTCTTCTTCCTTTGGATCAAAAATAAGCATCTGCTCATCTATAATTTTTACAACTGTTTTGTAATTTTCTTGCATCTCCTTCTCATTATGAGGTCTAACCCTGACAATGACTTTTATGCTTGTTTGTGCAGAATCACTGGCTTCACTACGCATTGTACTGCCACTAGTACTTGGCTTCACTCCTTGACCAGATCGTCTTTTGCTGAATTTTTTCACTTTATTGGGTGAAAAGGCCTTAGTCAAGTCCTTTCTGTTGAACACCATTTTGTCTGTGGATTAGCCTTGGTCACAGGGTCACCAGGCTTGCCTGTCATTAAAAAGTAACAAAAAATTAGTATTGAAATTATTTATTATTAATTCTTACTATTTTAGTTTTATATCATAAAATAATATGACAAACAATGCTCTGAAAGATTTAAATATGGTTGAGTTGTGAGTTTTCTCAGTAGAAATTTAGAAAACAATAGGATGTTAAGCTTTAACTAATTCTTTAATATAAGTTAAATTATAATGATTACTATATAAAAGAATTGGTGAATGTTTTTATTCATATTTTTTATTACATCATAGTTATGCTACATGAAACTTCTAACAATGAAAGTAATTATTTTATCATGCACAGCTGACTCATTTTAGATACTATCAGCAAACTGCATTAAAATAATTATATCACTATTATTAAAAACTGCATTAATACAGTAAACTAACAATTTTCATGATAAAACATAAAATAATCCTTTTGTGAAATAAAGCTAAACCGCGTGAATTATACTCATTGAAAATAAAAAAGTAATGATGAAGCCATTAAAATATCATTGGAAGAAGCCAAACAAAAACGACTCTCTGTATAACTGTCAAAACGTACTACGCGAGTACCAGGTGCCCGCATATCTTACTCTATCAGTAGTACGTATGACATTATGAATGAAAACATCCACAAGAGTGCGTCTGAATAATCCCTCTTTTAGCACATCAACAAAATAAAGGGAATAAACAATAAACTACTTGAAAACGCATGTCGCCTCGGCAAAGCAACAACGCGTCCACTAGTTTGAGATGTCCATGGGAGAGTTGGTCGCCGCTGCGGATGACAACGTCTATACACAAAATCGCATCTTTTCTAAGTAACACTCGTCATTGTGCAAATATATCACAACCACCAGATAAACGAAACTCACCAGCACATAAGATGATGTCCCGACCAGGATGGTTGGTGACTTTCGTAGGTAATACTCCCTTAGTATCGCCTTCACTTCTTAATGTGTCGGTATCGGCGTCAGCAGGTCAGACAGACACGGAACAACTCGCGCCAGTGCACTACGACGACCGTTGGCGGCCGGCGGGCGCAACGGGGAACAACGAAAATTCGAAATTCAAACTGCCAAGTTGTTTCGCCGTGTAACCACTGCGGCGCTAATGTCGTGCTTTGAGTGGTGAAATGAGATGATTTGGTAGAAGAGGTGCAGTTTATCCAGATGAAAGTTATTTGTTTTGATGTTACGTTGGCGCCGCTCCATTAGTGTTGTTCCTTTGTCATGATTTCTCTCGGGTTTGAGCTTTCTAATCGAACTTCTTTTCCGTTTTATTCGTTCATAAGTATGTTGTAGAGCATTAAAATTATTAAAAACAATCATATATGGTATAAAATATTATTTATAAATTGGCGTTTCATGTTTTAATAATCATAACAAAATCAATCGATTACATTGCCGTTTGAATGTTCAAACGAAGTGCGTAACAATTAGTTTATGATGAATGTCTAAATAAATTAATACTTGCTATCAACATTGGTTCAAATAAATAAAACTACAATTGAAAAGAAAATTGTAGAGATTTTTGTAAAGATTTTCAAAACAAATTATTGAAGGAAGCAAAGTTTCTAATATGTTTATAAAAAATATACATAAATAAAACTGAAAGTACTGATAGCTGTGAGCTACTACTGGTAGCTTCATTCGCTATAGTGCTGAAGATTTAATTTGTTGCGTAGAAATTACGTTAATCTATTTTCTTGCCAACGCCAAAATTTACATATACTTTCAATACTACCGATGATGTAACCTGGCACAAAAACTTGAAGGTATTGGCATAAATTACTTTTGCAATAGACCATTTGAAACTTCTGAGCGCGCTTTACATACTCTCAAGTGTCATGCCCGATGAAAGTACTTTGAGAGTTTGTAAGTCGCGATATTGAATCAAGTTCGCTCGTCGTACAAACTGCACATAAACTTGTATTGAGCAATGGAATGGTGAGTGTATCATACAGCAGAACAGCTTACTGAATTTATATTGTTGCAGTTATTTCAGTATCCTGGTTCTAATCAGGCAGCCGTTGTCTTGTACTGCATCTAAATTCGCTGTTATGCTTCATTAAAGTTTGCACACTCATGTACTTCGATCTCGAGCCTTAATTTGTATGATAAAATGAATATTGATCTAACATTAATTACATATATGATGAAATAAAATGTGAGACAGCAATCAATGTTACTTTAAATATAATTAATTTAAGCTTCATTAAAATTGCAACAATATTACCCATTCAATTAATAATTGATAAATTTATTAATTTTATTTAAACCTTAACTTATCAAAGAAAACCTTACTTGTTTATTTAAATTAAAGTTAATCTTATCAAACGTAAATTATTATTTCTTAAATAATGTGAAATTTTCCTCAATTCGAATTAACATCATTGATAAATGCAAAACAAAATGCTTGTTTTCATGAAGAACAAAAGTTGAAGTGATCTATTAATATACGCAAACGAACGATTTGCTTTCAATCAAATTGATAATAAAGAGCTACAATGTAATATATAATTTCGAAGAAATAAGATGAGCGAATCAACAATTAAAAAACGTAATTACGCACACGATTAAGAGCATCTCCACGTGCGCGCGCAGTGATAATTTTATATATAGGTTTGTCTTTCTCGCATAGCTGTCCCGGCAATGCATATATATATATACGAGCGTTCACAAAAATAGAAGTATATAGGATAGCTGCACATTATATCTCAGCAGACAACTCGCATCAAAGCGGCGCGAGAATAGTATAGTCGTACAGAGTCAAGAGCTTTATAACCTCGCAACACCGTGGAGACAGGGAGACAGCAAAGTGTCTCGCAAATGCGGATAAATCAGAGAAAAGAAATTTTTAGAAGAACATTGAAAATTCTGTTGGGACGTCCCGATATAGGATGGTCCTGCGACTGCCTATCCTCAAGCACCTAGCCAACGGCCCGAGATACTTCAAGGTCAAACATGCTTGCAATGTGCTCGAGTCTTGGATGAGGTTCTATGTGAGTCTACCTTGGCTTACGCCCCACGAGGTATCGCTTCTGTTTTTGTTATTCTTTACCTGTCACCATTTCGGAATGGTGCTTCGTTTCTTCACATTATATCATTTGCTTCTCCAGGTGACCGATATTCTGCAAACCAATGAATTTACCAAAGAGTTTACTGGTCCTAATTCTGTTAAAAGTTACGATTCTAATCAATTAGCTTCTAATAATCCTATAGAAGATACTAGAGCTGAAGCAAGGTGTTTGTTAACAAATGGTATGTTGACAGTTGTATGCTAATGAACAACTGATTATTAAATAAACAACACTGCTTTCAAATTTGCAGGCTTTCTAATGGGGGTGTTCGATGGCCATGGTGGAAGTGCATGTGCTCAAGTGGTATCAAAACGTCTTTTAAATTACATTGCAGCTTATCTATTGCCCCCAAACATGCTGCAGACATTCCTGCAGTCAGTGATATCTGGAAAGAACTCCCAATTACTTGAATCATTTAATGATAAAGCCAAGCTGGTTAATGAACTTAATGAAATCTATCAGAAAAGTTTCATCCAATTTCTCAAAGACTTGGCTGAAAATAATGCTAACAAGGAATTCCAAATGGAAGCTGCCATAGAAAATGCCTTTCTCAGGCTTGATAACGACATTTCGGACGAAGCTCTCAATTCTACAAAAAGTAATGTCACAAGATTACTCTCTGTGGCAATGTCAGGAGCAGTAGCTGCTGTTGCGCACATTGATGGACCTCATTTACATGTTGCTAGTGCAGGAGATTGTCAAGTAGTTTTAGGAGTGCTTTCAGGTATTACTCATAAAAATAAAACTTTAATAAATTAATCCATAGGAAATTCAAAATAAAAAATATTTTCAGACTGAAAAGCAGCTTATAAATGTAAAACAGTAATGATTTTTTTTTTATAGAAAACGATATGTGGTCTGCTAAGATGATGACAGTGGAACATAACACCGATAATCGCACAGAAGTCGAGAGAATATTTTCGGAGCATCCCCCGAACGAAAAAACGACTGCCATAAAAATGGAACGATTGTTAGGTCAGCTGGCACCGCTTCGCGCTATTGGTGATTTTCGATATAAATGGAGCCTTGAGCTGATGCAGAAAAAAGTTGTGCCATACTACGGCGAAAATGCTATTCCTCCAAACTACCTTACTCCTCCGTATCTCACAGCTAAACCAGAAGTCAAGTATCATAGACTAACTCCAAGAGATAAATTTTTAATCATAGGTAACTAATTAATAATATAAAATGTAATTTGTTTCAAACAATTCAATTTTGATCATCAATTTTTCAGCTTCCGACGGTTTATGGGACTTGATATCTCCATTAGAAGCCGTCAGACTGGTGGGTGAGCACATGAGCGGCAAAGTGACGCTAAGCCCACTACGACTACCTCGTAAAAATATGAAACTTTCAGAAATTAATGAAATGTTACTGCAACGGAAGGAAGGGTTGGAGAAGAAACCCTTGGATAGTAACGCAGCTACTCATTTGATAAGAAATGCTTTGGGCGGCACGGAATACGGATTAAATCATGCTAAAATATCGAAAATGTTGACATTACCAGGAGATGTTGTGCGATTGTTTAGAGATGATATTACTGTAACGGTGGTGTACATGGACTCCGAGTTTTTGAGACATTGTCCTCTTTAAATGGTTGCTATTCTAGCTATTCTATGTAATGACACTTGAGATGAATGAGACTTGAAAGTTTCAAGTGATCACAAAAAACCGTTCAATTAATTACGGTATAGAGTTTGTTATTTATTTAATTATTAACAATAAAAATAATTTACATAAGAACAGCGTTCCCTGGATTATTCGTAACACATTATTACATTACACATTGAGTCTAGCTATTTAAAATTGATTCTAAAACGTGTTTCTTAAACACAAGTTTTTATTAATGTAAAAATTTATGGTAAAAAAGCTTTCTATTTTTTACAATTCTCAATTAAAAATATAAACGGCATTATGAAATCAAAAACAAAAATAAAATTAAAATTGTTTTTTTAAAACAAAAACCATCGTGGCTATTCCACCAACTAGTGGCGAAAATTCGTATTTATCTCTTGAAACCACAATACATTGTGTAATCAAAAATAGAAAATAACGTGTTTAACAATTTGTTTTTTCCGACAATCTTAGACATTTTTATCTAAAAATATAGATCATTATATACTGCCTCTGTTGCAAGCTTATTACACGCAAGTTTGACGAGTTTTAGTACCTCATTTATGTGTCTTTTTTTTTTTCAAGGAAAAAACGAAAAAAGTTATTTCAACGTCATCATACTCATAGAGCACGTTGAATTAATTGAAAACAGATAAGGCAAGCGCTCAAATTGAATGTTTGAGTTTTTTATCTTATGCACTCACTGTTCAATATTCGAATTACCCTTCTTGACCAAAGTCTTCTTTGAACTTGTCAAGCTTTTTCATATCATCTTCGTTTACAGTTGGACGGGTTGTACTCAACGACTTCATCATGTCTTTCTATAATTGTAAAATAAAAAACTTGCAGTCGTATTTTATAACTTGTTAAAATTACCAAAAATAATAAAATTGCTTACAATAGTTACTGGTGGCTCAAACAATTTATCCCCAGGTACTTCCATCCAATTCATTTCAATAGCAGCTGGATCTCCAGGTGAACATGGTGTTAGAAGATCGTCTACTATCACCGTTGGATCATTCGGCGACGGTCCACTAACTTTTTTGAAGTGTGTAGCTGTTTGAACTTGTCGAACAGGTTGCATAAGAGCATCCCTCACTACGATACTGATATCGGCTCCTGAGTATCCTTCAGTAGAAGCAGCTAATTTCTTAAAATCTTCTTCAGTAAGTGTGTGAGATGTACTTCCCAAATGAAGCTTAAACATTAATACTCTTGCTGGTTCTTCCGGCAAAGGGATGTAAATTCTTTTCTCAAAACGTCTTCTGATAGCAGAGTCCAACACCCATGGAATATTTGTGGCTCCTAATACAAGAATTCCATCATTGTCATTGCCCACACCTATAAATTTTAGGTATTACAGTTAATTGTTTGTAAGCAAACAAAGTTTAATTGTTTAATTATAATAAGCTTAAAAATTGAGTGTATACCTTGCATTTGAACAAGAAATTCTGTTTTTATTCTCCTGGCAGATTCTGACTCATTGTCTGATCTTGAGGAACATAGAGAATCTACCTCGTCAATGAAAATGATACTAGGTTTGTGACTACGAGCTAGTTCAAATAAATTCTTGACTAATTTCTCAGATTCACCTAGCCACTTGCTTACCAAGTCAGAAGAAGAAACCGAGAAAAATGTGGAGTTATTGGCCTCTGTTGCCAGAGCTTTTGCCAAATATGATTTACCTGTTCCAGGAGGCTGTAATAAACCAGTACTCTATTAGACTCAATATTCACATAGATTTTACTTTAACACTATGTATTTCAACTTACACCAAAGAGTAAGATTCCTTTCCATGGAATTCTTTTGCCTGTAAACAAGTGAGGAAAGCGAAGAGGCAATATCACAGCTTCTTTCAAAGCTTCCTTAGCTCCATCCAGACCAGCAACATCACTCCATTTTACATCTGGCTTTTCAATAATAATTGCTCCTTCAAGCTTGCTTTGTAATTTCTTTTTTTCAGGATCACTATCAGTATCACTATCTCCACTATCACTCTTTTTGTCTTCACTCTTGGAATTTTCTTCTCCAGCCTTCACTGGCTTCTTCTTCTCTTTTTTCTTCAAGTATGACTTTAATTTTTCTGCTCTGTCCAGGTACTGCATACACTTACTGCGAATGCTATCTTTAGCTCTTTCACCTTGTGCTTCATCTGCAATAGAATTATATTAATTAAATACCAAATTTTTGCTGATTAATGAATTTGATTATTTTACATTTTTAGAAAAAGATAATAGCCAAATTTAATCTGGTAGAAATTTATATTAAGAAATAACTAATTCACATCATATCACAGGTAAGATGTACTAAAATCATGACTGATAATAATTACTTACATTTGATGGCATGAAGAAAATACTCCACAGAATGCTCATAAAGCCTCAGTGCATCCTCGTAGTTTTTGTTTCTATCTTCTTCTGTTGCTTTTGTTACCATATCAATGGCTTTCTAGAAAGTATACAAAAAGTTTCATTAGTTAAACAAATTTCCACCTCGACGTCTTTTTGCACGGTTAAAAATTGCTCACCTGTAGAATGGGTCCCGATGCCATGATGCTCAACAATCAACGAATTGCTCCACCTTGAAAAATACGAATATGTCATCTTCTATAACCTTATTATAACTATATCTATCAACATGTAAATTGCATTCTATATTAGCAGCAAAATAGAGTCTTCATTTCCGGGTTCTCAGCTCGTACAAATGATTTTTGTAATATGTTGCAATAAACAGAACACTATATAAAAGGTTGATACTTACGAGTATTTATATGACACAGAGCCTCTTTTCCTGTCAATGGGATAACCTTCAAAAGAAAAGATTTTCAACTGTCTGACGTCGTCATATTACCACCGTTAAAGTTCATAAAAGCGAAAATATTAACCAGCGATATTTTCCCTGCTTATAAGTTCATTACTAATTATCCAACGAAACTGTGGGAAATACTGACTGTCAAATTCCGCGATTACGCCTTTACTTTTTCTCTAACACACAAGAAATCCCTTCAACTTCAACTCCCCACTCAGTTGGTCAATCCCCATGAGCCCATGACCCATGCAGCGCATAGGTAGATAAGCCTGATACAGATTCTGGTCATTCTGGATCATGTACGACTCTTACGCCCTCTTCGATAAATACTATAAAGTAAAATTAAACTCATTTTTTCACGTATCTATTTACAGTTTACAGTATGTACACATCGTCCGAAAGAAGGATCGATAGATTTTTGTTAAAAATATTGTAGACTTTTTCTTAAATGAAAATGATTTATGATTATATATATTTATATAATTCTACAGCGATTAAGATAGTTTATACAGGATGAAATTGAAATGAATCACAGTGTCCAGAACTCCAAAAGAATAACCTGATGTAATTGTTTTGGATAAATATTGTTTATTGATTTTCAAGTTCCATTTAAAGATTAAAGTTAAAATATAATAAAATAATGAAGACGAATGATTTCATATATATAAAGCAAGATAATGTTTTATATACAACCACCAAAAGGGTTGGTAACGTTGCATACTCTAGAAGAAATAGTTTTTTCTCGTTTAGACTATTTAAATGTTTTAAAAGCTAATAAAGTTGAAGCATTTAATGGCAAATTTGAATATTTACTTGAAGGATCAATTCATGATTGTATTGGACATTTCATATTGAGGTAACAAAATTTTAGCTTAGTATTATTATGAATATGTCAAATGATTTAAATGAGATATATTAATTTATTGTTTTATAGATTTTTTATGTCAAAGACTGATGAGCTATTTTCCTTGTGGATTAGAAAAGAAACATTTCTCTTAAAACATAGACTATCTGTCATTCGAGCAAACCAGTTATATAAATTATTGAGAACTATTTTGAAACATGTGATTAGACGTGAAAATTCAATTAACTCAGTAGACAATGTTTTAATCAATGTTTGTACATTATATTTAACTCCTAAAGTGTTCAAGCATATTGTTTCCAAATCTCATCCTGAATATTGCACTAAATATCACCATAAAAGTATCTTTTAAATTATAAAATATTTACTTTCTTGAAAAGACTTATTATTCTAATTTCGTTATTATCTTTCAGTCAATTTTGAATTATTACCAGATTTAGTAGAAAGAAGAGCTGTTGAACTTTATAAGGGCTTAGCAACAGTTTACTGCTCACAGTGGAAAGATTTGCTGCAATCTCTCTTTCAAACTTTTATATCTCTGGAAATAAAAAATCATCATTCTTTGATAGAAAACATCATTGCAGATCCACGTTTAAGTATCATTCATAAGAAGCTGCAGCATTATTTGTTTACCAAAGGTTACAACACTGGGAGGATAACAGCTTCAAATATAGATAACGAAGCTTTTAATTTTCCTCCTTGTATGGCTCATCTACACTCTGAACTACAACGTAAACATCGCCTCAGTCACTATGCGCGTTTTTATTACACATTATTTTTAAAAGAATGTGGGATGAGCCTAGAAGAAGCATTTTTGTACTGGAAGCAGGAGTATTCTAAACCCCATAGCTGTACATCTTCATGTGTTCATGATTGGCAAACTAATGTTAAAAAGTTTACTTATAGTATTAAACATATGTATGGGTTGGAAGGTGGACGAAAAAATTACCAAACTCCATCATGTCGCGGAATCCAAGTAAGTATTTATTTACATTCACTTTAGTAAAGTAATTATATATAGATTATTTACAATTTATTAAATTATTCATTATTTTATAGGAACACATTCCTAGTGCAAGTTATGAGGGTGGATGTCCTTTCAAGAATTTTGACAAAGAATCTTTAAAAACTTTTCTACTTAAAACTATGACTGATACTGAGGCAGGAAAATTTATAACAAACAGTTTCGAAGAGGATCCTCAAATCTCTTGCGCAAATATCTTCAAACTAAAAAGTACAATTACAATCAAAGATATTACCATTACCAAACCAGTCCAGTATTATTTACAAATAATTAACTTTAATCAAGTTTGATTCTATTGATCTATTTTCTTTTGTATACAGCTTTATATTTTTTTTTGCATTTTGAAAGTAATGAATTAAGTTTACCATATTGATTTTTTTATTTGTTAAAAAATAAATTATTATATTTTTACCTATACTAGTTTAGTTATCTATTTGCAAATTGCTTGAAACCTTCTTGTACAACTTTGTGAGTTACTCCATTCATAACAAAAATTGACAATACTCCTAGTTCAGTTAAATCCTTAATATTCCTTTGCTCATCATCAAAGAATATCATATCTTTGTACTCAACACCTGATGCATCTTTTATTCTACAAATATAAGAAGTAATGTAATATTTTTTTGATAAATGCAATAAGTCTGCAGAATGTTATTATTTACTTGGAAAAGTGAGTAGTTTTAGAACCTGGATAAATTTCTGTATATTTTATATACTTATTCCATCCAAATAAATCTAGTAATTGTTTGGCTCCTTTGATTTCTGAAGTCCTGGAAGCTATTCCAATTTCATATCCTTCTTGACTTAATTTTTTCAAAATTTCAGAGGCATATGGATAATAACTTATTGTTTGACCATGAGCATCAACTACTTTATTGTTTGAGCTATAACAACATTATCGTTCTATTAATAATATAGATACTCTAAGTTGTTACTTCAAAATATACAAACCCCTTTCTGAATGGAGGTGTCACATGTGTATCAACCCAGAATGGCCATAACGTGTAATCTAAAACATTTTTACTCATTTTACAACTTTCTATTTTCTATAAAAATAAGACAGTCAGTTCTTTAAACAGAAATCCTATTAATCGCACGTTTTTGTAAAGTACAAATTAATACTACTTATGCGACTTGTCATTAAAAATCTATTTTGCAACTGCTAAAAAATACTAAAATAATGATAATTTTCGAGCTATCTGTATTGAATCATTCCAATTAATAAGAATTGATAATAAAACATATTGAATAATTCCTAACCTAGATCAAAGACTACGACTTTCGGTCTCTTCACGTCCATTTTACTTGAAAAATCACTAGTTTATATTCCGAAATTTATGTGAAAACTTATCTTTTCATCAATTAATTTGAGCTGTAATGTAACGTGAATTAAAAAAAAACATTGCTCCAAATTTATGTCAGTGTTCCAAACGTGACGGACCTTAACCTTTCGCGAAGAAACTGAGGATGAATGGCACATTCCTAAAATTATTTAAAGCGAATAGAATGGCAAGTGATAACATAGATAGACAGCACGAGTTGAAACGCTCATCGGTATTACGTATACCGATCGAAGTGTTCCAATTCAAAAGTTCTACCATACATATAAACAAGACAGAAAACAATTTTATTATGCATGATATTTGTTTTCAAATCATTTATTTAAAATTTACATTGTTGCATTAAATCTTTCTAGGATTTTAAGATGGTGATTAAGGATTGTGTGGGCGTCGTTTATAGGCGTAAATGACCATTATTCTCGTGTTACGTATATCTATATTTATTCATGTTATGTATATTATGTACAAAGTAGTTTCTAATAACCCTACTCGGGGCTCAATCGGATAAACTTTGTTTTTTTTCTTATATACATTTACAATAATACAGATACACCAAAATTCTCCACAGTCACAAAGGTATTAAATGTTAATAATCGTGATCGAACTGTGATTTTGTTGTTGTCATTTCTTTGCAATAATAATGATAATTGATGCTAATAATTCGACAATGAAAATCGTTAATCGATACAAATAATAAATCGTAATAATAAATTTCTATTTTCTTTTCTTCAGTAATAATAGTATTAATATATAACGCATTTCGCAATTGAGAGCAGATATACATATGTACTTTATATATATATCCCCATAAAATTCAACTCTTCAATAAAATCATATAATATAGGATTACATGCGCACTCTCGTTTGCTCACGTCCTTCGGTAATCCTCTCTTACTCTCTCCCTCTCGAATATCATATACTTTGCTTATGTGTTAATGTAGTTTACAGTTACTTCATTTTTTTGTTTGTTAATGTGTTATTTGTTTTTATTTTGTTAATTCCACCCCACGTGTTTGTTACTTGCGTTTTTTGTATTTATTTTAATGTTTACTTACAGGTATTGTGTTAATAATTCGCGCGACACACTCATTTATATACTCCTCCGTTAAAAGTATTATATATATTTTTGTATTCTGCCGTACATACTTTAGCGGTGGTACATTAGCGTTGATATCGAAACAAATTTATAAAAATACGTGTTTACTCGTCCACACACTTCTAAACTGGCTGCAGCTATGTTTATCATCATCGTATATGTATACTTATTGTTTATCGTATGACCTCTTATTAATTTTTTTTTGTCATTTAGCAGGAATTAACTTGTTTCGTGACGGGGCTTTCAAAAGAAAGAAGAATGAAGATTTGCTACGTGACGACACTCTTAACGAAAACGAATCGTATCTACGCTTGTCTTCCCTGCTTTGACGCTTCATTATTTAGACGCTCGTGCTTCGCTTGAAAAAAAAACGAAAAAATGAAATACTACACAGGCTACTTATATTCGTTTGCACACGAGAGAAGCTGAGGATGAGGAGGAAATATTGTGGAAGATTGCGTTTGTTTGTTATTTTATTCATCGCAATGCAAGCGCTTTTGATCCAAAAGTTATTCATCGTTTAATTAAAAAGGCACTGAACGCACATTTGTGTTACTGTTACGGTAGACTATTTTGTTTACCCCCATTATTGGCGCATGACATTCACGTGTGTGTATGCGTGTCTCGTGAGAGATTTCAGAAGAAACGCGAAATGAGACCAATGTCCGTTTAAACATCTACGAAAGAGTTTTATGTTCGTTTGTTCTTTTTGTATGTATTGTTTTTTTTTTTTTTTTTTCGTTAAGAGTGCTTATTTGAGTATGATGAAGCTTTTCTGCCATTCGAGCGAAACTCACGACTTTTTACACGTTTCCAGCGTGAACAATGAGATTCGTTTGATTACTCCGCGAGCAAAAATTATTTGCATCGGTATTGTCTTACAATCAATTTTCAGCCAGAATTAAATAATCTTAGTCGTAAATTTGTAATCCGAACTGCGTGAAGGACCTTAACTTTTGTCGCACGTTTTTCACGATACAGAAGCTTTTTCCTTGAGAGTCTAAAGCAATTCCTCACAATAAATGCACCAAGAAAGAATAGAAAAAAATGATTCAAAGCTACATTTATTTGCTTTGCGATTATTCCGAAAAATATTGAGCAACGATTAAAAGTTGAAACGAACACCGAGAATAAGGTAAGGCAAGTAAAATACATCTATAATTTGTATCTCTGTCTAGACACCGACGTTTATACTTGAAAAATTTCGAAATTACCTTTTAAGCACACCGTAAGTTGATTGACATCTATCATTTATTTTTTATTTATGTTTTTGTTGGTTTTAGCTTTTAGAGGTGGAAATATAAAATACACTTTTTCCCTTTCAGCGAACAACATAGCAATCGAGACGATTGATTCGCTCTATACATGCAGGAAGTACCGTAACTGGAAAGGCGCACACATAGAAAAAATGTACACTTCGACGAAGAAAAAAAACGAAACGCTAGAATGTATGTCTAATCGAAAGCTGCGCAATTCCAATGAAATAATGGTATGGGATTTTTGTTTTACTTTATGGCGTTACATCTTCAAATTCGAACTACTGTACAGTTGTTTGATTACACATTTTTGTGACAAGACGCTCGAGACGACGATTACAACGAGACGATTTTCACGTGCGTCCAAACGGGGTGTGTGTGTATTATTTATTTATTTACTTTTTAATAGGTGATTACCACTACGTGTGCTTTCTTAAATATCTTTTTTCGTTTCTCTCTCGCTATTGTTTTTTCATGGGATTTCTTTTTCTTTCTCACTTTTTGTTTTATGTATTTATGCAATAAAAGCGTGAATATATATCGAGAAACTGTTAAACCGTACAGTTAATTCCTACGTAGAAGCTCTCTTTAGAACTCGGAAACAAACTAACAGGTTTGGTTTCAAAATTTTTTTCTCTTTTCTTCTCTACAATATATTTTTTTTCTAGTAAGGTGATACCGTCAGTCTCACGTATGTATCTTGTATTTTTTGTTAATTAGATTATCGGCAGTTTTTCTCAGCTTTCTATCATTCTTTCTTTGTTCATTTTGTTTTCGTCGATTGCGATACAAAAGATTCAGCAACAAGTGAAATCGATTAGTTTGTAATTGTCTATAACCCTTCGGCGTTCTTATACGTCTTTAATTCTTTTTCATTCTTGTCTACAAACATCACTAGGCCAAATTCTACGATATTATCTAAAAACGATTCTTAGTTTTGTACGATTGTTTAATTAAAAAAAAAATAGATTATTTTTTTTGTCGGCAACCAGGGCGCTTCCTATATATTTTTATATATCTCATCGCCATATATGTTTATGTTATGTATATATCATACAAAATTATAAGAAACAACCTTCGTCTACGGCTGATATCGCAAAGCTGGGTACTAGTAGTGAAATTTTGAATACTTTTTATTTTATTTTCATTTCAATTTACGTTAGCATCAAACGTGCCTCGTGAACAGTAATTATTTTATAAAAGTACTATAAATCAGTAATTGCACATACAAAGTCTATAGCTGAAAGTCTGTTCTACTTTCTGATGAGTCTAATTATTTTTATTAAATTATTCAAAAACACACTTTGGTTTTGCGTACATTTGCACTTTTATAAAATCATTAATGTTGTTTTTAATAGAATAAGGCGATTGAAGCGAATGGACGATTTACTGGGACCCAACGCTGCGTTCAAAACTACAATAAAAGCTAGAACCCCGGTAACAGTAATTACAGTAATTACACCATAGTTTTTAATTTTGAAACCTTTTACATATATTAATAATAAACAAACGTCGTAGACCATCTTAATATTTACATTCCTCATTAAAAGTTAAAAAATCAGACTTTCTAGGATCGCTTAGTCTATCAGAAACGGAGTACAATATATACGTTGCGCTAATATTTACTTTATTTTTTTGCATTTCGTATTTCATTATTTTTTTTGTTTGTTTAGTATTTGCGAGTTTAAGTGTATTATTCCTTATATTTTGCGTATTATCATATATATTTATTTTATTTTTTTTTGTATGGAGAAGTTAGGGAGACTTCAATCTAATCACAGTACATGCTGATTTGATCGTGAGTAAATTAAACGTTATTTCAACCTTGCCTATTATTTTTTGTTTGTTAATGACCTTATCACTTTTCAAATAATCCACCTCTATTAATCGCTGCATCGCTGTACATTACACATTTTTTTCAAGGGTTCTCATCTAAATCCATTACAAAAAAAGATTCACCAAAATGAGAAATGCATAAATAAAATAACAGTAACTAAACTACATTTTGACTTAGCGATTAATTTATCGACTCGCGATAAAATAATCGTCGATTTGGTAAATTCAAAATAAACAAGGACATTTTTTGTTCGCATTTAACTCTGTAATTCGATCTAGTAAAAACCCTTAATTATACTATTATTCTGCAATTTACCTTTGATCTCTCATATATATAAACTCATAATTCTTTTATCATTTCACTAATATTTATATTTAATAATGTTTCCTACACCCACTCTTGTATTCCATTTTAATGCGACTATCACACGCACTTCTTATACGATAAAATGGTTAATAATGCGTTTACTACTTTGCGATTAACTTTCATTAGTTTGACGGTTAAAAGAGACGCAAATTTTTCATAAAGTGGATTGAGTCGTCGAGAGATTATCCTTTATACACATAACATCGTAAGTGATACACCGCTAAAGATTCGGCTAAAGCAATTGGATCCAAGGCATTGGTATATCGTCAGTGATCACTGCTTGTATATATATATTTTTTGTTTTGTTTATTACATACTTTACATTTTTATAATTGCAGCGGCTGCCTAAATGTAGAAATTAAAAGCTTCTTTTTTTCTTTCGCAAAAACGCATCTTGTGCAGCATAATTGTGTACCATTTGCGAAAAAAGTAAAAATTAAGCTAAATAAAGGCAAGAATAAAAATGATCAATCAATGCCACTTGTAATTTCGTTATGATAGCAAAAGAAGAAAAACAAACTAAGTCTAACTCGTATTCTTAAAATAAAGTCTGTATTTCAAAGGAAACAAAAAAGCTTAGTATTGTCGAGAGAACAAAAAAGGGTTACAGTCGGAAACGGTAAAATAGAGAAAAAATCTTTAATTAAAACGCAAGAAAAAATTCACTTTCGCGAGCGTGTAAAAGAGCAATCGCCTGTGATGCTGCAGAAACGTGCGCGAAAGCGGCATTTACGTAATGAATGAATTGGCGAGCACTATCATCCCTCATTCAAAAGCCGATGACTCGCTGGACTTCTTTATCGCTAAAAGAAAAAGCGATCAACGCATTTTTGCATATACCGTCTCAGCACGACTCATTCTCATGCGTGACAAACTTTCATCCGAGGAAGACCAATGTATCCGGAAATCACTTTCGTGAATATTTTCTTCTTTTTTTATATGCGTCGATAGGAATATAATTATTTACAAGTGAAAATTGCGAGCGCTTAACGAGTCGTGCGGATGGTATTTCATTTTTTTCTTTTTTAAAATCGTCTCTCGATCAGTATCTCGTTCTACTTCCGTTTCTTTTGTATCTCTCTCGCTATCCTCCTCTTCTCCCTTTCTCCCATCCACCCTCTCTCCCTCCTTACCTCCCTCCCTCCCTCACTGTGTCTTTCGCTGAACAACTCTCAAAACGTCAACGCCGACCGAACTAAATAATTACATAATGTATGCGCTTGTATGAGTATATAATTCATGCGCTAAGAATTTTCCCATCGACACTCATTATTTTTGTTTTTTTGCTTTTTTTAACAATTTTTTTTCTTTCCTCTGTAACAACATTGCAACGAGAACCAAGTTTAGTGAAATCGTAAAAAAAAAATTAAAGAGGCAGCGTTGCTAACTTATACGTTAATAAGATAATTAATGTTTATAATAAAGACGTTAATTATGTGATATTCCTTACAGATAATTACATACGTCAATAAATCTTTAGTTTATTTTATATATCAGGAGATTGGTTTTTTATCATCGATTACCATTTTAATTTTTTTTTGTTTATCTTTATCATCCATTACCTCGATTTTACCACGCATATTTTTAACAAATGTATCATATGCGTTACTTGATTAGTAATGTATATAGATACATGTAGTTGCTTGTAACTTATAAAGCCAAACTCCTGTAATATACACAACGCTTGAGGCACTTAATCGCGTGCTCTAATACCATTTTTCTTCTCTTTTTTCCATTAGTAATATTTTTTACTCGTTTCTTTTACTACTACATATTTTCATTCCTCTATCAAAGCATACACTCCTAAATTAAATGTTATTTCTCGTAACAATAATAGGATATCTTGTAAAATAAACTTCGTGCCATAACTTTTTCTTCTCAAGAAACTCCTGTGTGAGCAATTATTCAATAATAATGAAAATGACTAGTCGTTTTGTTTCGAAATAAAAGAAAAACTTTCGAACAAATCGACTTCCGCGTGATTTTATTTTCCAGAATATTGATAATACTTCGTTATTACAAATGAATTGAACGAATTCGAAACTATCTAACGCTTTCTTTTTGCTTTTGAATTTACAGCTACTTTTTTACGTACTAGTTTTGCATTTTTATCAATATTTTTATGAAACCAAACGAATTGGAGCACAGTATATGACAGTGATCTCGTTCGCTTGTAAATTTTACAATTTTTTTTTTTTTTTTTTTACATTTCAAATTTTATACGCCAAAATTATATGTAATTAGTAAAACTATACTTATTTTCGTAATGATTATTGTATGCAAAAATTTTTAAACAGTCTCAAAAGCAAGTGCAACACTGAAAACATTTTAAAGAAAAAATGTTTCTCTTAAGCTTAATAGGCTAAATAATACATTCAACAAAAAATATGAAAATATTTTTCGTTCTTATAATTCTAAGAGAAAGCTCGCGTGACTATCAATATTCTGGAAAATACACAGGTGAAATTAAATCCTAAAATAAAATCGGATTGGCGCCTTGATCATTCGTTGCACTTATATCGAAAGACGCACAGGGTTTTTAATTGTTTTTTTTGTTTTTTGGCACAAGAATAAAAACACTTTCCTCGGCTGGTGCTTTCTTTTGGAGAGAACAAACATTTTACAAGCTACAAATATAGCGAATCTAATCGTTCGTCGGTGTGTGATCACAGAACCCAAAACGATAACAATGTTTTCTCATCAAAGGATCAAATCGCGTTAATTTCTGTTATCTTCACTCACCCCAATTAGAAGTCTCTCTCTCTACAGTTTTATTTTTTATAATAAATTTATCGATCGCGATTATGCAGGCGAATTAATATTTTTCTTATATGTTTGTTTTTTTCTTATTTTCTCACTGTACAATGTAAAAACGCTTTTGCCCTGGCTTCGTAGGACTCTTGTAGTCTTCGTTTGGTAACTGCCTTCGAATATGCAGTAGCATATCTGCAATAAAAGTCAGATTTGATTTTGTACAAGTTCAATCATCGAATCTAAATTTTCAAGTGTATATATGACGCCTTTGGAAGATTGATAACTTACGAGTCCCTTTACGCGACTCCTTCTCTCTCGTCAGATTTGTGTTTGATGCAGTGTTGCTCGCGCTGCTGCTGCTGCTGAGCTACTTGGGCATAGCTCGGCCTCGTGATGTCCTGCAAAATTGCAAATCAACTCATGAATACTTTCATTGCCGATCTCTATGAATTTTTGATGAAATGGTTTTATTAATTTGGTTCTTTACAAACAGTTAGACGGTTCTTTTAGTAAGCCCATAGTGAAATAGGATATTTATTTAGTAACTTCCTAAATGTTAGTTTACCTTGCACCATTAATATATTTCAATGAAAAAAAAAAAAGATTAAGAAATCATTGTTTTTCATTGCTATGAATTTCTCAATTATTTTTCTTTACGATGTACAATCTTAGATGCGCATCGGCAAAGATGTACACAATTTGTTATTACTTTGCAAGGTGGATTGAAAAATCGACATTGATTAAATTTTTAATCTCCACCTGACAAGATTTCCCTGTAGGCTCACCTTCACACAGAATCCAGAGCGTTTAGAAGAGTAATGAGCTTACTTTTGCGATGTACACACTCACTCGTACGCGCGCACACAGGCACGCACACGCACGCACGCACACAAATGAGACCTAGTACCATCGTGTAAAATGGTCGCAAAAAATATAAAAAATACAATTTGCCTGACGTACCCATAAACCAATCCTATGACCCTTTAACCCTGGTGTGTACTAAACGTTAGTCATGTATGTATGATTTATATGTTCTCTTGTAACGATACATTTAAAAAACCAGCACACGAAAAAAACTTCTAGAAAACTCGTGAGGTACCCACCACCAGCACCATGTCATGAATGATAGATGCACCGAGGACGACACCGAAAGCATGCCGGATTGTTGTTGTAAAAAAATATAGTAATCATGCCAGCTGTCAAATTTCTCGTGTTAGACAAATGGAAGGAAGAGAGGCGAAAGAGTAGAACAGTAGAGAGAGAGAGAGAGAGATAGAGAGATAAGTGTGGAGATTGCTTGCTCTTTTTTGATTGCTGGTTCTCGACTTACCGTCGCTTGCTCCAAATGCTGCTCGTCGCTATCGGCCTCCAAGGTCTGATCCACGATTATTTGCTTGGCCGATGGGGATGCAGCTAGCGCAGTCGTGTTCACGTCAGTCTTAATTGATCTGTCGCCGGCGGTGCATTTCGGAGACCTGATTTGTTCGTGGCTTTCGTTTAACGCTTATATACTTTCTTTTGCTTACTACTTTTAGTTTTTATTTATTTCATTTTTTTGTTTTATTTTACGAGATAAAGCGCGGCACGCTCGTTTTTACGTTTCTTTTACTTGTTGTTTTAAGAGGACCAATACCTGATTTTACGGTAAACATTTTTACGAACATCTAGTGAGAAGAATTCTTTAGTGGTACGAGTGGAAGCCCGAGACAATTTTTCACGGATTATCGATAAAGATTCAAATTATTTTCGACAGTCGTACTTTAAAGTCTGCAATTCAATAATAATTTTCAAAAATTTCAATGCAATTTTATTATAAACTACGTGAAGAGATTGAAAATTAAGTTTGAATATGATGAGTGCCACGTCGGTGCGAACGCTTGATTTTCATGTTGTCGCTCCGGAAACCACTAATAAACAACATTTAGGAATTGGATCTGTCGAGATTCCACTGTACACAAGTGATGAGATAAAAAGCTTCAAGTTCGCGTGGTATAGGTGCCCTTAAATATTGTCGTGCACAAAAAGAGATAATAAAATACACAGCATGCATATACAACAAATACGTTTACTGAAATAAAAGACAGAGAAAATAAAAAAAGAGAATGTACCCGAACCTATAAAAGAGTGAGGGCTTTAAGGAGAAGAAGTATATGGGACTAGCAAAAGTTTTAACACACACTAGTTAACAAACCATTATACACATTGTTTATTTACTCTCAATGACAATGATTTTATAGTCATTAGCAAATAATAATATAATAATGTAATAATAGTAATAATAATAGCAATAATAATAACTATAATAACTAATAATAGTAGTAATAATAATTGCGTAATAATAATAAAATAAACCATGCTTATTTTTTTATTTGCGTTTTTTTGTATCTTTTGTCCTTCTTTTTTAACGATTCGAAACATTACAGATTATTAGTTATTGATACTCATTATAAACTAGAAACTTTAAATGAATGCCTTTAAAGTAACACGAAACCAAACAATCGTAATAATAATAGTAATCGTAAATTAATAAATCGTAATTATATTAAAGAACCCTGAATATTATTAAAAAATAATCCTTAAGCGTCGTTCGTCACTCCTCTGATCTAATTGCTAAGATCCAGCAGAGAGATGGCAATAAACGCGAAAGAAAAAACAAAACAGAGAGAGAGAGTCTCCTCTTGACTAATACCGAGAAATGCTTTGACTACGCACACACGGGAGACTTTGATTATATATTTTTCATATCTTTCACATCTTTCGGCTGTACATTACAAAAAAAAAAAACGTTTATTTTTTGCGATCGCGTTATCTTTCAAAGGCACCCCGTAATTCCGGTAACTCTCTGACTGATGAGAATCCGAGGGTTTTTCAATCACTGAGCGAGAAAAAAATTCTTTTTTTCTTTTTTCTTTATCAAGACGCACCTATATTTAGAGCTGCTTTTCAAGAAGGAAAAAGTGAGAGAGAAAAAAAGAAAAGCTAAAAAGGTATCAAAAATCAAAGGAAAACTTGAGAAAGAAAAAAAAATTAAAATTGGTAAAAAAACGAAAGAAAACAAAACGCAATCGGTGTAAAAGTAAAGTGTGTATGCAAAAGAGACACTTTGCAAACAACCGTCTAGATCGAGTCTATTTTTATAAAGAAATTTGACAGCTCGCATGTTTCAATTGCTTGTTTGTTGTTGATTTCTTTTAGTTTTTTTTGTAAATTCGTCGTCGTTAATCACGCGAACATTAAACAATATATATATATATATATATATATATATATATATTTATATATGCAATGACTATCTAAAATTCTGCGACGTCGGGAAGAACATTGTCTCGCAGAATGCTATATATATATATATAGATTTATATAAACGTGTCGAATTCTTATAACCTCGCGCCATCATATTCGTTCAATTTATCTAATATAATGAAAGTATTCAAATGGTGGATGAGACCTAGCGAGTTTACAACGAAAAAAATGTAATAATAATATTAATAATAGCAATAATAACATCCACCGAACACAGCGCATGATAACGCAGCTAAATAACATTCACAACAATTCTGCATTCCCCAGGCTTTATGTCATGTGCCCGCACATCTTTCATCCTCGTGATATACATGCCGCATCGATGTATGCACATACGGGGGAAAAATCGTGCGGTCCGGTGTGCGCATACATTGTGTGCCGCAAGACAAGAAAAATAATCAACTGAATTGCCCTGGACTCGACGTACCTCGATATCAACTCAGCATCGTTTTTAATTCTGTCATTTTAACGTAACAACAATAGATTGCTTTCTGTATAGCTTATTGACAATGGCAGTCATTAATCAATTGTTTTCTATCGTATATAAAATTGATATATTGAACAAGTAGGCATAGTAGTCACTATTCAGTATGAACTGAATACAAATAATCGTTTAAAATAAAAAAAGATGAAACTTTAAGTATCAACTCATAATGAATGCAAACAATATATTCACATATAACTTTTATCAAAGTTTTAATATGCATTATTACTTTTTTTTTGTTTTTTTATACTTTTTTCTGTCCTTTATATTTTATCGATCAGTCAATACAAATTAAATAATATAAGATAGCTATTAATATCAAGTTATTCCATATTTATAACCATCTATTGAATAACTATATGCACGCCTAACGCGTCCGTTGAATTCGTACTTTTTTAAAATGTACAATGTCTATCTCTTAAAAATATAACGACTTTCTTCTCAAATAGCAAAGTCACATTATTAACATATTTGTAGGACAATTATCGTAACAAAGGGGCTTACCTACTTCCGAATGATTCATAAAAATCAATTTACATTATACACGTGGTCATTATTTACCAAGAGACCAGTGGCACTGCGATCGAGTGAACAAAAAAAAAGGTAAATAATTTTTTATTTAGAATTGATGTTCGATCGTCAAAGATGTATTATAACTTTGGAAACGAAAGTTTTCTTTTTCTTATCGTCTGGAGTAATTTTTAAAACTACGGTGTGAAAAAAAAATCATAAAAAAATTGTAATAGAATAACAATTCGTAAAACGGAGCAAGTGTGCTCACGTGTACAACAGAAGTGCATGTGTTTTCGCATAGGAGCATTAATTAATTAATTAATTTTCTGAAAAGATCAGTGTCCGTCTAGGGCGCACTTTTCTAGAAAAGATCCAAATAGATTCGAAAGTGAAAAAAAATTCGATTAATTCAACGGTGCCAAAACAGCAAAACTAAACCCCAAATCGACCAAACACCATAACCGTTCTCACGTTTGGAAAAAAAATAAGGCAACATAGTGTCGTTCGATTTTTGTTTTGGCTTACTTTCAAAGGTCGAACAAAGCTCTTCTGGCGAAAGCGCTCGCTAGCGACACCGACAGAGAGCATGATAGAGAACACATGCACGCACAAATCCGTTCGCATCAGCTAATAGATTACCAAAGAGAAAGAATTGAAGAGACAGAGAGAATAAGACAAAAAGGTAGATAGAGTAGAAAGAGCAGACAGAAAGTATAAGAGATAGGGTGAGAGAGAAGAGAAGTCGACACTCACTTATCGGGAGATGATGGGGGGGTGAGGGTGACGGTGCTGAGGGCGACATCGGAATCGCCACTGGCAGCTGCAACACTGGCAGCCGCGGCACTAGTAGCAGGCGCAGGAGTATTAGAATTCGCGGCAGTATTCACCGCATCTGTCGACGATCTTTGTTGCTGCTGATGTTGCTGATGATACTGATGATTTCCAGGACTCGATGACCTTGTTACATTGCTACCACCACTGCCGCTACTCACGACCGCTTGGTGATAATGTTGATGATGTTGATGATGTTGATGATGTTGCTGATGTTGCTGATGTTGCTGCTGATGTTGCTGCTGATGTTGCTGCGGCTGTTGCTGTTGCTGTGGCTGTTGCTGTTGCTGTTGCTGCTGATGATGGTGATGGTGGTGATGGTGATGATGATGAGATTGCGCGGCTGATTGATGATGATGATGATACTGCGGTTGATGGTAGCTCGTCGTTGTCGTTGTTTGTGGCGCCGACGCTGGCGTCGATGATGCCGGTAACGACAACGAATGCTCTTTATCCTTGTTTGTGCTCTTAAGCTTGGCGGTACCCTTCACCACGTCAGACAGCCTGTTCTGCTGCGACTGTTCGGTGTTAGGGCTGTCATTCGAGTTATGTGGTGGTTTTGAGGCATCAAGACCAGGCAAAGGTGGGAACGCCGAAGCCTCCAGATCGAACTGAACGCCCCTATTGTGCTGCGCGCCAGCGCTGCCACCGACACTCGAGCTGTTGGAAGCCTCTTTGTTGGCTGACGAGGGCAAGGTATTGTTACCACCATTGCCACTGGTATTGCCAGCACTTAAACCACCACCGCCACCATTACCGCCGCCGCCACTGTTTGTCTTGGACAGTGTCTCCGAATCTTTGGTCCTGCGGTGTGTACGATGACGCGGAAATTGGATCGATGGATCCTGAGACTGTGACTCGTTCTCCTTCAATGAGAACGTCGATACGTTGCTAGATATATTCTTTTTATTTCTCAACGTGTCCTGTAATCAAACGTCAATTTTAATACACATTTATTAGGCTCGCAAAAAGTTATAGCCGTGACAGTCACTGTTAAATTACCTGCGATCCTTTGTTAGCGTGACTGCTAGTGTACTGATGATCTCCGCCAATGCTGGGCGCATGGGAGGACTGGAACTTTGTGCCAGCTGAGTAGGAAGAAGTAATTGGCTTTGCACTGGGCAAGATATTGGATAGGGTTGGCGCAGCCATTCCCAAGGGTACGGGCCCTCCACTCAATGGAGGATGCGAGGTTCGTGTCATCGGTACCATATTACCTCCGCTGTCCATCAGGCCACCGCCACCACCGCCACCACCTCCACCACCACCTCCTCCTCTATCCGAACCATTTCTCTGCTTGTTCCTCGAATATGTGCTGGCAAGCATAGTTTGAAAATTAATACTCGATCTTCGTGTTCTTCGTAATGAAAAGACATAGATACTTACCTGTTTCTTTGATTGTATCCTCTGTTATGGGGCTTAAATGAGCCATGAGAAGCAATCCCATTCATGGTGAAGACACTCATATCGAAGTAAGCCGGACTGGCTGGACCCCAAGGCATCATCCCCGCAGGATAGAACGGTTGGTGCTGAGAAGACAATGGTAAACACTACTCAAGTTTAATGATATCGAATTTACTCTTAACAAACAATGAATCGTGGGAGTTTCGCACGAAGAATCATCAGAATCCATTAATACATCAAATTTCCGATGACAATACAATGAAACTTTCTGATAAAACTGCATGGAGAAACTCCCATTCATGACTATACGAATTCAATTTCATGATGGGAATATAAAGCATGAATTTGGTACAAAAACTTACGTAAACTACTTGATTGGGATATGGCGGCATTGTAGTCTGCGGCATCGTTGTGCCATTCGTATATAGAAATCGTTGCTGACCCGGTTGAAAACTACTGGGATCACCGTACACTGGTGGCGGGGGTGGTGTTCTATAACCGTTTTTCATCCCACCTACACTGGTTACTGCTGGCATTGGTAGCCTGTTCATTGGTTTAGCTTTGATACGCGCCATTATTGGTTTTCCCTGTGAAGTTAAAAAATCAAACGTGTGGTTTATCTTGATCCGAATATTATTCCTTAAGAATTTTTAGAATAAAATTCGAAATTATCTTTACCTGAAATTCGCAAACTTCTTCTCTGAGAAACCTGTAGGCTTTTTGAGCATCCTCGTCAGACTCAAAAGTAACATACCACGAACTGTTGTGAGCAAATTCGCAAGAAATAAACCTGGGGCAGCCTTCTCCAGAAAATAAATTCTGTAATTGTAATGAAAATCACAATTTAATCATGGTACCTATCGTTTGTAGAAATTTTAGATGAATTAACTTGATCCGTATTAATAAGTAATAAAATCAATAGGTCTAGTATCAATATGTGAAAGTTGATAAGAAGAATCATACATAGCTTGGAATAAAATAATTGAAGTGCTAATGAAAGTAACTTACCTTTACATCTTCTAACGGAGTAGAGTCAGGTATTTCACGAAGTATAACTATACAGCGTTTGTGGTTTGGTCTCACTTTTTGGCCTTCTTCATCAACTTGTACATTGGGTGACTCTCTGAGCACCTCTGTTATCAGCTTAATGTCTTTAGTCAATTTTTTGACTTGGTTGAAATTTGCCACAGTCCAAATTGGTACATATTGATCATTATCCATTTGTGATAATAAATATGTATCATTTGCTAAATTCTCCCTGGATAATATAACCAAAAATACCAATTAGAAAATTATGAAGAAGTTTGATTGAATCATCATTGAAATACTTATGAAAATTTACAAACTGCAATGACAATAGTACTAAAGTATTAAAATCCTATCCTGCATTGATTAGACAGGAGATACCATTAACTAATTTATTACTTGATTTATACTAAGAAATCTTAACGAAGTATAGATAAAGTTATTATGATTGACAACTTAATCATAAACTAAGTTTTTGATTACTTTAAAGATTATAGAATGATAATTTTTTATTAAAAAAATTAATCACTTTTTTTACTATATCTAAGTCGTGACTTTTGATAATTTACAAAATCAGAATAAGTTCAATTTCATAAAATTTGTTTTTCAAGTGAGTATTTTAGATATCAATTCATTGATAATTCATACTATTTTATAATGAATGCAACTAAATGGATATGATTCAACAACCATTTTAACAACAAAGTCACATAGTAGGTAATACTTCTCAAAGTTCAATGTCCTAAGAGGAAGTCAATTTAGATTACACACTTATAAAAGTAAAAGTCAACGGAATTTCCAGAGCAATACAAATTAAAAATAACAGCTGCATCAATAAGATTTCCTCAGCATAATTATAAGTTAACATTGAAAAAAATTATCTAAATGAACTTCAATACTGAACACTTGCTATGTCACTTGTTAATTATGATATTTGTGTTGCCAGTTTGATGATGAGTCAGAAATCTTACTACTGAATCAATATTCATGGGAATCATTCCCTCAACCCTGCACAATTATATGCTACAACTGCATTACTTATAAATAAAAGATTGACATCCACCAACAAGTCAGTGATGGAAAAGCAATGAAACAACATTATATATACCTGGAAAAATAGTATTCTAGTTGGGAAGAGAGCATCTGTTTAAGTTGATCGATGGGTATGTTGGGTGTGATGTCAGGCATCTGAGTAGGTGGTGTAGAAACATCTGCCAGTGGTGTCATATCCACATAGCCAACAGCACCACCCATCCCCATGGCCAGTTGGGGTATAGGCTCCAAGCTACCCACGCCCGTATCAAGCATAAGTTCAGCTGGTGCTGGCCCACCGTTCATGACTGTGTAGTCTATACCAGGGCCAGTGCTAGCCACGACAGCCAAGCTTTCAGGGGTGGATGGGTAACCCGCCCCTGGTGGGAGCTTGCCAATGTCCCCATTCATGTACACGTTGCCTTTGTAGACAGACAGATTAAAGTTTGCTTGATTGCTCTTGCTTGCTAGTTATAGTCTGTCTCTCTGCCTGTATTCTCACTGTCTTCCACTCTGACTCTCTCTCTCTCTTTCTCTCTTATGTCGCCGTGTGTGCACGTTTGTCTGTGTGCGTGTGCGTCTTTCTGCAACACACCAAATATCACTTTGCATTCAAAAAAACGTTGCACTCAATGAAACAAGATACAGTGGTTCGGAGTGATGTAATCTTTCTGGGAATTATCACACTGGTAAAAATAACCATATGTTATGTGCGGCCTAAGAACAGACACCGCCGCTATCGCCGCCGCAGCAGCAGCCAGCGCGAGATTCTCGTGTGCCGGACACTCACTAACCGATGAGCATATAATAGGAGAGTGTGCAAAAGCTCGCACGGCTGCTGCAACCCGGGTAAGAACGCACGCGAGAGGTCAGACAGCATGCGTCCGGGAGCCGTCCGTATGGCAGTCAGCAACTCTCACCTCAGTCACTCTTACCACCTCGTTCGTAGGGCACCACGAGGCTCACTTGCTTCAAGCAGCGCTGTCCAAAAATAGAGCAGCCGCCGCCGCTGCCGCGACAGCCCTCCAAGGAGGAGTCGAGAGCAGCACCAGGTATCCGCGAAAACGAACACGCGGCCGCCTGCCCGCCTGCCTTCCCGACACACACTAAACACGCCTTTGGTGCGCGCACGACTCAACCACGACAGTCAAGCGACTAGATTGCGAAGACTTCGAGTTGCCCGTGTATGCCGCGTGCCAGCTGCAAGCTGCTGTCGCGGTTACGTATAGGCTCTGTCGTGTATGTGTCCGGGAGGCAAGCGAACGAGAAATGTGAATCGAGTGTGGGAGAGAGAAAGAGAGAGAGAGAGAGAGAAAGAGAGAGAGAGTGAGAGAGAGAGAGTGTGTGTGAGAGAGAGAGAGAGAGAGAGAGAGAGAGAGAGAGAGAGAGAGAGAGAGAGAGAGAGAGAGAGAGAGAGAGAGAGAGAGAGAGAGAGAGAGAGAGAGAGAGAGAGAGAGAGAGAGAGAGAGAGAGAGAGAGTGACTGCTGCGTGTCCCGGACGGATGGATGGCCGCCGCTCACACACTACTACTACAATATACTCGTCGTGTCTCTCGTTGATAATATATCCAGAGAGAGCGCGAACAACAGATGAAGAACACACTGTTTTCGGCACTGATCGGCAGCGGCTGCGGCGACAATGACGGCAATGCAGCAGCCAGAAGATGATGGCTTGTCTGGTGCGTGTTGTTTAGGCTTACCCGATTAGCCTGGCAGAAACAGAGAGATATATCTGTTCGGAGGCCGCGACGTGCCGAACCGGAGACGGACACCACTCCACACACCACTCTCTCGTGTCTGTTCTCTCTCGTCGCACGAGAGCGAGACGCGAGGCCAGGAACGAGGCTCGATTTCCTCGAGGAAACTACAAAATGGCCGACGCACACGAAAGGCACATGCCGTGGTGGCTCAATGCATTCTGGGGCCCCCGTACTTTGTGCTCTGGCCTATCTTGCTTGCCGCTGCTGTACTGCTGCTTGTTAGTGTGGCTTGTCTGTGTACGGCAACTCACTAACGATATATCCCCGTGTATGCGCTGCTGCTGCTGCATACGTGCATTCGTTTTCTCACTCCACTACGCGCACGCGACAATCACCACCTCTCACTTTAACTAGCGCACGCAGCTCGCTTGGACCTCGGTTGTGCTCGGCCGGGTTCGGCCCATTGCCCGACTAGCCAATAGCAGACAAATCTACCCTCTTGCGGATTTTATGACAAGCTTTTTTTTTTCTTCATATTTTATATTATTTCCATATGATATGTACGTTTCATCGTAATGATCAATCGTTGATAAATTTAGTATGAATTATGTAAAGCCTGAAAGGTTGCGATATTGCACTGAAATTTATGCAATAATTATCAAATTATACTTCTATTAATCAAATTCGTGAAAGAGAAATTAGTAACAATTAATAATTAATGTAACAATTCTTTTGCAGTACCATCTGTCAATTTATTGACAGAATTTAATCGGTCAACCTATAAGGCGAACAGCGCGTACACGAACTAACCGTTGACTGCGACGGAAAATTTTTCGCGTACGTGCTTGTAACCAACAATCTTCATTTACGCAAAAGATTAGTGACCAAATATATTTCGGATGCATAAAAATGTTTTGCGGAAACGGAAAACTCTGTAGCCACGTGTATTTTACGTACGCGAAAAGTTATTCGCGGGCGCGCGCCGAAAAGCCTTTCGCTTATGCGGACAACCGTTTTCTTATATGAAATATACTTGGTTATGCGAAATACCCAATGCACACGGATTTTAGTGTACACGACTACACGAAATACATTTAGCCACGGAGTCTTTCACCTACGCGAAAAGTTTTCTGGAAAATTTTCCGTCGGTTAATGGTTCGTTCGCGCAATAAACTTGACGTATGCGAAAGAATCTTCACGTATCCGTTGCTCGCCCTATAGCCAGACTAGATTTTTATTTTATTAATTTCAATTATTTCAAATTCGAATTATTCCGAAATAAGTTGGTTTTCAACATGGCAATGCTGCAGTACTGAGTGAACAATAAATTTGCAGACAACTTCATGGGGGTCAGATTAACCTTTAAGTCGTTATCAACTTGTAAAATATTTCAATGTTACTCACAAGTGCTTGCAACATTATTTCAGTAAGTTATTGAATCATAAACTGGAAACATTACATTCACTGATCATTTAATTTTACTAAAAAGTTGGTGCTATAGGAAATCAAAGCAATATAACATCAATTTTGTGCCAAAATTATACAAGGAGTAATAAAAACAAATTAATAAGTTTGCACAAGTAAATGCAGTACATTTGAAGCATTGTATTGTCAGCATCAACACTAAAGTATACAATAACACCATTACTTATTTGATTTACATTGCTTGCATTTTTATGCTACAACCAAGGCCACAAGTTCTAAAAATTATGCTAATTGAGATCTTACTTATTATGTATTTTTTTATGTGAAAAATTTATCTAGTTTACTTACATTGATCAGTTTTAAATGGAAGAAACAAGAATATTATATCAAAATATCTTTTGTTTTTATAGTTATGTTTTTGAATTTCATTATAGATAAATTTAAATTTGAAAAAAAATAGACATAAAATAAGGAACAAAAGTAACTATATACGAAGACATATGAATTATCTAAAACACCAGAATTAATTAAAATAAATGAACTGGATCACTAGATTTTTGGCACCAGCCTCGCTAGCAATAAGTGTTTGTTGTCCAAAGGTTCAACTGCAGACAATATTTTATCATCACTTAAATGTAAGATCTAATCTTTTGCTTTTGTTTTAACATTAAATTTATATATCTTACAAAATTATGATAACTTAATTTTTTGCAGATTTTTAAAGCATTATTTGTTTCTTCAAAGTTTTCTATTGGAAACTGCGTAAAATATTCTTATATGGATAATCCACACTGTGATTTGACATCTGATATTTCAGATTCATGTGCTGATGGCATAAAAGATATTGATTTTACATTACAGAAACTTAGTGTTACAAACACATTTGACAAAAATGTAAACAATTTAGGTGTTAATTTCCTTAATAATGATCACAACAGTTTAATAAAAAAAAGACTCATTGACAAGAAAAAATACAAAGATATTCGAAAATGGAAAAAAGTTGACAAAGGTATAGCACATTTAAAAATTTATTAAATTCTCTCATTTCTTGAATTTAAATTTAAAGACCCAGTAATAATAATTATTCACGCAATAATTTATTCAACTGCTTGAAGCAGATCTCACTATTCAAAGAACAATACCTCATAGATAAGAACATACATCTTCATGTAATTATGCTAATTTTTTAAATATTTTTTAATACTGTAGGAAATGCTGCTGGTACATCAAAGGACTCATTCATCTTCAAATTATTATCATTTAACATACTAGCTCAAGATTTATTAGAAACACATTCATACCTGTACAGAACCCATGACAAAAAAGCATTACCTTGGGAACACAGAAAACCTCTATTAATGGAAGAAATATTGGAATTAAATGCCCATGTGCGTTACAAAATTTGTGATTATTACTTGAAATGCTAAGCATGATATTATTTGTCTTGTATACAATTGTTATAGGTAATTTGTTTACAAGAAGTTCAATATCAATATTTACAAGAAATTTTGATTCCTTTTCAAGAGAATGGTTTCACACACTTGTACAAAAAGCGAACAAACGATAAAAAAGACGGGCTTCTGGTTCTGTATAAAGAAGATTTATTTAATTTGTTAGAGTTTTCCAAAGTTGAACTTTACCAGAATGGTATTGAACTACTAAGTAGAGACAATGTTGGTTTGGTTGCAAAATTTTCTTTAAAAGAAAGTCCTGAAACAAAATTTGTTGTTGCAACTACACATTTACTTTTTAATCCACGACGCAATGATGTGAGATTAGGTCAAATACAGTTACTTTTTGCCGAAATTGAAAGAATAGCTTTTGTTGAAAATACCTTGTAAGTATACAAAATTTATAAAATATTAGGTAAGTAATAATTAAATATTAAATTTTAACAGAACAGGTCCTAGATATCTACCAATTGTACTATCAGGAGATTTTAATCTTGAACCATATAGTGGAGTTTACAATTTTGTTACTGAGGGTTCCATAGAATTTGTAGGAAAAGGTAGAAATTTAGAGGAATCTGACTACCGTTGTCTGTCGAACTCTTTGATACCACCTCATTTGTATGTTACGGACGAGTGCCAGCATCTGAACGTATTATCGAAAAGATTATCCGGCATAGGAAGTGGAAAAATTATGGTAAGAAATATAAATATATAATATTATACTTAATAGTGATTGTAATAGAAAAATGCAAAGCATGCAAGTATTAACAGTAAACGCGACAAGTGGTTTGCAGCACAGTTCGTGATCATAAGATACACGTTCTTTTATTTATTTATTTTTTTTTTTAGATAGTATCATATTAATTAAATTATTTAATATTTGAAATTTGAAATTATAGTTAAGAAATGCAGAAAATCAATATCAACCTAAAGAAGATGATCTGACGAATGATCTCTTAGAAAGTACTTCATTCAACTCTAAAACCAATAATTATCAAAAAATAGAAATATCTGATGGCCACTATGTCACATTTTCATCAGGCCTTCTAACACATCCATTTCGATTTAAGAGTGTATATAATCATACGGATAAAAACGGAAGAAGCGAAGCAACGACATTTCAAAATCGTTGGATAACTGTCGATTATATATTTTATAGCCAATTAACGCCATTGGAAAAATATCGATTGCCAACAGCGGAAGAATGTTCAGAGTTTCTTCCGACTATTCCTAACGCGATAGTAGGAAGCGACCATTTTTGTCTTGGAGCAAGTTTTCTATTGAAAAAAAGATAAATTATCGTTTTATGTACACTTAACTTTTCACAAACAATAGAAAAAGAACCAAATGGAAATATTTTAAGTTATATAGATTTATTATAGTAGAAATTCTTTGATGAAATACAACAATTATGTTAAGAATATGAAAATAGCTATTATTATCTTGTAAAATCTTATCTGAAAGTTTCGATATCATGTTTTACGTAAAATTTTTTATTCTGTGTTCTCCATGTCTAAATATAAATCAGTAAGCGCTGAGATTCATTAATCTCGTGCTGTTCTTTTTTTTTAAAGTGTATATATAATTTCATTTGTCTTCTTCACCTCTAAACCCACAGTTATGGTTGTCATTTTCCCAAGTTTTTCTGCAATGAATTTTAAAACAACAATCTTAAGTTGACAATGTATTGTCTTGTTATACACATTCTCTTTCAATTATTAAATTTTGTTTCACCGTCCCGTCGTTTATTTTTGTTGGAAAACAATTTAAAATCGAGAAAATAAATTGATGCTCATTAAATTCCAAACAAACTCGTATATTTGTTAACGAGAATGAAAATATACTGTATAATTTCGATGATTAAGACATTAATGGACGAGCGAATAAAACGACGATATGATGAACCGTTACATTCGCCCACGAAAGCGCATCTAAACAAGACGAATATGAAATCCCGTAAGTTTTGCACGTAAGCTTATATTTTGATAAAAAATACTCCAATCTTAGAATTTATACAATGCATTCGCTGATATTATGAAGGTTTTCAATGACCTCGATCGTCATGTCAGATTAGTCAATACACAATGATTAATATGCCACTGACTCGATTGATTTTGCAAAGTTTTACAACGACAATTGTTTTTTTATTAATTTTACATTAAAATATATTTTCTATCGTGTAAAATTTATTAACAGATCACAATATAATAAATTTCTTTTTAATATTCACAATACCATGCGTTAAGAATACATCAGATTCAATGCAGTCACCTTAATTAAATCTAATTTGGAAAGGTATTATAAAGAACGAGAATAGTTAATATACGTGAAACTGGTGAATTGCCATTTATTTATCTAGAACAGCCACATTTTTCATTGAAAAAAGGGAAACAAACAATTCAGTGTCAAGAATACTGATTTACAAAAGAGAAAAGTAAAGTTATAAAGGGAAATTGATAATAATCGTAAAGTCGCATCGTGATATATATTACATAAAAAGAAAAAGATCTTGTCGCGTTTTACACAAATTATACATCATGAAAATCGATGCAGACTTAAAGGCACAAAAGTCGAGAGAACATATGTGACTCCATCGTCGTTCAACATTATTTGATCATTTAAGCACAGAAACTACAACTTTCATCATTTACTTACAATACGTAAAATGAAAAAGAGCAAGTTTATTCATTTTCTTTGTTCCAACAGAATCTAAACAAGTTTAATTACAATAATAAGTAAGAAAAAAGCCAATTTGAGCCCTAGTTTAAACACTTAGTTCTTCAAATCTCTCTGAACACATCTATTGCGCCCAGATACATATTATCTAATATCAAAATGAAGACCCATTCGTAGCTAACAGTGTTTATCGCTCGCTCACGTATTCTCTGAAAAATGCCTAGTTATATCTCTATTACACAAAATGTGACACAGTCATCTTTGTAGAGTTCGTCGTCCACGTCGGATCATCTAACGTAAGGCTGTAAAATATTGCTTCCCTATAATCCTTACAAAACTGCTGTCTGATTAAAATAGTATTGTGCCTATTTTTTTTATATAAGTATTGTTTATATTCCTTTTGTTTATTGAAATATATACGTGTATTATAATGAGTTGGGGGAATATTCCACAAGTAGTATCAACGAGTAGTAGTAACTGATACAGAGAATTTGAGACAGTTAAGTATCGGTAGAGGTGGAGTTATTTTGGATGGTAGTGGCATGGGTGATGGTTTTGTTGTTCTTGTATAATCTGTTAATTAGAAACCATGAACTTTCAGTTGGTCAGGTTTCGCCAGACCAGATTTTGTTAGCCACTGGCATATATTTTCACGCTGGTCCCCCTGCAGCTGCAATACCTCCCCGTACTCCGGATGCTCAATTACAGTCCCATTGCAGGCAAACTCCTGCAAATAAAATCAATGTTAATGAATAATCTAAGGCCAAGCAAGTAAATCACAATATTAAAAATCTCATGATGATCAAATGTGAAAAATAAGCTCAAGTACAGCAAACGTGCTCAAACTATTTTAAAAATATACTTGAAATGCTCAAAGCAGACAAGGTCATAGATAAATATAGCATGATCACTCATCCTAACAAAGCAACATCTTGGCAAATTCAAATAAATCCAAATAGGAATTGAACTTGGTCATATACCAGAAACATTTTAGAACACGTGAGAGTTCGTAAGAACAAGGAACTTAAGTCACACGTTGAAACTAAGTGCGCGCGCAAAAAGCATATCAAAGTCTGCTAAATAACAGACACCACAATCACGATTTTAACACAAAAATATCTGCTCTATCTAATAAACAAAGAGCAAGGTATTTTTATTATCTGATCTATATTTAAGCGTACACGCTAGCTCATGCGAAGCAAGAGATAAAAAAGAAAAAATGTACTGCTGTCGTTGCTCATAGAGCAACGTCGAGAATCGAGTCCAAGGCGTGCGCAGACAACGAGGGGAAATGAATAGGAGTGAAGAAGCAAAATATTGTTATGATGGTGTGTTTCGCCTTACCTTTTTACATGCTCTGACAATTTTCTTCAAGTCATATTCAGACGAGAGGCCCTGCACGGTGGTTAAGGTCTTGCGACCATTCCGCTGTTGGATCCTTATATGCACGAGACCGTCCTGGACATCGTCGTCTGAACCCTTGATTGCATCCGCAAAGGGGTCTATGAAAAAAAAGCGACGGCAATGTGTTAGTCAATCACTTGTCTGAATGATTCTCATTAAAGTGGAACGTGTGACGAGGAAAAAATGCTTTCTTCGATTGCGTCGCGCAATGCAAGACGCCACCGCCATTTTGACGAGTGCGTGTGTGAGAAAGAGAGAGAAAGCTCGATTTCGTGGTGTTTTACATACAAAAATATCGACTCACCAAATGTGTTGAGATTCTGGATGGACATACGACAAACAAAGGGTATCCCTCGGAGATATACAACTGCAGCTACTGCAAAGTTATTAGAGCTTTGAAGATCTAGTTTTTGTTGGCGGAGTTGTGACGTGCAACGGCGACTTGTGTGCTGTGCTGTGCTGGCAGAGGAAACACGAGTACACGCTGCTGCTGCTGCTGGGGGACTGAGAATCAACGACACCAGGCGGCGCAACACTACTGACGAAGCTGACGAACTAAAGCCCGCCGGAAGTAAAAGTTGCATTTGTCACGGGACGTTGGGTGGGGTTTTTCCAGCGTACATACACATCTCTCGACTCTCGCGCATGCCAATCGTAGCGAAGCTGCGCGCGCACATCTATTTTTTGAAGCAATTTGTCAAATATTTTTCTTGTAGCTTTTTTCAACTAAATGCATTGTTATGTCATTTTCCGTAGTTTCTTATTAATTGTTGGATTATACACTGCTTTTCACTACACTTTCATCACGCGAAATTGATTACTTATTTGATTTTGAAGCAATCGATGATGGGGAAACTGTTGCTTCCTGATGTTATAGGAATCTTTAAGCTTAATTCACAATGGAACTTACTCTTTGTCAAGTTAGCAAAATAGCTACTTTTAAATATCAGATAATTGATTAAATTGATTTTAAAATTGATTGATTAATTGATTTTTAACGAACTTGGCATCACGGTAAATTTGTATAATAGTCGATATATTTAAAAATATTTTTTATAACGAGTCTAATAATGTTTGGCTATCTAGCAACAATCATAAGTTGTCTTGTCCACGTCCTAATTTACACCATCTTATTAAAACTCACATTTGTGGCAAATACAGTCGAAGGAAAGTTTAATTACATTACATGAAAAATTTGTCTTCCAAACAAAAAAAGGCGAAGAATGTTTTTTTCTTTTTATAATCTTTAAAAATAAATATGTCTTAATGAAATTCGTTGTTTTAATAATTCGAAGTAAAAAAGGTAAAGTTAATAAACGGATTAAAAAATTGTTGATCATGTAATATTCAAGAGTTAAACTAATATTGTTGAGATCAAATTTAAGCCCAAACATCATAAATAAAAGATAAGTAGTAATCTTCCGAATAAAAATCGATGCGAAGCTGACGGCGACAAGTAATTTTTTTGAATGAAAAAAATTAAGACAGAAGAGGTTAATGCACATGACAGTGGGAAACGTTTCGCGTGGCAGTCACGTCGTCGTAAAACGAGTGTGGTGTTAGAGTAGTGTATGGTGCAGGTGCCAGCTGGAGAACTGATAAGTTAAATTACAGACAACAAAATTTATCTATGGCTATTGTATAGTGTCCCTTTTTATCATTCACTTCGAAGGAATTTAACAATAGGAATATTTTCAAAGAATATAAAAATGGCCAGTCCACGAACTCGCCGTGCCTTAGCTGACCTAAAACCTCACGATGAGAACAACGTAAGCGTGTCAATTGATAGATGTTTTATTCCAGATGTAGAAAGAAGTTCATGAAGTCATTGCTGACTTTAGCTTTTTTTCCATTTGATTTAGAGATGCTTTGAATGTGGGGCACATAACCCGCAATGGGTCTCTGTCACTTATGGGATCTGGATATGTTTGGAGTGCTCTGGTAAGCACAGAGGACTTGGAGTACACTTGTCATTTGTTCGCTCCATTTCCATGGATAAATGGAAAGATATTGAGTTGGAAAAAATGAAAATTGGAGGCAACAGAAATGCTAGAGTTTTCTTTGAATCTCAACCTGACTGGGATGATTCAATGTCTATTACCCAGAAATATAACACCAAAGCAGCTGCTTTATATAGAGACAAGGTTGATTTAATTATGTTATGCAGTATGTTATCTTGCTTGAATTTCCACTTGATTGTTGATCTTAAATGCTTTATTTTATCACAGATAAATACATTGGCTAATGGTGGTTCTTGGAGTCCTACATCTTCAACTGCCAAGGATTATACTCCAACTTATGTCGACAGTAAAAGAGATAGTTATAGTAGTTCTTCCTATCAGAACAATTCGGGATCGTCATCATCATATCAAAACCACAACTTTAATACTCCAGAATTTAAATCACAGACAGAAGATTTTTTCACAAGGAAACAGAATGAAAATGCTTCTCGCCCGGAGTAAGAATGATATTTATTATTGGTATCTCAAAAATATTGCAATAATTAACAACTTTAATACTTTTTTAGTCATTTACCTCCAAGCCAGGGTGGCAAATATGGTGGATTTGGTTATCAAGCAACTCCAATATCAAAGAGCACATCGCAAGAATTTGTTGACACTGCTTTATCTTCCCTTGCTAGTGTTCGTTTAAATATTTATTAAAATAAATAAAAATCATTTAATATGAAAACCAATTTAGGTATCTTTGCAGGGATGGTCTTTGTTCTCATCTACAGCTACTAAAGTAGCCAGCAAAGCCACTGAAAATGCTATTAAAATTGGAGGAATAGCCACACAAAAGGTATCTGAAATGTCTACTCATGTAGGTGAAAAGGTTTGTTCAGTTGTTTTAGTTTTGATTATTTTAATTTAAGTAGATTTTTTATTATTTTTATTTCCCGTTTTTTTTTTTATTTTAACCGTAATAGGTACGAGAAGGTACTCTTTTAGAAGATGTAGGAAATCAAGTTGGCAATTTAGCTGCTAAGGTAGAATCTGATTCTATGATACTTTTTATTGTTATTTTTCATTTTTCTTAATAAAATGCTTCTTATTAGAAATGCTAATCACTAATTTGATGCAACATTGATTAAGAAATACGTAAAATCTTCAGGTTGGTGAATTAGGAAGGAGAGGTTGGGGAGATATCAGTGGAAGTAATACTACTGAACAAAGCTACTACAATTCACATGGCAACTATCAAGATTCAGCTAGTTCTTATCAAAACAATTCTGACTACAAAAAGTATCCGGATGAAAGGTCATCATTGTCTGGATCAAATCAAAAGTAACTAATAAAAGGAAACTATTTTCTGCTTACATTTATAGAATATAATCAAAAAATTAATTTTTATTAATAGTAAATCTGGGGTATCATCTCCAACATCTTACAATTCAGACTGGGATTGGAATTCTAGCTCGCAACCAAAAGAAACTGCTGACACTAAACCATCATCAGCTGCAACTAAAAGGTTGAAGGAAAAGAAAATGAACCAAGATCCATTAGTTAATCTTGAAACAGATAAAACCAATTCAAATTGGAATTCTAAACTTGAAGATGAAGCCTGGGAGATATTGAAAAATTAATTAAAGTTAGTGTAGTTAGGTATACAAAATTTTATGAAATTATTATTATATTGTGAAATTTGTTGATAAGAGTGATTATATTAATTGTTCAATTTATTTTAATTGCAAATTCAAAATAATAGTGAATTTGAATCAGAGGTGATTGAGGCGCTATAGTTTATATTTTATTAGATTCATGAGTCAGTATATTCCAAGTTATTATTAACATTCAGTAAGATAAAACACAGATAAATCATTTTTCAAATCTTTTATAATTGCTATGTTATCCTTAGTTATATTTTATTACAGGATTGTAATCAGAGTATTCAGTTAATATGAGGTATTGAATGAAAAACATACAAGTGTAAATAATCAATAGAAACAGTAATTCTCATTAACTTTCTTTATTGTTCATTTCAATGATGTATTTTTAAATCAATGAGGTATTTTTGAAAACTAATGTTGTTGACTGTACAATTGTGCAGTACGTAATTTACGATCTATTTTTATTTATAGTCAGATTAGCATATTTTTTTACACTTGAAAATCCAATGTCTCACAAAAAGAATATTACACTTTGAGATTGTAATATTCTATTGTTTAGATTATGAATGTAATTTTTTGAATGTTTTGACCAATTATGTGTAATGAAAAATTTTGTTGACATATGAAGACCTGTTGACGAAAAATTTGTACCTAAACAAGGACATGGACACTCAATTCAATTAAATGTTAGTATAAATATGTCGCTCTTGAAATCTCAAAAATGACTTGATTCATGTAAATAAATTGAATGAAAGATACAAAAATAAAAGATGGTTTATAACAAAATATTGTATATTTATTAATTGGTTCTCAAAAAAATCATCTGTACAAAAGTTTTGATATTTATAAAATAATTAACTATTTTCATGTCTTCGTTTTCTCCTGTATGTTCTTTCTGCTTCACCACTGGTTAACTTAGTCACCAAATAGTCAGTTGTTTCAGATTCATTTGAAGGCCAAATTTCTTTATCCAAGGTTAATATTAAATCCCTAAACATTTCTCCTGTTTTTCTAGATATACTGGAAGTTATTTGTCCTTTTGTTGCTTCATACAAAAGGTTATATGCTTGCCTGTAAAATAATCAAAATATAGGCAAAGTTAATATTATATTAATTAAACAAATGTGCCCTTTTTTCATATTCAACAGTTACTTGAGATCGAAACCTGCAGTCTCTTCTGGAGGAGGATGATCTTCAAACAAGCTGATGAATAACAGTGCTTCAGGAACTAATTGATGTTCTTTGTTAAACAATCCACTGCGTAACCATATATCTAATGGAGAATTTATATCTTTCTTTCCTAAATCAGCCATAGCTCTGTATTTCTCAATCATTTGTTGAATAGCAAGCGAGGATTTATTTGGCAATATCTGTTTCAATTTACAAATATCATCTGGTCCATAAGCTTGAAGTCCTTTGAGTAACGTTTTCTTTTCAGTTTCAGTCCATTTCTTTTTTTTTGATTCTACAGATTTTTCTAAGATTTCCCGTCTATTTGGTTTTTCCTCCATTCTGATTTTATAACAAATGATTTTATATTATCTTTACATACGTGCATATAACCTTTGACAAAACAATAAACACTTAACGATCGAGGTCGATTTATAGAAATTAATTCAAAATTGGTTCGACTTAGTAACTAATTAAGTAACTAAGTGATAGTTTGTCTAGGCAGAACGTTGGTTGCTCAAGTCATATGTTTTTAATTATTTACAATGTCAACATGTAAATACTGTAGCACGCCTAGTACTTACTTGCTTGCTTTACTGATCGATGTTAATCTCAGTTAATTGATTTGTGGTAAAGTACTTCAATTAAAACGTTGATAACGTTCTCAGTTAATTAATTATTGCAAACAAAGCAAGTCAAATCAATGTCAAAAGTGTTTCGGTAGTCTGCTCGGTTGCATACAACTCTGTTATGATATGTGAACGTAGCCTAAGGACTCGTTGTGTCGTTGCATTGTAAAGGAGGACTTGCGCAATAGCAATGGAATACCAGATGATTGTGAGTATTTGCGCGGTTATGGACGACGTCGTATTTGTACAAATGTGCAGTCTGTTTGTTCGTTGCAATTAAACGTCATCCACCACCACCTCTCAATGCCATCCGAGCCAATTTTTCGTCTGCAATAATTTCATCGTCGTACGGAGAACTGACGACGAATAAGGAGTAAAGAAAAAAGAAACAATGGTAAGTAAAAGTATGGGCTAAGATGTTATTCGAACAGTATTCGAACGCCTTGTCAAAACGCTACTGCAGCAGTGGCCAGTGAACAGCAGGTACATATTGCTTACGCACCTTTGTAATGTTATTCGCTATGCTATGCTTTTACGACGCATCTCTCTCTCTCTCTCTCTCTCTCTCTCTCTCTGTCTCTCTCTCTCTCTCTCTCTCCTCTCTTTCGGAGTTACTTATTTGCTCTGATGGATAATTTTTCATGAAATTCTTGCGTACAAGGTAAGTGATATATGATTACTTATCACATACCTCTATCAATATTAGAGGAAAGTTTGTTCGATTGGACATCATCACGTGAATTGTGTACAGCAGAAGCTTTGAACTATAATGCATTGCTGATGTAAATATCTACCTTATGTTAGGAGCCTTTATTGCATCTCAGTATAATCTATTCTACTTTTGATCTGTATGCTAATGCTTATGTCAGACTGTCCAATTATATGCATTACTTATTTGCAATTCTACGTATAAAAACACTTTGATGTTCATTTGCTTCATTACTCTTATGTCTACTAGAAATGTTTTTTAAAAGAGCAGGTAAGAATTTACTTGAAACTATATCATGCAAAATGCTTAGTGTGGAAGTTGCATACAGCTATATTTGTGTAATATTAAGCTTTAACTCTTGTGTTACTGTGTGTTTTGCATTGAAAAATCTTCAGAGGTCTTGTGCAAACACAATCCGTGCAAATGAGTTTCATACTCAGTGATAAGAGTAAGTAATGTGAGCATGTATGTTTTAATGTGTGTAAAACAGATCAGCACGATGCCATGGAGAAGTTTCCACTGAAGGGTACACCACCATCAAGTTCTATGAACAGATTACATGCCAATCCTCTCACAACCTACAATTCGGTTGATGCTAAGGTAGACAATCCCATAGGTGTTTCCTTCTTTTATAACTAAGATGCATGAACAAAATTAATTTTATTTCTTTTGTAATTAAAATATTTAAACAAAATATTTTCTAAATTTTTATCACTTATATCTTTTTATATTGTATCTTTGTATTGTCTAAATTAATATTCTTAAGAGGTAAGGTCAGTAACAAGTAAAGCAAGCTTAACAGAACGAGATCGAAACTATCATCAACGATTAACACCTATAGCTAAAAATACAAAGAAATAAGCAACTTTATATTAGTAAAAATAATGAAAATAAAAAATTGCAGAAGGGGAATGGCATAGAAACAAGCATTGACAATCCAAACTATCGGATGGCTATGGGAAGCAGAGGTGGCAGTTTGAGTAGTGATGAAGATATACTAGATGGAAAGCATCAAGGATCTTCTCATCAAACTGATAACACTCAATCATATTACGAACGAAGTATCAGAATGGACGATGCTACCTCACATTGTAAATCATCATTATACCCTATCAACCTACTGTTGACAGTTCACATAAACAAATATTTAACGATAGTTTCAGTAGACTCGGATGATATCCCGGGAATCGGCCAATACGACGATTTTCACACGATCGACTGGCAGAGAGACATCGCCAGAGATCGTATGCACCATCGCTACATCTTGAAAAAGAAACACGATTCGATATGGGATTTGATCAAAGGAGCTCATGACGCATGGTCGGGATGGCTTTGCGTCCTTATAGTTGGTCTTATAACTGGCGTGGTTGCCGGTGTCATAGATATTGGTGCGTCATGGATGACCGATCTCAAGTATGGTATTTGCCCACAAGCTTTCTGGCTGAACAAGGAGCAATGTTGCTGGTCGTACACTGAAACTTCTTTTGACGGTGATAATTGCTCGCAGGTATGTGTCGATTACTGACAAGCAAATGGCGAATCGCCAAACGTTTAATCTTTTATTTTTATATTTACTTTGATGTATTTTAGTGGAGGACGTGGCCTGAAGTATTTAGTAACGCGAAAGAAGGAGCTGGCGCTTACATTCTTTCGTATCTATTTTACATTGTGTGGGCACTATTGTTTGCCTCCCTTTCAGCCTCTCTCGTACGAATGTTTGCTCCTTATGCTTGCGGATCTGGTATTCCTGAGGTGAATTTCCAATTTCTCGTTGACAATATCGAAACATACGTTTAATTAAAAAATTCACTTTATAGATTAAAACAATTTTAAGCGGATTCATCATCCGTGGTTATCTCGGCAAATGGACCTTGATCATAAAGTCAGTAGGCCTGATATTGTCTGTGTCGGCGGGTCTGAATCTCGGCAAAGAGGGCCCAATGGTCCATATTGCTTGCTGTATCGGTAATATTTTGTCGTATTTATTCCCCAAGTATGGTAGGAACGAAGCGAAAAAGAGGGAAATATTATCGGCTGCTGCCGCTGCTGGTGTGTCGGTGGCTTTTGGTGCGCCTATCGGTGGTGTACTTTTCAGTTTGGAAGAGGTATATATAAATACGAAATAGATCTTGAAAAGTTATAAATACCAATGAACCTTTTTGACGTCTTATAGGTCAGTTATTATTTCCCATTGAAAACACTATGGAGGTCTTTCTTCTGTGCTCTGGTAGCAGCTTTTGTTTTGAGATCAATCAACCCGTTCGGCAACAAGCACTCCGTTCTATTTTTCGTTGAATATAATAATCCTTGGATATTCTTTGAGCTTATTCCATTCATAATTCTTGGTATCATTGGAGTGGGTACACTTATCTAAGTAATATACTATTTCATCAACAAGACTTTTAATTGAGACAATCTTGCTTAATTTAAAGGGAATTATTGGAACTCTATTTATCAAAGCTAATTATCGTTGGTGTCGTTATCGCAAGTCATCTAAACTTGGACAATACCCAGTAACCGAAGTATTAGTGGTGACTGTTCTTACTGCGGTCATTGCATTCCCAAATCCTTATACAAGAATGAGCACCAGTCAATTGATTTACTTACTGTTTAGGAAATGTGGAGCAGCTGACACTAATATGTTATGGTCAGTAAAATAGAATTATTTTTTCAGAAATATTCTAGATTTGATTTTTGAGAAATTTGTTTAATTATTTTTTTTATATACAGCAATTATCAGCGAAGTTTCGTCGACGCAAATTCAATTTACTTGTTGATCCTGGCATTTATTTTCAAATTCCTAATGACAATATTCACGTTTGGTATGAAAGTCCCTTGTGGTCTTTTCATTCCATCATTGTGCATGGGGGCAATAGTCGGTCGTTTGGTTGGCATTGGCATGGAACACTTGGCATTCACTTATCCACACATCTGGATGTTCGGTGAAGAATGTTCGACGGAAGACGGGTGCATTACACCAGGACTTTACGCGATCGTTGGCGCTGCCGCAGTACTAGGAGGCGTTACAAGAATGACAGTATCTCTTGTTGTCATCATGTTCGAGTTGACTGGTGGAGTTAGATATATTGTACCTTTGATGGCTGCTGCAATGGCGAGCAAATGGGTCGGCGATGCTTTAGGCAAACAAGGAATCTACGACGCGCATATTGGGTTGAACGGTTATCCTTTCCTCGACAGCAAGGACGAATTCCAACACACGACTCTCGCGGCTGACGTTATGCAACCCAAGTGAGTTGAATAAATAAACTAATGTAAAATTATCGGACAGCTCTCTATGGACTTGTTACGTAAACGACTTGATCTTTTTTTTCTTTTTGCTTCGCAGGCGCAACGAAACACTACATGTACTTACTCAAGACTCGATGACCGCGGAGGACGTTGAAAATCTACTAAAAGAGACCGAGCATAATGGATTTCCGGTTATCGTATCCAAGGAGTCGCAATATCTCGTTGGTTTTGTTCTAAGGAGGGACTTGAATCTCGCACTCGCTAATGCCAAGCGCATGCTCGAGGGAATCAATCGACAGTCGCTTGTTATCTTCACCAGTGGAAATAATATTCAGACATACAGTCATCCACCGTTGAAATTGAAAAAAATATTAGATATGGCGCCAATTACTATTACGGATCAAACGCCCATGGAAACTGTCGTCGATATGTTTAGGAAGCTGGGTTTGCGACAAGTCCTTGTTACGCATAATGGGTAAGAATTAATTCATATTAATAGCCAAATAATTTGAAGAATATCAACATTAAATGTGATTTTTTTATTTTATTGATAAAAATATCGGGTCTTGCTTTCGTTCCCTGACTTATCGACGTAATTATGAGTTTCATGATCGATATCTCATTTCTATCCCGCACATTCATGACAGTGTCTTACGTATCGTAATTATTGTCAATACACTGCAATAAAATTTAATATGCTTTATTCTTTCAGGCGTCTGTTAGGAGTCATTACGAAGAAAGACGTATTGAAACATATAAAACAGCTAGAGGATGAGGATCCTAATTCAATATTATTTAATTAATTGTATTATTGCACATATGAAAGTCCGTAGGCAAATCATCACAAAAGAAAACAAGAAATCATGCAATCGAGATTCAAGAATAAATGAGGAAACGATAGTCTGATAGTAATTATAGGTATGTTGGAAAAATTGTTGTTGATTAAACTTGACTGGTGAACCGTAACAGAACATCACACTAAAATTCTGTAAGTAGGAATGCCGCGATGATATACACGCGCGCGCGCGCGCGCACACACACACACACACACACACACACACACACGAGCGCATTGAATGTCTGATTCATTATTCAACTAATTCTTTATAGAGTCCATTTTTATTTTTATCTTTATTATACATAGCCAATTGTGTAATGTAATCTAATTGTATCGAGTATATTGCCGTCGATGTTCTCGAATCTCGTTGTTTATATACATGTAGTAATTGTAAAAAGAAAAACGAAGAAATCACAAAGTCTCCAAGAAATGTATTCGAGTTACATTGACGTATTAATGGCAAAAAATTATCAATATTTGTAATTAGGCTTAGAAACAAAAGTTGCGAGAACGTTGATCCGAGATAAGGGGAGATAAAAGAGACGGCAGATGCGTTATTTTTCTCATCGGAAGATTTGTACTGATATTTTAATCTTGAATATGCAAGTAATTTTAAGTGACGTATGAAGAAAAAAATCTTTTTTGCCTGATTCATGACAGATTATTGATAAATTATGCATGTATATTTTGTAAAATTTGAAATTTTTAGAAAGATCTCTACAAAATCGATAATGAATTTGTTAATCTTGCTTCGTATAATTGTAATGTATAATCAAAGTGTACAAGTTTAAAACTTCTAGCTCTTTCGAACTACTCGCGAACAGCTTAGTTAAGAAATGGTTTTATAAAGAATAAACTGAGACACTCAATAAGGTAATGACAATTTGTCATTTGTGTAATCGGATGAGAAATGGTGGATGATTTGAGTGTTTTAGGTGAATATTGTTGCAATTAATAATATTGTGGTATTTGTCTTTGTTGATTTTGATTATATTCTTAAATGATTGTGGTTGTTGTATATTTTTTACAGCCTTGATAAGGGAAATTTATTACATTCCCGAAACATTGGTATTATAGATTTTATACACTAAAGTTATGATCAGAGCAATCAGTGAGTACATGAGCTCAGTTTATCCTCGATAAACCCATTTTTGAACTAAAAAGTACACACGTCTTTTCAACGACTCAATTTTTTTAACTCTAAATAGATGAAATTCGTTAAATTATTATTCACTGAATTTTCTTTATCGTAATCTATATTTGTTTTATTATTTTAGAAACATACATTTATAATCAGGTGGCTTTGAAATAAACTTTAATGGTATTTGCCGTAAGCAGCCTGTTTTTAAGTGCAAAAATTATACAGATCTATACAATTGTTTGTTTAATAAAAGCACATTTTCATTATTTCAACAATTGAATGTCGTGTATGTTGTCGATCCATCTTGACCTTCCACGCGCGTCGAAGTTCACAAACTCAACAAACGTTTACAACGTAAACACTTGGAGATCAAAAATTGGGATTCGTTGTCCGCGATCCGTCAATCAACGACCAAGGTGCAATAACAATATCGAGTCAGAAGAAAGAGCGAGCGCGTACAAGAGAATAAGAGTCATCTCGCACACGCACACTTGCAGAGCAAAGTACAATCGGTCGCATTAGCAAACAGAGCCGAAAAAGCAACGCTCGTGGAATACTCAAGTAATCCTAATGTGTAACAATTATAGCTGGTGCGTAGCCTCATTTACCTTGGCTGCGCGCGCGTCGCCGCTCTCTCATCATCGTCATTGTAGGCTGCGCGCGAGATAATTGCCGCGAGCGCCGCGACAATGTCCGCGCGCGCGCGGCACTCGTTTGCCCATTTGCATCGGAGAAATCCTCTGATGCACGGCTCAAGCACGCGAGGCGTCATTGTTTCCCGCGGTGCGCGCGTGCCTAATGTGCATAATCGCGCGCTCTTTTTATTTGACGCCGCGAGGCTGCTCTACGATCCGCTCGCAATCCAGCTCTCGGCGTTTATTGTGCACGCGGAAAGTCGTCGACGGCATTTTGCCGTTGATCATTCGAACGGCCGCGCGGAATATACCGCGATTTGCGTATCTCCCGATTCGGAAACGCATGTCGCGGTAATTAGCCATCATTTTTATCGCGACGTGCGACGTCGCCGTACCGGAGAGGACGATTTATGTCGGTAATTGTCAAGCTCGAGTTCCACTCGGCTTTTCAATAATCCATAAAACGCGCGCGTCACACGCACAGCGCGCGTCCCATTGTGTGCAAGTCAAAGCTTTTTTTCTTTTTCCTACTTCTTTCGAAATGGGAAAGAAAAAAAAAAATAAAATGTCTAACTGTAGTAATGTTTCTCCAACTATACGAGCGCGAAGGTGTACCACTTGCATACCTAATGCGCCTTCTCGGAACAGGAATCATTTCAATAATCCTTTTCAGCTGAAGTGCGTGCGCGCATGTCGACTTGGCGCGCCGCACGCGGATCCGTCGATTGATGCATTCCGAAATTCACGCGTACGCGCGTGCGCGATGAATAGTCAACGATCCTCTGTTTTTCTTTTTTTTCCTTCGTCGCGGAAAGCGCGTCGCTCGCGAGCTCGCGGAAAGACGAGAAGAGCGCGGACTCGTAGGCGTCGCAATCGCGGAGCGGCGGGCGGGGGAGGGGGGAGGAATCACTAATCGACGCCGCGCTCGAGCGAGCGTCGCGCATGGTCGCGAGTGCGGCACAATGCGAACGGCCGCGGACGAGCCGCTCGCCCGCGTTCGAATCGCCCGGATCGCGGCCTCGCGAGGCGCGCACATCCTCGCGCGGCACAAAGCTCCGCCGCTGGCCCGCGTCCCCCGAAACGAGCGCGCCGCTCGACGCGTAATAATGGCGACTCGCGCGCCCGTCGCCGCGGCGATCGCCGGACCCTCGCGGCCCTCGGAGGACCCGGGCGGGCCGGCGCGCGGCGCGCGGCGCGAGGAGTCGCGAGCGCAGCGGAAGCGCGCGCCTCGGTGTCGCTCGCCCACACGCCGTAGGCGCGCGCGCGCGGCCGAAGGAGCACGCATGCAGCGAGCGGTCGGCGCTCGGCGCGGTGGTGGGAGGCGCAAGCGCTGCTAGTCCGGTCGCGGGGCGTGCACGACGAGCAGTCAGTGAGCGCGGAACCGTTGCCAAGGCGACTCGCACACAGGCGCGCCTGGGGCAGCCTCTCCGTGCGCCTCTGCGTGTCGCGCTCTCCCTCTCTCCCTGCGCCCGACCGCCTGGCCAGCTCGCTCGCCTCCGCGCGCAGTGTGCGTCCGCGCGCGCGTCCCGCCGCTGCTCCTCCGGCGCCCGACCGACAGCCGTCCCCGGGGCCGACGCGCGCCCAGGGCCAGAGCCACCCGGCCAGGCACCCGCGTCGCCGGCATTGATGCTGCTCAGGGCGCTGCCGGCCGCCTCGCTGCTGCAGCCGAGCCCGGGCGCGGAGGCCTTCTACGAGGAGACGAGCGGCATGGAGGCGAGCGGCCTCTGCTGCCAGCAGCAGGACGCGCTGCTGGCGAGCGGCGCGTCGCCCGCGTCCTCGTCCTCCACCTCGTCGCAGAACGCGCTGCTCGTCGGCGCCAACGCCTACCAGTACGCCGCGGCTGCCAGCGACCAGATAGTGCCCGAACGATCCTCGTGCGGCCTCAGCGCCAGTGTTGTTAATGTTGTTAACGGTGTCGCCGTGATCGGCGCCCAGCAGCAGCAGCAACAGCAGCAGCAGCAGCACCCGCAGCAGCAGCACCCGCAGCAGCAGGCCGAGCACCACGCGCAGGCGTGCGCCGACAGCGCCGGCCTCTTCGTCAACGGGCACGAGGCCATTTGGCAGCAGCAGCAGCAGCAGCAGCAGCAGCAGCACTCGGCGCAAGCTCTGCACGGCCAGCCGGCCTACGTCGACTACTCGTGGCTACAGATGCAGGTAAGGCCGCGGCTCGTTCTCGGCGAGCGCGCGCGGGCCTTGCCGAGCTTGCGAGCGCCGATCCAACCAACGGCGGCTGCTTCTCCGGTCGCGGACCACGCGCGAGTGGAAGCTCGCCCGCCGACCGCCGGCTGCTCTTTGTTCTCGCCGGGCTTTCGCCGACGGTGCGCGAGAGCCCACGAGCGAGGCGCTTGCGCTCGCGCGCGGCCGACCGATCGCGTATCCTTGCGACGACGAGGGCACGGGACGAGCATCGGAGCTTTCGCCGAGCGACGCGCAACGCCACGGGCGCGCCGACTGGCTAGTCGTGATCGTCGATCCAAATAAAGAACGCGCACAATGAGCCAGTCGCGCGGGAATTAAGGCCGCGCCGATCATAAGCGAAAAAAGCGGCTATAATTTATACATCCTCGACGATAAAAGACGTACTTGTGCGAGCGAGCGAGCGCGCGCAAGCTTACCTGCACCGTGAAATTCCATTTCCGAGCGTCATTAATCGGCCATTAGTGCCTGTGCACACACAGGAAGCGCACGATTATCGGTATCCGGAATACGCACTCGAGCGCAGCCAATTCCGAGGGTTGACTTTTGTCCAGAGCTGGCCGATCGAGCGCTTTTATACGCGTCGCCCTCGCTCGACGCGGCCGCGCGCGCCGAGATGCTCGGCGGGATTATCCGCGCACTCGTCGTGGGATCTTCGGGCGGAGGGGGACTCTGGCTCTTTTCGTTTGTACGCTTTTTTCTTTCCATTCGGTGCGCCGCTGTAATTGGTGTACGGCTTTGTTTGATTGGCGTACGCGGGCGGCTTTGTTGACTCTGAGGTTTGACGGCTGTATTTTTGTGCCCGACTGCGCGTACCGTCGAGCAGCGCGCGTATATTTCGTAGTGTTTGCGATTCCCTCCGACGTTTCTCCTTTCTTTCTTAGCGATAGGGAAGCGAATGGGGCCTCTCGACGTGCCAGCTTAATCGAAGGATCGCCGGTGAGCACGCGCGCGTCAATCCGCTTACGCGGTAATACCCATTTGGCGACCGGACTGCGCGTATATTTTCGCTGGCCCGCGACGAATTTGCCGAGCGGCCCGCGATTATTCGTTTATCGCACGCGGCCGACGAGATAATACGAATCGTCGGTAGACGAAACTCGCGCGCGAACAGGTTTTGTCGCTCGCGCGGATCTTCCCTGGTCGAGCGGCAGCTGGGCGAAATTCGGCGGCCGGTCAGCCACTCGCGAGTCAAAGCGCGGCCGCCTATAGACGTACGTATGTAACGACATAGAAAGGCGCGCGCGCGCGCGCGGTGAGTTCAACGAACGATAAGCGAGCTGCTGCTGCCGCTGGCGCTGCTCCGCGAGAGCGCCGGGAGAAAACTACTCTCTTCGCCGGCCGCCGAGACGCTTTAACGGGCGCGCGAGGCTGCGCTCGCGTTCGATTGCTTGCCCGTGCGTACTCCGGCGAAGCTTGGTGGCCTGCGTGCGCAAATTATTTCTCGAATTGCCGATCTGCCGGGCGGATAACCTGCCGCCCGCGTTCGTCACGCGGCTTTGCGTGATAAGCGTCATTTTGGCCTGGGAAGGAGTAAACGAGGCGCTTTCGGCTGTGAAGAGCGAGAGCTGCGTCTCGTCGGAGGCACGCCGCTCTTTTCTCTCTCTCGATAAGCACGTAGTTCCGTTTCTTGGAAATTGATTGCGCGATGGCAGAGATAACAGTTTTCGTCGAGTTATTGTTGGGACTATATGAGGGAACGAGCGTCCCATTGTTGTGCCGAGAAGGCGTTTTCGCAAGACGTATCTCGCGTCGTTTCGGTCGTCGAACGAAGGACACGCCTGGCGAGAGCCCGCCACGATTGTCCACGGCACAAAGAGCACCGAGGGCGCGAAATCGGGGCGACGTCGCGGGCGAGCGAAGGGAGGCCGTGCAGCGCGGTCTCGTCGGTTCGGCAAGGCAAAACTTTTATTGCCGCCGCGATATCGCGTCTGCCTCGGCGAGAGGCAGCGCCGTATTATGCGCGTGAGTCAGCTCCGGCGCTCTGCGTGGGCGGCACTTTTGAACTTGAGCGCGCGTGCGTCTTCCCGTCGCGATCTCGCGAGGAGAGACGCGGCATTGCCGCGAAAGGAACGGGCGTCGTCGTCGTCGTCGTCGTCGTCGCGGGCATCGCGCTAAACGGCTCCTCGTCTAATAACCGTGCGGACCGATCGCGATCGCCGAGGCGAGCGCGCGGCAGCGCTGTAATTAATGATTTTGACAGGATGATCGTATCTCTTCTTTGTCAGCCTGCTTCTCTTTTCCTCGCTTCTGCGGCGCTCGCCACAAATGGACGCGGATTATTAGTTGCGAGATATACGCGCGTAATGCCTTAGAATTACAAAAATGCTTGTTTATCCACGCTGATCGCCGCGCGTTCGCCTTTCCTCTCTCCCTCCCGCCGGCCGCCGCGCGTATACGTGCAAAGTATTATGAGTCGCGCGGCTCCGTAATTATCGTCGATTTGATTTAAACAAAATGGCTGGGAAGGGAAAAACGCTCCCACGGATTCCACAGATTTCTCTCTCTCCCTCTCGCTCGCTCGCTTTTTTAATTACCGCGCGTAGCGACAGCCCCTCGCGACGAGCAGCGGCGCAGCTGGCCCCGCGCCACGTTCGCGCGAGCGCAAGCTCGCCTCGCGCGTTGTCTCGGCGAGAGCGAGGCACGCATCGCGTACATGCCGAGTAGGCAATGTCACGGGCAATTGACTCTCGAAATTGGTTTACGAAACTGCCCTTCCTCTTCCTCCTCGCGCGAGCGCGCGTTTTAAACGCTGCCGTGGAGCATTGTTCGGCCGCGCGACTCGCCCGCGATGCTTTATGGCTACCTGTTGACGAGGCGCGCGGCGGCGTGCGTCACCTATCCGCCGTGCCGCCGCTTTTTCGGTGATTTGTAATTTCCGCGACACCCGGCGAGCGCGCAGCGGGCGAAACGCGGCTGCCGGCGTGCAAGCGCGGAATGCCGCGCCGAGCCGCGCGTCCGTCGGCCGACTCGGCGAGCGCGTTCGACGACAGCGCGTCCGAGCAGAAGACGAGGCCTCGCGCGTTCCCACGGGCTTCCATCGATTGGCTGACTTTTCGGAAGGGGGGTTGCGCGCATGGCCGAGCACGAAAAACCGATCGCGATTCCCAGGCGAAACGCCGCGGCGCGCGAACCGAGGGAACGCGGCGCAATTGGCCGAAGCCGAGCGCAACAAGTCCGCCGGCCGCGACAGAAGCGGAGCGAGGCGGTTGCGAAAGCCGCGCGCCGGACGCGACGCGACCTTCCGATTTTCCAACGTGCGAACCGAAGGGCTCCCCCGGGCTCGACACCTGTCCCGCCTCGTCGGCGATCGCGGACACGGGAAATTGCTGACGGTCCAATTGCCCGCGGTGCCACGGCCAAGTCGATGTATATGCGCGGCGGCGCGTCCTACGCGCGTTTTGTCCTTTAACGTCTCTCTGGCGGTTCTCGTTCGTCCGGACGACGAGCTGGATCGATTTTGCGCGAGGAGAGCACTTGTCGAGCCGCGTCGCTGCTCGTTTCTCGCGCCGATAATTGAGCGATTATAGACGACGCACGTGCACGCGCGCGGGAAGAGTCGTTAAGAAGCGAGAGTTACACGCCTCGCGGACGCGTGTCGAGCGTAAAAATGCAAATGTTTGCTCGGATTGAAAAACACTCGGTCGGCGGATACGCGGAGGAGAGAAGACCGCGCGCCGATCCTCTTTCCTTTGCGTTTCTGCTTTGTCGTTTATCGCGCGCAAGAGCGCTTCTCGGATTTTCGAATCCGCCGAGGAACGGCGCGTCCGACCGACCGACCGACCGACCGACCGAAGCGAATCCTCGTCGTACGGCGAGCAACATGCGTACGACACGCGTGTAATAACTGTGAAGCCGGCACGTGAGCCGAGTGGCCGATGTCGCTCGGGTATGCACAAGGGGAAAAGAGAAGAATAAAGAAGAAACAAACGAGAGAGGGAGAAGTCCAGCGGCCGGTGCGCGAGTATGTAGGCAAATCGTCTTAGTCGGCGCATCGGGCAGGTCAAACCGGGAGAGAGAGAAAGAGAGAAGAGAGCAAGGCCGCGCCGCGGCTCGCGTGCGCTAACGGTACACGTCGCGAGAGAGAGAGAGAGAGAGAGAGAGAGAGAGAGAGAGTGCAGCCTCCGCCCAACCGAATAGATGCGCTACCGCGCAGTTGCATGCGCACGGGATACGTGTGTGGAATTTTCGCGAGGCTCTTCCATCTTCTCGCCGAGGATTGATTTGGCTGCGCGCGAACGCTTATCGCGCCCCGTGAATTATTCGATATGCGCTCCGAGCCGCAAAAAGTATCCGCGTATTTTTCTCTCGCGCTTTGCATACTTCATCGCCTCTACTGGAATCGGCTGCTTTTACGGTTATTCAATGTCATGCCAGCGCGCCGCTCTTTGCTACTTGCGCGCGCTCGAGCGCGGACGCCTTGTTTCTTCGGCGTCGAGCCGAGTATGTGGGAATTCAATTTGTTTCGATGCTGGGGATTTTCTTTTTCACCTTTTTTACGGGCGAGACCGGCGCTGCCTCTGCCGACGGATTATACGAGTCTCGCTCGATCGTAAATTTTTTGATAATGAGCTTCGCTATCTGGGGCATGGCTTGTTATGAGGATTTCTTGCTTTATTCGCAGCTCGAAATTGCATCTCCACGGATGGCCTCTCTTTCCGCAATCAAAGTAAATCTCGACTTGCTGGGCGTGTAAATGTTCAACTTGGAATTATTAATTGTTCTCTCCTGCATTGCCAAGCGTCGAGATGAGAAAGTCTCGGGATGGCTCGGCGCTTGCGAATCGTGTCGTGCGAGCGTTCGAAGTGAGTTTCCCGGCAGCGTTTCCAACGCGACTCGCCGCGAGTCTTCCGCGGACGCCTCGCGACCGGAATGGCCCGCCGCCAGGAACGAACAAATCGAGACAGGCTGGAAAAGAAACGCTACGCCATTATCCTCGAAATAATCGAGCGCAATTC